TAGAAATATTAACTTATAACCTATGCCTCTTAGTAAGTACTAAAGGAACTAATAAGTTCAGAATTATAAGAATATAAACAGATAATACTCTTATTCTAAGAGATAAGATATTCCTAGTAAAGGAATAAGAAGCGATTAATTAGGCCGGATTTATAACTAAGCTAATATAAGTCCTAAACTAATCTGAATCGCTAATATTTAATAGGTATACTATTCGTATAGAAGAGAGTAGCCTTTATATATCTTAGAAGAGTTAAGGTATAAGGCTTAAGTAAGTCGATATTACTAAGGGAGATTATAAGAAAACTTACGTAAAGTAATAAGCTCGTAGAGCCTACCTTATAATAATCTATTAGCCGGAAGCTACGTTTAACTTATTAGTAGTAATATAGTACTAGGATCTAATACTTAATAATATTAAGGCTCTAAATCTATATCTTAAGTAATAGATAAAGAACCTAGGGAGAGATCTATAATATATTCCTATAGACTTGAGTTCTATAAAGATCTACGCCTTTATTAATAGATCTTTTATAAATAATAAAAACCTTAGCTCCTAGATTAGTTTTATACTAGTAATTAGAACTAAATTAGAGAAATTTCAAGAGTTCTCTCTTTCTAGTAACTTAATATATATAAGTTCTATAAAGTATAAGAGAGTTACTTAAGCTATACTCACTTCAGAATTATATACTATAGTAATAAGGATTAATATATTAATATCTCTAGTAACTACAGTTAATATAGTAACTAATAAGCTAGGCCTCCTAAGGCTTTCTACTATAGTTTATACTAATTCTCTATCTCTTTACAAATATATTATTAAACTCGGTACTATAAAAGAGAAATATTTAATAATTAATATTATAGTAATTTATTAATTATATAAGTATAAAGAACTAACAGAGATATAATAGATTAATAGAGTAAGTAACCCTACTAACGCTATAATAAAGGCAGGTCTAAATAAGGCTCTTTAAGAGTTTATTAATACTAACTAGTTAATAGTAAAAGTAGAGGGATAAGTAAAGAGATTAGATAGAGTTAATTCAGACTTATAGTAGAAGTGTTTTAACGTATTTACTTATTTTTCTTATATTAATTTCCTTATAACTCTCTTTTATTACTTATTTATTTCTTTATAATTAAGTAAGATATCGCGATAAGAATAACTTTTATTTTAAGATAATTACCTTCTAATTTAAAGCGCTAATAGGCGGCCTTATAATAATACCCTAATAGGGACTAATTACTAGTTTCGCTATAGAGAGCTACTTCTATATAAAAGTATAAAGAAGATACTACTATAAAGAACTAACTACGAAACTAATCTGAAATAGAGCCGGAAACCTCTTACTTTTATACGCTATTCTCTCTAAGATTACTATTAGTAGTTTCTCCCTCCCCCTAAGAAGGAAGAGGTAGAGAGGTTAAGTTAGGTGCTAGAGTACTATTACTACCCTCTCTCGCCTTAGGGAGCTAATTAATTATAATAAAGCTAGAAGAGTAAGTACTTAAGCTACTTTTATTACTAGAACTAGAACTACTAGGATTACTAGCTAAATTCTCCTCTGAATCGCTTCTAGGATTCCTTTAAGTACCTATTCTTATATAACGCTTTAATAGACTCGGATTATCTAGTAGAGCCTTCTGCTTCCCTAATATAGTTCCTAACTTTTATAATACTATAAGTATCGCTTATAATATAAGATATTAGATTATATCTTATAGAGGGAGGTAAGGGAAGTTAGTTAAGAAAAAGAAATACTTATAGTATTCTATTCTACGATTCCAGCTATCTTATTACGTATAGTATAAACCTCTGCTAATATAACCTCTATAGCTAATAATATATCTCTTAATATATTAGCCTTAGTAATAGAGATAATATTCTAGAGAGTAGTACTAGCTTTAAGGAGTTCAGCTATATCTCTACTAATAAAGGTATTAGTAAAAGTATAATACTTGAGGGCCGTGTATACTAGGATCTACTTCTATTAGTTATAGAGGATTATTATTAGAGGGGTTATAGAAGAGACTCGGATTAAGGGATACTTATAAGTTTATATTTATCCTTATTCTTAGTATAATATTAGTATTTTAAGCTTACGGAACTCTGGAATTTATATAGTTTTAGATCACTTTTCTTCTAACGATTAATATATCTATAGTACTATATACGGAACGCAGCTAGGAGGGCACTAGGAGAGCAGGGAATTAGTACTAATTAGTATTAGTAAAGAGCTCTACTACTACGCTAGCTCTTAAGATAAGATATATTTACTCTTAAATTACTTGATTTATTTAATATCTTTTAAAGAAATCTCTTAGTTAGTAAGAATCTCTAAGGTAAATACTATTAATTCTGAACTTATAGTTATTATTATTATTATTATTATTTAATAAAGAAAAGAAAAGATTTCAAAAGGGAGGTTATCTTTATATAAATAAATATATATAATTCAGGCCTGATTCGGATATAATACGATATTATTTACTATTATCACTTAGCTATTACTATTATCTTCTACCTTTATATTATTAACTACTACTAGATAGAATATTAACCCTCTAACTCCTTAGAACCTTATATTAACTTAATAATAATATTATTTAATTCTCTATAAGTTTATATATATTCTCTATACTCTAAGATATAGTTTAGTTATAGATTACGATTTATTTATATTCCTATATAATAGGAGAAGTGCTTTTAGATAATAACTAGAGATATTCCAGCTACTAATATATATAAGTCAGATATTTATTACTTTATTATATCTTTAGTTCTTATTATTATATCTATATTCTCTCTTTATTTCCTTTGCAGTTATTAGAAACCTTTTATTCTAAAAAAAGTTTTACTAGTATTAGTCTATAGACCTTTACTATAGAGGTATAAGGGGAAATCAGAGAGTGTAAGTAATCCCGGTTAGAGGATAAACCCTTTTCAGATATAAACTAGGGGTTATTTAGAAGGTAGTATATATTCTGACCTATAGATACTCTTTATAATATATACTTTTAAATACCTTTGAACTAAACCTTAGATTTTAATATATATTAATATATACTTATTATTTGTTTACTAGTATAAAACTAATAATTATATTAGCGCTAACAGTAAAATAAGAAGAACTATTATAGGAATAAAATAAGTTAATAATAGTAAGACAGGTAAGAATCTAGCTTTAATTATAATAGAGGTTATTAAAGACTAAGAGATTCAATATAATTTAGGCTATTTTATAATAGATAACGCTACAGATAACAACGTTATAATAAGAGTTCTATCTTTAAGTAAGGTATATACTTTCCTTATAGCTCTTTATTAATAAATTAGTAGAGATCTCCGCTAGTCCTTTAGTATTCGATATCACCCGATTACCTATTAACTACGCTACACTAGCTATATTCTTAACCTCTCTATAAAAGCTTTCCTCTTTATTACTAATAATAAGACTCTTGAATCTACTGATTATAAATAAATAATAAACTAGTAGCTTTAATAAACACTAGAGGAGATAAGAGAATAGCGTAAAAAGAGACTACTTAGAAAGCTTCATAATTTCGTTATTTTTATTTAATATAGTACCTTACGCCTCTAGCGATTCCTTGCTTTATTAGTTAATTATTACCTCTATTAAGATAATAATACGCGCTAGAATTCGTAGTATACTATACTAGAGGTCTCCTTACTATTACAAGATACAATTAAAGAATACTTTGTAGTATATGGAGATTCGGAAATCGTAAGGGACTTATTAGATGCTAAAGATTAGCGTATTTTAGGTAAGATTAAGAGGTTTTTAGAGACTTTTAAGTTATCTACTAAGTCACTTAAAGGCTTTAGTGCTTCCCTTAATAGTATCTTACCTTTAATATATTTTATACTTACTTACTTTAAGAAAGTAAAAACAACTTATAAAGATAACGTTAAGCTCTCTGCTATAGTTAATTTAGGTTAATAGAAGATAGATAAATACTATAGTAAAAGTAACGAATCTCCAGCTTACGCTATAGCTCTTATTCTTAATCCTACGCGAAAGTAGTCGTATATTAAGAGGTTTTAGAGACCCTTATAGTAAGAGAAGGTAAAGGAGATAGTTAAGAAGCTCTAGGAGAACAAATATAAGCTAAAATCGACTATTCCGACTGCTCTAACGTCTACTACCTCTTCTACGAACGAATTCGAGCTTTAGTTATAACGAGTTAATACGCCGATAGTAGTTCGAGATAAATATAAGTAATACTATCAAATAGACTATATTTATAGCTACTATAGCGTTCTTAATTAGTAGCTTAAACCTACGTAATAAAAAGCCTACTTAAATCTCTTGAAAATAGCTCTTGATATTCTATCTATTCTAGCGATATCCTCTGATCTAGAACAAGCGTTTTCCGCGGTAAAAATAACCCTTTCAGATCGCCGGAATAAGATAGGTATACAGATACTTAAATATTTAAAGTGTTTAAAGTCGTAGACCGGTCCTATAGAGTAGGAGATAGAAGTTAGAGATATATAGGTTATATAAAATCAGGTTTTAATAGGGCTAAGTGTTATAGAAGCAGCTAGAGACACTATAGAGCTAGAATTATAGGTTAGTTTATCTCTCTGTTCTTAAAAACAACCTCGTTCCGTTCGTTCCGGCTTTATAAGAACTAACTGTAATTAGTTCTAAGGTAGTAAAACGTCAGTTAGTTTAAAAGCCTCAAAACGACGTCGTTTGAACAGCTGTAAACTATTGACTACATTGCGTTGGAACTGGTGAAGCAATCTCGAGAAGAGAAAAAACTATCGACTTCAAAGTTGTCGAAAATCTCCTTGAAGAAGATTTGTATCGCCTACCTGGCTTCGTATAATATCGATACAACCTGTCCCAGATGACTCGAGATATGTTTTTGTATTGAGGGAGCGGGTAGGCGCTTGTTAGAATATTGGATCAGTTGCCCAATTGAAAAGGTGTAGCATGCCATTCAATGGGTCCCTTGAGACTGGTTTACCTTCGAGCCCTGGTCAGAGACTGGCCAGCTAAGTTCAGACATGAGACAGAATAATTAACAATTTGACCTCGTGCTTCCTCAGATTCCATGATTCCAATGCATATCCTGGAAAAGCTCCCTGGCACATTCTTGAACTGTATCTGTTCTTCTTTCTGATCGCTCCTGCTTGTTGACCTGGCTAATACTGTAGCCGAAGGAATGGCGTCTTGGCGCGGCGTTCCTCCACTGTCGCATCCCTTCCACTTGATCCGACCAGACTCGTTCTCCACCCCCAGCAACACAATAAAGCTCGACAGGAACCATCGCCAAGTGCAGACCAGCTCCCAGAAGAGGATCGACAGCATCACAGGACCGTGAACTATTAAGATTGAACGAATCCGGTAGGTGGGTGGCTCGAATCTTCCAGGGTGACTTTGCAAGTTTTACCATTAGTGTTTTCCACAAGAGGTTGTCCAGGCCAGCCTTGGAACGAATAATCCGAACCATCAACGAGCCTAGACTATTACTATCACAAAACCTCAGATCAAATGCCAACAATCTAGCAAATTCCTCATCCAATGATCAGATCAAAAGTCGAGGATGATTTCCAGGTCTCTTAGATCGGATATTGACGTTTCGGCACAAGATCTGGTACCTATGACACTTTCCTCAACATTCTCATCAAATCCCATATCTGAACCAGGAAGAATTGAATTGCCCCTCGGCTACCTCCGATCTATCGCAAGCTGTGATTCTGAACGATGTTCGGCTTCTCCGATAGATGGCTGTCCAAGATTCGGACCTCTGCATTAGTAAGTGTGCGAATCGCGATCATCCGAAGAAGGAGCCACAATTGGGAATGACAAAAAAAATCGTCAACGCAAGTACCCAAAGATAAGACCGGGAATTTGTCACAAGCGCTTTCTTGGCTCACCTGGTATGATCACTTCGAGATACGAAGGGGCTATGACGAAAAACAAATTTTCGGTTGCCGGTGTGTATGCCGTTATCCCCAGGTTTTGCGGAGGGAAGAAGGCTGATAGCGAGGAGCTGAGACTTTCCGTCGTGATTTGACCGTCCGAGTTGGCTCTGATGTAATGTCACCACCCAAACCCGTGAATTTTTTAAGGAGTCTGAGTTCTGAATCAGTCACAAATGTGTTAGGTTGCTGATAAATTTCCGATAGAAGCCACAAGATGATCCACCGTATGCTTTTGGAGGCTATGAGAAACACTTCCCGTCCTGAAACAATAGTCATTTCTCATCACTCAGCCATCGAAGGCTACATTCAGAGTCTCAGATCCACCCGTCTCCTCTTTGTTGAGCCCCAAGTCGTGAGCATCGATCGAAAATGCTTTGCAGCATAGGATCGAATGATGTGCAAGTCTATGCATGCGCCGATTCATCACCGGACTCCTCCTCTTCCAACAGTTGGGGCTGGCGCAAGTACATTGTCCCTATCCAGTTATGGACCCATTCTTCCTGTGGGTTCCTGAAACAAAAATATCTGTTTCCAGGAAGCAGTTACATATTCCAGTCGGTATGTGAGTATTTGGCGCCGTCTACAAATAACCACATTTCGACAGCCACGTTGTTCAGGTGCAAGGAATTTTCCCGCAAGGAGTGGCAGCGGGGTACAAGTACAGGATACTGTTAACCATTAAGGTCTTAGAATAGACGGAGGCCATATGCACCCCTGGATCTTAAAGGTGCTTGGGAAGTTTCTCTCCGATAGAAAACGTGTCGGCGTCTAAGCGAGGCGAGGTACAGTTTTAAGGTCTCGCAACCACAACGAGATCGGATTTCTATTCCTGGTCCGAGTATCTATGTATCGTCACAAGAACAATTCTTTTCCGGCTAACGCGCATTCTCACGTCATACTTGGATTCCCATGCGGACTGGCAATACATTGTGGGTGGCTGCATGTTCTACGGAGCATTCAGGTCCTTATGATCACTCAGCAACACACATAAAATTTGGGGTTGGTTACAATGCAGGGGATGTGGGGAACCTTCGATTCAATTTCTAGAAGGCGCTGTACCTGCCACGAGAGGTACCATGCTACCGTACTCGGTGGCTCTCGTCTTGTCTGTTTGAAGAGGTCGTCGGTATCGCTAAGCCTGATGCAAGAGGTATCGAACGAAATGGCTGTCGTTGATTCTGTTCAATGACATCGACGAGGAATGTCTGGAACCTATTTTGAGACATGGCCTCTTCACCACCTAAAGTTTCGAGGCGCAGTGGGGGATTCTTGAAAGTTGTAACTCAAGCAACTGCACCTCATTACGGTCACAACTCTCCCAGCGCCATGTTCCACACAACCTCCTGCATATTCTTCCACTTGTCGGGAATCGGAACAGTGCAAAAGTGCAAATGCAATATGAGAAGCGATGCAACTTTTCTTGGAAGCACATCCCAAAACCGCGTCTGCAGTTTCAATTGCCGGCCTGCAAGAATACATCCTACTACTGATGTGGTGTTGTGAGATGACAACTTTGAGTTACGATAGCCGCCAGCATAGGGCATCGAGAATCAAGACTTCAGATGATCGGGCGGGAAGCATGGACCCAAAAGTATAGGAATTACTTTGGGGGTGGCATGGCACTGTCCACCGAAAACTACCCTGTAAGTCTGGGATGACTCCAGGGGGCCCCAGCGGTGCCCTGGCCCATCCTGGTATTCAGCACCACACTGTCATAACCAAGAGTCAATACCTGTCAGTTGATCAGGTACAACTTTTGGCAGACAAAAGTACCACAAACGTGGCCATGAAAGCCAAGACCAGCGGGCATTAGCTCCTCAAGTTGCAAGAGATGTCTGCTCCCATTTCGAGACAGTCTATCCCTATTCATCCACGAGCTGCAGTAGTTGCCAATTTGCGTGGCGATGCGGTTTCGAGGTTCGGAGACGACCTGTACCGTTTTGAAACGGGTAAGCTAAGAGGGAGGATCACGCGGGACCCAAGAACTGGGTGCCGCACAGGAGCATCGTTGTTGCAAACTATGTTCTTCGTGGCTCGTCCCCCATTTACAATAAGAGATTCAGTAAATCGCATTCGGAAAAAGTTTTCTACGAATGCAGACGAGGTCCACTGCCACCAAACAAGAAGCGAATATCAACAGATCCTGGTCATTTATCGTAAATTGGACCAATCATCGCCGGCTTGTAACGACCCCACGTTCGAAACTGATTGTAGAAGAGATTGCGCGACAGCACCTTGCGCAAATCTTCAATACAGATGTAAATCACGATCTCTTCACATCAAGGATGCTTGTTAGGGGTATCAACATCATAAAATCATAACCAACAAACAGAACCTCGAAGATCTATAATTTGCCGAATGCTTGGGGGCGACGGGGAGGCTTCCGTACCCATAGCAGGATGGTGATGCCAACGATTGAGGTTGGTCTCAGATGGAGCAATTTATCGAATAGAACTTATCTCGTGCAGGGGTAAAAGTTTTGAAATACCTTGCCATGGTAGCCAGGAAGACATGAGAAGACACCCTATCCCTTTGCAACCCAGGCGATTGGGTTTCACCAGGGGCTTGATATTCAGTGCCATGGTCATCTGAGATTCTGCAGTGCAACGCGCGCAATTCATGCTCGATCGATAGTTGGGTCTCTACCAGGTTGTTTTCGACAACGGGTTCAAGGGCTGCGCCGTGACGGCACCAAACGTTCATCACGGTACAGACAGTCTTCTACTTTGTTCATTCTGCGCCCCCGAACTATGGACGGTTAATATATGCAAGACAAAGGCCAGGAGGACTCTGAACGAAGTTGAAGGGATATTTGTCCGTATTTGAGAGAGCATTGTGGAAGTGGTGGGTGAGACTGTGGTGCTATTTGGATAGAGCGGATGGATATTCGAAGCGAGGCGCAATACCCAAGGCTCCAAAATTAGAGCAGACGGCAGGCTGAACGGACTAAGCTACAGTAAGGTAAGGCGAGGCGGGGGGTGGTATCCAGGATCTGAGGGTGTTTGATTCGTCGGGGACATGCATTTCAGCAGGGTTTACTCGGCCCGCACTCTTGATGGCTGGCCCAGGATTCCAGGAGGGGTATCCGCAGGCTCAGGGGACGACACCGCCGTCCAGGTCTGTCCAGGTTCTGTTCTGCAGCAGGGGCCAGGGCCGACATGCTGCTGCTTATTCATTTTGGGCGCCCCTGTTTACCGCGATAGCCTGTTTGATTCGTCGGCTGAGTCTGACAGACGCTGATCGGATCATGAAGGTCTTGCCAAAACGCCGAAAGCAGGCGGATTAATATTGGGCAAGCGAAGGGTGCTTCTCTGCGTTGCGTTGCGTTGCTGGCAATTGGTCTGCACCGCTACTGCATGCTGTGTATGCTGGTTATAAGTAGTTAATTCCGTCCCAGCATCGCGCTTATGCTGCGAGTGAGAAGTCCCACCAGAGCAGGGTAGTCAGAAAAGAACAGCAGCAAAGCAGCAGCAGCAGCAGCAGCAGCAGCAGCAACAGCAACAGGGCAATACTCTGCAGAATTCCCGTACCCATGTCTTGGGAATGGCTCCGTGATGCGGGCCGTGGACACAACAGGGGGCAGGGGGCAGGGGGGGATCAAGGGGTGGCTTATCCCTTTGGTGCGTCCCGTCCCCCGTCCCCCGTCCCCCGTCCCCCGTCTCGCGCGTCTGTCATGCCCTAGCACACTTAACCTTACTGTAGCGGGATGGATAGATGGGATGGGATGGCACGAGAGATGCTGCGTCCTGATTGCTTCCTCTTCCTCACACCATGTTCCAAACCCTCGTCTTGCTCTCCCAACCTCCAGGTTTGCCAGGACCTATCTGAGAACCGCTCATTATGCTTGTTCCGGAGCCGTGCAAACCTGGGATGACGGCCCATACCCAAAGCTCTCTTGCTCGATCCACCCCATGCCACTCAATTGCTGGGGCGCTTAATCCAGACGTCAGTCCAGTCTGTGATTTGGCATTGGCTATTTATGGTCCATGTCGACGCTTCTGCAGTCGATGGCCCTCTTTGGGACTGGTATCGACCGAGTTCTGGTAAAAGGAGCTATTCCATGTTTGGGCTCAAGCAGGGGTCAACAAGCAGGGGAAGCTGTAGTCTTTCCAACCTCCATCATCCTCTTCCACCATTCTTCTCTTGTGGACATAATCACCACGCTCAGCAATGCCCCGCGATACGTTCTATCTTTGTGCATTTACTGCGCAATTGTCTAGGGATATTCAAAACGAAGCTACTACATTCTTCTCGTCATTAAAAAAAGCTACACCCTGAACAGGAGCGCGCCTATCCCAAACATCTGGTACCAAGATCTTGCTTGGTCAAGACTGTCCTGTTCCTGCGCTGAGATTTTGGCCCCCCCAGTAGATCTATTCCAGTCGGCTGTGCAAGCAAGGCGGTAGGGATCCACAGAAGTTCTCGTTTCCAATTCGAGTCTGGCATCATGTCGAGCCTCAAAGATATCATGGATGTAGACGTGGAACCCTTCGAATCCCAAGCCTATAGAAGGTCCAGGGAAGCCGCACAACAACAAGCCTCCTTCCCTCCCATCGCTCCATCAACCGAGACCCCATCTCCTCCCGTCGATGATATCAACACAGGAAAGACTACCATCAAGCGGCGCAGATCCAATCGAGTCTCCAGTTCTACTGGGCAGCCCACAGCAGCTCGGCAAGGCATAGCACGACGGCGAAGCAGTGCCACAGGAGAAGATATGGATTTCACTTCTGTGTATCAAGCTGGAGGATCGAACCAGGCGAGCAACTCAGGAAGTCCTCAGCAGTCATCCAGAGGTTCAGAGCCAGCGACGGATATGCCAGTGAAATATACACCGGTAACGGGACGAATCAGTCGAGCAAAGAAAGGTGTTCCAGTCCATACATGTGACATATGTCGACCGGTCAAGGTATGCATTCGATCTTCAGTCTTGCATATCAAGATTACTTACTCCCTCCCAGACTTTCACAAGAGCGGAACATTTGAGGTTTGTCACCAGATCAAAGTTTGCTCGACAAAAATGGTTCTAATGTGTTCCCCAGACGTCACCAATTGAGCCATCAGAAGCCTGCATACCCATGTACCTTTGAGGATTGCGAGCGAGCATTCCATAGACCAGATTTACTTGCTCGGCATCTACATAGACAGTAAGTGATTTGGGACCCCAATGTGTCAACACGGGACAGAATCGTAGCAGAGAATTCGGATGTCATGTGAGGAAGAAGTTGTGCTGATGCGGCTTAGTGAAACACAAGGAGAAAAGCCATACAAAGCTGGAGACCACCGGAGCAGTAGAGCGTCTTCAACCGACACAGAAAGTAGGACGCCAGATTTGAAAGTAGAACCTCCAGCTCTCGGCATTGCCATGCAGGCCTCTCCGACCGATTCCATGACTCCTAGGACTAGTGGGAGTGGTGAAAGCTCCATGACTACTACGGGTTTCAATACAATCACCAGTAGCTTTCAAGCTGTGAACTTCTCTCCGGCCTCTGGCAATAAGAGATCAGCAACCCAAGCCCAGCTCCCTGATTCGGATGGATACCCGAGTACTTCACCTGGACCAAGCACATCTAGGACAACAGGATCATTTGATAGAATGCCGGACCAGAGCAATTTCAGTAGTGATGTCCAGCAGGTATTTGGAGACGCGTTCGGAGAGGGAGGCACTTCTCAATTCACGAACTATACTACAGCTCCACAGCAGCCTCTTCTTCCCCTTCTGAGAATTCCAGAGGAGAATTGGATCCCCGGCCTGTCCTACAACAACTCTCCTTGGTGCTCATCCGCATCAGACAGCACCTACTCCACTCAATCAGATTGCTCCCGAAACGGGCCACACTTGATTCCAAGAGACAGGTCTCAATCAATAGCCACACTTCCTGATTGGCCACTATCAGCAGGTACTCACTGGTCCCCCCACGGTCTAAGCACAACTCCCCAAGAGATCCGGAGTCCGGGATATGATGCCGTTTTAGAACGATATGAGACACATACTCCATTTGCCTCTCCTCGAATGAACTCGCCGATTTCATCTCGAGGACAGCTCTTGGATGTGCCCAATTCTTATGGGAACTTTTTCATGGAAACAGTGGGTACTCCAGCCCTCTCGACGTATATAAGCAAGCCTTTGGCTCAACATTTTCCAGCATCCCCTTCAAGAACTTCAAACCCCGGATTGGACATCCTTAGAGGAAAGAAGGACTTGGTGGAGTCCCACCATTTAGGCACCTTCCCTATCAACTCCACATCTGCCTTTCAGCAATCTCAACCCCAACTCGACATGTACATTTCTTGCTACTGGCAGTCCTTCGACAGTTTCTTCCATATCATACACCGACCTACTTTCGATCTCATTGACCATAATTTACTCAAATCCGCCATGGCTGCGATAGGAACCCAATATCACGATTCTCCCGAGGCACGCGCAAAAGGAGCCGAACTGAACGATTATTGCAAGAAGAATATCGAACTGGTAAGTTGGTCACAGCTATCTAGTGGCGAGGAGATGACTGATTCCAATGCCGTGCAGTGTCTGAATTGGGACCTCCAGACGATGCAGGCAATCTTGCTTACCGAGATATTTACCCGTTTTCGAGGTCGTAAAACGAACGTTCGATTGTCCCGCCACTTTGAAGAACTATATACTAGAGTAAGTAGACCTTCAAGCATTCCGATGCACACCTTCGCTAATTGGACCAGCTTCTGGATGAATCTGATCCAAGCAATAGAACGATGTCCAACCAAAGCCCCGGCGATGCTTCCTCAGCTGATGCTCTCCTTGATCGCTTTGGAGCGCAAGCAAATTTACAAGCATCGAAAAGCTCTAGCCCGAATGGCGATTGGTACTCGTGGGTTGAAACTGAATCCAGGCAAAGGCTTCTCAGTGGCTGTTTCATCTTTGATATCCATCAATCTATGTATCATCAGCAACCCAGGTCTAGGGTTCCTCGCGACCTGTCAAGCTCTCTTGTGTGCCAACCATGTCCGGAGAGCCTTTGGACCGCCAGTAACCCCTCTGAATGGCAAACACAGAGATCGAGCTCGGACATTCAGCCAATTCATCTGATTGAAAAAGACATGGATCAATCCATTCTTACCCCGCTTTCATTTACCCAAACCCTTCAGATCTGCTGGTTTGTTTCGCGGCTTCCGTTTCGAGATGATCCCACGCATCCCAACGAGCATTTCCCGCAAGCCATGCATCCCGATATCGAGAACTTCATGTATCTGTTCCCCAACACTCCACTTGCGCACTCGTACATGGCACTGTACCACACACCGCTTCATAGTCTTTTGGCCGTTGCAGGGGACACCTGGCTGTTCGCACAGAAGCTCAGTCCACCATCTGCTTTCCAGGCTGCCCTGTCGAAGCTGAAGGCATGGTCCAGTTCTCTCGCCGCAGCGCAAGCTGCTCACCACGCCTGCGAGCTGATTGCTCAGACACTCTCTCAACCTCTTACATTCTCATCTGATGGTAACATGACGACCACTCTCTGTTGTATAACCGACTACTGGGCTCTCTACGTCTCTGCCCTCATCTGCTGGGCTTTCGGGCACCGCTATCAAAGCTTAAACGCAAGCGGGGCCTCTGGAACCCTCACTCGCAGTAGCTCTTCCACAGAGATCCGATCCATGGACACGGATGATACACCGCTCTCTGATGACCTCCGCCTTAAAGTCCTCACTTACACCAACGGAATGTTAGAGCTCCCTGTTGATGAGCTGCTGACGAATAAGGCGAGGATGAAAGGCGAAACCGCCGGTATCATTGATGCTGTTCGACAACGCCTAGAGATTGAGAGTGTCGGCAACAAGTGTGGACTTCTTGTCGATGCCATTGTTGTGCTTACAAAACTCCGGAAGGCGGGTGGCAAGACACATTGGTTCTAGATAATCATTCCTCGGTACCTTTTTGCGCCTCGCCTCTTTTCGACTCTCCTCCCTCTTGTATTTGTTCCTCTTCCAATTTTATTTCAGCATTTGCAATGGGTGGTCTCTTTGCATCATTTGGTGTTCTCATTTCCGTTTACCTTGCGCTTCTCTGGTTTACAACAAAGCACACGCAGTACTCCTCATTTCATGATCATATTGGGCGGCATTTGTCTTCGCGTTACATACTCTTGCGTTTACCTCTTTTGCTCTCTTATATATATACATCTGATGAAACGAAGGGATGAAGGGACGATGAACGAGATACCGAAGATCTCTCCTAATACTTGTCAGCTCGGGTTGGGTTTCCTCTACATGTCTCTTCTCTATATCTCCTTTCTATCTTTCGTATCATATATGTCTATCTCCTTTATCTTTTCCCTCTCATTTTCTTTGACCGCGAGATCTACATACTACTTAATATGTGTCATATATGATGCATTTGTTGCGCATCTCATCATTCCTTCTCATCTCAGCACGTTTGAATATTAGGTGTTAGGTTTGGGCATGGCTTTAATGCAGGGTCGATTGGTGTGGAAATCATTTTATTGGAGTGGTATGGCTTGGTTCTGTGATCTTTTCAGTGATAGCGTTCAGCGAGCAAGCATAGCGGCGGAGCGAGGGTAGATGTCATTTACTGCATTATAGACTAGAAGGATGGGATGGATGGTGGCAAAATGAGGGGGTGGGCAGACGGGCATTCATTTATCTACCATATCAACTAATATCATGTTCAATTCACACTGCATCACATCCAACAATACCGTCGATCGAGTCTTCGATGTTTGCCACGTTCGCACGACCAATTAACGAAGCCATTAAGCGAATCAAACATTACCTTGGCTTAAGAATAAACACATGAACAGAAAAGCCCGGAACCAAAGCAGAGCATGTTCTTCAAGATTTAGATATGCATTTGGCGAGCAGCACGCGAGCAATGATCACAAGAGTAAACTTTCCCACCCAATGAATGATCATCAAAAACTAGTTACTATCTACACTTCTCTCGCGCCACGCTGCCTCCGTTCTTTCTGTATCTGTCTGCATTTTTTGTTTTCCAAAACACGGACCGAGCTGGACCCACGATGGTACCACACAACTCCTCTCCTCTCTCCAGCCTCTCCCCAGATGATTCGATGCACGCAGTTAAGAGACGAAAAAAGTAAAGGAACATTGGTATTGGGAAAAGCATGCACAAAAAGCCAGAAAAGCAACGATATCGCAAGGAAAACCCTCCCTCCCTCCATCCATCATTCAACTCTCATGACCAAAAAGAGCAGCCGGATATGAACCAGGAACACAGCGAAAGCAAGCAGACCAGCAAAATGGGCAAAATCAGATAATTATCTCGGTATCAAGGAAGCACGTCGCAGATCCTCCCCAGACTCTCGCTCTCCCACCATCGGACAACACCCTCCACATTACGTCCGTTTGGATTGGAAGGGAGACTCTGCCAATATCGTACACTCGGAAAGCCCGGGCTTCCGAAACATCCCAAATTGATTACTGCGTTCGCTCTCCCATCCGCTCGTTTGTTTGCAACTTCAGCCTCCCCATGCTCGATATGTGGTGTGTGAACTCTTTACTCCTTGTCCTTGTGGGAGAACTTAGCCTTGATCTTGCCGAAGATGCTAGATCGCTTCTTCTTCTTGTCGGCGGCTGCACTGGCCGGGCTAGCATTACTGCTTCCTGGTGTGACGGCGGCCTTCGATGGGGTCGATGGTCCATCCTCAGTCTTCGCTGGTGTGGAGACTGTCTTTGCGGTGGTGTCTTTGACGGGAGTAGAAGGAGTAGCGTAGCTGGACTTGTCGGTCTCAGCAGATGTAACGCCGCTGGTGACCACTGGGGCGGTCTGGGACTGGGTGCTGTGAGAACCGGGGACAGTTCCAGGAGAAACATCACGTGATTCGATTTGGGCTTTGGCTGGAGTTGGAGCAGCAAGGGCAGCGGCTTTCGTCTCGGCAGATTTTGTCTCAGTCGATGTAATCTTCGGTGCAGACTCGCCGGTCGATGTCTCGGGCTTGATCTCAGACAATAATTCCTTCTCCACAGCCTTCTTCTCCAACACAGCCTCCTCGTTTGCAGCAGCCTCTGGTGCTTGCCCTGATTCGGCAATTGACTCCTTGACGATTGCAGGTGTATCCTTGGCAACCTCCTTTGGTGTGCTATCTGACTGAGCATTCGTTGATGCGATGGAGTTCTGAATGGACACGGGTAATTTGCTGGTTACAGATTCTGGAAGCTTGCTTGCGGCAGTGCTCGCGGCGCCAGATGCATAAGCTGCAGCAACGCCACCAACAGCCACGGCTGCGCCGCCAATTGCAGCTGCAGCTTCACCTGCAGAGACAGTCTTCTCAGACTTATCCGTTCCCTTTCCGGCAGTTCCCTCTGAGGTTGATGGGGCCACTGGAACCTCCTTCAATAGCTCTTTCTCAACCGCGCTTTTCTCCTTGACTTCTTCTGGGATGGCACTGGCTTCAGGATCAACGTTTGCCTTCTCTTGGCTCTCCTTGACTACATCTGGAACCTTTGACGACTCGAGAGGAACACCTGCAGCAAGTGCTGCGGTGGTGCTCGTTGGGCCTGCAGATTGGATGGTAGGAGTAGCGTCGAAGGTACCAGCACCTGACGTTCCAATTGGCAAGCTCGACTCTGGGATCAAGTTCTTCGCAGGTGGCATATCCAAGATTCCAGTGCCGTTGATGGCGCGGGTTGCATCAGGGGTGACAACTGGGGGGAGGACTGGGGCGTTGCCGATTCCACCACTCTTCTCGTACGACTCTTTGTCAAGCGTGACTCCTGACTCAATGGTGTTCTTGTTGACAGTGCCTGGCTCAGGGTTGACTGCGCCAGCAAAAGCTGGGAGTGGGTTGACGCTGAAAGTTGGTTCAGCCGCGGTCTTTGCCTTGTCGGCCGCAACGAGCTCGGGGTCATCGTGAACACCAGATGTGATAGTGTTATTGGTGAATGTGCTTGGGTCTGGAACCCTCTCGCCAGGAGCAAGCTTTATTGGGTTTACAGCTCCGTCCGCGGCTGGGAGGGGATTGACCGAGAAGTCTCCCTTCTCGGTAGCTGCTGGTGTCTCGGGAAAAGCGCCTGGTAGATCGGACGAGACAGTTTGTTCTAGAGGAGCAGCCTTTTCACTTTCGAGGGGCACATCCTTTGCCAATGCGGCGGTTGTGGAGGTAGGGGCGACGCCAGACATGATTCCAACTGTCTCGGGCGTGTGCTTCTTGATTCGGTCCGTGGTAAGGACGTTGTTTAAGTTTCCTGAGGCGTCGTTCTCTTGAGGAGCGGTGTGATCGGTAACCCAGTTGCCGTCAACAACGAACTATGCAGTAAATGTTATATTAGCGAGTTGTTTCTGTGAGTGAAGGTAAAACCAGAGTAGAGAAGGAAAAGATGGGACGAAGGTTGGTTTTAAAGGACACTGCTACCTTGTAGCTTATGGCGGGGTTGGGAACAGGCCACCGGCCCTGTTGCGTGGCCCAAGCACCAGCATGTTAAACAGGGCACTACAGCCTACCAGCTGACCTGGAAGCGATACTGTTCGAGTTGGCAGCTTCACCGCTTAGAAGTAAATTGGGGCAACTCGGCCGTACCGCGTCATAAGAGATCATTTTGGTGCAGGGTCAAGCGCAGATTCCGCAGATTAAAGTCATTTTCTGCATCCAGGAAGGCAGCATGCTTCGTCGAGAAGCTCTTCAAGCTTCTTTAACGGCCACTCGGCGGCATTAGCGCCTCGAAGTCACGACTCGAAGCACAAGTCCCCACGTCTTTTCGACAATCCAGTCTGATATGTGTTTTCCACGCACCTTGTAGTAGATCTTGTCTGCGGCGCTGTTGAGTGTAACATCCTTCGAGAACGAATCGCCAGTCTTCACAAGCTTTTCTGATTTGCTCCAGTCGTCAAAAGTGCCCGTCACGTAGACCTCATCGGCGGGATGGTCCCTGATCACGAAGGAGTCAGTCACGCAATCTAGGAGCTTGATTGGAAGCGCAGGAAACAACTGACCATTTAAATACGAAGCTGCCCATTATGATATTTGGGTATGCGAATGATGGACGATACGGAATTCGATGATACGATGCGTTTGGTAGCAGTTAATTGCTTGAAGAGCACGGAGCAGCTGTGTCTGTAGATGATTGACTGATGTCAAGGTTGAGAAGTAATCGGAGGAGGCTGGGAGGGTTGATTATCGGAAGGTAATCTCTTTTACGCAGCGGCAAAGTAGCACAATGAGTATCTGGCTGATCGTGGACAAAGGACGAGGTAAGCTGTACCAGGATGCAATGACTGTAATTGCGATTGCGACTGCGGAAGGAATGAGAGACGCAGCGATTATTGATGGGAAAGGGGAGATCGGGACTGATCAATTGAGGTTGGTTGTTGGGAGTCTGGCAGAAGTGTGGTGTGGTGTGGTGGTGCAATGGGGACGAAATGGTGCAGCCTTGAGGGGCGAGCCACCAAGGCCGGCGAGCCGCTAGGGATGATAGCTTTTGCGCTCAGCTCTGGAGCTTCCCTGTCACGTCTGGCTGGACCGCTGGACTCTGGACCCCTTGCGGTTTGCGACTTCCGAGCGCCAAACCAATGTCCTTCCTGCCTTTCGAGACTTTATCATCGCCCATCGGATCTGTTACTGTGACTACAAGAATACTAGCTCGGAAGATTTTTTTCATCTTCTTTGCATAATGTCATGTACGCTCTGTTCTGATAATCCGTCCGCTTGTACTTCTTCATATTGTAAATTACCTTATCTTGAGGGTTCGTTGCGCCACAGTCAACAGCTCTCTCGCTCTGGCTGCGATCGGAAATCGCTGGGCTGGGCATCACCAGCACAGCTGACTGAGCTCACTTGTGTCGTCATTTACCCCACCACGACCGAAAGCAGCTCAGTTGCGCGAGACAAGGATAATCCGTATGATATCAGGGCCCTTGGGCCCTTCATTTCATATTATATTCAAGACACGGAGAATAATAAGGGCAAGTGCGTCACACCTGCCTGCGAAACATTGCAAGTGCTGTTTATTTGTTTCAAGCCTTCCTTGTTTCGATATTTCACTGCTTTACTCTACCAAATGTCCTCCTGTCTGATCTCCAGGAGCATGCTCATCTCCGCCTCTGAAACAATCACTGCATCCTCAGAAACCTTTTGGACATAACAGCTATGGCTGTCATCGAAGCAACAACTAGGAGCTGAATTGGCTTGGGCATGACAATCAACACCTATGGTAGAACTGTAGACATTTTCCATCAATATGTCAATTGGAAAGGTCAATTTCCACCACCAGTGGCAGTGGCTGAATGTGACAGGTTTCCCGGCACTACTCATTCATACATGCAGTGCGATATGAAGTTGTCTAGCTTGGCCGAGACAGTGCAGATAAGAGAATCAGTTGACTCGGAAGTATTCATATAACGAAACGGACTTTGACGCTCCATCTCTTTGTCCAGTGAAGAATATCCCCATGTCAATCCCGTCTCGGGAGCGGCGCCATGCATGCCAATTTTATATTCCAACCATGCCCTTTGTCTCCCTATCTTTCCAGGCCAAAGGTATTGCATGCAGTTGATCTCGAGCCTTACTGAGGTTGATACATAAGTACGGTCGTCGTCAAGTCATCGCACTACCTGCATCCTGCACCTCATCAACTGTTCTGTGACTCTTCTCCCCCTTTCATCCTCTCGAGCCAGGAGACCACCAGCACCCGATCAGCTTGTAAGTCTAACTCTCTCTCGAAGGACCCGCTAGACCTCGGGCAATTGCTTTCTCTCTTCAGTGTGTGTTCTGAATGGCACTGCAGTGCATACGAGTTGGCTGTGACGCTGCTGCTGCCATTATCTCGCCTTGTCACCCCTCCTGCCCTATCGCCAAATGTGCTGTGATGCTGTGCTGTACTCTGCCGAAGACTGCGTGACTAACACTTCCAGAAGTCTTCGAGAACGCCCATCGAAGCTTCGCTGTCCAATCATAGGGGGGCTGGGTTGAGATCGTGCACGGACCAACTGGACCAGGCCAGTGCTTTACCACAGCTCCATTGCCCCTCCCCTCCCTTTGGCGGCTTCCTGGGGCAACCGAAACCTCACCATCACTCGCTCCTACTTGCCTGGAATACCGCCTACACCATTCTTCCTCTACCCCATCTCCAGAAACATCATTTGGAGAACACATTGGAGCCACAGCTAGGTGAGTTCTTCTGTTTCGTCTCTCTGTGTCCTCCGCATGTGAGAGTAATGCTGATCCTCTCCCATCCGGTTGCAGACTCACTCTTGCTCAATCAACAGCGACTAGAGTGCCTGAACCCCTCTTTGAACGCCTGACTACAGTGAGTCAAGACTCGGTGTTAGAATGCTCCCTTCAATTTGAAGTTTCGCTAATTGTTCACTCCTGAACAGGCCGCAGCAGCCTGACTGTTAGACAACTACAATCCTCGCCGACGCATACACTTCTTACCCATAACCATATTGGTGCAGCAGTCCAACCCCTCGCCATCCTCGAAAGGCGCAGCCCCATCAGAGAAAAGCATTATACGCTGTCGAATGTCCTTGCCATCCTCATACATCAAAGAAATCGACAACCTCAACCAAGAGGTGCTCAAATCAAACCCGACCGACATTGTCCAATTCTGCGCTAATTATTTCGCACGGCGGCTAGAGCTTGAGCGTGCTCAATTCTCACTGTCAGATACACATAAGGATCGCGAAATGTCTGGAAGCACATTCCCTGGCCGTCTCGGTACAAACGTCAACCCCTTCGGTGGTGATGGCGGGGGTGCGGGGAGTACTCAATTGAGCTCTGGCTCGATTTCCAAGGTCGTGGAGGAGGATGAGAATGACACAATCACATCGCCAACAAGCGCAAGCTTCGGCTTCGGTCAAGGCACAGTATTTGGTTCTCCATTCGGAGGTGATGCTGCTGCTGCTGGAGAAGGCCCTCCATCGTCGTTCAAGCCTACTAGCACAGAGGGATTCCCAGCACACTATGGCATGGGAAGGCGAACTTCCGTGTCTGCGGAATCACTAAACCCTACAGCCTCTTCAAACGACAACTGGACGCCGCCCTTTCATCAGAAGACCGAAGATCAGCTGTTACGGCTGAAGAAATCCATCTTTCAGAATTTTTTGTTCAGTCATCTTGACGATGAGCAGAGTGCCCAAGTACTTGGTGCTTTAGTAGAAAAGCCAATCCCTGCGAAGGGTATCAAGGTAATGTCCCTTCTGTTTCCGGTCAACTCAACAAGCCTTCTCCTATGCGAGCAGTAGTTTTCACATGCCAAGCCAATGACTGAAACTAACCTACTGGCTACAGGTCATTACACAAGGTGATCAAGGAGACTTCTTCTACGTGGTTGAGAAAGGGGCCTTTGATGTCTATGTCAACCCAAGTGGTGCTTTGCAACCGGGTCCGGACGGCCTTGGTAAGCAGGTGGGAACGATTCAATCAGGCGGTTCATTTGGAGAATTGGCTCTTATGTACGGATCTCCAAGAGCCGCAACGATCATCTCAACCGAAGCGGGCTGTACCTTGTGGGCTCTCGATCGTATCACTTTCCGCCGGATCTTGATGGACTCAACTTTCCAACGCCGTCGGCTGTATGAAAGTTTCCTCGAGGAAGTCCCTATTCTCTCCACTCTCACAAAGTATGAGAGGTCAAAGATTGCAGATGCTTTGGAGACGCAGAAATATCCAGCTGGTACAACGATCATCAAAGAAGGTGATGCCGGCGAAGCTTTCTACCTCCTGGAAAGTGGCGAGGCCGAGGCTTTCAAGAGCGGTGTACAGAACCCCGTCAAGTCCTATCAGAAAGGGGATTACTTTGGAGAACTCGCCCTACTGAATGATGCCCCAAGAGCTGCCAGTGTTGTCAGCAAGACAGAAGTCAAGGTTGCCACACTTGGAAAAGATGGCTTCCAGAGATTGCTGGGTCCTGTTGAGAGCATCATGAGAAGAACTACGTATGATGAAGGAGTTGAAGCGGTTGATCCTCTTCACCAAGGTTAACGACAGCAGGTTTGACGGTTTTTGCGATTCACTTTTTATGATTGACAGGCGTTAGAATGGTTACGTTCGTTTTGTTACGAGATACAACTGGCTTCGGTGGCTCGGATACCTTTGATGCAGAGAGCCAGGATTCTTCCAATGACCAAGATACTCAAAATTCATCCACACTATTATTTGTAACAGAAGTCTTTTGCTCGTGTACATTTTCTTCTTGATAAAACCTAAACCGCCTCTGTTTCGAGAATCCTTGAGCCTGGAAGGTAGCCTTTTTAGCTTCTTCAGAACGCCAATCCATGCAAAGCGCCAGAACTATGATACTCGTACAGCCTTCACAAAAGCCCATCCACACCTACCAATCCTTCTCACAGCCTCCATCACAAAGCTCCGTCTCTCCTACTCTCCAAAATCTCTCTCCTCACCCCCTCAGCAGCAACCTCTGTCTCCAGTACTCTACCCACACCCCTCCTCCACGTCTCCTCCAACCCCTTAATCTCGCCGCCGACCTCCTCCTGCGCCCTCTTCCTCTCAATAACAACACCATCAATCTCCCCCTTCCGCTCCTCCAGCTCCCTCTCCAAACTCCTCAACACATCCTCCAATTGCCTATTCCCTTCCAACCAGGCATTCTTCCCGTATTTCTCCAGTAAGCCGAGGTTAGCTACGCGGCCTTCGAGGTACGATTGAGATGTGTAGGCGTTTTGTAGAGCGGAGCGCCATTTCTGGAGCGTTTCGGGGGAGGTGGTGTCTGAATGGGGGGAGGTGGTGGGAGGGTCTTGCGATTCGTAGTGTGTGGTTGTTATTGACTTTAGGGGGGTCTTGGATGCGATACGTTCGAGTTCGGAGGTTATGAGGGGGGAGAAGTTTGCTGGTGGGAGGGGAGGGAGAGAGCTGTGGCTTTCTGTGTCGTCTGAGGGTTGGGAGGAGGAGGATGCTTCAGAGGCGATGAGGGAGAGTGCTGCGGCGCGTTCGGAGGCGGTGGGTTCGGTGTCGATGTAGGGGAGGGATTCGTGGATGGCGTTTGTGAGGGGCATGTTTGCGGTGTAATTGGGGTGTAATTGGGTGGTAATTGTTTGGTTTTGGGAGGAGGGGATGGAGATGTTAATTTCGATGTCCAACTGAACTGCGGTTGAGGTTGGTGTGGATAGGCGGAGAATTTTTCGCAAGGCTGGATTGCTTGGTAGAAGGAGACTTAGATGTCGTCCAAATGTGAGGACAAAATTGGTGTCATAAATATCTGGAATATGAAGCTATGAGAATGAAAGCAAATGTCTATCTTATATTTTTAGTCAAAATCAAGGCTCAAAACCGCGACAAAGTAAGACTAGGTCCATTACGTTTGGGTGAAGTTTGGAGGTGTTCGTCGCCTTGCGCTCGAGGCTGCAAGCTACAGGACCTGCACACCCCACCAAACTATCAAGCTCACAACAAGCAAGACAATGACTTGATCGCAACACGACCCTCTCGGAGGGAAACATTCTTTCAACACCACCAAACAACTCTCGAAAAATTATGGAGCCACTTCTTGAATCGAAGGCCGGTCCTTCCGACCCATGGCGGGCGCTGGACCAACAAGAACGAGAAGCTTCGAGGTGGCAACGGCAGAGGAGAGTATGGACAAAGCTTGCGAGCTTCGCTTTGGCTATGGCTCTTGGATGGACGATATTCGTGCATTTTTGTGGACATTGGAGGGATACTGGACGGTCTTGGAGGTTGGACTGGGGCCAGCATGACAGCGGCGAGAGCTTGGAGAAAGGAAAGGGTAGTCAGTACTTGCTGGGTGTGGGAAAGGCGGATATTACTGGGTGAGTACTGGTCTCATATACTTGTTTTCAAAATACAGTACTAATGCCTGTATAGACCTGTAGTTGAGATCAACATGATGGGTTACGCGGACACCAAACAGGTTGGATCAGGGCTCCGTCAGCGACTCTACTCTCGAGCATTCATCGTTGGAGATGTGGAGCGTCCGGAAGACAGATTCGTGTATCTTGTCTTGGATACACAATCTGGGGACACGGCAGTCAGATATGGCATTCTAGAAGGATTGTCGAAACTGGGCTCGGACTTTGCGGTCTATGGGCAGCACAACGTTGCTGTCACAGGCACACATTCGCATTCTGGACCAGGAGCCTGGTTGAATTATCTTTTGCCTCAGATAACTAGCAAAGGCTTTGACAAGCAAAGCTATAGAGCTATCGTGGATGGTGCTATTCTTTCCATACAGAGAGCTCATACGAGTTTGCAACCAGGATACCTGACCGTTGGGTCGACGAAAGTATTTGGTGCCAATATCAACAGAAGTCTCTACGCCTATTTAGCCAACCCGGAGGAGGAGAGAGTCAAGTACAATGAAAGCACAGAAGACGATGGTTCTGTCGAGAAGACTTTAACTCTTCTCAAGTTCCAGCGTGCCTCTGATGGGAGGAATACTGGTGTGCTCACTTGGTTCCCGACACATGGCACTTCGATGCTTGGGAATAACACCTTGATATCAGGGGATAATAAGGGTATTGCAGCTGATTTGTTTGAGAAGAGCTTCTCAGCCGACGACAACGTTGCAGAAGGCTTCGTGGCTGGCTTTTCCCAGGCAAATGTTGGAGATACCAGTCCTAACGTCCTAGGAGCTTGGTGTGAGGACGGCACTGGTGCGGAGTGCAGCTTTAAAAACAGCACTTGCAGTGATGGCAAAAGCCAGTTCTGCCATGCTCGCGGTCCGTTTTTCCGAGAACAGGATAATGGTGCTGCATCCTGTTACGAAGTTGGCAAGAGACAATACGAGCCTGCAAGAGCCCTGTACGACCATCTCGACATAGAGGGAACGCCAATAACAGGCTCCTCTGTCAAGTCATTTCACACTTTCCAGGACATGACGAACTTCACCTTCCCTTTAGCTAATGGGAGCTACGTTCATACTTGTCCAGCTGCTCTGGGATACTCGTTTGCAGCGGGTACTTCAGATGGACCAGGTGCTTTTGACTTTACTCAAAACGATCCTGGGGCTCCTAACGCTTCTCCTGTATGGAGAGTTGTATCAGGTTTCATTAAGGAGCCTACCAAAGCTCAAAAGCGCTGTCACTACCCCAAGCCTATACTACTGGACGTGGGAGAAATCAGCTCTCCATACCTCTGGACACCCAATATAGTCGATGTCCAAGTCCTGCGAGTCGGCCAACTAGTAATCATAGTTAGCCCCGGCGAGGCCACCACGATGGCCGGCCGACGCTGGAAAGAAGCTATTCACGATTCAGCCTCCTCCCTCGCACTTTCCGGCTCCCCATCAGTTGATCCAGTCGTGGTTATTGGAGGCCCAGCAAACAGCTATACGCATTACATTGCCACAATGGAAGAATACGGTATCCAGCGCTACGAAGGTGCGTCGACGCTTTATGGTCCATATACACTCAACGCATACATCAACCTGACCCTCCAATACCTTCCCTACCTGAGCTCAACTTCCACCACCCGCCCACTCCCTGGCCCCTCACCACCAGACAACGTCAATCGCTCCCTCTCTTTCATCACCGGTGTTGTCTTCGATGGCACCCCTATATTCAAGCAATTCGGAGATGTGAAAACAGCCGTACGACCCGCATATTCCATCGGCGACATCGTATCCGTCACCTTCGTCGGTGCAAATCCCCGCAATTCTCTCCGTCTCGAGCAAACCTATGCTGCGATAGAGAAGTTTGATGCCGCGACCAGTCGATGGGTGAGAGTACGAGATGACAGTGATTGGAGTTTGATTTTCAATTGGAAGCGTACGAGTAGTGTGTTGGGAACGAGTGAGGTTGAGATTGTGTGGGAGACAGAGGACTGGGCGAGTCCTGGACAGTATAGGATTCGGTATTATGGGGATTCCAAGGCGGTTGGGAGTAAGATTACGGCGTTTGAGGGTACGAGTGGGGAGTTTGTTTTGACTTGAGGGGCTTAGCGAGGTAGATTGAAATGCGGCTGCTGTTTCGAGCAGTGTTGTTCAAGTAGTAAAGAAGCGAAGTTATGGATACCAGGCAACGCAAAATTTGTATATCAGGATACCCAGGATGAAATTGATAGGGAAATACTACCGAAGCTATTCAAATGAGCAAGACTTAATGTATCATTATTGTTTATCTCGTCTCATCTACTGTATCCTTTTTTGATCCGAATTCTGTATCGGAATCTACAATCAGCGCCACCCGAATTTTCGGCTGCAGTTGGGGAATATGAAAACGCCATAGATGCCTTTCCGTCACTTCCAATAAACCAAAATCTGTCCCGAACTCCATTTGTCCATCCAGCTACGCACCTAGAAAGTCCCAAAGTCCCAAACGCAAGTCCAAATCAAAACTCCATTTCCACCGGCAAACCATTCGCCCTTCTCTCCGCCGCGATTCTCTTCCGCTCGGCCACTTCTGCCGCGCGGATCTTCTGACGTTCAGCCTGGTCAACTAGCCATGCATCTTCGAAAAGAGTGGGTTTCTTCTTCAAGTCCTCGGGCTTGAGACCTAATTTCCGCACAACCTGGAATGCACCCGTACCAACGCTCATTGTCTGTCCCATGATGATACACTCGCTGACTCCTTCGATGAGATCTATTTTCATGCCGGCTGCAGCATCGAACAAGTGGTCGGGGGTCTTCTCGAAAGAGGCAAGCTGCAGGACACTGTCACGCATCTTCGAAAGTCCAAATCGAGTGATGCCAAGAACTTCTCCTTTATATGTCATGACATCAGCGAGAAGTTGCATGTGTCGAGGATCGATACCCATGTCTCCCATGACGGCACCGATTTCAGTAGCAATAGTGGTTCGTGCAGCTTCGATGCCGAGAACGTCTTTGACCTCCATGATACCGTTGCTAGTCGTCTTCGTACCGATAACTCCTTCTGTGGTCATACAAGCTCGAAGACCGTAACCTTCTACAAGGACCATATGTGTGTCGTGTCTCCCGCGTTCATCTGAGGTCTCTGTTGTCTTCTGAATGATGGCACGGGTTGCATCAGCATATCCAGAGATAGCAATTGCAGGAAGTGCACGCTTGAGGTAATTGACCCGAAGTAAAATATCGGAATAATTTTCATCAACAGCACCCTTTTTAGGGGCGCCTCGAGCTCCTAGATTTCCGCCACTGTCCGGGGTGACGTTAACGAACAAGCAGTCTCCAGCGAGAGAAATGTCGTGATTGCGAATCTTCATCTTCTTGTTGCTGGAGATGGAATTGGCGATATCTGCCAAAGTAAGACCAAGTTGCATATCGCTAAGAGCGTCCATGTTGATACACAAGCACACCGTGGAACTTTTGGCTGACCACATGTCTTCTACGAAGCGGAGGACATCAGAGATGTAAGTCTTCTCGATGCGACTTTTTACAACATGAGCGGCTTCGAGTTTGTATTTGTTCTCCAGCGGACAGCTGATGACTGGCGTACTGATGACCTTCGATGCGTTGATGATTTCCTTGATACGAGGTACACCCTGAGTAATACTCATACCAGCAACACCAGCAAAATGGAACGTTTTCAAGGTCATCTGTGTGCCTGGCTCTCCAATGGACTGTGCTCCGACCGCTCCTACAGCATGACCAGGTTCCACGTGTGCCTTGGCATACTTATCCAAACATAGGGAAATGAACATTCTTAGTGTGCGGAGAGAAACCTTATGGACACGATCCATTTGAGCTATTCTCGCTTGGTCTTCAGCTTCAGGCGTGTGAAGATCACCAGCCACAGGAGGGTCTTCAAAGTCGTGCAGACCTGCCAGCTGGCGTGCCATAGCTAAATCAGAGGCTAGATCTTTGATGAAGTCGGTAATGGTGACGAGGAACCCACGGGCACTTTCGAATTCATCGACACCATAATCGGTCTCGTCATCGTATTCAAGAGGCTTGCCAAAGACGTCTTTCCTCTGGTACCTAAGTCGCTCAGGAGCCAATAGCTTGGCACACTCGGCAGTGATTTGGTACGGCAACAGTCCTGGCTCGTTGTTATCCCAAGTCAATGCCTCGGCATGAGTCCATGTGCGGGAAAAATGCACCGGCACAGCAGTACCTTCCATGTCAACCGGATCTAACTTGTCTGCTCCAAATTGGAACTGAACGACTATGCCTGAAGAGTTTCGAACAGTGTCATCGTACTGCGTGGATAAATCTTCAAGAGACTTCATCAGTCTTCTTGACATATATCCGGTTTCGGCAGTTTTAACAGCTGTATCAACCAAACCTTCGCGACCAGAAATTGCGTGGAATAAGAACTCTGTGGGCGTAAGGCCCGTGAAGAAGCTGTTTCTGACGAAACCCTTAGATGGAGGCTGGCGAGCGTTCTTTGGGAAATGAGGTAGGGTTCTGTCTTGGAATCCATCCGCAACACGTTGACCTCCAATAATTTGCTGTCCAACGACTGCGACCATCTGAGCCACGTTAATATTCGAACCCTTGGATCCGGATTTGGCCATGATAAGAGGAGCGTTCCATTTGCTGAGTGTGTTGATACAATACTCTCCAGCATCTTGTCTGACTTTGCTGAGGACACCAGAGATTTTGTTTTCTAAACTTTCCTCTAGATCGCAACCCGTAGCCTTTTCGAGAGTTCCGTTCTTGAATTGATTGATGAGAACTTCAGATGCATCGTACGCTTCAGCGACAAGTATTGCTTTATGTTCGGTGAGCTTCTGCGATGGGTAGACATCACTGATACCAATGGAAAACCCCATATTCGTAAGGTAGCGAGCCGATACTTTCGCAAGTCTGTCCATGGCTATGACAGCCTCATCAGGACCAAAATCTCGAAGAATAATATAGAAAATGGAATCTTTCTTTCCAGATCCAACTGTAGTTTTGTCCATTCGGCCGCACATAACTTCGGAGTTGCGAACCACAAGCCAACCATCGTTGATATCCATATCTGGACATTGCCCTTGTACGGACTTGTAGTCTCGACACTTAGCATCCAAGTTGACCTTCACTGGGGATTTTTTGTTTGGACGCATGAGAATACTGAAAACTTGCTTCCCAGTCCAGAGTGCCTCGGGCTTGATAATTGCGGGTGGTGGCAGGTCCAAATGAGTGTTACCATCGACCATGTACATACATAGCGTTGTAAAGGTTTTCCTATCGAAGAAATTCTCCTTGCTACTCAAGAGATATGCAGCGGTAATGAAATCTTGGGTGGCTGAAATGATTGGCTCTCCGTTCTTTGGCGTAGAAAGGTTGTTCTTTACTCCCATGAGGTTGATAGCTTCTGTTCTAGCTTCTTCAGTCTGAGGCACGTGCAAGTTCATCTCGTCTCCGTCGAAATCGGCGTTGTAGGGATTGCAAACACACTCATTGAGGCGGAAGGTTCTCCAAGGTCTGACCTTGACATAATGACTCATGATACTCAGTTTATGAAGAGAAGGTTGTCGGTTGAAAAGTACGATATCCCCATCTTCGAGGTGTCTCTCAACAACGTCCCCAATCCTCAAGTTCTTTGCTGCATCCGGACGACGAGCAAATTTGAGTGAGATTTTGTGGTCCGAATCTTTTTTCACGATCTGGTTGGCACCTGGATGAACCTCAGGGCCATTGAGAACACACTGTCTTAGCTTCTCGATATTTTGCCGCTGCACTCGCTCCGGATAGGTCATGTTCTTGGCCACCAATACAGGAACAGCAACCTGCTCGATCGACATGTTCGGGTCTGGAGAGATGACAGTTCGGGCAGAGAAATCGACGCGCTTTCCTGACAGATTTCCTCTGAATCGGCCTTGTTTTCCCTTGAGACGTTGACAAAATCCTCGGATTGCCTTGCCATTGCCTTTATCTTGAAGACCAGGAACATCGCTGTTGACGTAGAGGGCGATTTGTGTTTGCAGGAAATCCCATTGCTCCACGATAGTTTGGATCGGTTGACCTCTTTGCAAAGCGGCACGAATCATGGAACTGACGTGGACGATTTCAGCAAGTTTTGTCGTGAGATCATCTTCGTTACTTGCATTCTCTTGCGCAACAGATGGACGAATGCAGATTGGTGGTGCCGGAACAAACTGCCAGATGAACATCTCGGGCCTACCCTCTGCAGGATTGAGTCCTAAGAGCTCGCAATCACTTGGTGTGATCATCTTGAACAGATTCAAAACTCTTAGCGGATTGAGGTCATCCATCGCCTTCTTCAGGTGCTTGTCAAGTTCCGCATTGTTCTTCTTCGCCTCCTCAAATGACTTATGATATACGACCATTGATGGAGGAGCAACTTTCTTCGCAGCCGTTGACTTGTTGAAAGCCTGATAACGATCGTGGGCCAACCTCAGAGGCGCAAGCTTTCGAATCTGGCCATTGACAGCATCGCAGTACGGGCATAGTCTGACTTTTCGACATTGCTCGTTGATTTTCTTACAAACCTGTGTCCGCTTAAGATTGTCGATTCCTGGTACTCGGAGTTGCTTCAGGAAGGCTCGTCGTTCGGATTCTGTGAGTAGCACTCTGGCGCAATCCTTGCCGATGAATTAGCCCATATCCCTCCCGAGTAGGATATAGTGCATACTTTGCAAATATTTTGCAAAAACATCTGAGTCAACTTCAGATAACCAATATGAAATGCTGGAAGAGCCAGTCGAACGTGACCAAAATGGCCATTGCAATTCTGAAGCCCTTCACCGCATGTTTCGCAAATTCCCGTCTTGCTTGAAGTTCCCTGTCGGATCACGCGTCAGCGATCTATGGCCATCGTATACCTGCCTGTGATCCTCACCAATCTTGTGTCCAGTGGTCCGTTTTCCATGGGCTTTCGTCCCTTCTCCATGTTATAGAGGATGCGATCAGAAACTTCGAGGACGCCCTGGTTGACAATCTGAGTATTGGATCTGCGAAATTCTTAGTTTGGAGAGTATGTACACACCAAGGAGTACTCACTGGATACCAAATTTGAGAGAGGCAAATTCTGCTTAATGTCAATCTCCTCTTCTTGCGACGATGGGGAAAGCAAATTCTTACTTTTGGGTACATTGTCCACGACTTGAGCCTTGATAGACTCTCCGCCAGTCGAAGTGAGCTGCATTGCGGCGGTGTTCTGCTATCGTGTATCTAACACGAAGCTGTACTTGGGCGGAGTTAAAGATCGGGTCATAAAATCATCATTGTTCGAGGAGATGTATGGTGAGCTCCAGCTCTCTCGAATTTGTTGCGGATTAGCTTCTTGGTGGGGCACGACGAGATGACTCCCGGCCGAATTTAAGCCGATGGCGGGGTCTAGTTTCCTTGGCACTCGTTAAGTTTTGTTTATTTGTCTCGATGAGTGAATAGCCTGCTAAGCTGAGTTTCTGGTAACCTAGGAAAGATGTGTGCTTCAGGCTATCTTTGTCTGGTTTGCTCCGCTGGCTACTTCATTATATACAGTAGAGTAAGAGTATTGCGTATGATTCGGGTCAGACTTTCTGGTTTGCAAATATATTCCTACCTGTGTTCACTCATGAAGTGAACAGAGATAGAATTGAGCTAGTCGCTTCAGGTTCTAAAGAACATGTCGCGGTTGAACTTGTCGTTTTCAAACATCAATAGTAGTGCATTGATAACAAATATAGCCATGATTAATACAATTCAGTGTTTATTAAGCTATGTGCTTCCCATCTTCACCTCCCCTCAAAGCAAGGAAGGCTCGCACGTCAGTAACATACTGCAGACCCTCTAGCAATGGCACGAGATGCATGAGGTCATTGTCCGTAGGGTCACTGATCCAGCCTTCTATGGGTATTGCATTATCTATCGATACAGTTAGCTGTGTTTTCAGCTCAGTGAAATGGTGTTTACCTTGATGGAACATGTAGCTCAGAGGACTATTATCCAGAATCATGACCTTGCTGAGATCTGGTTCTACGGAGCTCAGATCTTTGATAAAAGCGCCATGGCGGTATGTACAGTGCTGACGGTAATATCTACCGGAGAAGAATTTCCGTTCCGTCTCTAAGAAGTCTATCACAGGATCTGCATATTCCTGGACAGATGCAGTGAAGATAACAAGGTTGTACCATTTACAGATCTATCTCTGTCAGTGTGCTCTTATGCAGTGATTTAGACAACTCACTCGTCGCAAAAAGTCGTCACAATGAGGTCTCTTGTGAACATAGTAGAGAATAGGGTGTTGAGGGCCAGGAACTGCATTTCCACCAGCCCCGACCACGGTGTTCAGCTTCACTTCAACCATGTGACCAGTGCTCATCCTGCCACCTTTAGCCATGCTATGAATCAAAGTTTCGTCAAGGTCAAGTATTAATGTCTTCTGAGCAAGTTTCCCGCTTGGCGCATCGACAGTGTAGGAAGGCTGACGACGAGGGATGAGCGGTCTTGGTGGTGCAGGCGCACGAGGGTATTTTGTCATGGAAAGAGATGATGCTGGGGATGTTGGTGACTTAAGAGTTGCTGGCGAGATCTCGTTGGCGGCAATAGCACCAGATCCATTACTCTGCGTACTCGTTGACTGCGATTTTCGATGCTTCCTCTGCCGTACACTATCTTCATTGTGAAGTTTGATTCTTATAGAACGTCGCGCTGGAGCAACCTCGTCAGAAGCCTGAAGCGACTTCGAACGGCTGTGACGCGCGGTACCAGACAACGTTGAATGCTCTGCTTCGCTCATAGACCGATCCCGATCGGACTCGGACTCAGAAGACAGTCCTGATGAAGAAGAATATGAAGAGAAGCCCTTCTTTCCCTTGGTAGACGCGCGTTTCCCAGAACTCTTCCCGCGACTCTGCTCTCCCTGTTGTCCGTCCGCAGTGGAACTATTGCCGATTGCGTGCGCAGTCGACGCACGCCTTGTACCTAGATTCTTCATCTGAGAGAAAGGGGCAAAGTTTCCATGCTCATCACATAGACATGCAAAAAGGTAAACACCTGGAGCAGCTAGTGTGGATAGGAACCAGCGTATGGATTCGATAAGAGCGAAAGAGATCCGTTGCGGAATTTTGCGCCACCCTGCGACCTCTGGATCTTTGACCTCGCTGGCTTCCTTGTCTAGGAGAGGGGTCTCTTCATGCACAATTCTGACATCTTCCTGTTCTCCCTCAGGGTTATCGCATGGGTATTCTGCTTTCTCCTCCAATATATCCTCTTGCGAATTCCTCCTCGACTCTGTCCCGGTTGCAGAAGAAAATATGTTTCCAAAAGAGTTACTTCTCGATGGTGATGGAGTCTGCGGCGGAGACACTCGTGCCGAGAGGATATTCAGAGAGTTCATCGTTCTTTCCGAGCCATGAAGGAGGAGGATGAAGCTTCTATCGATAATGCGGGGTTTGGGTAAGAGCCGCGAAGGCAAGTAAAGGACGTAGCAATCTGCTTATCTGTGGTTTCGCACAGAATCAGTTGTCAATCACTACGCGCTCGTCGGTATGCGTCGTTGAGGGTTGCTCGTTGTTGTTCTCCCACAGCACGAGTTGAGAGGGCGTGCAGCTGAGCCTCGGAGCTTAGAGAGGGGGACGGGATATCGCTGAAAATTACAATGACTTCCTTCTATCGGTACTTTAAACAAAGAACATGTGCTGGACTGAAATGGGTATGAGCTCGAGTATATAGCTGGAGCTGGAGCTGGAGCTTCCAACTTGGAGCTTCACGGATTGCGCGGGCAATGGTCGCGCGGAATGATGTGGAGTGAGACGGCCGAGCGCTCGCGACTCCAAACTCAACTCGGGAGTCATCCTTCAAAATAAGTTTATGTCTACCACAAAGAACTTTGTTCAAACCCAACCACACGGTTTCCCAACTTCTAGCAGCTTTCAGCAACACTACGCGGATCGCAATATTTGATCACTGCCTCCACTTTACCGTTGATGCCCAGTACCCCTGCAAACTCCCCGCCGAAAGCAGAACCACCTCTGAACTGCCCCTCCAGAATTTCAACAATTGCGCCGTTACAAATATAAAGTCCGTGGCCACAAGGCCAGCAGCTTGATCAGCCATGCCGTCAACACAGACTGGCTATGCGCCGAACCTCAGCGTTTTCTTGAAGTCGCTAAAGGCTGCTCCGTTGGAGTCATCTATTGAAAATCTCATCTCGTACGCCGTTCTCAGCGAATCCTTGCGCCTGTGATATGGCTGACATATTCCCAGGCTCCTCAAAAGAAGACAGATCCAGAATTCGAGACCATGCGCCATAGCGACGGCACATCTCCTTCGCCGCGTGGTTGCGAAGTTCAAATGGACGGACATTGGGAAGCTCTTGGAAAGAATACAAGAAGTTGGCCAGCGCCTCATTGCAGCGCAACCGAGAGAAATGGTCGTAGGAAACATAGTGCGAAGAGTTCTGGGAATGATAAGAGATGAGGCAAAAGAGGATAGAGCTGAAGATGGAAGTGATTCAGCGTCGAATGTTGGCTCTCCGAGCAGGAAGCAGAGCTACTCAGGTTCACCCAGGACCGATGCACCACCAGCATTCAGCCCCCTACGATTCGAGTCGAGCAGTGAGTCGGGAGTTCCAGAAACAAACGGAGATGATGTCTTCAGCGGAAAATCAGCAATATCCTCCAGACCACCTATGCTCACCTCTCATCAATCCTATGCAGTGCTCAATGGAGTTCCAGTACAACAATCGATGTTCAATTTACTCTCAGCAACACCTTCACCAAATGCGACTCCTCCAGGAACACATTCTCCACATGGAAAATCTTCCTTCAATGCGTCTTCCCTGTCACAAAGGATAGCTACAACAACGAAGGACTTGAAAGCAGAGGTCATGGGGGGAATTGATGAGATTATCGATGAGCTAGATCAAGTCGACGATCAGATTGCCGCATACGCTCAGGAGCATATTCACTCAAATGAGATTATTCTCACGCATTCCTCGTCTCTCAGCGTCCAGAAGTTTCTACTGAAGGCCGCTGAGAAGAGGAAGTTTACCGTTATAATTGCAGAATCGTACCCAAATGACCACGACGCCACACACGCGGCGGTAATAAGGGAGATTAGTCAATCTGGTGAAACTGGAGGCGACATGAGTACAGATAAATTCTTGAAACCCTTGTCTGAAGCCGGCATTACAGTCATTCTTATTACGGACGCCGCCATTTTCGCTTTCATGAAGAAGGTTAGCAAAGTCATCTTGGCCACCCACGCAGTCATAGCAAACGGGGGATTGATAGCAGCAGCGGGCGCTCGGATCATTGCAAAGGCAGCGAAGGCGCATAGCACACCAGTGATCGTTGTTAGTGGTGTATATAAGCTCAGCCCTGAGTACCCGTTCGAATTTGAATCTTTGATCGAATATGGTGATCCGGGAAGCATTGTAGGCTACGATGACGGACCATTGGTGGACACGCTGGAGGTGGAAAATCCAGTCTACGACTATGTGCCTCCTGATCTGGTAGATCTCTACATCACCAACTTGTAAGTCCCTTCATCCCAGATACATACCTACTGCTAATCCGATGAACAGAGGTGCTCATGCACCGTCTTATCTTTATAGGATCGTTGCAGACCACTACAAGACTGAAGACATCAACTTCCACAAGCCTGAGCTACAATTTTGAGAGCCAAAGACTTCGTCTGTAGACATCACTCAAAAGGTAGTTAGTCCCCATTTTGGTCTCTAGCCAGAGAAAGAAGCCTATTGAGGCCGAGGTATCCTTTGGAAGCAAACATGGTTCATCAGACGATCTATCCCATCAATGGAGGGAATGCCCGACTCTATACTACTTGTCGGGGCTTATGAACTGAGCATAAGATTGGGTACAAGCAAGAGGGTACATGTTCAGGTGTCCCTGGTCCTAGGCAAGTCCCTATGATGCTGACCTCCGAGGCAGAGCCGTCGTAACACTAAAATGATAGCACAAACTGCCAAATCTCTCAACTAGCTTCAAAGACTTTTTTTTGGTGTGGTATTTCCTGTGTTGCCGTTACAATTCCTCTCTATGTATAGTCATGTGGATCCAAAAAGACCGAGGTTCAGAGACTGCTGGACTAGAACATAACGTATGAAAAGGGTGTTTTCCCTCGTTATGAGCGGAAGCTAGAATTAGCCGAAGCCTTTTCTCCCCCATTACTTACATGATAGAACAGCTCCCCGCGCTGTATGTTCCACCAATAGTGACAAAGAACCTCAAAGCACTCGTGCGGCTTCGATATCTTTCTCGATGTAGTCTCATCGGACGGCTGTAGTTCTTGACAGATATACCGAAGGGAGAGCCAGTCAAAGATTTGTTATTGCTGGCTGCGCTCGTTGCCTTGAGGCCGCACTACGTAATCTCATCTGTTTGAACCCCTGCCTCCATTGGCACAACGGCAGTGGGGACGCGTAGTCAGCGCTTTCGAACGAATTGCAGCGACGAGAAGCAGTACGGTGCAGTCATAGGATAGCGTCGCAGCTGGCAAGCGAGCAAGAAGCTTAAAGCTGGCTGAGCCTCGATGTGCTGGAAGGAATATCATCCCGACAACATCCCAATCAGTCCATCGCGCGTATTTGGGAGCTGACTCTGTTTGTTTCCACCTTCAAAGCTTTCCATAATCCACATATCATCAAAATCACGTACATTTCTAGTGCTAGATTACCTTACATCTACCTTGCACTGACTCGTCTTTGGCTTCCTTGAACCCTGAGATGGATACTGCCCCTCCCCCGCCTTACTCCGAGACAGACCCAGGAACTTCACCTCATCCTATCCTTACTCCTGCCACTTCGCAGGCAGACAATGCATCTGTAGCAGCTCGACCTCTTGCTTCCACAGCATCATCAGTTGACGAGACCATCTATACCCCTCTGTACTCTCCCGCAAGTTCCGTACATCAACATCAAGTGTATGGAGACGAGCACGACCATGTCTCCTCGTCCTCCGCAACAGTCTTCTTCGAATCTCGACCTGCACGCAGGAACAGCTCTACTGCACCCCTCGAGACAATAAAGATATTGGTGACTGCTAGGACAGAACCAAAAGATATTCCATACCCACCAGAGCTAGCAGAAAAGGATGTGCTTGAACTCGACTGGTTGACCTTTGTCAACTACCTCCTTCCGGATCATGCAGCTGACGTGAACAATGATGTTGCAGACAGGAAGCTCAAGGCGGAATTGGTGGACGAGCGAATGAAAAGGCTCACGCTGGGAAAAGAAAGTCGGTCTATGACCGATCTTCGCGAGGTGGATGCTCAACTGGATCCATTGCGACAGGCGCAAACATTACAAAACACAGATACGTCTCGCAGGCTGGAAGCTACAATATCAGAATGGAACGAGGGTTTTTTCAAGCCTAGAGGTATACAAATATCCAACGATGCTGTAGACACCGAAAATGTTGCGGAGGGGGAGGCTACACCAATGCCTGGGTCCTGGATCCCTTGGGAACATGAGATGAATGGTGAACCTGGCCCTAGTAGCAACACAAATGCTCGTAAGGGCTTTTTCAGTGGCTTTATGCAGGCTGGTCCACAGGGCTTCAAGATGGGCCCTATTGTTGCAGGTTCGAATACCCAATTTCTTTTACGCAGTGTCAAGATCCGGTATCTTAAATGACTGCATTTTAATGCTTCTTCTATCTTTCTTGATACATAAAGCCATAATCCCCTGTCTTAGTCATCAGTACTAACTGGATTCCAGATAATGACGGCTTTCGTATCGGCAGGAATGGATTGAGAGTAAGTCCTCGTTTACTTTCTGAAATCTGGTAACTAATTTTGGCTAGGCTGATAACAATGGGTTTCGACTTGGGAATATGCTAGTCGCCGACTCAAATGGCTTCAGACTTGGCGGTAGTCGAGGTTTGAACGCGGATGCTAACGGAGTGAGCTTGGGAGGACGTTCGTGGGCAAGAAGAGAATCTCACGACTCTGAGAGAGGCCGGGGACGTCACAGAGGCCATCGGGGCCTTTCTCACGGTCGCCATCGCAGAAGACGAGGACGATCCGCGTCTGTATCTAGCGATTCCAGTTCATCGAGTTCGAGTTCCTCAGACTCAGACTCGTCAGTTGGATCCCTTCCAGACTACGAAGATTTAAGGGATGGGCAACTTCCAATCGCAAAACGATCTCTAATGCAGTGGCTTAATGACCCTGACCAGCCAATTACCAAAGCAGCCGTCAGAGACATGCGAGAGGATATCATCAATGGCAAAGACAATGTACCCCAGCAAAAAGGACAAGATCTCGTAGCTTTACGAAAGGAAGTGAAAGATCTGACGAGAATTTTCAAAGACGCGAAGAAAGCACAGAGGAGAGATCGAAGAGAAGCACGACGTGAACGGAGAGCAGCAAGAAAGGCCCAGAAGAAAGAGCGTCGTGCATTGAGAAGAGAAGAGCGTGAAGCCAAAAAGGAGGTAAAGAAGTGTGGACCGAGAGGAGCGCGGACTGGACCGCCGTGGATGTCTCGATCCAACATGATACCCGGTGCTTTCTTTCCTTCGACAGCAAATGCTTTCACGCCACCTCCTCCTCCTCATATGCCTGGAAACCCGCCAGCACCTCCGGAACACCCTGGTTTCCCATTTGGGCGGTCGGCTTCAGCGCCGTTCATGACTGGCCTACCATTCGGCAGAGGCAACGGTCCGCCTGGCATAGCTGCAATCCACAATGGTTGGCCCTTTACTCATAATTCGTCATTTACGGATGGAGTCGCCTCATCCCCTACACCGGTGCCTGTGGGTGCAGAAAGACTCCACGACCAAGCCCTACAGATGGAGAAATCTGCAGAGCTGAAGGAGGCCAAGGCAATCGATCTCCGAACTGCTGCTACTGGGAGGATGGTGAGTGAGAAAGAAAAGTCGAGGTTGAGAGACCAAGCAACGAAGCTGGAGGAGGAAGCAGAAAAGTACAGGAGGGAGGTGGGCAGGCTGAGAGCAGAAGCAATGCACTTGGACCAGGAAATGGCAAGGGAGTTGCAGGAAACGGCGTCGAATAATGGGCAAGAGTCAGGAGTTATCCCGGGGTCTTATATTCACTGATCAGCGGAGCAAGGGGGTTGGATCTGGCGTCATTTCTTACAAGGTAGCCTCCGCGCTCTACTCAGATATGTAATTTATATTTCCTAATACCAAATGCCCATGGCACATCAATATTTCCCAAAGTCTGTGATAGGTGGTGCCTCTTAAATGAGAACTTTCTATCTTCCAGGAACTTCAAGCAGCACACCTCCATCAATAGCAATAATCTCGCCATTGACATACTTATTCTTCGCCAAAAATATGATCCCCTGCGCCATCTCCTCATCACTCCCAGCTCTCTGCGCAGGTACATGACCCTTCTCCTTGATTGTCTCGTCGGGGATTCCACTCTTCTGATCCTGATCACTCTCGTCCGTCGTCATCTCGCTAGGGAAGTATCCAGGCGCGATACTGTTGACTCTGATACCTGCCTTCTTGAACTCGTAGGACATGAGTTTGGAGAGGTGGACGGTCGCTCCTTTGGCGGCGTTGTAGCTGAAATGGCCTTGTGCGTGACGCATTATGCCCGACATAGAAGAGATGACTATCACGGAGGCGGAGAGGTGGCCATGGGATTCTTTACCTGCTTGGAGGAGAGGGAGGAAGGCTACGGTTGTGAACTGTGGATGTCAGTTTCATAGTCATCAATATCTTGACTTGGAAGTTTAAAGCCCAAGATTACAACTCACATAGACACCTGACACATTAGTATTGAACGTATCCGACCATTCCTGGAAACTCTCTCCTTTAAATAGCGCTTCCTTCAATTCCGTTGCATTTTCACTCTCCGGCTCAGCTTTCGGTCCCGAGATACCAGCATTACAGACGAGCACGTTGATGAACTTCTCCTTCTTTGAAATCTCTGCAACCAGATTCTCGAGGTCTTCTTTCTTCGTAACGTCACATGGTCCTACTCTTTAAAATATTAGCATTTGAATGGATTGAACGACTTCTTGCAGGTAAGATTGCTCACGGGATGATTTCACCGCCCATCGATGGCTCGTGTGTTTTTGCAGCGTTTTCAAGAGCTTCCATTCGTCGGCCTGTGATGTAGACTCTCGCTCCATTCGCTGCTAGTGCTTGCGTTGCCCTGTGAAATGTGAGTATTAATTCAGTGGAAAGGAAAACGAGCTTCACATCAGCCCAATACCAGTTCCGCCACCAGTGACTACACAAACATGCCCCTTCGTACTGAAGAGACGGTCAGCTCTCAAATTCTCGGTCTTGGCCATGATGAAAATTTGGAAAATTGATTTATGGCAATATGTGAGGACTAGTCGTTCTTCTTGAAAGAGTTGATAGACTTTTCTCCTGGATATCATTCTTTTGGTGGTGGTTGAGGATAGAAAAGACGTCTCGATGTGCTGTCAATAAGCGAGATCTTAAAAACAGCAACGTCATAGGGGTCCAGGTCCTCTGGGGATGCCCTATGTTATCCCAGCGGCAGCTAAGACACTTGCCTAAGTTCTCGCTCTTAAGTAATAACAGCAGTAGGATCGTCTACTTTCATTCATTCTAGGGGTTGTATTTGGGGAAGGAATCAGAAGGAGGCGAACAATCCATGTGCATTATTGCTTTGTTGACTTTCACCAGCCAACCCATTGTTGTGCACCAGTCAAGAGGTCCACAGTTTCGTTGTGTTATTCTATGCTCTACCTGTTCAGATTCAACAAACCCTCAATGTACCGCTTCGTGTCAACGCCAATGCCCTGTGCTAGCCTGCCAGGACCAGACGTCCAACTGGATTCAGATGCTGCGACTGATGAGCTGCTCACGAATCTCCCAGTCATCTTAGCAGTAACGTGATCGCTTGCTCTTCGTATCAGGAATATCTCCTTGTCCTTTGGTACAGATTTGACCTTGGTGGTCTCCAAAAATGGGTGAGCTGGGCCTGACATCATGCTCGCTTCAAATGTGCTCGTCCGCTGAGATGAAGCTTGCTGGGTAAGAGGTTTCTGGTTTGCACCACTTCCTCCCTTGACGGGAGTCGGAACCGGAGTAGGAACGGTCGATTCACCTGAACTGACGGGGGTATCGGCCGGCTCAGGGTCTGGGATTCTAGTCCAAACTACCCACCAGCCTCGACTGGTCTTGCATGTACGTTCCAGCGCTGCCTTGTCTGCACTGGATGCAACATACGTATTTATGATCTGCATGTGCGTGTTCAAAGCTTCTATTCGTGACCAATTTGGGGTTCCACCTGAATGAGGGTTCTGCAGGGGGTCTGGAATGTTCGGAATACTCGAATTGGTTGTCAGGAGCTTTGGATCCCATACAAGGTCATATATTGGCGTTGCAGATTCCTCGGAATTGCTGAGTTCTGGTTTGGACGCTCTGTATGCTGTTGATTGCAACAGTGGCTTCAAAAGTGGGCTGATCTGATAATGCATAGACCGGTACAGACTTGAGAATGCTAGTGCATCTGTTCTTAACTCAAAAAGAAACACAAATATGAAAGGCTTGTTCACGTAGACCACTGTACGGAGTTTCTTGGTCTTGTTCCTGTCTTGGCTTTCAAAAGAGGTAGTTGATGTTCCCGTATGTTCCGAGCCAACAACCTTGGTCGACGAGCTTTTACTGCTGCCGCCTAGATCGATGCTGATATCGGTTTCTTTCCGGGCATCTTCTTCCCGTTCCAGTTCAACAGTCAATGTTCTCAGAAGTAATCTCGGATTTGAGTCTTCCAGGGAATGATCCTGCGAATCTTCTGGATCGACATCAGAAGTTTCGTCGTCATCGTTCTCAATATCTCCCAGAAGTCCTATCAGGAAATGTCCTGTAGAATCTTTGGTAGCATAAGGAGATGACTCAATTGTCCTACCAGCCTTGGGCAAATCGCTCTTGGCTTGATTCTCTGACAATTTCGACGTTCCTTCTTCCACTTCTGCAATTCGACACTCAGGGCCTTCTTCCGCGTGGGATGTTGAGCCGAGCGACCAATGACTACCATAGCCAAGCTTGAGAAACTGGACAAACCTGCTGCTTTTTACATTGGAATCACTTTCGGAGCCTGTGATGCTCGATGTCGCCCGCTTAGGTGTAGGACGACGTTTGGTGGAACTCGGACTACTAGGCGCTTCATCGTTCTCAGTTACCGGCATTGGAGGAACGGCGGTCATGGAGTTCTGGCCACCAGAGTGCTCATTCCTGGCATTGTCACGAATACTCAATCCATACGCCTGCCGTGACTTTTTCACGTCAGGGGATGGCAGTCGTTCCTTTGGTGGTGATTTCCGTCGAAATTTCTTTGCTCGTCGGTTGGAGCTTGGATTATCAATCACTCCATAAGCGTAGGGTCCCCATCTGTAGAGGTCTTCCATCCAGTGTGAAACATCACGCAACGATTTTCGTGACAATGCACCAGTCCCAAGGAATATTGCACCATCTTCCGAACCTAGTTCATTTCCTGAGCCGAGCCAGGGCTCCACAGGTTCTTGCTTTTCGACGCCCTTCCCATGTCGTACAATTTCACTTTCTGCTGGATCTGCCTCTCCGAATTTTGACACAATCACATCGACCAGTCCATCTATCCGGCCCACAAAACCTTCCAGAACCTCCCGTTCACCACTACCCCGCTCTTCCTCTCCAACGCCCATACCAAGTTCCCCACAAGCAGCAATCTTTATGCCGCTGTAGAGGTTATTTGCCGGATTCCCGTGCATGAGCACATTCCATGTGGTAAGAAACGTGTCCCAGTAACGACCGAGTATACCTACAAACTTGGACCGTCTTGTCCGTACAAATAATGCACTCATGGATGAGGCATGATGCAGGAGGAATGTCGAGTGTGCTCGTAGCAAGTCACCGAGGAGCAATATCGCAGGTTTGACCTCCCGGGAAGAATATTCGATTGTCTCTTGTTGCTCCGAACCCTTCCCCTTGCCAGCTGTACTGACCTTCGCAGCGACTGGGAGAGCCGTCAGGTTGATTGACTAAGATGCATAGTATTAGCAAAGTCCGCAGTTCGTTGAGACGGTATTTCTGACTGCTAAAATCCACCAACCCGCCTCCAACTCATGCAGAATGATGCGTGACTTTTCGGTATCAACGGTATCGACTGCTCTGCCATCCGAAAAGCTTCGGCCAAACTCCACCATTCCCTGCGCAAGCCCAATCTGCCTCAACTGCTCATTGTTCTCTTCCCGAGCGGCATCATCAAGGACGCCTTTCTTCCCTTTTTTCAGGCTTCTTTCCTGCAGACCGGGTGTCGAATAATAGACTATCTGGTCCTCAATCGTTTCGTCTGTTGTGCCCAAAGAAGGGTTGTAGATGGCTAGGAAGCCTAGCTGGGCAGGAATAGCCCTGGTAGGTGAAGACATCGCATATTCGATGATTGATGTGACGGTAGAGCGCCTAATGAGCTCATCTGTGCCTGCGTGTACAAGAGGGTTGTCGCTGCTGACCCTTGAGTCAAGGAAAGAGTTTACGGACCGGCACTATTGGCTCGAAGGGCTCAGTGATGTCGCGGGGGACCGCCAAGAGTTCCGTTCCAGCTGAATGGTTGGAACTGGGACTGGGGCGGGGGCAGGGGTGACCTTAAATTCACGTCCCTACCCATTTACTCTCCACGAGCTTCTGTAACATCTACTCTTACACCACTGTACGAAATCGATTTCGGATATCCAAAGTTGAAGCTTGTTGGCTTCTCAAGTCTGCTCATGGTCGAAGCAGGTCTCGGCCTTCACCTAAGCCCTTAGCTGGGAACGAAGGCTTCAACTCCCACCACGAAAGGACAATGGTGTCTCTGATCTTGATCAGACCTGTCGCCAAGAATCTCCACCTATTTCGCCCCAGTTCCTATGGACTCAAGCTCTACAACACAAAAACATCTAAACCCCTCAGAATCTTATTCTGTGGTTCGGATGAATTCAGTATTGCATCCCTACGAGCCATCCACGCTGAGCATAAGCGAGACCCAGATCTAATCAAATCCATTGATGTCCTCTGTCGACCTGGAAAGCCCGTAGGCAGGTCTTTGAAGCAGATCCGAGAAGGTAAGAATAAGTTTTACAGTCGTGCGAGGCATTTCTAAGAGTTTTCAGTGCCGATCAAGGCTGTTGCTCAGGACTTAGGACTCCCTCTACACGAGAGAGACACATTTACTGGCTGGGACGTATGTTTCGACTTTCCAACCACTATTCGTGAGCTGATTATAAGTAGCTGCCGAAACCAAATGATGAGTCGATCAATCTCATCATAGCTGTCTCATTTGGGCTCTTCGTACCTCGACGAATCCTGAAAGCTGCCGAGTATGGGGGACTAAATGTGCACCCATCTCTCTTGCCAAAGCAAGTGACCGCGTTGATGAAAGCTTCCCCCCACGCTAACATCGCAACAGCTACCGAGGGCCTGCACCTTTGCAGCATATGATTATGAGAAGAGAAAAGACAGGTGGGGTTACTCTCCAGACTCTCGACGATGAATCCTTCGACCACGGCAAAATTCTAGCTCAAGAAGTGTTTCCTCTTGAGCAAACAGCCATGACATATCAAAAGCTTCTCGAAATAGTCATGCCAAAAGCAGCTGATATACTTGTCAGTGGCTTGCAGAACCGCTTATTTGTGCCACCCCTTGTTGAAGATACAAAATGGCAACACATGGTTCCTCAAAAGCTGGTTCACGCCGCTAAAATCACGCCGATAGACAGGAAAGTCTACTGGCATACAAAAGACGCAGCTAAGGACATACCTAAGCGTCAAAATGCCCTCGGTCGTCTATGGACCACTGTCCTCGTCGATCTAGAAACTCCGAAGCGACTGATACTCGAAGACAGCGAGACAGTCAAATCCCCAGATTTGTTCAGACGTGTACAACCACTCGAAACTCTCTGGGAATATCGAGACCGCATATCAAGAGCAATGGGCCGCTTTGTCCACTTCTTTGTGGAAGGTCCATATATCCCTCTGCCGATATTTTATGTTGAGGATGGGTCTGCAGTCATTTTCCGAACACCAACCCAAGGGGTTAGGGTCAAACGTATCACGTTAGAAGGGAAAGAGAAAAAAGATGCAGCCGAGGTGATGCGGAGCATTCGACGAGATAACCCATGGGAATTGGTACGGATTCCGCAACTGGAACGGCCCGCGGCTTTCAGATGGGCGGTTGTGCCTAAAGCTCATGCAACGAAAGAGGTGGCTACGACGTCAGAAGCAGCTGGAAATAGCGGATCTGTTATGGAAACAGTAGCATGGCACCCGGCCGAGATTCAATGAATTGAGGATGAGCCTCATGGGGAAGACGAATAGCATGTAATATAGTCTTTCTTGAGCTCTAATTCGTTTCCTCTCTCGTGGGATGCATTTTGGTCTGGCCATGCCATCCAGGAGAGTGGGTATTCTACATCGAACAACGAATAGTAATCTACCGCCATACATGTACAAGACAATTCAGGCCGATGTTTTATGCGGCTACGACGTTAGGTTACCGAATCCTCACTCTGTTTAGGTGCTTTTCGCCTTTACCTTCTTCTTAGTTTATCTATATCCTCTCATAGTCCTTGCAAGTCGGCGCTTCAATATCAAGGTCTGACTATTCGAATACTCAACAGTGTTAACAACAAACACTTGATAGTGCGGAATAGGTGGACGCAGTCTACGCTCTAGCAGAAAGACTCCTCTCATCAGACAGCTCATAACGGGAAAGGACAACGTGTGAGATTCTTACTATCATTTTCGCTATTTTGGTTGGGCCGAAATTGGATGTGAATGTAGCCTCTCTGAGAAGCGAAGGGGGCATCGGATAGAGGCCGAGATGTGTCATGTTGTCCTAAATAGAGAGCATTGGAGTGTATTTCCCGATATTAGTAGCAAGAGCATTCGATACCATAATATGCACATAGTCTTAAGAAGCTAGGATGAATGAACCAGGGGATCATGCCAGGATTCACTTCTCAAGAAACAAATATTTGTCGGTCACACCTAGTAGACTGGAGAACATAGATGAGCTTTACAGATGAAGTTGAACAATGCTGCATTAACTAATGTCGCTAGAATTTTGCAACGCTGTGTATCAAAGAAGTCTTTCCGCCAGCCATGCAACCCTCTACCCACCAACGCCGTAACACCCTAAAAAGAAGTGCCCATGCTGCCGCTCTAATGCCAATCCATTCATAGTTTCTCCTCCTCAACGACAACACCCCACTCGTGCTGTTCCTTTCCATACATGATGTTCACCAACCAGCTCTTGATGAGCGATGCATATTCTCCCATCTCTCCGAGGGCCATTGGTATTTGGAGGTCTTGCTCCTTGTAGTTTATGACAGAGACGGCAGAGACGAAGAACTGAATTTATAAGTCAGAAAATGAATGAAATGAACAGTTTGGTGAGCAGAATATTGACTTACAGCTGTGCCAGCGGCGAAAGCCTCGATGATTCTTCCCTCATTGACAGCCGCACGAACCTCCTCCATAGTGAAGTTTCGCTCCACAATTTCAAGTGCCTCAAGACCGCTCTTGCCATCCGTGAGACGTTCTCTAGCAAGCTGGAGGATACTTCTTCTCGTAACACCATCCAAGATGATTTTATCGTCGAGTGGCGCAGTGACGAGCTGGGTCTTTCCTTCTTGGGTTTTCCATACGACGAAGAAGTTGGAAGCTCCAGCCTCGGTAACCTTGCCATCCAACAGCCAGAGAACTTGATCGTATCCTCTCTCTCGGGCTTCACCATTGGCTAACAGACTAGGTCCTATATAAAGTTAGCTTTGGGAAATTTGACCCAATCAGTACTGCGGAGCATACCGTAGTTTGCACCCAACTTGGCGTAACCGAATCCACCTGGCCAGGCTCGAACACCGTTCGTAGAGGCCAACAGTTTCAAACCGGTCTTTTGATCCATAGGTGGCATGAAGGTTGAGATAACGAACAAAGTGGCTTCCTTTGGCGTGGCAACTCCCAATGCACCAGCAGATCCAATCATGGTTGGTCTCAAGTACAAGAAAGTACCAGGTGTTGGGAGCCACTTTGGACCATCCACAGCAACCATAGCGATGATCAACTTCTCGAGCTCCTTGGGGTCGAATCCTGGAAGAGAACATCTAACGCTTGACATAACCATTCTTCGGCAGTTGCAATCCGGTCGGAAAAGTCTCAACTTTCCGTCGTAACCACGGTACATCTTCATTCCCTCGAAACATTCGGTGGCGTAGTGGAGAACGGATGCGGTTGGGGGAAGGGAGAAGTTTCCGTATGGCTTTAATTCTGGAGCAGACCAACCCTCTGATGCTTTCCAGACAGCGGCAATCATGTGGTCGGTACATTGAGATGCGGTGGCGATGATTGGATCTCCTGGCGCCGGGACGGTCATTGGAGTGGAAGTTCTCGTGAACTTCAACTTGGAAGCATCCAATGGAAGGAGAGTGCTTTCGGTTTTTCCACTATCAAATTATCAGTTTTGAGTTTCATGATGTATATTTGGATGAGTCATGCGTGACCCAATTGGAGCAGACGTGGTTTTTGACAGGAAAGCAACCTCGCAACGAAGTGAAAGCGCTGATTCAAGGACCAGAAACCGCTTGTCGAATATATAGGCAATAGTACTCACTTCTTAACTAGTTCTGGTGCGGTCTGAGCAAGTTTACGTGCAACGGCAGCGCTGTCGAGCTCATTTCCTGACTGAACAGGAGGAGTAATTGCGGCGGGTGCCATTACGGTCGAATATCTGGTGGAGTTGAGGGTGGAGAGAGATATTCCTTTGTCTCAAAATAAAGGATTCCTGGTGATGTAGAAATATGAAGGAACAACAAGAAGCGGGAGGTTACTTAGTACTTGTAGCTTGCGGCTGGCTAGGCATTGACAGAAATTCACTTAGCTAGGGTAGGTAGGAGGCGAGCCAGGGAGGCGCTAGCAAAATCACTTTTCCCTGCAGCACACAAACAAAGTGCGACTGCCAAACAGCACCGCAGAACCAATTCAAGGATTCCCATTCCCCCACATAAAGCCGAGGTCCATACTGTACCAACTACGTATGCCTAATAATGACGGATAACCCTGCCGGGGATGCACGTTTAAGCACCTCCCTAAAGCGAACGCCGTCACACGCTTGGTGCAGCATCCAGCAAAGTATCTACACTTACCGCGTCACGACGTGAGGGGAAGGGCGTACATGATCAATTGCGCTTGGTTATTTCCTCAAAGAGCGAATTCACCGCTGTTTTGAGCTTCCGATGTCGCAAATGGTTGGAGATCAATATTATTAGCAAAATCGCGTTGCGGCGTCGTTGTAAGAGAAAGTTGCGGCTTGGAGCGGCTTTGCAGCAGTTTTCGTGTCAATTCCGCTGCAAGGCCGAATGACCTATCCGAACCTTCCATGCTCACCTTCTAGGGCTGGGCATGCTTCATAGTTTGATCACGTCCTGCTTCTAGCTTCCTTCTAGCTCAGGGGCGGAGGAGGAAATTCTCGGTAAAGTTCTTCAATCGAGGAGACTGGCTTGCCAAGACTTCTCGGCTACGAGAGAGATAACAGGATGACATAGGTCAGGATACTAAAAGAGAGTTGGAACGAAAAGAAATAATGTTGCAGTTTACATTTTCAAGGCTACCTAATGACTTTAAACGTTCATGTCTTGTCTTCACTTTAGAACAAGAAAATAATGAAGTATTTTCAAAGCAAGCTGACTCTTCCCCACCCCAAGGTATTCAAGTGCATTGCCAGATGAGCATTCAAAGAACAACAAAGATGGAACTCCCAACTCCAAATGCTCTAAGCTCTCATGTATTCGGAACTAGAAATCACCCAGAAACAATTTGGAGAGCTCTCTTCAGGGCCAATATATCCTCCTCCACACGAGCCTGGCCCATTTCCAGCTCTCTCTTTTCCTTCTCCAGCTCCAGCAACTTCACTTGTAAGTCTTCAGATTCCATACTAGAGCGTCTGGCAGTCTCTGGAGTAGTTACAATGCCGATTTCTTGTCCTTTCACCACTATATCCCCATTCGTTGAGTTCGAGGACGGAGACAGTCCATTCTCCACGGAAGACTCTTTCGAATCACCTTGCTGGTGACACGTTTTGAGGTGCCAATCTAGGTTCCTCTTCCTTGCAAATGCCTTGACATGCCTTCGGCACGACGATACAGGACACAAGAACTTGGCAACTCCATGTTTCTCATTCTCGTGTCTCCGAAGTCCTGCTTTGTCGCCGAAGTCAACGTTGGTGCAAGCGGAATTGCGACAGGCGTATGGACGGCTGTGCCTGTCCATGTGTTTCCTGGCTGTATATTAGAACTGCTGTGATTTGAAGGTTTCTCAGGCAATTGTGTCTCACTTCAAGTCCGAACGGCGAGGAAAGGCCTTATTCTCATCGCATCCAATCCAATTGCAGTTGAACGACGGCGATGGTGGAAAAGAGGCCGATGGATCGGGAAGCTGGAATTCATTCTCCTGAGCGATCACAGTGCTCGTAGCACAGGGACTAGCCATTATCAATCGACTGCCGTTTTGTTTTTAACAGTAGGAGGTCTCTGGCAGGAAAACCTACGGTTGAGCCATTACAGGCTGTTCGTGGTTAATGCCCAAGTAGAGTCCTTCTAATTCGATATCTGACCAGTAAAATGGGCACAAATCCGTCTAGTTAGCTTGCAAAGAAGGGCATGAAATAATTGCAGTGTCGTCCATATTTGCATTCCACAAGAGGCTGCTAGGATGGGTGGTGTTAGCATACGGTCTTGTGTGGGCAGAATGACTGCAATTGATCGCTAAGTTTACATGACATTCGAGGAGGTGTTAGACAGGAAGAGGTGCAAGCAGAAACTATACTACCTTGGTTTAGAAGGAAACGCGTATCAGTTAGGTCATATCGTCTGTATCGAGACATGCTTGAGACATCTCATTGGCCGTGTTTTCGACAAAGTTGAATAGGGCGTCGATTAGTCAAGTGGAATCCGCGATCGACGTTTGAGATGGCTAGGGACCACATTGGCGATGGGAGGTCGTTGAAGCATGTGATGAGCAGCAGTTGTTCTAGCGTACTAATTGCCGAATTCATCTCCAGAATTAAGGTATCCAGTATGGCCTTATATGGTTCGACGGTATGGTCCAGAATTTCCGGATCCAGGCTTCTGGGACAGTAGAAGATATGCAACGAAAGACATTGTTTTAATGACAACATAATTCTGCTAAGATGCATTAGTTAAAGCGTAGGAAAGAAAATATACCTGGCGGAGCCAATGGAATCTCAGATGTATGAAGGTCAAACGATGCTACATCGTCCCTAAGGAAAGGACAGAATTTACCAATTGGTGACTGAGGCCGATTCCAAGCCCACATGGGTAGATTTGGGGCTTCAAGCATTTCGTACGATGCATCCCAACTCAAGTTTTGGTTCATCGTTATGCTGTACTCGAGACGTGTCAGATTATGTATCTGCAACTAACTTCGAGGCTCAAGAATGGCTGACTGGTAGCCATAAGACCAGAGATATTGGACAACAGGGAAGGGAATGTTCTAACTTTTCTTACACAACTTGATTGGGCCTCAAGATTTCTAAATGTGATGGGCAAGGTTTGAGTTGAGGGCTCGAGGAACAGAATTGAGGAAGCTGGGTATTCTTAGTAAGGAAAAATATTAGAAGGAGAGAAACGTAACATTCGCGGGCATACGACTTATATAAGTAATAAGGCCAACTTTGGTCCTCTTGCCCACTGGGCTCCCAATAAACCGGGTGTATGTATGACCGATAAACCATTTGGGCTGAAACTGGGCTGAGAGGCAAAACAACAAATAGGCAAACTGAAATCTCCTTACTCGATGTCCAGTCAGCCTTGTGCATGCGAAGTGAGCTGTCCCACATGCAAGGCTGTACGGATGACCTACAACACCACCAGTCTTTTGTAGCTCCGGCAATTGATTGTGAAATGTACGCATGTCTGGCAGTGGGCCCAGGCTACTATTGGTGAATGTGTATCCACCGGGCAAACCCTTTGTCAACCTCGACAAAACTCGCCGAACGTCGATAGAACCCTCCGTGACTTTTAGACCATACTCAAGGGCCGCTGGTACATACCCCACTAGAAGAACAGGAGTCCATTGTTTTAAGCCGGATATTGCTTAGAAACTGGTTGCAATTGCATGATTATGACATAATATCTCGTAAACTCGATCTAAGAAAAAGAATTAAAAATAACAAAGCAATTCCAAGCCAAAGCAGACTCATCATCTCGGACCGGACGGACCATGCCAACGAGGTAAAGATAAGTGCAAATCAAAATCAAGTAACAGTTCCAAGTCGTCTCCGACCGATCAGCACCAGCCGATCTGTACTCCGCGCTTCCCAATCAAGACCCGAAATCACAACATCATAAGAGGACACCTAGACAGCAGCCTTGGGAGTCTTAGGACCAAGAATATCATCCAACAATCCGCTCCACAGCTCCTTAATAACACCAGGTTCCTTACACTCTCCCTTCGAACTCGTGGGCAGAAGCGTCGAGAACGCCGAAGTCAACTGCCCGATATCAAGATCTAGCCCATCATTACCTACCACCTCGCTCATCGCACTCGGCGCCACATTCTCAGGATGCGCAGCCATGATGCTGATCTCCGGTCTAGGCACAGCTTCATCGAGAGCCTCGAGAGCATGAGCCGATTCTGGCGAGCGATCGGGGTTGTAGTTATCTGGGAGGAGAGGCACGCGGAGTTTCTGGAAGGGATTTACGGGACCTTCTGCTGGAACTTCGGGGAAGAAGAAGAAGTCGATGGTGGAGTTGTCGCGGGAGGCTTGTTTGGGGGCAGAGGTTCGGAAACCTTGCATTAAGGGGATGGTTCGCACTGCTGTGGAGGTGGGTCTATGCATCCCAGTTGTATGGAATGCCTGGGTTTGGGAGCCGACGATATCGTGAGCTGCAAGTCTGTCGACCAACTATGATTTATCTGTAAGTTGAAAAGTCGGTGGATTAAAGGATTTGATGACAAACATACCTCATTCTTGTTGCCGATGGGATTCAATTGTCTCTTCTTGCATTCTGCCCGGAGATCCTTCAGATTGCGGGGTAAATAACGTGAAGCTCGAGATTGAGCGTCCAAAAGTCCAGAAGGACGACCTGCGTTTGCACTGGAACTGATACTTCGTACCGCGTGGGTAAACTTGGTGACGGGAGGTGTAATTCTAGACATGTTGATGATGTTTGTTGAGAAAGTCGTGAGATAAGACGAGTACTTGGAGAGATACGGAAGGGATGGAAAGCTGGGGTAAAGCTGCGAGACGCGAGAACTGGGGAAGGAGCACAAAGAAGTGGCAGAGAGATCTATTTATTGCTTCCAGAGATGAGGGTGAGACCCTTGCCGGTTTGATCACTGGACAAGGCTTATAAAGTCTCAGGAGGTGATTCGAGTAAGCAGTTCTGTGCAGCGCAGTGCAGTGTTGTGCTGTTCTGGGCTGTTGTTGAGATGAGTCCCGGTGGTGCCAGGGGGAGCTCTTAGCGGCAGATCCCTCAACAAGTGAGCGCACCGGCCGTTCAACACGTTCCCCAAAAACGGGCTGGTTCGGAGCGGTGAGGCGTCGTCGTCGGTGGCCGAGGGAAACTTCCAGGAAACACGCCGAAGGGATAAAGTATTACTCCTCGTCCTCCTCAGAATGATGATTTAATCTGCAAGAGTCAACTCAGTATTCTTTCAGTTTGAGAATCAATCCATCAAGATTGAGGTCCAATGTCCCCGACGCCTGCGCAACGTCTTAGCATTCCAAGTGCTGGGAGCTACAAAACAGGCCCGCCTTGGCATCGACTTATCTTTAGCCTTGTCAGCGTAAACTTGCAACTCACCTGTATCAAATCGCCGTTTCGAGCGACAATCAATCCATCCAGCAAAAGAAGAAGGGAAAGTCGAACTAGCCTGCTGGATGATTCTTTGATTGGAATTAAGTCCGCGGACTACGATGAAATTCGAAGGGTATCCCCAAGTAAAGTCACGCTTCGGCAGCACAACAAAGCTTAACCACGCTCCTCAAACATGCTCCAGGGTACGAGTATGTACAGCCAAATGACCTCCAAGACATCCCAAACGCCGCGCCAAGTGCACAAAGATGCCCCCCCCAGCCAAGCTGGTGTTGGTCTGTAAGTCCGACGAATCTGTGCTAAGACTCTCAAGACTCTTCCACCACCTCTTTCAATTCTCGTGAATCTGTTGTTCATGGTCACTCATGACCGATTTCGAGTTCTTCATCCCCTAGCGACCCATACAGTGGTACGCATAAATTTATGACAAAGGAAAGTCGTCCTCCATATTCTCAATCCGTCTTCCAGTGGCTCGTGAGAGAATCGTCTACCCAGTCTTCCTTTCCGAGATAGAGCTCCAATGAATAGAGTGCCATTGTCGCTGCCACGTTGATCCATCGCCAGATATTCCCTCCAGCGTCACCTCCTTGCATCGTCCACCACTCAGCCTGGTTGCCCTCGGCGGACGTTGTCGAGAAGTGCTGCATAAGCAAACTCGTGTATACGGCTACTAGTATGCTAGGACTGAACCAGCTAAGAAGGCCAAGAATCTTTCCAGCTCCATCGCTGTCTTCCAGACTAGGCTCCTGGGACAGGGCTCTGGATCCAGATTCCCTTACGGCAGGAATGATTCTAGTAGCTGCATAGAAGACAAAGATCCGATAGGCCAATGAGATGATGACTGAAGGGGTGATAGTCTGGAAAGCCGCATAGAGGAACGTAAATCCTGAAAGGACCGCTGAAGGTAGTGTGGATAAAATGTATAGAATCGTGCTGTATGAGGCCATGATGATCGGAGGGAACGGAGGAAAGTCGGGCTGAGCTGGTGGGGGCGGGGGCTCTGATGTTGGCAGATAGTCGGTGAAGATCTGATAGATACAGAGCACCACATATGCAAAGAGTAACGAGCTCTCCACTGGATTTCCCCGTCCGCTTCCGATGCCCCACGCACATAGGAATACTGCACAAGTGATTGTAACCCCGATAAGGGTAGCATCCACGTTGCCAATCTCGGGGAAGTTCATTATGCGCCAGAGGAAGTAAACAGAGCTTGAGATGATTGAGCCAGAAACGATAAGCAACCCGATCTAAGATTTGTTAGCTTTGCAAGTAAATGGAAACGGAGTATGTACCATCCACAAATCACTTCGCCCACGGTTGACAAGCCATCTGGTGATTTGCCCAGCAGCTTGTATCACCAGCAAACTGCAGAATCCCTCCGCCAACTGGAAGAATGGGGTCGAATATCTCAGTAGCTTGTCCCACGTTCCAACTGTCAACATCTCCAGAAGTCCGCCAGCCCCAAATATCCACTCCTTGACGCTCGAATCGTGCGATCTCTTCACATCGAAGGTTCTTGCAACCCAATCTCCGCTATTGTTCGCATCGACGGCGAACCGGTTCATGCTCCAGATGAGCAGACCTGGGATGAGCACCCATTGTGCCAGACCGATGATCTTCACTAACGCCCATCGTATCCTTGACTTGTCTGGTGTTGCTAATTTCAGTGTCGAGTAGAAGAAATAAAAGTAGAACAGGCTCAGCGAAAAGGCAAGTCCACACTCTCGTCCGCCAACTGTTTAAGAATTAGTATATGTTATTCGCAAGTATCATATGGGTGACATACCATCAAAAGCAATGGGTATACTGAGGATAATAGAAAGAAGAAAGATCGCAGACGAAAAAACCCGGAATAACCACATGCCAAAGCGCTGTGAGCGCCGAGCGTGCGTTGAAGCGCGCCCAGCTTGGTGTTTCTGGTATTTTGCGCCTCGTAAAAGGCTTTAAAGTCCAAGAAACGCGTCGCCGAGCTCTGGTCGTGATTCTTGGACGTTCGCAGGTTATGAAAACTCGTCTGTCGCCCTTTAATGAGCAGTGTTGTTATCAGGCGCTTCACGGCGCCAAGCTCTTATCGTAGAAAAACTGGCGGATGGTGGAATAGGTGTGTGACCGCAAACCTGCCTGGGCGATGACTCTGGTCACTGGGGCTTTTTCTTGAACTGGGACTGGAAGGCCGCAGGTGAGGGTGGTGCAAATCTGCGAGATGTTGCCTGGCCTGAATGAGTTGCGCCAATGATCTCCCCTCTCGCGTGCGATCCAGGGTTCTTGTCTTGATCTCGGGCTCAGGGCCAGATCCGCATGTGTCAAGGTTGTGAAGAATTCGCGAACGTCACCGTCTACGCGCGATATTCAGATTCCAAAGGGGTTTTCTGTTATCAAAAGTGCGGCATGAGATCTGGAGGTGTCGATCACACGAACAGACAAGGAAGAACAAGTGTTCAAAAAATTCCCTGGAAAGTATCAACCACCATGGGTATTTCGAACATGTGTGCATCTGAAAAACGACTATTCCTAATTAGTTAAACTTAGCTGCCGCTGCCGCATCGCCAAATACCCTTCGCCAAAATTTATATCAATCAAAAGGACCAGCCAACACCACTATTCCACGTATCTGTATGATCCGCAATACCCTCAGAATGGCAGAAGCAAGCGCGAAAAGACTTAAGACCTCCCCAGTCACCATCGGTACCCACAATGGCCACTTCCACGCAGATGAGGCTTTAGCGGTGTACATGCTCCGGTTGCTCCCCACATACAGCTCTTCTCAGCTCGTCCGAACTCGAGATCCAGCTCTTCTTCAGACCTGCCACACCGTTGTTGATGTCGGCGGAGAGTACGATGCCTCGGCCAATCGATATGATCACCACCAGCGCACATTCAATACTACCTTCCCAAACCGTCCTACCAAGCTCTCTTCCGCAGGACTAGTGTACATGCATTTTGGCAAAGCTATCATTGCGCAAAAGCTGGGTGTCTCAGAAGATGTCGAGGAGGTTAGTGTCATCTGGAACAAGATCTACGAGAGTTTCATCGAAGCCTTGGATGCTCATGACAATGGCATCTCAGCTTATGATCCCAAAGCCATCTCAGCGGCTGGCCTAGAGAAAAGATTCAGCGATGGAGGATTCTCGCTGGGAGCTATGGTTTCGAGATTGAACCCGAACTGGAACGACCCTACCCCCTCAGACCCAGTTGAGGCACAAGCTGTCGAGGATCAGAAATTCTTGGTCGCGAGCGGACGCATGGGCGAGGAGTTCTCGAGAGATCTGGATTACTATGCGAAGTCCTGGTTGCCAGCTCGGGATATTGTGCACAAGGCATATGCGAAGCGGCTGGAGTATGATTCAAAGGGTAGAATACTGGTATTTGATGGACAATCAGTGCCTTGGAAGGATCATCTCTACACTCTCGAGGGTCAGGACGGTGGCGAGTCAAAGGTTCTCTATGTCTTGTACCCGGAGAAGCCAACGCCCGATGCGAAGTGGAGAATTCAGTGTGTGCCAGTGACCAAGGACTCATTCGAGAGCCGAAAGCCGTTGCCCGAAGCATGGAGAGGATTCAGAGACGAGAAGTTGGACGAGATATCTGGAGTCAGCGGCGGTGTCTTCGTTCATGCTGCAGGATTTATTGGTGGCAATAAGTCTTTCGAGGGAGCAAAGGCTATGGCTATCAAGGCGCTTGATCTTTGAATTCAGGTTCGGGATGCATTGCAAGGCGTTGGTGGAAAGGAAAAGCTTGCAAAGCTAGAGACACATATTATGATAAACAAACTGCCAAAAAAGACCCAGCAATGAGATGACTCATAGTCGGAAACATGCGCGAGAAGACTGATGCCATTTAATTCTTGAATTGATGTTTTTGTAATTTCCATACACAGCTGCGAAGAGCGTAAAGTCGCGCATTGTGGACCAACCTTCGAGAAAAATTCCGTGAGCAACATGTACAGCCAAAACCTCCATAGCAAAGCCCGTAGACCGTCATAACCCTCAGAACGCCATTGCAATTGCCATCAGTCGTAAGTCCACCAAAGCAAAGAAAAGCCTCCGGAAGCGCCACAAGCCAAAACACATCATCTATCTCCTGATCGGGATACCTTCCTTCGCTGGTGGTGGGCTGGTGCTATCAACAGCTCTCTCGCCCTTCTTGTCATCGAGCTCATCGGCATTTGTCTCTCTGTTCAAGAAGCTGCTCTCCTTCACTGGGCTTCCGCTCGGCAGCCCACCTGCTACTCCAACATGCATGACATTGCCGTTTCCGCTGCCGCCCTGGCTCGCACTGCCAACTCCGGGAGAGGAGAGATGTGGGATGTTCTCGGGAACAGGGTGTTGGGAGCCAACGCTGCCGGTGTCGACTTCGGAGGCCTTGCCGGCTTTCGAGAGTGCGTAGTCGCCGGAATCGAAGTACTTCCTTTCTTTCAAAATTTTCGCGAGGTGATCTGATTTCGAAGGAAGCTTTCCATAGAGTCGGAAGAGGCGCTGCTCATCTGGTGAGAGTGACTGTGTCTCATTGTCAGTATACTGCTAATATGCTGCGGGGGTCGGGTTCGAAAACATACATTGATATCGACCTTGTTCTTTTGGTGGGGGTTCATCTTGACGTTTTCTTGCGTAAGTGTAAGATGGTACACGGAAGGGCGTTGAAAGGCTTGCAACAGTTGTGGTTTGTAACTTTTGATATCGTGGCCGAGAAATTATTTGAGGCCGAGTTGTGGTTGCTTGGTGACGAAGGGGTGGTGGTTGCCAAAACAGATGGCCCCTTGCTAGCGTGTCGGCAACGAGGGGTAATTGAGCCCAATCACTGCCCTGTTCCAGGGTCTCGGAGCAACGTCTCTTTGTAATGTGCTCAGAGTGATTCAAAACTTTGAGAGGAATGCAGCACTGTAGACTGGGGATCGACAGGAGTTCTAGCAAGTGATGTATCTTGAAACGAGGAAGTCGTGAAGTCCAGCTCTGGCTGAAGTTGGGCGATCTCCGTATCGCAGTTTGGATAAGAGCTGTCTCGCTTAATATAAGTATCGGCGGAAATTTATTTCTTGCTCTGGCAACCACACAGCTGTCAGTCAAAGAGCAAGTCAACCGTCAAAAATCCCACCTGGTTTATGTTGAAGCTGGTATCCTATCAGTGACGTAAGTTACCTGCATGACATTCACTAATATCGCTATCTTCTGCTCTTCACCTTCTCACAATCACCCCAGATACGCAAGGATCGCCTCACAAGTGCATAGCACATCAGCGAGCGTTAATAAGAGGCTTATTGAGTTGTTCTCGACTGCCGGCTTTCGTACGGTTTCTGGTCACTTGTCCAAAAGCGGGTTCCTCAATTGGACCGATTGCCTGAGTCAGAGCCATTGGCTTCCGTCTTATCCCCAAAACTTTCAAGATCCTCTACAGCTTTAGAGATCTCCTACCCCGCCGTGTTCTTGCTTCACCGGAGGGCGGCTTCCGATTCGTCTTTCAGCAGACGGCCAACCAGCTGAGCATCCGCGTGTCTTGACGAGTAGTTTATCCGAATACTTATCCCAGCATTTTGATTGTCACAGTCCGTCGTGATATTAGACTACCAGGATGACTTCCAAAACCTACATCGTTGAGCATCTCGATGATGAACTCGGCCCATGGTCTGAGTTGGAATATGTGACCATCGCCAAGGAGTCCCACCAGGCAGGTGCAAAGTTCTGTTTATCATCAGTTCCTCCTTCTTTGGTGTTGCCGGAGGCCTTGAAGGTTGTACCAGGTTTCACAGCAGATGGCAATAGCGTGGAAACAATTTATGCCAACGATAAGAGCAGAGTGTGCTTGTTGGATCCCTCAGCCGCCAAGGAATTGAGGCCGGAGGACGGAGACACCTTTGATGTCTTCCTGTTTGGTGGTATTTTAGGTGAGATAGCTCCCTGTCAATGACAGAAGATCTTCAACACTGACATTATCAGGGGACGATCCACCACGAGGTTTGTACATAAGACCAGAAGTGGTACGCAACTGACTTGTCCCAGATAGAACATCCGAATTGAGGAAGAAGGGGTTCGAGGGACGACGTCTTGGTCCAAAGCAGATGACTACAGATACCGCAGTTAGAGTGACGAGGCTTGTGGCGCAAGAGAAAAGTATGGCCTCACAAACGACAATTGAATAGCACTGACATCGTCAAGTCCCACTGGAGAAAATCGAGTACATCGACTATCCTGAGCTTCGCATCAACAAAAATGAGAGCACAGAAATGCCATTCCGTTATGTCAAAGGAGCAAATGGGGAATCGATTATGCCAGAGGTTTATACAACAAATAACCTTACATGGTGGAAGTGTATACTAACATATTGTAGGGCATGGTCGAGCTGATCAAGAAGGATTCTGAGAAGGGCTTCGCTGATCTCTTCTGAGTTGTGAAGATTTCGGGACGCTGCATGTTGTGAAGCCACAGCGAGCTTCCTCTGATAATGAAAGCCCGCTTCGTACTAGCAATTATCAAGAGGCGATCCGCCACATGTAACGCCGAACATGTTGACAGAGAAGTGTGAAGCTTACTGCAGTACCTTGAGCTCAACTGAGCGCCGCGTCGATGGTCAAAATGAGAGAGATGATGTAGATGGAAACATATTTTGCATTTTGACGAATTCTGCGATAGGGATTTGGATGTCGTGATCAGTTATTTAGTTGATATTGGGAGCTTCCAAAATTGGTGCCACCAGTACTACTTCTGACATTCCATAAAAAGAAAAGGTTTCGTCAGGCCAAATGTCTGTTGCGGCAGAAGCTGTCAAACGGCTCGACCAGCGACAGTCCTGGAATTGTCCCGATCCTTGGGACGCACCTGTAGATCTCCTAGAAGTTGGTAATTCTTTCTCAAAACACCGGGCAGGAACTGAACGCTCTATCACCCAGCAAGTCCAAAACAGGATGCCGTCCAATGCCAAGTCTGTTGAGTATCTCTCGAAGCTTATCTAAAGGCAATCATATCGATCTCTGACTAAGAAGACTTCTCGAAAGGCTTCAATCTGTTCGGTCTCGAGCTGATCTGTCTGATGGATGGGATTTGCGCTTAGAAACAAGGTTTCCCATACGATTCGTGGGATGTAACATGAAGGGATGGTCAAACTGCACTTGACACTCGTTTACCCGAGGTGGGTATTGAATCGACTCCAAGCTTGAGCCGGTACTAGAAAAAGAAACAATGATAATTTGTTGAGGTACTGATGATTCAATCGGTACTGCGAAATTACCAAGCCGCTACAGAAAGAATCAAGTGATTACATGGTGGTGAGCTGAGTGAGACGCCGAGATATACGATTAACTCTGTTGGTTTGGAGCACGCTGTGACTCTCTCTCTCTCTGGACATGTCAATTTCTAGGTTCTGCGAACAGCTGTTTCTTCGACCAATCATAAAAGTGTTGGAGCAATGAAAGTGGAACATCCGGTTCCAATTGCATTTCGAGGTTTGATGTTCGTGGTGTCCGAGGTCCCTTAATTAGGTAGATCTGTGCCAAGATACTTATACTGTATCGAGCGAGCACGTTCGGCTTCCAGGGTTGATCTGGGAGGCTCTTCGTTCTCGAGCTGGAACAAAGGCCGCAGCCTTGCGAAATCATTTCACAAAACCACAAAATTTTGGTTTCCTACATGAGATCAAAGTAATTCGCAATCATAAACTTGATTTATTCCCGGTACCTGTCGCTCTCGAAATAACTCCCGGGTTTCAACATCCGCATCGGCACCTCGAGCCGCTTGGCTATTGACTTCCGGGCGCAGGTGGTGGCCGAATGTAGTGCTGACCCAACCGTATTATCCTGCCCAAACACTTATCTGGCTTCAACAAGCAAGTCTTCATGACAACTACGTTTGCGACGACTCGCATCTAGCAAACTCGTCAGTTCGGAGTTCCCAGGCGGGTTCCACGATGAGGATATTTACACGGGATCGATTGCGAGGGAGGACAGGACAGCTCCTCTCAATATGTGGCCTCCTCTCCATAGCGATGCTGCCTTCAGCAACAATGGCAGACAAAACGGCCGCAGACTACTTTGTGCATTCCTTGCCAGGAGCGCCTGAGCCATTACTGAAGATGCATGCTGGGTATGTCTCAATTGCTGTTGATGTGGGAGAATGGACTTTGCTGACATTCTATCATAGACATATCGAGATTACCCCCGAACACAACGGCAACGTCTTTTTCTGGCTCTATCAGAATAGACACATAGCGAATAAGCAACGGCTTGTAATCTGGTTGAATGGTGGGCCAGGCTGCAGTTCAGAAGGTGCGTGAAATTCATGACATGATCGTTCTTAAAACCTCATAGGACGCTGCGCGGGAGCGAACAAGCACTGACTGGATACTAGATGGAGCCTTAATGGAAATTGGGCCGTACAGAGTTGCAGATTCGAAAGGACCTAAGTTGGAGTACAATCCGGGTTCGTGGGACGAATTTGCGAAGTACGTTTTCCGTGTTTCAAGGTGAAATTTATGGATACTAACCAGAGACAGTGTTATGTTCGTTGATAATCCTGTGGGCACTGGGTTCAGTTTTGTGGATACAGACAGCTATGTGCATGAATTGCCAGAGATGGCAAATCAGTTTGTACAGTTTTTGGAGAAGTGGTTTGCACTGTTCCCAGAATATGAGCACGATGATGTGAGTAGCTAGTCCCCAAGAGTTCACATTGTTCTAATACATTGCTAGATTTACATTGCTGGAGAATCCTACGCTGGACAACACATTCCCTACATCACTAAAGCAATCTTGGATCGTAACAAAGCTGGTGCGAAACATCAATGGAACATGAAGGGCATGGTTATCGGAAACGGATGGATTGCACCCAAGGAACAGTACAAAGCCTACCTATCTTTTGCATATGAACGAGGACTGGTGGACCGCGATTCGGATATCGGCAAGAGACTCGATTCGCAGGAAGCTGTATGCCTCAAGGCTCTCAATGAGCCTGGTGCGAGTGACCGAGTCGATATCCCGGTCTGCGAACAAGTCTTGCAAGACATCCTCCACGAAACCATGGTAACCAAAGGTGATGGGTCTACCGAGTGCTATAACATGTACGATGTTAGGCTGAAGGATTCTTACCCAAGCTGTGGAATGAACTGGCCCTCGGACTTGGATAACGTAACTCCATACCTTCGTCGAAAGGATGTCACCGAAGCTCTTCACATCGATCCTGGAAAACGGACAGGGTGGACGGAGTGTAATGGTGGAGTTGGAAGCGCCTTCCGAGCCAAAAACTCCAAGCCTTCCATTCAGTTCTTGCCAGAACTCCTGAAGGAAGTTCCAACAGTTCTTTTCTCTGGCGCTGAAGATCTTATCTGCAACCACATTGGAACAGAAGAGTTGATCAGTAACATGGAATGGAATGGCGGAAAAGGCTTCGAACTATCCCCCGGTACATGGGCACCAAGGAGAGATTGGACCTTCGAAGGCCAGAACGCTGGTTTCTGGCAGGAAGCTAGAAACCTCTCCTATGTCTTGTTCTATAACTCCTCTCATATGGTTCCCTTCGACTATGCCAGACGTACCCGGGACATGCTTGATCGCTTCATGGGCGTTGACATCTCCAGCATTGGAGGCGTTCCCACAGACAGTCGCATCGACGGGGAGAAGGGTCTCGAGACATCCGTCGGGGGCCACCCCAACAGCACTACTGCCGAAGCAGCAGAAGAAGAAAGACTGCAAGCCGCCAAATGGCACGCCTACTACAAGTCCGGTGAGATCGTCCTCGTCATCGTCATCATCGCTGCCGGGGCTTGGGGATACTACGTCTGGAAGGACCGTCGCAAGCGTGCTGGCTACAAGGGCATTTTCGGAGCCGAGCCAATGTCTTTGGGCGGTGCGCGAGAAAGTGTTAGGGGAAGTGGCATGGGTCTGGAAAGCTTCAGACATAAGAGGGGCAACAGAGATGTTGAGGCTGCTGATTTCGACGAGAGCGAGTTGGACGAGCTGCATGTCCGGACACCTACTGAGGATATGGATCGGGACCGGTATAGCGTTGGCAGTGCGAGCGATGACGAGGAAGGGACGCATGGAAATGGCCATGCGAATGGCAAGGGGAAGATAGGTGAGAAGAGATAATAAGATTAGGTCTGCATTGCTGGAGTTCAACGGCGCAGCGGGCTATGATAAAGCGGGAAGAGTATGGTGGCGAAAGGGAAATAATACCTCGTTTTTCAAAATCAACTATATCAGCATATCTCTGCAAAAAAACAGTGCTGTACTTTGACATCTTGATGATTCATTTTGATTTCTATCTAAGCTTCTGTGGGCTTTTGGTATTCTTGTTCGCTGCAATTCAATATCCGAAACGCCATTTTGCATGCTCCTCTCCACATGCCAGCCCTAGTTGTCCACCCACCAAGTGCAAATCAAAGCAACCTAACCAACAACATAGAATACAATCTGGCCTATGTAGCAGCACACGTGCTGTCTCAATCTGCGCCGAAAAGATCCTCCAAGCATTCTCATTCCTTCTTGAAAATCATAGAATTCATTCTTCCGTCCTTCTAGCCGCCCACTTTACACTTCTCGCGCCTCGCCTACCGCTTCTTAACAGTTGGACGTGGCTTACACTCTTCCGCACCAACAGGATGCATCATGATCTTGTTGGGGTATTGCGGGGTATTCGAAGCATATCCCTTGCTCCAGTCGTAACTAACTGCATACGCGAAAATATCTCCCTTGGAGTCGAAAGCTGTTGCTGATATGGTGCCTCCGGTAGCGGGGTATCCCTTTAGACGGTGCTTCGCAACTCCGTCCCAGAAGTGGAAGGTCCCGTCTGAGCCGGCTGTACTGAATGTGCCGTGAACTGGGTGGTAGGAGATGGCGTTTACAGAGTAGACGTTTGTCATGTTGTTTTGGGGAGGGTCGCGGTGGCATTTGAAAGAGAAGTTTGAGCTAGGTAGACGAGTTAGTATAGCGTAGTCTGACTGGAGTTGCATGACACTTACCTGGCATCTTTCTCTTCAACATATTGGATGGCACATCTTCCCTCAATACTTCCCACTGCAAAACCAGTAGCGTCTGTGAAGCAGCTCACAACCCTGGTCTGCCATTTCAACGGACTCTGGATTGTCTTGTAAAACTTGGTGGGATCATTGAGGCTGACGACATTGATGTAGCGGTCCGCCGTTCCAATAACCAAGAGGTTCTTCTTCACATCCAAGGTATAAACTCGTTCTTGACACTGCACGGTTGCTACAGCTGTGGACTGGCGCAAGTCCCAGTACTTGATCGTCTTATCCCAAGAACCAGTAACAATCATAGGCGCAGCAGCTTGTGGTGACTGGAAGTATTTGACGCAGCGAATGGGTTGATCGTGAGCAGCAACTTGAGAAGAGGTGTTGGTGCCAGCTCCAAGATCGATTATGCGCGCCGCCTTGTCAGCTCCTGCTCCAACAACCTTTGTTCCGTCCTACCAACTGTTAGCTTTGCGCCCTCTCTCCAGAAACGCGGTATATACTTACAGGAGCCCAGTCACAGCTAAGAACAGGGCCTTCACAGTCGAAGAAGGCCTTTCCTGTACTTCCCCCAGTGGAGGTAATCTCGTAAATCCTAACCTTCTTGTCCCAAGAAGCTACCGCCAGGTGCATAGACTGTGGAGAGAAGGACAGATCCGATACACTATCTTCTGGTGGAGAGCCTAGAGCTACATCGTGAGAGAGGTCGCCCAGGGTATTTGCAGCCGTGGTTGTCGTCGCTGCTGATCCAAAGATTCCCGCCATCTTGAAGGCTTTGTTGATGCGCAAATTCGAAGGTCAGATAATGGCGTTGTTCCTGTAATTCGATCTTCTTTGGAGAGAAGAAGAGCCTTGTTTGTGGTGGAAGACCTTCCTTTCTCCAGGCACCTCTCTTTCAAGAAGTTCAAAATCACGTCGCGCGCGAAGCCTGCATGCGGCTAAAGCCAGAGCTCGGCTCTCAAGAGCACGCTAGACTTAGCGCCACGCTAAGAGAACCTTGCTACAAAAATGATTTTGAAATCTTGAATAACTTCTCTTTTTTCTTCAACTTCTCGCTCAAAGAATCGCATTCGAAGCACACATACAGAGAGGTCTTAACCGGCCTCTCAGCTAGCAATAGCTATATTTGCTTTGGGAGAAAGTCCCCGGACACCCTTCATTTATGAAGGATTGCGGAAACGCGCCGCCATAGAAGCACATAGCGGCTTCTCTTCTACCAATTCTCTTTCACTTCACCCACCCTCTTACCGTTCGTACCGCATTCTCACCGAGCTTGGAATCTTGGAACTTGGCTGAAGAGACCCCATGGATGATGATATGAGTCCGTACTCCTACTGCCATGTTCCTCGGGACTGAATGACGTGGGTTTGTGGGAGGTACTTGGTCTGTTCTTGGAGCGTTGGGGATGTTCTGGTCGTTGAGGTTTTTTCGTCGAGATCGATAGTTATGCGATTGCCTCTCTTGCTACTTAGGTAGTGGGAGTGGTAACTCGATGGGGCTTATTCTTGATGCGAGAGGTTCACTTTTTTCCTTTTTTGGGCCTATAGCTTATGGAAAGCGGCGGCAGCCACTGACGGCCAGGACATACACTCTATCTCCTCTTGCAAAAGGGAGACGTTCTGGCTCTAAGTTTGCTGTTGCAGATGCTCTTTCGACGGAGCTGGGCTCAAGCTTGCTCTTCACATGATGATTATCCAAAGAGTCAAGCACTGCGATTGATCCGTCTAAAAGCGGTGAAATCAATGATGACACGTTATGCGTTATGGTATCTGAGCGTTGAGCAAGCTCTTTCCCCGTTCTCCTCTATTTTCAAGTTTTCATTATGTTATAGTGGTGTTGACTGTTGCGGAATATTTGATATTGGAGGAGCCCTGCAATGTTGAAAATTTGGGCAAGGTTGTAGTTAGAAGGAATTCTCACATTTGACGACAAGACATGACATGCCGCTGTTATCTTTGGCTTGCAAATTTCATCTAACATTGACTGTTCCCATCAAACGCAGTAATGGTGAGAGCTATTGAGAGCAGAATTTATCCTGGAAGTGACAGCCACCTCGTGGAGAATCCTGTGCTATACAAAATTACTTGAGAAATATCCCTACGACTCAGAATCAGTATCCTACATGCAATCCAGCCAACACGTATCTCAGTAAATTTCAGTCCTGTTGCTGAAAATCTCACTGCTGGATAATATTTGTAGAGAGGCTATTTGTAAGATCATCCGCCTTTCCAAATCTAGTCGTCACAATGTCGCTGTAAAAGGCTTTGGTCTAAGAACATCGACACCCCCGTGATCACCCTTGAAGCTTCCTACAAATCTGTATTTGGGTTTCAGCCCTGTGACTTCTTGTGTAAGGCAAGCAGCTAATTATTGCTTATATTACAATATATAGGTCTGAGCATAAATTTGCAAAGCTATTCTAACCTTTCTTCCCAACCTATCCCACCATCATTTTATCATTGACACCATAAATCATGCATATCCCACCCAATTCCAAACGCCATGCCAGGTTAGGTATCAATATAGTCAGTCCTCTATCACATCAAACCACCCAGAACAACCTTCCCAACTCCAGCAACTTCACTCTTAACCCCTCCCCTACTACTATCCTCAAACTCCTTGACAACACCTTGTACGATAATCTTCCTAACCCTTGAATCTGCCTTCGTAAATAACTCTGCCACAATAGGGCTACATTCTCTTGGACTTCCCACCAGACTCATGAGTCTGGTATAGCAGTCTATCAGCACATCACACAGCGTCGCGAACGTTTCATAGAAGTCCGGATCAAATGGTAGATTGGGCGTCAACAAATGCGTATACTCCTCCCCAGGTAGCAAATCATTCTCACTAATCGGGAAAGAACTATTTGCGGTCCCAGATGACGCATTCGTATTCGTAGATTTGGAATCAAATGAGTCGTTCCCCATTGGTAATCCTATCTCTGCTGCAGAACTCGTTCGTCTGCCTTTGCCAGATGTCCCTGTGGCACGCTTGAACATCTGGGGGAAGCGGCCGCGGGATAGGGAGGTGGAGCCATCTGGTGGGTGGATCTGTTGGAAGGACTCGAATTCTGCAAGGAGGGCGTTGAGGGTCTTGAGAAATTCTGTGGGGGTGGAGGAGTTGAGGTCGAGGACTGTGGGGAGGGAGAGGCCCAGGAGGAGGTAGTTTGTTGCGCGGCGGGCGAGTTTGCGGGATTCGAAGTAGGGCATGCGTTGGAGGTCGGGTTTGTTAAATAGGAGGGTGTTGAACCAATATACTCTTCCTTCATGTCTGTGTGGAGTTCTGTTAGTTGCTTTCGTCTCAATTGTACTGGGGATGTACATACGCTTTCCTCAAATAATCTAATGTAGATATTCGTTTCGAAGATGTCTCTTGTATATGTTGATATGTAATGGTTTCTAATGTTGGACTCGGTGGTGGTATTGTCGTCGTAGAGGACTGATATCCGGTCCCTGGTCGTGCCAACATATTGACGAATGGAGTGGTTGAAGAGAACGAATCTGTCCCAGACGCAGGTGTAGCAGCTTCTGCAGCTGCAACTTTCTGGAAACTGTCTGCAGACTTGGGCTGCTGTTCCGTTTCCCTCCGCGCGAATAGACTGCCAACGGGCACCGGAGGATTCTCCTGTATAGACGAAGGCTGCACCTCCCTATGCTGCGCAGCAGACGAGCGGGCTCTTCTCTCTGGAGAAATAGTCGTGGCAGTCGTGGAGTTATTGCGCCCTCGATGCGATTTCCCGGTGATGGCAGATATCGAGGCTTTGCGACTGAAGGTTGGTGTCTTAGACCCGACGAGCGAACTGAATGCGGATGCCGATGCAGACTCGCTGTAGGTAGCGGTCGAAGAAGAGATTCCTCCACTTGTGCTCGGCCTGGCTGAATTCGATGTCTTGCTGCTGCTACTGCCGCCCCAAATGTTGCCCCCTTTGAACAGACCTCCTCCGCCGGTTGACGTCGAGGCCGTGGATCTATGCATCTTGGAGCAGGGGGTGCGGGTAATCTCTTGAACTCTCTAGCACATCTCGAACTCAATCCTCAAGCTCACTCTCTCGAGTCTCGACAATGGAAATTCCAAGATGAGAGTCCTTCGAGATTCTCTCCTTTACGAGGTCTGTACGCATCCACCAGGTACAGCCTGTGAAATAAATTAAAGCGAGAAAATATATGGATTTGCTCAATGGTGCCGTCCCAGCTCTCTGGTCAAGCCCACTCAAAAGTCGCAGGTAAATTGGTAGGGTTTGGCGAAGTGCACAATTCAACAGTGTGGGGACTTGGAGCAAGAAGAGAAGATATATGGAAGCCAGCTGAGCTACCTATATCCACGGATCATATGAACTATCGACCTACTGGGCGCCAAACACCGTCCATCGCGTCCAGCGTTGTCCCCTCCTCATCTTCGAAACGGGTGTGATGTTCCAATCCAGGGGAGCCAGGGCTCGCCAGGGGTCGCCGTCCTCTCTCGCCAACCACTGCCGACGCCGACCACCTCGGGCGACCCCTGTGGCTTCAGGGGAAGCATTTGCGAATCACAGGCATGTTCCAGCAGCTAGACTGCAATTGGCAGCGGTGAGGGACCCCGCGATGGTGGTGGAAATCTTGAGGCGTTCATGGCGGGCGGCGGGCTTCTTCCTTGTATGCAGGACTGACTTCTTGTTCAGGTACTGATTGAAAGTCAACAAGCTCACCACTTACTTTTCGACAATCACTATGAGTAGCTCCAAACTCGAAGAAGGAGGTCCGCCTGGTGAGGCAGCGCCAGAGATCCTCGACGGCCGCATATGGGTTGACGGATGCTGGGACTTCTTCCATCATGGTGTGTAAAGTCGCATTTGCTCTGGACGGGCAGGAAATGGAGATACTTGCTCTTATATTAACCCATATTTGCTACAACAGGACATGCGGGTGCCATGCTCCAAGCTCGCCAGCTGGGCACAGAGCTCTATGTTGGTATCCACTCCGACGAGTCTATTCTAGAGAACAAAGGCCCAACGGTCATGACCTTGGAAGAAAGGTACTGTGCCTATTTCCCATCTTACGCAGCCAGTGCAAGGTCTCAACCGGGCTGTATAATAGAGCAGAGCTGACACACTTTTCCGACAGAGTCTCCGCCGTCGATGCCTGCAGATGGGTGACCCAGTCCGTTCCTTACGCACCATACGTAACCGCTCTACCTTGGATCTCTCACTACGGCTGCAAATACGTGGTTCACGGCGACGACATCACCTCTGACAGCAGCGGCGAAGACTGCTACCGGTTCGTCAAAGCAGCTGGCCGCTTCAAAGTCGTCAAACGCACACCCAGCATTTCGACCACCGACCTCGTCGGCCGCATGCTCCTCTGCACTCGCACACACTTCATAAAATCCTTGACAAAACTCCTGGCTGGTGAAGAAGGGTATGGGACAAACGAGGAGAGAAAGGCAACCGGCAAGGACATGACGGAGAGGATGAGATTGTATGCTACGGATGAGACGGGCTTGAATCCTGGATCGAGTGTTTGGTTTTGGACGGCGAGCATTGAGGCTAGAGAGACGGACACTGAGGAGGAGAAGGGCGTGTTTAGTGCTCTTACTCAAGGATCGCAGCCAAAGCCGGGCCAGAGAGTTGTTTATGTGGATGGAGGTTTTGACCTTTTCTCTTCGGGACATATTGAGTTTCTCAGACGGGTCATTAAGGCAGAGGAGAAGCTGGGTGAAGAGGAGGGCTGGTATAGTAAAGAGGCTGTTGAGGAGAGGAGAGGAAAAGGCGCGGATTATGGACCGGCGTTTGTGATTGCCGGTGTGCATGATGATGAGGTTATCAATCATTGGAAGGGTGTTAACTACCCGATCATGAACATCTATGAGCGAGGATTGTGTGTCTTGCAGTGCAAGGTAAGTCTCCATTAACTCTGGAAACCTCCCAAGCACCGGAACAAAAGGGAACGAGAAGAAGCGAACAGATCTAACTCTCTACCAGTACATCAACTCCGTCATATTCTCCGCACCCTTCAGCCCAACCCGCTCCTACCTTACCTCTCTTCCATGGGGCACACCAGACGCCGTCTACCACGGCCCCACGAGCTTCATGCCACTCACCTACGATCCCTACACAGCGCCCAAAGAAATGGGTATCTATCGCGAGATCGGCGAGCATGATTTCGCGGGCGTAAATGCCGGCCAGATCGTACAGAGGATTCTGAAGAGTAGGGATATGTATGAGGAGAGGCAGAGAGTTAAGGGCGTGAAGGGGATTGGTGAAGAGGCGACGAGGAGGAGGGAGAGAATGGAGGAGGAGCAGAAGGTTAAGGAGGAGAAGGCTGCGTAAGAGTAGGTAGACTTTTGGACCGGTTTGCGACTTGGTGGATTGTGAAGAGAGTAGTAGAGCGCTTTGGATGGCCAAAGATGGGTTAGATTGGATGGGGGGGGTTATGTGGGCTTTAGCGTACTGCACTACATTGCATTGCATTTCTTCGGCGTTCAACACGTGCGAGGATGGTATCCTTGAGGTTTGGATAGATGAGAACAGTCTTGAAATTGGTTAATGATAATGAGGAATGGATTGGATTGAGTTGTTGACTTCGGACTCGCTTAAGCCTGTGCCCCTTTACTTGCTGAAGACAATGTCCAAAAAAAAAACCTAATACTCGGCCCCCTGAAGCTACACTTATAGTTCAATAGGCCAGAGGACAATAAAAATGAAGTCAGCAGTTCATAGTGATAGAACAAAACATATATTCATATCAATTATGACAAATGCAAACGCCGCGGCAAGTGCCTCATCCTAGCCAAGGATATGCGTAGGCACATTGACCTCTCCAACCTCTATCACGAACGCCAAACTCTCCCCAAAAACAACGCCCATCCATCCCTTTACAACTGCACATCGTTGTTGAGTAATCTAACCTCCTCGCCAGGCTTGAAAGCTGGCATACCGATATACGGACATCCATCGCAGCGGAACGCATCTCCCAGACTGCAGTTTCCGCATGAGCCAACTTTGCCTTGGACGGTGAAGTCTACTTCGGCAAGATCATCAGCACCGAGCTTGAGTGTTTTGAGTTGGGCATCGGCGTTGGCTCGCTTGGCTTCGTCTTCGGCTTGGAGCTTTTGTGCGAGGCCGCATGTGCAGTCTTTGCATGCTCTGCGGCGTTTGCCCACTTTTGGGATGCATTCTTTGGCTGTTTAGGTGTCAGTGGTGTTTTATATGAAGTAGATTTGAAATAGAGGTACTTACGGACATGGACAGCGTTCATATCTACGTCTGCCAAAAGGGTATCTTCGTCAATCAACTCATCATCATCATCCTCCTCGTCATCTTCGCCTGTAATCATAGGCTCTCCAAAATCGTCGCTGAAGTCTACAAATCCAACACCGGTTGGTTTGTCTACGGCCATCTCGACAGATTTCTCCTTGCCGTTGATTTGAACAGCTGCTGTGTCTACTGCTGGTCCAGCATTGGAGACAGCGGCGCTCTTCTCTTTTCTTCGCAGACGCAAAGGTACTGCTTCGCTCGCACTGTAGTCCGGCTTTATCATGCCATCACCTTCGGGAACTAATCCCGCCATAATGCCCTCTCTTGACTCAACACTTGTAGAATCCTGACCAAAAGTGCCATTCTGCGCCTGTAACCTTCCACCAGCCTTCAAGGCCTGCACAATCCTAGCGAACACCTCCCGCCCGAGCAATTGTGTAGATTCGTTTCGCGTACCATCGGCATCGGTAAGTATGAGGATCAGATCGTACGTTGAATCGGGGAGCGTGACCAGACCGGCCGAGAGGCGATCCAGCATTTGCAGGTCCGTCACCGCTCTATCGTGGGTGGCGAGCACATTGCGGAGACTCTCTTCGTGGCTGGCTATAGAGGGAGGCGCAAGGAGGAGAGTGCGGGCGTTGAATGAAGATGTCTTTGTTGTTACTGGTGTCGGATTGAAATCGGAGTCATTGTCGATGGTGAATGAGGGGGCCATTTTTGCGCAGAGATTTGCTGGAGGTGGGCTAGCCTCTGGGAATGTGGAGAATTGATTTCTTTCTTTCTTTGATATATGAAAGGGAATCTGTGCGACGAAAGGCTCTTCTCTTATGAGTCTCGAAGAAAAAAGTCGGCAGCGGAGAAAGATGGTATTGCTCAGTATTATCAATCGGCCGCGGAATTTTGGAAATGCGGGCAGCGAGCGGCAAGCAAACCCACCAGGGAGTTGGTCATCCAAAAACAACCAATGACGTCGCACCCCGGCTCGACTGCCCCTCCACTAGCTTAGCGTTGTCAGTGGGTCGCGGTGGCCTGTCAGTGTCTGGCTGGCTTTCCCCGGATTCTTGACTCTCAATTGAGGCCGGTGTCAGGGGGGCCAAGGGCAGGCCGGATATGCAGGATACAAGAGGATAGAAGGGGCAAGAGGGCATGCTTTGCAGCTGACGTGTAAATAATGGATCTGAGTGAATCATGCTGTTACTGTAGGGTCGGAGCATCGACGGTATTTTCCAGAAGCATTGAAAGTGATACGTGGATGGACAGAGATGTGGGGGTTTCCAGGTACGGAAGCCTGTCGTTCCATTATTGTCCATGCTTCTCTCACGACATCGATCGATGGTGAGTCGTCAAGGTGGGATCACGCGACTGCGGCAGCCCCATCCCTCGCCTTCCTTCAAGACCTGCCTTCCCTTCCATAAAGCTCTCTCCTCCCAGCCTCATCTTCCATCTTCCATCTCCATTCTCCATTCTCCATTCTACAACAACAACAACAACTTTCAGCAAGCAAAGAGCGAATACCCAATCTCACTCTCTCCTACACTTCACCAAACCGCAATCAGTAAGTGATATCCTACTTTGCTCCTCGTGTTGACCCCGCCTTCCCATCGTCTGTCTGCATTCCTTTGTTGCGGCTTCCAGGTCATGTACAGGTGTCCAATATCATCCCAATTGACCTGCAATCATCTTCATACTTATGTCTGAGCATCTACTAACTCATTGACAGTGGGAAAGACCAACAAGTTCAATGATCGTGGTATGAAAGACCTGCCATTGCCCAGCTTACCCCTCGTTTCACGTCAACACTACACCACAGCATCAAGAGCTTCAAGTAGAGCTTCAAGGGCTCTGTCTTTGCTCTGCATTCAATGAATGATGATAACTAACATGTTTCCTTGAAGACCACGCTGGCTTGGCCGATGGAACTGCTGCTGCCTCCGAGGTATGGCAACTACACCTCGTCCCTCTTCAGATCAATGATACTAACGATAGCCATACAGCACCTCCCCCGCTACTTTGCTAAGACCGGTCATGTCGACGCTGATCCAAAGAAGACCAAGAAGAATGGCGCAGGAAAGGGTGGCTGGTTAGTAACAACTCTGCGTGCCGCACCGGCGCCATCGGCACAAGGCTGACTACTGTTACACAGGGGTGTCGAAGGCGAGGAGGTACAAGATGAAGGCTTCAATCTTGCCAACGCTCGTCGTCGATCCAACTCCAGCTCCTACACTGCCGGATTGAAGGACTTCAAGACCAAGTTCGAGCACATTGAGCAAGACCCCGTCTTCGAGGAGGATCTCCATGGCGCCGGTGATGATGAGGATCTCCCATCAGCCCGTCGTATTAATACCGAGAGTTCCGATGGCAGCATCGATGAGGATGACAAGGCCAAGAGCGTTTAATTTGGGGTGTTAATGATCCAGAAGTAGTCGCTGCTTTACCAAATCAGTTGGGTTGTCAGGCAGACTTATGATGTGTTGTCTGCTGGCGGATGGCTTTGCATACTTCTTCATCAGGCATCGTGGCATCGATGATTTCCACTGGCAGGGTTTAAGCCAGGTGTACTTTAGCTATCGAAAGGCATAGAAGGATTGCCCAGTACTTTGACTTCCTCGATATGCACATGTGACTGAGTTGAGTAAAATCCAAGCAGATAAATCAATCAGGCAAGGGTAAAATAACCTATTAGTAAGTCAAAATACTCTATCGAAAGTATTGCACGTTTCCTGACGCATCAATACTAAACAATTGGATGCCGCCGAGGTTGGGCAAAGCCGGCTCACGGGGAATCCCCCACCTTCACATTGTACCAAAAACAGCCTTAGAGCAAAGGCTCCGCACTACCAATTTCACACCCAAACTCGCAACTCATATAACAAAAGAAAAACACCATGGTCTACTCACTCGAAGGAAAGAAAGTCCTAGTAACAGGCGGATCGCGGTACGTCCGGTTCAGATTTGACTTTTCAGGGTCGCTGCAACTTCCTTCCTACCCCGCACCTGATGATGTTATTGGTTGACTGCACCTCCCAAGATGTCTACAGAGTCATTGACTTGCTTCAAAGCTGTTCAAACCTGGATCTCTTGAAAGTTTATATTTATATTTACTTGATTATTTCAGATCCAGCTTCAATTTCATATCCTTCTGCTTTTGTTCTTGTTCTTGGTGCCTGTTGGGTTCATTGGCTATTTTGAGGCTATGATTAGAGGCTGATATTTTTGCTCAACGACAAAAGAGGGCTCGGCGAACTCATCTGTCTCAAATTTGCAGCTGAAGGATGTGATATCGCTATCAACTATGTGGCTGCTGAGGACAGGGCAAAGGGGGTTGCGGATAAGATTGAGGGAGACTATGGAAGGAGTGCGGTTTTGATTCAGGGTGTAAGTCTATTTCATTTAGATGGCAGTTTTAGTCAAATTTCGTTGGAACTGAATTCTTCGTTTTCCGAATTAGTTTTTGGATTACTTGTAGTTGGTTCTGTATGGTGGTGGGATACTAAGATGCCCGTGGTGGGCTGGAGGCTTTCGTGATCGACGTGAGAATGATAGACTAATATTCGAGCAGGACATGGGAGTTGAAGAAGACTGCGTAAATGCTGTTAATACAGCTATCGAGAAGCTCGGCGGTCTGGACATCATTATCGCCAACGCCGTATGACCTCCGTATCTTCTCCCTTCCCCAACTCTCAAACCCAAGTCCCATCCCTAACACAAACATTTCCAACTCATTAACACCCTATTTCAGGGCTTCACCCGCTTCTCCAACTTCTCCGACCTCTCCGCTCCCACAACCGACGACTGGGACCGCTGCTACGCCGTAAACGTCAAGCAGCAAGTCCACCTCATGCGCACCGCAGCGCCAACATTCAACTCCAACCCTCAAGGCGGCGTCTTCATCATGACTTCCAGCATCGCGGGGAGGATCCCTGGCGGATCAAGTTTGCCGTATAGTGTTACGAAGGCGGCGCAGTTGCATCTTATGAGGTGTTTGGCGAGTACGCAGGGCCCGAAGGTTAGGGTTAATGCGGTGTTGCCGGGGTGGCTTGCTACGGAGTGGGTAAGTTACATGTTTGGCAGGTGTGCTTTAGAGTAGTTGTGCTAACTTTTGGTAGGGTGTGAAGTATTCGGAGGAGAGGATAAAGGAGATGAATGATAAGGCGTATTTGAAGAAGGAGGTGAGACTCTCCCTTCCTAGGCATCCCTGGTTCCCCGGTGCACTCGGTCATGGACATGATCATGTTGGGTTCGGGATTTGGAGACTGGAACTTTGGAGACTGGAACTTTGGAACTAATACGAGGCATTGATTCTGTAGACCGACCTTGGAGATTGTGCTCAGGCATACTTGGATATTGCAAAGAACACTTCGATGACAGGACAGAGAATCCAAGTTGGTATGTCTCGCTTACTTTCTTCACTCATGGGAGTGGTCAGTGGCTAACCTCTGCGTAGATTCTGGACTAGGACAGAATGATTAAATAGGAAATCTTGGTAAGCGAGAGGCGCGGCCTGGCTGGAGCTAGAGTTGGAGAGTAAGGACGGTGTGAGCGTCAAGAGTTATAGGACTTACATTGCCATGAGTCTAAGCGGTAGCTTCGCGAATCACCTACATGCATAAAATAAGTTGCACTCACACGAGCCAAAATTAATCCATGGAATGCTCGTACTTATTTCATTTCATACTTCGATCCTGCTCTCAAACCTCAAGTGTCCCTAGGCAGAACGTGTGCCCCACTGCGAATTCGTGTAGAGAAACTGTTGGTCTGGGGTAATGGAGCACGCTACTGGTTTTGATACGACTAGGTACATGTGCTGAAATCATTTCCACCTCAGTTACTTGTGTAATCATAGGTATAGGAAAAGATGGTTCTCTAGAGTTTGGATCCTTCTTTCTCAAAGCCAGTCTTAGGAAATTGGAATAACAAGATCACTGGTTTGGTAACTCTGATTCTTGTTTTTGCAGGAGGAGGAGAAATACCCTAGCTTGCTTTCGTGATGTCGCTTACCGTTCTTGGCTTGTTTACGTCACAAACAAATGAGAAATTTAGAGGTGCAAAGCTTCATCCTTTCGAAATGCAGACCAAGGCTGTTCATTTCTGTCTCATGCTGTCAACTCTTGAATGACAATTTCCTACAATCAGGAAGCAGTATAATTATTCCACCCAAGTCTTTCATCTAAACCTCCCTTAATGCTTAAGTGAACTAAGCGAGCCCAATTCGCCCACCGACCAGTCCAGTCTAGATCATCACCGCCCCAAGCAAACAAAGATCTCGGTTCAAGTTCCCGCTAGCATCTCAATGAGTTACCTATGTAGCTAATAAAGACTAAATCGTGTGCGGCACTGACCACAAATCAATATTGAATTTCAAAAAATTGAAACTCGAGTTCACCAACTCACGTAGCGAGAACTAGCCAATGCGTCATTCACACAATCGTTCCACCCCTACTACCTACTTATCTCCTAGGTCAGTCTTCGCCTCTTCTAGATCGTTTAGTTGCTAGTCGACAAAGCAATTCACAAATTGTCGAGGCTACTACCATTATTTTCCTCGAGAGAGGAGGGGAGAAATATTCTAATTTATCACACACCTCGAAATTGACCACCTTGCCATCTACCACCCACGACACCATAACTTTGCCCTTAATATCCTGGATGTCGCAGTGACGAGCAGGATATCAGAGTCTTGTATCCTGCTCCAGTCTCATCAAAGGTACTCAATTCATCTTCCTCCTAGTAAGGTCTTGAACCTCGAGTTCACCGTCATGGCTCCCACAACACCGAAGAAGAATCGTCCACAGTCATCGCCAAGAACCACGCCTGCGAAGAATAAGTCCAGACGGAACACACCAGGCTCTGCACAGAACAAGGAGGGTCGTGAAGAGAAGGAACAGAAAATGGCTGGCTCTTGGAGACGAGATAATGTGCAATTTGGTGATATGCCTGTTCCTGCAACTCCAGCCCAGAGTGCTCCAGTCCAAAGTACTCCTGTTATGATATCCTTAGAACGTGAGCAATTCAGATGGTCGGATGAGGTATTTGATGAGGCGCTGGTCGTGTCCGAAGCAATTGTCCAAGACGATCTGGAGACATCCGAGACCGAGAAGGATGTACCCACGGAGGATACCACGGACGGCCCAAGCCTGGCTGGAGATTCCATTGTTCAGACCGATCTTGAAACATTGAAAACTGAAATAGATGTCCCTGAGCAGGATAACCAGCAGGGTCCTGAATATACGGAGGAGGCCAATGTCCAAGATAGTCTTGAGACATTGGAGAGTGAGATGGAAATACCAGAGGAGACAAGTGAAAGTCCGGAGCAGGTCACAGAGGCCGATATCCAGAATAATCTTGAACAATTCGAAACAGAGATGAATACACCAGGAAAGGACACCATAGCCGATTCAGAGCAGACAGACGACACCATCGTCCCAAATAGCCTCGAAACAGCATCTGAAGTCGAGGTTGCGACTCGAGAAAATCTCATGGAGGATGTTAAAGACACCCTTGGAACTTCCGAGACCCAGTCACTTGTGACTCCGGAGGCTGTTGAGGCCTCGGAGGTTCTCAATATCGTTGAAGGCGAGCATGCACAGAACGATCTTGAGCCTCCTGAGCATACTGATGAGCCAACAAAGGATGACATGGATACCCTTTCGGAGAATCTCACTCCCATCCCTCTTTCAAAGTCCCAAGTTTCCTTTGTTCCCAACGATCTCGACTCTCCGGAGTCCACACTGAAGGCCGGAACCAGCTTAGATGGTAGGGAGAATGGCGAGCCTAGCCAAACAAAAGAACCCATAGAGGGTACCGAGGAGTGGTGGAACCATAAGGAACCAGCTTCCAAGTCTCCAGTCATAAATTTACCTTCAAGTCCAAAGCAAAGTACCGGGGAGCTTGTGGAAAGCAAGCCAGCCATATCCTATGCCAAGATCGCCGCAGCCGCCGCTGCTGCGTTCCCTGAGCCTGTGTCAATGGGCTCAGATGACAGAAAGGACGTTGAGAAGGCGTCTCCCAGGACTCCTGTCAAAGCCCAGCTTACGCCAACCCGAAGCCCTCAAAGCTCGAGGCGCATTATCCCAGTCATCCCTAGATCTTTCGAGAGGCAGAACTCAACACCAGTCTCACCCGTCGCCGGCCCTGCCGTCATCGCTGCGCCGTGCGCCTCAGACGAGTCAGGATGGGAGTCCGTACCTGCCGAAGCTTATGAGAAGCAACAAGAGTGGAATTTGCAAACACCCAAGAGGGCCCGAAAGACCCCTCGCAACACTCCAAGCCAAAGTGCTCAGGCAGCCTCCAGCAATGGCGATGAGGATGAGGAGCAGCACGAAGTCAATACCCCGGCTTCACCTTCTCCAACTACTCCTTACACACCAACCAAGTCCAAGCCGAAGCGTCGCCGACCATTGAGCAAGGCCGCCAAAGCTGCAAAGGCAGCTCAAGCTCAGGCTTTGCCAGCTTCGTTGGTTCATGCTGTTGAGACTGAGATCAGCGGTACTGAGGTAGAGGCAGGAGTGAAGTTGAAGAAGGAGACGACGGAAGTTGAGCTTCCAAAGGTTATCGAAACCAAAAATCTGAAATTCGCCGTGGATATCAAGGCGACTGAGGCTAAGGTGTATAATGGTACAGCTTCTGCAATTGATGTGGAAGTCGAAAGAGTCGAGGCCATCGCGCATGTGGAAGATGAAACGGTCCAGCCTGTTGTCAGCAGATCATCTGTCTTGCTTTTCATCGCGATGCTGTTGGTGGCTTTGATTCTGTACTCGGTCATCTTCTACATGCCAGATATCTTCGAGTATCTCAAGGAGTCGTTGGTGTCTGATACGGCTGACCTGTAGATGGTAAATGGTGCTTGTGGGCATGGAGTACTTCTGGACTTTGGTTGATCGGTAGCATCACTTGTGGGAGGCATTTTCATGGATTTGCTCTCTCTGGTGCAGCATATTTTGCGGCGGGCGTTTAGACTTCTGGGCTAGATTGTTATTTGGTGGATTCATTCGAGCATGGCATAGCATGACCCTGGAGCCTGGAGTTATTTCGTGGTTATTCGGCATGCGGACTTACGGCATAGCTTGCACCAAAGAGTTCAAGGACTGAAGCTGGTTACTCTTGATTGGATATGCTCTAGGCAAGAAGAGAATAATATACATCCCTGAAGCAAGACTGAAAAATGTGTCTCCTATTTCCGTCCGTACATGCGATGGATACCTGACATAGTTCATGTGCAAATGATGTGTGACCGTGACTGAAAATCTGCAATATATCAAGGCATAATGAGGTTTTGAAGAAATCTCTGGTGGTCCTTCTTTGTAGTAGTAGCCCAATCCTACACATGTTAGTACAGTACGCACGCCAAGAATCGAACAGTACCTTCTCAGAAGCTTTAATTTTCTTCATAATGTCCATTCCAACACCCTCAATCTCCTCCTCAAGTTCGTTGACTCTGGTTTCATGCTCGAGAGCAAGAAGTTTCATCTCCCTGAAGAATCCCTTATCGTGGCCCGGACTATCGACGCCGAAAGCTTCTCGTCCGAAGATATCGATGCCCAGCTCCCGGTATTCGTCTTGAACGTCGTCCCACTGCTTCCATAAATCTGCCAACTTTGCTTCTTCCTTCTCGACAATGCTCTTGAAGGCCGCGACACGATCTCCAATCTTGTGGATTTTCTTGACCTGCTTTCCACCTTCGATGAAGGCCGTCTGGACACACTCATCCTCGAGAGAACCACTGATGGTCTTGGCTGCTGCATCCATATTCTCAAGAAACTCCTGGTCATCGGCTTGAATGGCAGCCAGTCTCTCAACGAAGCCTGCGTGGACACTATCGAATGCTGCTTTTGCTTGGTCACCAATTGCGGCGCGGGCCTCAGCAATACCATCTGCCCCTGTTAGCATTGGACCTCTACGGTAGAGCAGGGTTTCGTACCCTGAAGGTCAGCGAAGAGGTCAGGCTCTGGAGGCTCTGGAGTCTCTTCGCGACGCTTTCGGTGCTTCTTGGCGTGACGATCGGTCTTTGGCTGTTTTTTGAAAATAGCAGCGGCGGAGACAGTCTGCTTCGTCCTCGGGTTGCGACCATCTTTGGGAGCCGCTTGACCTTCAACAGAAGGGCTGATGCTGCGAACAGCAGTGGCTTTGACTTTGGCTGGTTTCTTGGGCTGTTTAGGTGACTTCTTCAAAACCAGTGGTGATGCAGCACGGTCACGCTTGCGAGCATGAGTAGCTGGTCGGGCCATTATGAAGTTGAGACTGGAGGTTGTGGAACAGGCCAACGTGAGATAAGGTTGTGCGGAAGCTGATATGAATTGGAGTGCGTTGAGCCTGCATAGAGGAAGAAACAGGTGCGCAGGATGAAGTGCTCTCGGAATGCTTTGGGACTTCGTCCGTTGGGTAAGCGGTCCTCTCTTTCAGAGCGCCCAGAATGGCAGTCGCGACGGTGGTGAGGCAATTAGATGCGCGCATTTGCCTGTTCGGGTACCATGACCAAATCCAATGTCCCAGAGAATTTCGAAACATCCAGAAAGTAAAATGCTACACAGCGACGGAGAAAGTAAATTTACAAAAGAACAGGCAAAGAAAAAGAAGGAACATAGAGACGCAGTGTCGGAAGTTGAGCGACATCCAATGTATTGGACAAGCACGCGCTAAAGTCACGTAGAAAGTACTTATCTCGGAGATGACCATTCGCATTCATTTCCCTTTCGATCCACGCATATGTCTGATGGTGGAAACAGTGTTGATACATGTACAAACCTCACTTTCCCCTACTTCGAAGGCTCACTCTCCGCCGGAACCAACACCTTCTTCTCCTCCAACAGCTTCGCCAACTCTCCATTCTGATGCATCGCCACCAGGATATCACATCCACCAACGAACTCCTTCTCGACATACAGCTGCGGTATCGTGGGCCATTCCGAGTATTCCTTGATACCTATTGCAACAAATTAGCCATTGTCCCAAGATCATAAAGAATACAATAACACAATGACCCATTTGATAGCACAGTTATCTGAAAGAAGAACATACCCGCTCTTAACGCCTCATCCTCCAGCACATTAAACGCAGTAAACTTCGCTGGATCCACACCCTGCAGGCCCAAAATCTGAATGCTAGCCCTCGAGAATCCGCACTGTGGCGTCTCGGGTGTACCCTTCATGAACAGAACTACCGGCGCCGAGCTGACAGCTTTATCGATCGCAGCTTTCACTTCCGTCGATAGGAAACGTGAAACTATAGGTGAGAATCGTGGTTGGGAGAATCTGGAGGCGAATGTTGCTGGGCGAGCTGTCTGTCGGAAGGCCTGTTTGATGGAGAGATTAGCTTTTTTTGCAAGGCCATGCAAGGAGACGGGAGATTATGCAGCTTACCGACGACAAAGGCCTTGTGAACATTTTGGTAGCCATTATGAATAATTTGCTTGTTTGATGGGGATGATGAATCGAGGCTTTGAGCTCGATGATGTCGATTTATTTCCAAGACTGGGGCTGACCAATAGAAAGTTGAGTAATCAGACGAGGCTGAAAGATTCTACCATTCCATCAGCATCTGGGCTCACAATCATCCGATGTCAAACACGAGAACAGCTTCTTTTCTGCACTCAGGATGCAACTCACAAAATTCAGTAATATATCTACAATCTAGCCAAAATGCTACAAGCTATACATGGAGAACACGACGCCCCTCGAACCCCTCTCTCCGAATCCCCATTCACAGCCTCATCCCACTCCAACGACGGCAAAAAGCACCTCCTCCTCGCCGCCTCGGGCAGCGTAGCAACCATCAAGATCCCCTCGATCGCACAATCCCTCTCTCACCACCCCTCCCTCTCAATCCTCATCATACTCACCAAATCCGCCTCCAACTTCCTCAGCGGCCAGAGCTCCGAACAACCCCACTACTCCGCACTCCTGCAGATCCCCAACGTCGAAGGCGTCTTCCTCGACGAAGAAGAATGGGTATATCCTTGGAAACGCGGGAACTCAATTCTGCATATTGAATTGAGGAGGTGGGCGGATATACTGGTTATTGCGCCGCTGAGTGCGAATACGTTGGCGAAGGTTACGGGTGGGTTCAGTGATAATTTGTTGACGAGTGTGGTGAGGGCGTGGGATACGACGGGGTTGGTGGAGGGTGGTGGTAGTACTGGGGCGGTGGTAAGGAAGAGGAAGAGGATTGTTGTGGCCCCGGCGATGAATACGGCGATGTGGAGGCATCCTGTTACCATGAGGCAGGTAAGGGTATTGGAGGAGGAGTGGGGAGTTAAGGAAGGCGGAGAGGGAGAGGGGTGGTTTGAGGTTCTAAGGCCGATGGAGAAGGAGTTGGCATGTGGAGATGTAGGAGATGGGGCCATGAAGGATTGGAAGGAGATTGTGAAGGTTATTGAGGCAAGGCTGGATTTGTAGCTGGGTCATGGACGGCGTTTGATTTGGTTTGGTTTCTGCATTTGCATAGAGTCCTGGAGAAAATCTTCGATTTAGGATTATGCCCAGTATATGAGTATTTGACAAGCTATTGAGCTTGTCCCCAGAAGCCAAAAGGATGTTTTATTTTGTCTCTCTGGCTGTAAACCCCGCGTACTATTGATGAATTTCAGGGTGCCTACGGAGATGTTTGTCACATTACAGTATTATCTTTGACTTCAAATTGACAGAAGATAAATACACTGATTGGCTGTGGATCTGAGAACTATTATCAACGCGAAAGCAGAGGTCAGATCCGTGACCAGGAGAAACATACCGCAACCCAAGTCAACAATCAGCTAAGCGAGTTCTCCCTTTTCCGTTCCTGTCTTGAACTCCTACGCAGAGATGATTCAGGATCCTCATCTCTCAATGACATCAAATTAAGATTGTAGCAGTAACATGATGAGCGGTAAATATTGGTATCATGCTAATATTTGAGTTTGATTTAAAGAGCTTCAATAGACGTCGTAGCTGAGAGCAAACTTGCTCTGAAGCTCTCCGTGTGAATTTTGAGTGGCAGAGTAGATAGTCCGCGTGAAGTATCACTGGGGCTTTCATTGACGATGTTGGGCCGGGAGAGTGAGTAAAGAAACGATCTATCAGCCACGCTAGAACGAATCATAAGTATTGGTAACGTTGCGCTCGAGACAGGCTTCGTGGTCCGTGAGTATGAGCTTTCGATTGACTATGGTTTCTTGATATGTCTAGCCTCGAGATGCCCATTTCAATGCTCCGATTAGAGAAAGAGGTGGCTGAATTCGGTTCAACTCCAGTTTGTACATTGGAGAAGGATTTTGGACGATGCGAACAGTTGGTGACTCCAGGCAGTACATAACTTCTAAGGCTTTCTCAAAGAGTAACTTCTAACTTGGATGCCGGAAGGTGTAAAGAGAGACTTCAACTCGGTACATAATCATGCTCTTTATGAAGAAAATGAAACCACTTGACGTCTTGCCAATTGGCAGTAAACACGTGAGGATCGAAAACATGGAATGGACTTCTTTCAAACTCTGGACCACCAGAGACCAAAGGAACCAATATCGGCAACGACTTTGCTCTGAGAAAAGGACCTATTCAAATAGCTGGCTGAGGAACCTTTTGAAGACAGTCTTAGACCTACGGACGTGCCTCGCGTGCCTTTGGTGATGCACAGCCCAGCTAATCTCGTTGCATGAGACCGGCCGATGATCATGACTTACCGATTTCCAGAAAAAGAACGGCTTCAAGCCTCATGCGAGTGTCCAATTTCCTCCCATCTCGCTCAGCCTCTGATCTACCTCTTACTCAAGAGATGCTTCCAAATTCATCAATGGGCTCAATTGGAGATATTCTTCACGTGATATGGTTGCAATGCTTCAGTTTATCGGGTTGCGTGAAACAGCCACTCTGCAAACGCTGTGCTCAGCGGTGATCGCTTTGCATGATGCAAGTCGGCATCTCCCTTCCCTCGTGGCCACCTCCAGTCATGTCCTACATGAGCAAGCTGCATCCAAAATGAAGCAGGACTCATCAGTGCAGAGTTTTGTTTTCGTTTGTAAAGCGGCGCATTAGTTTGTGCATGCAGACCTTTCCTTCACAAAATTTTCATGCGAGAATAGTGCATACTTGCCTTGGGCGTTAACCCTAAGACTTCCAAGTTCGTCCTCTCGGACTGTTCCTGTGGATCAGTTTCAACACACCAAAAGCCCTGCCAACCTTTGGTTCATGCTCCTGACATCTGATTTGTTATCGTCGTTTCTGCTCGGGGGCGGAAGGCTGGGGCAGGTGGGCCGGTTCTTCGCAAGCTTTCGGCTTGAAACATCCAACCAGGTGGCCTGGTCGGAGGAGAGGGTGGAGTCCAAGACAAATCGTAACGAGCTGAAGTTGGTGCTTGTGTTCGTCCGATGCGATCATGCCATGCCATTTTGCCGACTGAACTGATGGACTGACAGTTGGCCGAGGTCATCGTCCAACATTACATGACAAGTTGCAGTGAGGATCAGATGACAGCCTTCAAGTCGAGAGTGTCTTCTCCTGAAGAGAAGTAAGTGATGATGTGAGATCTGCTCTGCATCCGCATCTGCAGGAGAACCACCTTTTGAGGGATTTCTCCTCCTCTCTTCTCCCTTCCCAGTGCCCACCTGCCCACTCCATCATCGTGCCCACTCTGCCCAGTTCTCCTCTCTCCCTTGTCAGCACAGCACCCACAACAGTCGTTGGAGAGGCACCGCTTGGAAGGATCTGTGTTGGCGCAGAGAAATCTGCCCTGGGCGTTGCGCTAAGCGACATATCTGAGTAGCCGGCAAATGGTGATTGGCGCTTTCACTCCTGTTCCTGAAAAAAGGCCCACTTAAAGCCCTGCCAAGCGCGGATTGCTCGCCTGCAGTGTCGCTCCCCCTGGATGAGTGCTCATTTTTAGGTGCGGCCCACGCAACTCTCCCCCCCGGCCCCCCCCTGGACTCGCGGGCTGGGTCAAAAGTTGGGTCGGGTCAACAACAAAACTCAACCCACACCACGGGCACCACTTCCACTTCCACTTCCACTCCTTCATCCACTTCCGCATTCCGGTACTTGACCTCGTTGCATCCTCTCTTTCTCTCCTCAGTCCAACAACAAACAACACTTGTACACTTGTACATTTCCATTCCTTCATTCCTGCCAGCAGCCCACCCACTTTGAGATATCGCTTCTCATCACCTTCATTCTTCCGCATCACTCTGCCAGAATAAGCACCATATTTACAGTCGCTAGCCGATTCCACCAGTTCAACCAAGATCACACTACCCTGAAAACTCTATACAAACGATCTCGAAACCACACAACCCATCTATCTACTCTATCATCATGAAGTCCACAACTTTCGCTCTCGGAGCTCTCATGGCCTCAGTTGTCATTGCTCAACCCCATCGTCAACACAAACACATGGCAAAGCACCACAAGCGTCACGAGGAGGTCGTTTGGGTCACCGACTACGACTATGTCACCGAGACTGCCAAAGTCACAACCACTATCTGGGTCTCTGAAGGCTTCGTCATTCCCACTCCGGCTGTTTCTACTCCAACCCCAGCCGCGAGTTACGCTGCCAACTTCTTTGAGAACGCAAGTAAGGAAGCCAAACCCTCGTCGACATCGACGTCTGTTTTTGTAGCTCCGACTCCAGAGTCGACCTACGTTGCACCACCACCACCAAGTTCCACATACGTTCCATTAACCCCGTCACCAGAGCCAGAGCCCACAACTTACGTTGCTCCCGCTCCTGTCGCAGAGAGCTCCACCTACGTCGCTCCCGTCGTCGAGACCCCATCCCCAGTCTACACTCCTGTGGCTGTCGTAGAACCCACATCGGCTGCCCCAGTTGTCGCCGCACCAGCCGCTGCTTCTACGTACTCATCCAGCTCAAGCGGTTCAACCGGTGGAGTCTGCTCATCAGGTTCACCTTGCGAAGGAGATATCACCTACTACGAAGCCGGCCTCGGCGCTTGTGGAGAGACCACCGATGGCAGCGTCGACAAGGTCATCGCTCTCCCAGTCGGTATGATGGGCGCCCAGTCCAACGGCAACCCATACTGCGGAAAGACCGTTACCATCAAGAAGGGGAGCAAGACCACCACTGCGACCGTCGTTGACAAGTGCATGGGCTGCAAGGGCAACTCCATCGATCTCTCCAACGCGGCTTTCCTCGAGCTCGCCGAGTTCGATGTCGGTCGCACCACTGCTACCTGGTGGTTCAACTAAGGTTAAACTCTCTCTCTTCTCCAAACCCCATGCAATGCACCCTTGCTTCGTAGAGTAGATCTCTCAGCACACGCACAAAGTACACGATGGTCGCGAGTCGATCGTCGCAACAACGAGTTTCCTTTACTCTATCTACGACTACAAGCATGGTACTGGTAGGCGGCCGCAAAGTGGGGGTTGGTTTTTTGCATAGGCATATGCAATGGCGTCAAAGTTCTCACTGGGGAAGGTTAAGGTTAAGGCCACCAAAGTTTAAAAAATGGACAACAGGTACAACTGATGATGTTATGACGGGGTTCGTTCGTCGGTGCCAGGAGCACAAAAGTTGCAGCTTGCGAGAGTTTCGTTTCTCGTCTTGCTTGCTTTAGAGATTCTTGTAAATATTTAGTTAGACCTTAGTGTATGCACGCTATTCGCAGTTCAACCAAAAATCAAAACAAAAAACCATCCAAGACATCCCTTTTCTCTCTCCCTTACCTTTTCCATCAATTGCCATACAGTATTATCCTCGGCTTCGGGGTTTCTTCAACGCTAGTCAGGTCGAAGATCATGTTCTTTGATCTTTTAGCAGCTGAACCGGTTGTTTCTAAGTAAGGAGGCCGCCAGTTTTTGGGGGTCAAAGCAAATGGAACGAGTGGGGTTCCAGCCTCACTTACTCACCCAGGCACTTACTTTAAGTACATTCCTCGCTCCCCTTGGGGGGCCAGAGGGCTATGTATGAGTAAGTATCCCCTTCCGATATCGTAATGTTCCCATTTTTATTTTTATGCTCTTGATGCACTTCCCTTTGTCATGTTATTCACGGAAGTTGTGCTGGTGGAAATAGAACAAAGAAAGAGATAAAAGGACTTCGCATCTCGCATTTCGCATTTTTGCGTTTCTGCATTCATACATTTGATATTTCTAGAAAGCATTGCTTGCAGCTTTCTTTGGTTTTAGAAACCATTTGCGAGAGACATATTCATCCAATTCTACTTGAGAGTTCCTGGCTTTTAAGATACTCTGCTTCTGCCTCTGCGTTTGAGCTGCGAGCCATACATTTTCGTTTTCGAGATCTTTGACCTTTCGATGCTTTATTGTACTGTGTTGAACTCACTCTGGTGATTTTGAAGTTTGTATTTGTATTGTATTGCGTGTAGTCTGCAAGAAAAAGGGGGCGCAAAGAAGATCAAAATGCCTTGCTCCATCATCTCACGCACAAAAACACTTTTCTCATCTTCGAAGCGGCAATGTCAAGCTGGTGGACACACATCTGGCGAAGAGACAGATGCTTTACTTCAGAAGGAACCAGAGTTCCAATACGATGAGGATACAGAGACAAGGGAGATACCGTTCCCATGTCCAGCATTCATAAACACCGCTTCGTGAGTTCTCCATCCCTTTCCCATCATTCACCCAAACTCCAGAAACCCCAAATAAACATATCCATCCTAACACCTCAAACCCAGGAAATACATCCTCACACAAACACCATCCCAACACATCTCCATCCCCAAATCCTCCTCCTACTCCCGCACTCCGCACCACTCTCAATCTCAAGCCCACCAAGCGAGAACAATAGACCCTACACCCCTCGCGCTTGCTTTCGCCGACCTAGCTGTCGATGCAGGGATCTATGGAACCAGAGACTCGTACGTAGAGGTTCTGGCGTTCCAGCTCAGGAGGATGGTCAGGAGTCTAGCTAGGCAGTGTGAGGAGTCGAAGGGGAAGAAGGGTGGGAATGGGTTTTTGTAAGTCCTTTTCCTCACCATCCCGTCTATCCGCATTTTTGGTGATCTGAATCGGAAAAAGAAAAAAAAAAGCTTGCTTCTGGCTTGCTATTCATTCCGCTCTGTAACTCGCAAAACGAAATGCTTGGAATCTATCTGGCTCTGAATGAGTTGATATGATGAAAGCTGATGAGCCAATGACAGAACACTCACCGTCGCCCGCCCAGAACTAAACTGCTCCGTCCACATCACCATCCAAACCCGCCACCGCACCACCACGCACCATCCCATCCTCTCCCGTCTCAACCGCGTGGTAGATGAGCAAGTCGTTATTCTAGGACTCAAACCGCTTGTTTCTGCAAAACCTGAATCATTAGCAGGGGATCTTGAATGTAGGGAAGAAGACGAGGGAGAAGATGAAGCGGAAGGAGAAGGAGAAGATGAGGGAGTGTTCTCAACATGGTGGTGGAAAGAGAGTCGTTTTGGAGGTTGCGCGGGAGGGGATAAGCCGTGCGGCGAGTGGAGGGTTGCGAGAGGGAGGGATGCGTGGTGGGATCTTTATGATTGTTGTAAGAGTAAGAGAGTGTCCTGGAGCTGGAGAGGGGCTTTGGAGAGTGGATGTGAAAAGGGGAAGTTTAGTGGGAAACGGGGTACGAAGAGAGGATGTTCCCGGATGGAGGTTTCGCTGGGAGAGGGGAATTGGTGTTGATTTGATTTGATTTGATTTGATTTGGTTTGGTTCGGTTTGGGATCGGAGTTTTTGGGTTGGAAAGATGAGTCTCGGGCTTGTGAGAGGGAGATGGGAATTGAGAGTAGAGAGACAGGTGTTGATACAATGAACATTATAGAAAGAAAACTTCATAAAGTTTATACCGTAGATATGGAGCGGATCGTTCGCTGGTGGTTATTATCGACTTTCAGAGTTTTAGCAAGCAATTTCCCTGCCAGATATAGTGAACGGTAGAGTCTATTTTTGTGTTCAAAAACTTCACTTGGTTTGCAGAAATAGTAATGATCATGTGTTTCAAGCAATAAATTTTATCGCCTGTCGGCATTAAGTATAACTACAAAGTCCAGTCCTGTCCATCGATCCCAATCCATGCGTTCATAGGTCCAGCTCCTCGGCGTGAGCTGCCAGAGCCCATCATCAATCATCTAGATTCATGTCCCATATCCTAAAGCCCAAGATCCGACCGTTCCATCGTGTTCCCATCCTTCCATCAATCAGTCATCGACTCTTTTGCAATTCCCTCCCGCACGCAATGAATGAAGCAGAGACCTAAGCTAAATACATCTAGGAAACAAACGGACAGAGAAACAAAAAGTGGATAACTAAGCTGGTATATAGACATGAGAGAGCGCAAGCAACGCTATGCAGAAGAACGGAAACCCCCGAATGAAACAAGGAGACGACGATGCCTATTAAAGCGAAATTTTGGTGAAGCGAGGAAGACGAGTTGTACCATGGAAATTTGTTCGTCAAATGTGATGTGTGACGTCTTGTCGTATGTTATGGGTACATGAAGGAGACTCGTAGATGAGCGAGTAGCATGCTCTTCGTGGTATCCTACACGAAAACGGGCTTAGTTGTCGTGGGGTGGATAGAGACCGCGGATAACTCGAGCTGGGTTGCCGCAAACGACTGTGTATGGTGGAACATCCTGTAAGTGACAGTTAGTTATGGATACCATATGGTTTGAAAGTCCATAAATCGAAAACATAAATAAAAGTGCGAGCATACCCTTGTAATAATTGAACCAGCCCCCACGGTACTCCCCTTACCAATCGTCTTGCCTGGCAGAATCGTAACACCGCCCCCAATCCAGCAGTCGCTATCGATCGTAATTTTCCTTCCCAAATTTGGTCCTCGGGACCCCAATCGTCGTTTCGGATCAACTGGTAGAGTAGCGGTGTAGATGTTGACGTTGGGTCCGATGTTGCACCTATCGCCAATTTTGACTTCACAGGTGTCGAGAATTGTGCAGTTTTTCCCGATTGCAACATCCTGGCCAATGCTGATGTTGTATCCGTAATCGCAGTTGAAGGGGGCCTCTACCACTACATTGTCGCCTACTCGGCCAACAGGAGTAATTGGTGACGCTTGTGTGGGAGAAATGACGTGTTCGCGAGGCTGTAAGATATCTCGGAAGAGGCGTGCTCGCTCTTCAGGGGAAACACCATTGTTTGGATTGGTGCTGCTGTTGAATCGCCAGCATGCGCCATTACAGCGTTCGCGTTCGAGAACTAGCTCCTTGTCGAATGGAAAGTAGTGGTGACCTGCCAGCATCTCCTCTTTCTGTGTACGCTGCCGGGTCGCAGAGGCGAGGTTAGAGAGAGCGAGCTGTGCCGCAACTTGAGGGTTCGTGTGGGGACTTTCGGCGTGCATTTGAGGGTGTAGGATCTGTGGCAGAGTTGAAGAGGCGGATTGAGGAGTTCCAGTATCTGACTCCTGCCTCGACTCTTGTCTCGAGACATCATGAAGAGGTCCGAGACGCTCGTATGCATTCTTTGGTTGCCTGTCAGGGTAAGCACTGCTGGAAGCTGTGATTGGTGTTGGTATTTGATGGGAGTAAGAGATGGCAGAAAGTCTGTTGCTTTCTGGGCTGTTCACGGAGGCACTGGGAATAGTGGATGCGCTTGGCTGATCGTCATCCATGCCGCTATGTCGTCCGTGTTGAGGATCAACTCGTAAACTCTGACCCCGATACCCTGGCAATGGCTCTCTCCTGGGTTGTCCAATGTGTTGTGGAGCATATGGAGATGGGCCGTACGGAGAATTCTCATAATCTGTCTTGGATTGCAGTGGAATTGGTGGCTGTTTCTGTTCTGTCTTTGGCCAGTGCCCCCGTTGTTGGTACCCTGAGCAAACAAAACCACCACGCAAACAGTTATTGCCTGTAATGCACATTAGTTTGAAATTCACGGTGAATCGGACTTGTGTGAACCCGAGTGACCTTGAAAATGCGGTGATACTTACATTCCGGTCTATTCTCATCGCATTTCTTCTTCCGTCTTCGACAGGTCATACAACCGGTCTTCGTTCGGTTGCTGAAATTCCGTTTCCGTTTCTTAGGGTCGGAACCTGCAGACATCTCTCTTCTATCGTGACCATAATTACCATATGGGTTTGCGGATCTGTCATCGTCTCCTGGGCTTTGGTACCCACCACGCTGCTGGGCATCCATGTTCTGAGACGCTCTTTGCAAGGCCTCGCCTATTTGCTCATCCGATGTCATATGAGACTGACCAGAGTACTGACGAGCATGCCAGTGATCATGGTGAGCACCGGAATCGCGAGCATCCTCATTGGCAAGAAACTGACGATACTGAGCACCAGCCTCATACGAGTCGCGCTGGTCAGATTGTGATGGTGCTTTGAGGCTCTCCTCTCGCGGGATATCGGACTCTGTCGTGGCTGTCGTGGGCGTCTGCTTTGTGGAGGAAGGAATGGCGTGTGTGTGGTAAGAATTTGCAGAAGACGAGTTCTGGTCTATTGAACCAGACCTCTTGCGCTTATGAGAAGTGTCTGCTTCAGAATATCCCCCGCTTGGAGGTTGGTACTGGTGTCGGTCTCCACTCGGTGGTTGAGTCCAATCCTCTCTCTGGCTTGTTGTTGTGGTAGTAATTGTTAGTTTCTCTTGTCCTGGAGGTGAGATTCTCGGCTGCCCATTTGATCTCTCGTCGGATCCTCGCCTTGAGGCGCCATTCGAGCCTGTCCCATTTGCTGGAACGACTGGGGCAGGTTGCTCCTTGCCGTTCACTGCAGTGAATCTCGATGTTGGAGACTCGTTCTGAGCTTGAGCTCCCGTGCTTTTCTCTTCTGTAGACATCTTTGCCGAAGAGCTTTCGGTCTGGTTTCCGGCTCCTTCGCTGCTGCCCTGACCCAGGATTTCCCTAGCCAGGTTCACAAGATCCAGATTGGCAAAAGAATTGCTGTACGTTGCGGCACCGTCGAGGTCCTTGGACAGAAGTGGTAGATCTCCGGATCTTGAGAGCGCAAACTCTACCTGGGTAGACGTCGCCAGCTTCACCAACGGCGGGAAGTGACAGAAGCAGAAATCAAGCCGAGGACTGATTTCCGAGCCTGTCGAGCGGGTGTTGAGACGTCAGGTTGAATTCGGGAGCTGAAGTAGGCGGTGGTGGATCGTAGAGGCGATGAACGTCGGTTCACGGCCAATTCTGACTAAGGTAGATGGTTGGTGGTGTCTCTGTTCTGCTGGTCATAAGTCGTGAAGAGCACGAAAAGCCAAATGCTCGGGGTGAAGTGAGGTGGCTAGGTGGCTATCGCGGGTCCTCTGCTCTGCTCTGCTCTGCTCTGCTCTGCTCTGCTCTGCTCTGCTCTGCTCTGCTCTGCTCTGCTCTGCTCTGCTCTGCACTGCACTGTCCGAGTTCGGCTCCTTCCCTCCAGTACTTTCGCGGACTCCAGCTAAGGTAGCCCTCAACTCAACTGAACTGAACTCAACTCAACTCAACTCAACTCAACTCAACTCAGCTGACTTCAAGCTCAAAGGTCTTTCTCTTTCTCTCACCACGTCGCCAAGTCGCTCGCCAAGTCGCTCGCCTTCCAGCTTTTCCCTTCTCTTCTCTTCTCGTCTCTTCTGCTTCTTGCCCCCGGCTTCTACCTGTTTCCACGTTCAGATGTTCTTAATTTAATCGAACCGATTCTTCTCTTCTCTCCTCTCCTACACCGCCTTACGAGCGGTTACCAGTCGTCGCGCCCAGGTTGACTCCGATTCTCTCTCGCTCAATTGCTTTCTCTCGAAAATCACGCTTCTTCGGCTCCCGTTCCGGCCTGTCCAGTATGAGATTTGAATCTGACTGACGCCGCTGACACGTCGAGTGAGCGGGGGTTGTGAAAAAAAGACAATTGAGTTTAATCAGTCGTCAGTTACCCAGGCAATCGGAATATCCCACAGTGCAAACCCTGCTCTTTCAGCTGGCTAGATGCTGGTCGAGGTCACTGTCGTGATGCCCAACTTGCCGCGCTTTGCGTAAGGTGAGGAATTGGGATTAACGAACGTCCAAAAACAGGCGATGATGACGGATTTCGGACAGATTCTTCAGCGGCTGACAACTGTTAATCCAGCTCTCTCACACACAAGAATTCCGAACCCCCTCAGTTGCTCCTTGTCCTTTGGTGGGTTTCGAAGCTCCCTCGAGTTTTCACGTGGCTCAGCCGCGAGACAAAATTAGAAATCGGTTCAAGTCGTCTATCCTCCCTGCGCTTGCTGTCCCGTCGTCGATGCTGTATGTTCACGGCAATTGCGCTCACTTAATGCAAACCAAAACGCAGAAAACGGGTATCTGTGCACTGTCGGAACCGTGGGGAGAATTATTCTGGGATCGCTCGAGGACTTGGGGTTTTGGGGAGCGGATTGCGAATGTTTAGTCCCAGTGGTTTGGTAACGGAGGACGCAAAGAGCTGAGCCGTTTGGGGCTGCTGCCAATATATTGACGCTCGCTCGCTCGCTCGCGCTCGCCTGCGTGCTCACATTCGTCATGAGATGGGTCCTTTTCTTGATGGTCCAACCCAGCCCAGCCTGTCCTATCCTATCCTGTCGAGTCCTGCCTGGGCTCTCGCTGGCCCGCCCTGGTCCCTTTGTCTAGGGTCCTTCACACGCCCCTGTCTGCTCTGGGGTGCCGTGCCCCCCTAGCACGGAGCCACAGGCCATATCGCGCGCCTATTGCGGGACCTTGGGTCGCTAAGCACATTTGGCGGTTCGGCCTTTCAGTAGAGGTCTGGCAGACAGACAGACACACCTGGACTGACTGGCAGATCAATTGTTTCGGTGGCTTGAGAATTGAATCACGGACGGCCCCCCTTTGGGTCTTCCCATCTCATGGTTGTTATGCTATCATAGCCCATTGCCATTTGGCCACTAAACCACTCTGGGCGACTCGACTTATCGAGGCGAGGCAAAGTCAAGGCACGGTTGCGAGGCGTGGCGGGTCGATCATGGGCCGCCGCATTCGTCCTCATTGCTTGTGCTGGAGACGACGGCGGACATGACAGATTGGGCTCAGTTTCAGCATACAGATCGCACATTTCATTATCCAGAGATTCACGATGGTGGGCACCAGGGCATGGCAACAGGGCTCTTTGGAGGGTAGCAGTGAGAAGGCCGGAGCGAGCGGGATCGCTGTATACAAGCTAGAACAGGACGGATGTATGAGATGAGGTGCATACGGGATGTCAGTCGACTTTGCACTTTTGTCGGAAATGTGGGAAGCCCTCCACCGTCTGAGATCCGTTCCTCTTGCGCCGGCAGATCAGAGCACAGGCGCAGGCGCAATACAGACAAACGAGTTAAGACAGAGAAGACAGATAGGCAGGCAGGCTCGAATAAGCTCGAACACTCGCTCCCCAAAGAGGACTGGACTGGATTGAAATGAGAACATCATTGTCCATCGCTGGTTGGGAGAGGACGACAGATGAGTTGCGATGTGATACGATACAGGCCGGGTTCCTTGCCCGCAACTGCCCCTCTTCTGATACCCTCCTCCCCTCCTTATTATTTAATCACTCCGAGCAGAACAGGGCCAGCTGAGCGGTTGCTCGCTTTTGCGCTGCTGCAGCATCATCTGAGGCACATCACACTCTGGAAGTACTACCGCGACGGAGCCATCCCTGCTGTGCCGCCTCATTGGTCGCGCCTCTTGTCTCTGCTTCGGCGGTTATCTCGATTAGGCAAGGCTGCAATCAATCGAGGCCAACCTTTTCCATTTTCCATACCTACGTGCGCCAGCGGATGATAGATGATGTGCGTCGAGAATCTGATATGGACCAAAGAGACAAGTAGAACTGCAGCACAAGAAACAGTTGTGTCTACCTAGGCTTCGCTTCCCGGTTGTTGCCTGTGGAACTCTGCGGAAGAGGCACACTTGCAGCGGACGTACAGTTTCAACAGCCAGTCAACCGCGTTGGCGCGTTGGTTTTCTGAGACCCATCCTCCCAACATCACGACCCTCTCAATAACCTCAGTCGCCGACCTGGTTTAACCTCAACAGGAGGGATGCACTTCGTCGGATATGACGGCAGCGTTGCGCAATCTCAAGTAAATTTACGAATACTTTGGATGTAGTTATCGTCGTTTTAAAGGCTCCTACCTTTTGAATCCCAGCGCATGAACAATTATCAACTTTGTTGGCTCGTTCCCCAGGTCAATTGGGGTGATTTTACTCGTCCAGTAAAAATGTCGCGTCTCTTTGAAACGACAGACCTCCGAAAAAGAAGGGATCAGTGACAAGGATGAATACAAGAATAGACATGAAAATCAACATGGGCGTCACTTGATGATTCTGCGGGAATCTCGATCGCATAAAGAGGCAACAATTAATTTGTAGAGGGTTTGAGGTTGGGGGCGGCCGTTGGAAGGCCGCAGAGGTATGGTGGCTGGTGGGTATTTAGTTCGTACCTAGGTATGTGATGGAAGTGTTTGAGAGTGCAGTAGGACTTGAACAGGGAGTAGGTAAATTTACCTTAGGTAGGGAGCGGGAGTTCTGCAAACAGGCGACGGCAGAACGGAACAACTACTGCCACTGCCACTGCCACTGCCACTGCCACTGCCACTGCCACTGCCACTGCCACTGCCACTGCCACTCACTCAGTAAAAGAACCGATTTGCGGAGACCGGACAGAGGAGAGGCCCACCCGTTCAGTGATTTCAGGGACCCGCTTACAGCGTCAACAACCACTGGTTTTGCCGAGCTGCGTCTGAGACTTCCAGCTTGAAGCGCTGCCAGTCCCACTGAACTGAGCTTGCCAGGGATCAGCGGCCGAAACGATAATTGGCAGTCGATCGCCGCTGTCTCTGTGGCTGGGCTGGGACAGGAGATGCATTCCTTCGAACAATCACAAGGGGATGACAAGGGAACACGCAGATTGAATGGTCAAGTCACTATTTCCAGGATAGATGGCATTACTCGAATGTATGCGCTACAGTACCTTGAGGAGGCCCTGGTGGCACGGCAGTCTGGAAGATACTTCGTAGGATAGGTACTGTATTGTCGCCCTGGCCGCTCCCGGATGGAGCTACCTTAGGTACCGGTACATTACTTGTGTCGCCCAGACAAAAGCGGAGGCGACGAGGGAAGACTGTCTGCCTCGCCTGCCTGTCATCATCGAAGGCGGGAAAAGTGTACGCAGCGTACTGTACGGAAGTAGCAGACGGATCGTATTACTGCCGGCAAGTGCCAGGCCAGGGAGCCGGTGATCCTTCCTCTTCATCCCAAGGACATTTTCTCCAAAAACAGTCAAGGCTATGTATGGGGTTAGGTTGCTTGCAAAACTTACTTACAACGAGAGCTAGCAGTTCCAATACAGGAATACCAGTCTCAAAGGCGATCTTCACAGGCACAAGATTATTATTGCCTCCATGTCCACGTCCCACGCTGCAGAGGCAGGAACTGAAGCACACAGGCACATCACATCCTACAGTACAGTACATCCTTATCCTTGATTCGAATAAGCGCGGTGTGACCACGCCATGTCCCCAAACCTTCCTTACCTTACCTTACCTTACCTTACCTCACCTCACCTCACCTCACCTCCCCTCCTCTCGGCCCGTTCTAGTCTGACTGCAAGCAATCGAACACGGCGGTGTGCCCCAAACCGTCAGCACTGGTTTTTGTTTCTCGTTTCTTTTCTCCCCTCTCGCTCTCGCTCTTCCGCGCCTCCTCACTTCCTCACCTCCTCCTCCTCACCTCGTTGCGTTGCCAGGTGTTGGTGGCTCCCAGACAACCTCTCCCGATCCCCTAAGGTATTTCCGCAGACGCAGTTGGTTTTGACTGTGCCTCTAGCCCGCAGGCACAACACACCCAAAGTAAACGTTTGTTGATCCTTTGGCCGGGGCCGCGGCCGCACATTTGACGCACATTATCATTTGAGGGTGGGTGGGTGGATGGATGGATGGAAGTGTTGAGGATGGTTACTTGCTTGCCTGCTTGCTTGCTTGCGAGAGTTCTCTGGCCTTCCAATCTGGTCGCGGGGTGATCATGATCATGCAAGTTGTGCAGGTCTGCAGGTTGCACCTGGAGCTTCACACTCACTCGGGCAAGGGGCAAGGGGCAAGGGCAAGGGCCAAGGGCCAAGGGCCAAGGATCCCGCGGAGTGGCTTGATTTCTCGTGGCCTCGTGATTGCGCCTGTGCTTCCCCGGCCGCCCTCGGGAGCCAGTCAAGCGCAGGTCTTTACAGGATGTCGACTGGCGTTGCACACTTTTAGCCGCCAAGAGTGACCTCTCCCCCTGCTGGGGAGCATGCATATCACCGCTTCTATTACATGTATTTTCCAATCCTGCCCAGCCCAGCCCAGCTTACGGATGGCGATGCAGGCTCCAGAAGTCTCACGTCCTTGCCCCTGGCCCAAGGCAGGTTGAGCCGGCTATTTTCGCTTGTCACGGAGAATTGTCTACTTCTATTTTTGCTCTCCTTTGATCGGGATCGAGGTTGGCATCACGGGTTATCAGGCCCGCGGCCTCTGTTTACATTAGACGACATTGTTCTCTGCTGTGTTGCTAGAAAAACTTCACACTGAAGCGCATCATTCCTAACCACTATTTCGACATTAATACGTACGCAATAATTACGACTCAGCGATCTTAGGTGCAAATACTTTGAGCTCTCGCTTGTGCAGCCGATGACCCAATCACAAATGAGGTACCCAGGAATGGAGTTCTAGATATTCTATTTCAAGATCAGTATCAACAACTACTGACGAATCGGTTCGAGGCTAACAAAATCGTCCTGGATACTGTCATCAAACACTCAGCAGGAATGTTTCAGGAACAGCAGCAGTCGTTGTTTACCAATCACATCGTTCTGACTGTCATAGCCGCTCATCTAAGCGCCGTCCAAGATTCACCCCCTTCCTCAAACGCCTACAACCTTCAACACGTATTCCTTCATCGTTCACATTCTTCACCACTCAGAGTCCTCTCAGCTACACCATTGTGTCGTTTTTCAACGTCAAGCTCGCATGATACACAACGAAGTCTATCTCCACACAAGCTTAATTTAGCTTTGTCCCTGCATCTCGCGGCTCAGAACTCCTGCACAACATGGCCAGACCAGCGTCACGCCTGTGCATCTCTCCGTGCCTCTTCGGAGAGATATCTGGGTCCCTGTGGCTTAGCCTGTATTCAACACCAGCGCGTGGGTAGACGTTGGCTGATGCAGGTACAGATAATGATCGAGCCTGGAGTGGTGGTCAACGTCATAGGGCTGATGGACTGGGGGAGCGAGGTTATAAGCGCTCATGCAGGTACTTCCAACTTGGATCTCAAGGGTTTGTAAGGCTGGCGCTTGATGTTTATCCATTGAAGCGCCGCCCACTAGAACAGCAGTGCTGCCCCCTGGGACTTCTCCACCAGTCAGGATACCGTCCTGGTGACAGAGCGCTACGTACCAGCCTCTATACCATACTGAGCGTGGATATGGCTCTAATAATATCCACTGGACTGCTGCAGTCGTTGCGGGAACGAAGCTTTGCTGGAGGCGTGGCAAACGAACCTCTCCCCAACCCAACCCACACTCCACCAGGAAGCGCAGAAACCACATCTCGTCACACATCCATCCTCGCATAGATCTCATCACATTGCATGCGAAGATCCAACAGCAGAACCTTATCGCTGGTCTCTAATGGTCTTGCTGGACCCGGAACTTGGGAACTGTGGTATTCTTAGCTATTTATCCGTGCTTTATTTAGAAGTACAACGGTGGGAACGGATCCGTAGACGCGCGAAGTCTATTTCAACATCAGTCGAGTGCTCTGTGGCTCTCAAAAACGGTGATTGCCTGCAAGTGTTTGCTATTCCTGGCGGTTTCATATTCACTCGATGACCTATCTCCAGCGTCTAATTCTCATCACCCTAGCCATGGCTGTAATCATGAAGGTGATTATCGATTTTCGCTTTGGTGTTCGATCTGCTCGGTCTGAGGAGTATTTTTAGCATGTGAAGCGAGCGCTGTAGGATCGCGACCAGCGGCGTAGACTGACGGTGAGAAACCAGAGCTTACAGCGTTATTACTAAGTTGAGACGCCGTCAGATGGCGAAGTTAAAGCGAATCAGCGCCTAGTTCCAGCAGTATTGCGTGTTGGAAAAGCTTCCTTGGTGCACATCCTCAGCCAAGTGCACATCGTCGCAGTACAAGGAGGTATTCAGTGGGGATCTGAGTCTCTAATCAACGACGCGTTCTTCCTACTGTTTTCTGGTTGCGGTGGAAAGACTTGCGTGCTCTATGGCAATCATCTGATGTCTATCCAAGTTTCGCTTTCTTGCTTCTGATTCTTGCGTTGCCTTTTTGTGCAAAAGCTTTTGCGACGGCAGTATATCTTCTTCTTTTCCAGACGAAGAGAGCGATCGGAGTGGGCACGAACAGTTTAAGCAGTCTTACAACACTGCTGCGAGCGAGTAAATATCTCTGGGGCAACAGCCTGGATGGGATGCATCCAGGAAGTCGCAAAACGGGCTCGGAGACTGGCGCAGCATCTGCATTGCACAAAGAACTCTCGAAATGGGCGAGTCAACAGTATCAGTGATACGGTGATATCAGCCTTCTGGAGACGTGCAAAACACCTACTTGAAAAGAGTCAGCGCTGAATTTCGAGTAAATGAGACGGTTGCCTTCCAGTTGCCTCTTCAAGTGTTTCAGTTCCCACTTTACTGACTTTGTCACCAGTCTTCAGGTCGACCCGGTAGATGTGCGGGGGAAACGAAAGAGCTCATCATAAGTATACACAATACCATGCTTGTTGACAGTCATTCAGTGTCGCGGATATCTACTCAACGGCATTGGGAAGTCTGCGAAAACCACCCACAGGCGACCCGACCAAAGCCAGGACTACTCCTGCAAAACCAAAACAAAACAAAAGAACATCACGCATACGCGGCGGCCAGACACAAACCAACCCCTCATCGCGACCTTGGACGCTGTGTTGTACACACGCGCGGTTGTTTACCGAGTTGGGGTCTTGTATTGGGCCGGGTCGCGTTTATGTACACGATTGAGACACGCGACCCAGCATGTTGGCAAGATATGTTTGGAGTTAAAAATGGTAAGACCTTTAAAAGCACCAGAGTTCGTTCTTATATAACCAAACGCCAGTTCGTTCAGAAGCCTTTAAAACCACATCGTTGAACGGTCATTTAACTATTGACTACTCTGTCTTTAAGTTAAAGAATGCTTTCTCGCCAGTCCCCTTTAGAAATAGCAAAAGGTTTGTATACCCTTAACCAATTGCGCCGCGTGCGCGCCCTTTTGTATTGAAGGATGTTGTGTGGTATGGGCGAAACTGGTGTTGAATATAAGTTGGATGCCTCGATGGTATCTATCCCCTCTTTGCTGGTTGGGTTGAATACTGACTGACTGCATGGACACCCAAGGATGGCTGGGATCGCTTATGAATCAATCAGTCAGTCAATCATTGGCCTTCGAGGAGAAAGGTCTTAGAAAAAACAGTCTTTGGGGAGAATATTTCGAGGAGGTTAGAAAACCTGTTGCTTCTGAGAGACTATCTCTCCTGGAATCTTTCTTCAGCACATGCTCGCCTTCTTGGCTTTCTCTTCTGACAGCCTTCACCTTCCACGCATGATATCCTTCTCGAAGCCTTCGTCTAGTGATAGTGGGGGTACTTGGAAGCTCTTTGCATGTCTCCCAGCAAGCTGACGCGATACTGAGGTATCATTTAGTAAACATTTTTCGGCATTACACTCTACTCAGGGATCAAAGCATTGGCAGTCTCTCACGTCGCCACCCAATCCCTTTCCACTGAGGAGGCTAGGACATCGAACAGCTACTCTATCATCAGTAGCACATTGCATTACCAATCCCCAAATCCTCTCCATAGTGAAACCAAAAACCGGGTCATCAAGCGACTGCTCGTCGCTTAGATCTCGGTTGTTGCCCCAACCCTCCATTGTCGTTGTAGCAAGCAGTAGCCTCTCATATATCGATTTACTAATTCCCCGTATCCGCTTAGCACTCGCAACAAACTGCCCTTTATACGATAGTAAAATCGGGGTATTCGAGTCGCAAGTTTGGTTGTATATCTGCTGGTAAAGGGTTGGGATGACGTTATCGTGGTCCTTCCAACCCCATCGATCTTGACAATCTAAACAGCTACATGTCACACCTGCGAATCCCAAACTCAACATTCCTGTGTCTGCGACCAGGTAATCTTCGATCTTTGGGAGGAGCTCTCGCATATTGTGCGCGTGAGCTTGGATAAACATCGTCTTTTCGGCAAGGCTGTCCCAGTTCGTAACAATGTGATGTAAATATGTTCCTCCCTCCCGGCCGACATTTTCCAGTTGTTTAACAACGTTGGCGCTTGTAGCATCTTTCAATGCCGCAATGTTCGCCTCTGGGTCTTTGGTATAAAGTATGACGTTCGGTCTTTGATTTCTGAGATATGCAGTTTTCCTCAGCGAGTCAAGCAGGCTCTTGATCTGTTCTGGCTCTTCGAGATATGCGCTGATGACTATATCGAATGATGAGGGGGCACTGTAGGTGGAATCTACCGAAGTAGAGTCCTGGCATGAGGCTGATGCGAGGGATACAGATTCGAGGACAAACAATGCAACACCGAGGGAGACAAACACAAACGAAACAATGCCGATAGACAAAACTTTGCGTGGCGTCCCTGTCGAATTATTGCGAAACGTACGGAAAAGTTGGTGAATAAGATCCGTAGCTTCGACAACAGTATCATGGGCTTCGTACATCCGTAGGACGCAAAGGGTGCCGAGTAGATACATAAGGATCTGAACCCAAGAAACCACTGTCGCTGGCTGGGAACAAAGCGTTGCTACTAGGACGAGGATACTGGAGGCAAATGATGTGTAATGCTCGGCTCCAGGCCCCAGCTTGGTAGAGTATACTGGCTTGGCATCAAGTAGTGAAATCGGGGAATATGCCAGTAAAGATGTGCCAGTGAATGTGGTACCGGTGACCGTAACTATATTAACAAACATCAATCCCAAGGTTCGTGAGCGCACATGCAGCTCTGCAGGCGACTCGAATAAACAGGCTATCGCGGAGCTGACAACCAGTCCAGAGAGAAGTGTCATAATGATGAATCCGTGAAATCGCTGAAGCCTTGCCTCGATTTCGAAGTCGTGCCACGACTCGATAACCAATAACGCTCGCACCACTCCAATAGTGAGAAGGCCAGAAATACCCCAAACAAGCCCTGGTACCATGAGTCGGTACTCGTTGCATAGAAGTACAATTGAAGCTGAAATTGCGCCAAAAGCCCACCAAGGTGGAGTAGATTGTTGGTATTGTTTTGGGGGTTGCTGAGATGAGTAGTGGATGAATAGAACTAGAGATTCCGCAGCTGAAATAATCGGCTTTGGCAGATGGTTAGAGATGTAGAATGATGTGTATGAATGGCTCATATGTGATTATTCATGACTTACGAAGAGCATAACAAGAGCTGGCAAACTAGGCATATGCAAAAGTCCTTGAAACAGCATGGGTAATGACACTGCTGCCATCACAGACACTGGTAGTATGCCTTTCCAATTCTGGTTCGGCAATAGTTGCAACCACCTTGGCCTTCTGAATCTGTACCATAATAGTTCCCTATTGTCTGTATGCGATGATTCTGTGCTCGTAAGCAAGGCAATCGCATAAACTAGGAGGATGGCTCCGAAGGTTCTGAAGGCTATCGTTGCCGCTGTATGATTATTAGGAAAGGGTGGCAGGAGAACATAGGAGGTTTGACATGCGGTAATCTATCGTGTATTAGTTACTGAATGTTCAGATTTAGAAAACTATATGCTTGATACTTACGGTAATTGTGATTGACTAGAAGTCGTTTGGTAGAATACAGGGCTGTTGCAGAGCAAATTGTCCAGCAGCTGTCATTTATCAGAATCAACCCACAAGTAGAAAGGAAACAACTTTACAGTGATCTTGCGCCAGGTTGATTGACTGCTCGTTGTCTTGGGTAGATTTCCATCTCCAAGTCCGAGAACACTGTTTCGTTTCCTGAGAATTGTTGGGTCGCATCTGGAACTGCCAGATTTCGACTTCTCTTCGTGTTGGTTTCGTGCGTACGCCCTCTGTTGCTTTTTTGTAGGCAACAGTCAAATCTCCTCGGGTAAATGGCAAAAGCAACTTGCCAAGGAGGTCAAGTCTTGGGTATTAGGTGTGCATTTAGGAGACCTGCGAACACGTAAATTCACTGATAAGTATCACCTCACCTGTCGTATCAATCACACCCTTTACAGGGAGTGCGTTGTGTAGTGACACCCTGTAATTAAGCGAAGAACGCTGAAATTTGAATGCGGTTGTCGTCTATGCAGCCTTAGCGTCTCGCTTCAGCGCCATGCTCTGGAAAAGTGTGTTTCGGCAGTTCAGGGGGCTAGGGATCCATGTTGAAACTACCTTGGTTAATCCACAGTGCACCTTGTAACAACCTGCCTCTGTTGCTATTGAGAATCAACCGGTCCTAAGGTACCTAGAGCGTCAGCTTCGGTCAGTCGATTTTCGGAACACAAGTCGATTTAGTAAGGTATTGTTATTATAGTAGTAATTGAGGCTATTCGCAAGTACCTTACAACTTCTTGCAGCTGTGTAGTGAATTGGAGGATATCGCACCCATTCATTGATCTCTGTACTACGTCCTACCAATCACTAAGGGCTCGTGCGGTTGATAAGTGTACGGCTATGATTACTTTACGATGGAGCAGAGACTTGGCAAGTATTAGGCAGCCATTTGGCAGATTTTGCTGGCCCCTTTTGGTATGTTGAAGGTCCTGCGTCAGCGCTTACTTCTGCCGCCAGAGTCGCCAAAATGTGTTGGAGTATGTCAGTAACACGTCTTAGACTAGAGAAGAGCTTGATTTCTTGCAGGAGCGTACGGTTATAAACACGGGTGCTTCGGTGATCGATTTCCTGAAACCAGAAAATCAGCCATTCCTCATCAGTATTGCTTCCCCTAGCTTACAAACCCTTTAAATTCTCGCTTAATTCTGCTCAGGAAATTGTGCATAAACATCGACTTTGGGTCGCGCAAAAGATTCCGACTTCCCAGGCTACGGCGAGTGCTTTGTAAAATAAGAACTGCCCATGAATAGACGTATTTGGAAGATCAATGTTGGTGTGGGTGTAGGTGTCCATCGTCCGTTCTTGCTGGAAAATACATTAATAGTCAAGTGGTTGGAATAGGAGGTACTATTGCCTAAAGTCTGTGGAGTGATTATGTTTTCCAAACAAATTAGCCCAAGCATAGTACCTATTAAATTCACGTTGAATTCATTCATTATCTCCGCTCTCATAGCCTGACTGAATCAAGAACAACTTCAACTTTAGACATTCCATCCTTCCCAAGGACTCCACAAGCTTGTTCTCTTTTCGCTTTTTAAGGAGACAGCTTCTGATCTTCTTGCATCTCTCGGGGGCTTAAGATGGCGCCCCTATTCTCTATGCTTGAAAAAGGTTGGACGTTCTTTCCATTCTGGCTCGCAAGAAGATATATTCAGGCTGATGCAAATATTATTGCCCGTCAGACGAGCTCTGTTGAGATACACGGGATAAAACCACTATGTCTCTGTTCGGATATGTGTAGTTGATGATCATGCAGTTTCCTGTCGCTGAAAGTAATAACACATACAGCCCCGAGGGTAGGGCGATGATCGAGTTTCAACTTGGCTCGTTCTTTCAAATACGCGCATTCAAATCTTGCGGGAGTTATTAGAAGCTTCCTAGCGTCAGTATAAGCCCTTCTTCGAGATCAAGGTTATTCACTTGTTTGCTTGCTTTCAAACTCCCATCACTTCACCCGCGTATCAAATGTTGAACTTTCCCCACAGCGGCAGACAAGAGTGAACGCATCAGGGGTCGCAACATAATCCTCTCATTCCCATGCGACAACATATGTAATACGATATTTGGACTGAAAAGAATATCTGCAAATAGTAAGAGTGCTTGGGACGGTTGCACGGTCCAACTGGGTTGGGGGAAGTGGGGGCGAGGTGAGGGATGGGCGGAGAACAGAAATAGATACACGATACACGAGAGCAGTCTGTCATACCGTTACGCTTGATTGACACAATGGAGGGGATTCTACTCTCTAGGGCAAAGAATACAAGTGAACATTGGCTTACTGTCTGAAGCCTTACTCGCACCTCTTATTCTACACGTGAAGTCGCTCGTCTTACTGGCCTGTGAAACTGTCTCAAATCATACACCTTCGCTAAGAACCTCTTTCAGCTTCTACAAGATCACTTGGTACATGCAAGCTAGTTTCTTATAGATGTCAGTACATTTATTTACCTGGCAAGGATACTGAAATTTTTAAGTGGGTTGAATGTTCAATGTACTAGTAAGAGGCTGTTTGTTGTTTTGAAAGAACAGCTGAGCTCGCTAACCCTGAGCCCCAATTACCGAGAACCTTAATTTTTCACCGCATTTCCAAGACATGTAATTAGTTTGTGTTGCTATTAGATTGAGCGGCCAAGGGGCAGACACCGGAGTAAACGTAAAGCAGAAGTAATTTGCAGTAGACATAGCTAAAGCCATACTGGCCAGCTCTCATAATTGATCTATCGATAATCAACACAAGCAAGAAGCTAAAATACTGTACAGTCCAGCCCAGCCCTGCTGCATCAAAGACTACTTCTTCTGCCTCTTCGCATCCTTGTCACTAACCGCACTCAATACGCTCGCACTTCTCTTATGATTCGCACTCGAGCCCCTCACACTAGGTGCAGCGCTCTTCTCCCTCTCCTCCTCAACCTTCAAGCTTGGCTCATCCGCGCCCTCATCTGCTTTCTTCTCAGCAGTCTGCTCAGTACTAGCCTCGGCACTCGCATCTGCATTTGCATTTACATTTGCATTTGCATCAGCTGTTGTTTTTAGCTCTGCTTCACCATTTGGCTGCACTTCAGGTTCAGGCTCCGGTTCTCCACGCTCAGCTCTCTCCTTCTTCTCGCGCTCTGCTTTGATGTTCAGCGCAGTGTTCAATTCACCCTGCAGCTTATCCATATGCTTCTTCTGATCAAGAAGCAAATTGACGCCTGCGAGGAGATTATCCCAAGCCTCGCCAACAGCAAATGTAGGCATGAAGATAACCGTGGAGGAAATCCCCAGCTCTGTAAGCACATTGGTGATCTTCGCCTGCTGCGTTTGCGATTTGCTGACAATTGGCTTCCTGATCTTTTCCTGGCGGAATGAAGGCCCGCTGGTGGTAATACGCTCGAACCGCTTGACACCGTACATGATCTCTTCTTCGGGGGTGAGTTGTCGACGGTCTGTTTGGGGCTGTGCGGGCCCCTTTTTGTTATTGGGTGCGTTGCTTCCACTGGGTCCTGAAATAGATTCGCGGATGCTACTGTCGCGGCGGTCGAAACTGGCTTGTTGACTTGGCCCGCTGGGGCCAGGAGCTGGACTGACGCCTTCGGCGCCCATGAGGGATTTCCTCTTCTTCGTCTTGTCGACTGTCATTAGTTGTTGGAACAGTTGTGAGAGACCTGAACTCGATTGGTAAATTGCCACTGTGCCGTTGCTTGGAGGCGATTCCAGGAGTTGGTAGAGCTCCCTTCGTTCATCGGACAATCTTTCTGATCTTGCCAGGATACGCTTCAATTCCACCAAAAGACTCTCTTCCTCCTTAGCTTCTTCCCTCGTCCTCCTGAATGCCGCTTCTGCAAACTTCTTGCGGTTTGCTTCCTGTAGTGGATCATAACCCTGCATGAGCTCTAGCAAGTTGAATTCCGCATGGTTCATAACCTCTACTTTAGTGTTGACCTTCATCATAGCCGCAGCCACAGCATAGTATCTTGCTTTCATATCCTCCATACTTCGAACTTTCGGCTGTGCAACCATAACACCCTCCATAGATTCGCCTTCTCCTTGTGATATTGGAACCTGGTAATCGTATCGATCCCAAATACAAGGCCACCTCAAATCATACTCCCGCACCAACTGTAAAAGATAATCCGTCTCATCCTTCGTCCAGTCATTACTCCGCAGCACCAAGTTATACTGCTCATCCGTATACTGAGGCGTGTTGACATGAACATTGAACTTCGCAAACGTCGAATCTTCCAACACCGGTTCCGGCTTATCAGCCTGCTCAGCACCTCCCTCCTCCGCACCAGGCACAACATCCGCCTTCCTCCTCCAGTGGTGCAAGACGAGCGGATCTCCGTTCCTGGCCGAGTTCCTGAATCCTCTCAACTCCCACTTCGCGGCCGGTTTCCTGCTCCCGAACTTCTTCTTTTTGAACGTCATAACCTCCGGGACGATAGCTATTGGATTGTCGCCGCTCAAATTCTGGACTTCGCGCGCCAGACCTTTCAGGACCGGTCGAGGGGCGGAAATCTTCTGCTTCTTTGCTGGTCGTGGAGCTGGTTCGCCAGGCAGGTCCAGCATCTGGCGCACATCGTGGGACGTCATTCTGTAACAGTCGCTGTATTGAAATTAGATCTCGAGCCCGAAGCCAAAATCCCGATGGATTCGATGTTTTGCGATTTATCGTTGATGGTTGAAATGCTGCTTAATTGTGACGTGCCAATAATGTTCAGAAAGCGCGTTTGCGACAATCAGCACGTGAATGCGCTAAAATGCAGCAACAGGGGGTAGAAAGTTGAACGAACTGGCCAGAGAGATCAAGGAGAGGGAGAGGCATGCTCGCGCGACAACCTGGCCCAATCCTCCCATCGACGTCCGCAACTTCAACGCAATCTCTCCGTCGAATTGAAGAGAGCATATAGACCATGCGTTCAATCATTCCACTGCTCTCGCTGAGCGCGCTGCTCGTCCCAGTCCAATCCCTATACTTCTATATCGATGGAACGACGCCCAAATGTTTCTTCGAGGAATTGCCCAAGGATACGCTCGTCGTGGGACATTACTCTGCGGAGGAATTCGATGAAGATAGGAAGACGTGGAGCAAGCATGATCAGTTGAATATTTTGATTACAGTTGATGTACGTGCTGTCAGAATTATGCTTCCCCCATATTTATACCCCTTGACTTCAAGACTTTGGCCTGGACACTTGCCTACTTGGACTTGGTCCAGTACAGCTCAGCAGAAACAAAATATCAAACTAACAACCCCCACAGGAAGTATTCGACAACGACCACCGCGTCATCAACCAAAAAGGGTCCGCATCAGGGCGCTTCACATTCAGCGCAGCCGACTCAGGCGACCACAAGATCTGCTTCACAGCCTCCTCAACAGCCGTCAACAACGGCTGGCTCTCCGGCCTCACGCCCCTCGGCGGCGTGCGCCTCACGCTCGACCTGGCCATCGGCGAGACCTCCCAGATCGAGAGCACGGATAAGGGCAAGATCCAGGACATCGTCAAGCGCGTCAAGGATCTGAATGGCAGGTTGCAGGATATCAGGAGGGAGCAGGTCTTTCAGAGGGTAGGTCCTTTCTTTCTTTACATCCAGATGTTCTCTTGGTGCAGTGTCCTTTCTATGTACAGTCAGGTTTTGGGCCTGGCACGCCCTGCTTGCCTTCCTTCTTGGACCATTCGATACGTCCAATGGTATCTTTGGATATTGAATGAATAAATACTAACATTAAACCCCACAGGAGCGCGAAGCCGAATTCAGAGATCAATCCGAAACCACCAACGCCAGAGTCGTGAGATGGACATTGGTACAGCTGGTCGTTCTAGGCATCACCTGCGCCTGGCAACTATCGCATCTGAGATCCTTCTTCATCAAGCAGAAGTTGACTTAAAAACATGCATGAGCGCGAGAGCGAATTGAAGAAGGGGCTTGTTCCAGGGTCCGGACCAGGAAGCTATGTAGCTAGGACTGGTCCAGTAGAGAGAAAGCTCTGTTGTGAGATTTGTTTTTGTAAAGTAGAAAAATTACCTAGGGAGGGAAAGCAAAGCATGGCATATGCCGGACGGAGTAATTCAAGATCATTTTGACACGATTTACGCTCTACTCAAGTGTGTTTTTACAAGATCACTGAATTGGTGGATGATAGGTAGGTATTAGGATGGGCATGAGTGCAGCGACAATCACGGGGGGAACAATTTATGATTTTCAAGACTTTTTTTTCCATTCATCGAACTGAGAGAAGCCCAGAAGTAAAAAAGAATCTTCAAAGCCCAATCAATGCAATTCTTCTATGTCACACACACGCACCCCATTCGCCATTGCTTTCGCTCCGAAAATAGAAAACTGATACTATCGTGAAGTCCCTTCCATGCTGCTTAACAAACCCAGGAACCGCTTCAACCGAGTCGAGTCAGGTCGAACCAAGTCGAACCAAGTCGATTCTACCGCGCTCTAGGGGTAAGAGTGCTGCTGCTACTACTACTACTGCTGTGGCCGTGGAAGGAAACCGAACGATGATGCTGATGATGAGGAAAGGCAGGAAACGAGACATTAAGTTCCGAAGTAATTCTGTGACATGGGCCATGTGCCGGGTTGAGGAGGACTGGGTTGGATGATGACGGATGGATGGATGGCCGAGTGTGTTCATGCGAGCGAAGGCCGTGAAAAGCCTAGGAGGGCTGGACTTTGTATCTAACAAACAGCGAGAGTCGTTACTGCTAATAGCAGAGGAGAAAGACAGGGGAAGGGCAAGCTCCTGTTCGCTTGCGGGAAGGTTACATGATCTGATTAGGAAGAGGTGGTGTCGAATGAGATTTTGGTCATGAGTGCCTCTGGAAGGCAAGCGAGTTGAGCGAGAGTCTTGTGTGTTGAGAAACTGAGTGGCTAAGGTGATATATTCATCCTATATAAATCAGCAGTTGGTCGATTGACAGTCTTGAACCATACTAACCGCAACATAGAGCTTTCATCAGCTTCTGGAAGCCCGACGGTTGAGGTTCTGAGGCCCTCCCGTTCTGGGGTTGAGCGCTCATGTTTGGCTGGGGCGTCATCCGCTGAGGCAGGTTGTTCGAGCTGTTCTGGAACTGTGCCTGGGTTGAGCCTGTGGGAGTAGCGACGTCTTGGAGGCCCCCCGCCGCTCCGCTGCTGCGTTTTGGGACCAACCCGCCTGGGGCGTTTGGTCGATCGCGCGTCTTGCCCATCCCCGGCTTGATTGGGGACGGTGGCGGGGGTTGCGCGGCGTTTAAACGGGCGGCAGTAAGGTGACCTGGCGTGCTATTTCCTCCGCGTGTTGTTCCGTGCAACTCTCTATTTGATGCTCCTGGTTGAGCATTGGGCTGGTGTAGCATATGCTGCGAAGGGTGTTGCTTCATAGCCTCCCATCCCTTGCCGTTGTTGAGCTTCATCCAGTCGTATTCGCCATCCTCAACCTCCCCAGTGTTCTTCAATGCCTGGGTGAACAGATCTCGGAGGTAGTCATAATCAGGGGTATCCTCGAAGCCAAGATTTCGGACGTAGCTCAAGTACTTGTTGAACTCCTCCGGGAAGCCATCACAGAGATCCTTGATAGCAGTGGTCTGCTTCTTCTCTCCAATCTTCTCGTACTTCTGCTTGTTGGTCGCGGCCTTAAGTCCTTGCCATGGAAGTCCTCCTCTCAGGAAATACATGAAAACATGTCCCAGTGCCTCCAGATCGTCTCTTCTCGATTGTTCACGGCCCAAGTGGGTGTTGATGCTCATGTACCTCGCGGTACCAGATAGTGATTTCCTTTCCCGGTATGGAATGTGTTGCTTCGTCTTTGGGTCTCGGTATTGCTTTGCCATTCCAAAATCAACGACATGTATCACATTAGCAGATTTGGATCCAGGTCGGCCAATAAGGAAGTTGTCAGGCTTGATATCACGATAGATAAGATTCTTCTCGTGGATCGTTTGGACTCGTGACAGCTGCTATAGTCAGTACAGCACCAAATGAGATACATATGACAACTAACCATCTGCTTCGCTACCATTACCACCGTCTTGGTGGAAAACCTTCTGTTGCAGTGGTCAAAGAGATCCTCCAGAGACGGTCCGAGGAGATCAATGACCAGTATGTTGTGAAGGCCTTCTTGGCCGAAATAATAGACATTAGGGATCCCAGCTATTCTGAATCAGTATCAAGGCCTCCAAATGATCTATTACATGCACTCACGGCAGCCAACAAGAATCTTGTATGTCCGGTACTCGTCTCGCAATTGTGGGGCGTCACTCTTTCGAGGTTCCTATAGAGATCAAAGGTGTGAGCTGGCAGCCTTGTAACAATCTGCCGGGTCGTGTAGAAGCATGTATACAGCAGCTAACTGTTGGATATGATGTGCGAGTGAGTAGACGTACGAATTTGATGGCAACCTGTTGATTGTTCAACAGATTTGTCCCCTCGAAAATCACACCAAAAGAACCCTCTCCGATCTTCTTGCCGACACGGTAGTGGACACCGACGACATTTGATGATGAGGAAGCCATGGAGTATGTATTAGAAGCTCGGAGTCGAGCTCGTTGGCGGAATGAGCGTCAGGTTTAGGGGATAGCTGGGTAGCCTGGTTTTTTCCAGTCGAACGAATCTCGGGGAGAACGCGAGGCTCGGGGGGCAACAATGCACGCGACGACTGAGCACGGAAGGGATCAGCTTGCGTGGTCCTCCAAAGAATATGTCCCAGAGATGGCGGCCCTCTCCCACGACGATTGAGCGTCGTTGATGGTGGGATTGAAGATGGAAGAGTGAGGTTAGGAGTATGGACGGGGCGGACTCACGACAAGCGATGAAGCGAAGCTCTCTCTGGTCTGGCTCTCCACGGGAAGCGCGCAGGCGGGTTGGGATGCAGCACAGCACAGCACAGCACAGCACTACACGACTCTTTGCAGGGCAGGCTTCCGAGTTTTGGCGGTGCTGGGCTGGGGGAATTCTTCAGGAGAAGGCAAAGGCGGCGCAGCAGATTGAGGCTTGGTCTTGAGTCTGCGGTGTCATTGAATGCTTGGTTGTCTGCTGGATCGATCTGATTCAATTGAGAAGTCGAACGACGGAGACGACAAAAGATGGCAGGCAGACAGACAGACAGACAGACTCGAATTGTTGACAGACAGATTGGAAAAGGCAGTGGCCCGTGAGTGCCCCGGCGCACTGATTGAATCGATCTCAGGCCCGGAAATTAGCTTGCTGCAATAATCAGTGAAGGCTCTGAGGCAGGACAGGCAAGACAGGCGAAGGCGAGACAGGCGAGACAGGCATCCAGGTCAGGTCTGCAGTTCGAGGGGCAGGCAGGCGGGCGGGCACTGGGCACCGGGCACTGGGCAGCGAGGCAGGCTGGCAATGGAAGGCAAGGAAGCTCGAAGGGAAGGGATGCTGTGCCGGGCGATTCAGGGATGCGTGAGGGAGTATGGGCGAAGTGGAGTGGGTGCACTGGGTGCACTGGGTGGACAACCGTAGGCGCAGACTGTCGAGATTATCGATAGCCGTAGCCGCAAACCATCATGCTACTATATTGGGCACGAGTCCACCGTCCGGCGTCCAGACGATGCGGTGAGTAAGGATAGCCGATGCAAGTCGTGAAAGCTGCTGCTCTAAACATGCACTTTATTTATTTACTAACGGACTGGCGGCGATACGAGGAGGCTAGCAAAACAGAACAGAACAGAACAGAACAGAAATGCAGCCAAAGTGCACCATCCAGACCTCGGATTGTACTGTATGATCAGATCAGTCAGGTATGAAGAACCCAAGACTACAAACCAGTTCTGACAAATTCCATCAGGTAGGTCTCTGTGCCCGTTCGTTCGTCCTGTTCTTCAGACGAAGCGTGGCAGGTTTGAGGTTCTGAGGTCAGGAAGTCGGAGCACGAGTCTCGTGCACAGCTTTAAAAAGCTTCTAGAAGTCAGCACGATCACATCGTGCTATCAGCCTCCCGTCTTAATTCCAGACCTGACATTCCTCGTCGTCCAATAGTATCGTGAAGCTCACATCTTGACGATCGAGGTTGAAATTGGATGTCTGCTGAAGCGTGTAATTGGTGTCGACGAGGAATTTCCATGTTGCCAGTCGCATTGAAAAGGAATCTCAGCCGCACGGATACCAACATCGCACCCACTCAATTAGGCTTTTCGATACTAGGCTGGACTCTGGAGAATGTTGATCTGCAGGTCGAGACTCGGAGTCTTGAAGCTATACCGAACTAATGCCTGGTAGACAGTCCTAGTCTTCTTCCATCTTCATAAATAGCAAATAGTTTCATTCCACCACTATTCTGCAGAGCATGCAGAATGCAGATGATGAAGAAAAGTCTGTACCAGAAGTGAAGATTTATTTACAGTCCACCTATGGAATAGCGTGGCACCACGACCGTTGAGGTCGACCTACAGCTACCCTTACCTCTGCAGCGTGCAATAATGAAGTACCGACTGCAGGAACTACGTTGTCCATGCATGATCAACGTCTACACACAACCACTACAGTCCCTGGCCATGCAAGAAGTGCCGACGAGTTCACCGACTAAACTGCTCTCTGTGAAGTAGCTACCGAGAGAGAGAGAGAGAGATCCTTTCTTGTCTTCCAAAGTTTCTCCGTCAATTGACTTTGATGATCGTACCTATTGCCGGCATAAACTCACTTTCTATCAAGCCGCTGAAATCACAACCCTCGCTTCCATCAACAGTAATGTAAACAACAGAACCAGAAACAGAACCAGAACCAAATCTGACTCCCCTGACTCGTTCCCCGTCAACCTCCCCTCACAACTTCTTCACAAGACAGGCCAGCCACGGCGACTCTCCAATCCAAGAACGCCCCACCCCGCCTTCAACAGTTCCACTTCTCCCTACCTTACCTCCATCCCTTTCGCGATAAACAACTTTACCTACTTAAATGGCATCCCTACCCGACCCACCAAACCTTCAATCTCCGTCCCCCCCCCCCCCCCCTTTCCCCCCCCCCCAAATTACCTACCTTACCTTACCTTAACCTTACCCCTGAACGTAGCCCCATCTTGGCCGAGAACCACTCAACTCACTCAACCCAGCCAACCAACCCACATGCATCCCTGACAAGACAAGACCAAGACCAAGACTGGAAACAAAACTCAACCCCGCAAGGGCACGAGCACGAGCAAGCCTCGCCCTCGCTCGCCCCTCATCCGATTCGTCTGGCTATCGCGTGCAAGCAATCTCGCTAAGACGTGCGGGACGTGGTTTTTTGTGTTTGTTTTGTGTTACGGATGGGAAGTATCATTATTGGGGGGCATCCTGGGGGCAGATCTTGGAGGAGCTCCCCCATACCAGTCAATCAATCAATCAATCGATCAATCGATCAATCAATCAATCAATCAATCAGTCAGGCAAGATCATATATGAAGAGAGTTGTGGTTTGCTGCAGCAGCGTTTCATTTGATGGTTTTGCAATACCATACCATACCACACTCTCGCTCGCTAGGTACCTGTTTGACACTCCATGTCATTTTTCATGCTTCCATTTTCCCCGAATATTCGCTTCTGCTCGCTTGCTGTGCTCATTATGGACTGTATGCTGTTTCCAGTTCGCCGACTGGTAGTAGTCAAGGTATCAAAAAGAAAAAGAAGAAGAGAAGGCACAAGCATGTAGCTCGAAATACAATTAGCGCCATCCAGCCGTCCTTGACCCAAATGATTCGCGTGATTGATTGACAGATAAAACCAAGAACACCATGAATATCAAGTTCCAAGCTCCAATTCAAGAGATTGTTACACCGCGCTGCGGACATGTCTCACACCATCCTCCGTTTGCGACCCTCAAATCCCTCTGTACTCCTCCCGAAAACTTCAAGTTCTGATCGACTGTCGAAACTTTCCAAGGTGGCCGTTTGCTTTAGGCTTAGGCCTGTATCGTTGCTTGGAGTGTAACAAGGCGTCAGCTCTCTTCAGCTCTTTCTCCCTAATTTCTCCTTCTGCTAGGACGAGTCGAGCCTGTGCTTGTTGCATATTCTTCCCATCATCTGTCTCTTCCGCAAGCTCAGTCTCGTAGTCTTGCTTCGCCTTGTCCAGCACAGTCTGGTACCAATCCCCGAGTCTATTCTTGTCCTCGAGCTGCAAGCTATCGTCCTCGACTTGCATGTCACCCACAATTCTCTCCAGGGTGCTCGCATCAGTATTGGTGAACCGACTCTCCACATCAGCTACACCAGCGCCTAGTACTTCCTTATTATTCATCGGCTTCATGTTCTTGTTCTTCTCAAAGAAACCTAGTTGGTCAGCAGAGATCCTTGGCGAGGGTATCTGAGTAGAAGTTACGTACTATTCTTGAAGCAGCAGTACAATGTTTGGTACAGGGCGGTCTTTCGGAGTTGCTCATCATGCTGCTGCTCGTCCTTTGAAGTCGTGTTGTTCACTTCCGCCCAGTTGTCGCTCAGCATGCAGCGTCTCCAAACAATACGCTGCATCAGTTGCTGCTCGTCCTTGTTGAACTCACCATAACTTATGGCTTGGAGTGCAAGGAAGAATCGGGAGTAGATAAAATTCTCTTGAGCAAGGGTCTCCACCTGCGTTCCCATCAGTGTCAGAAGGTCGACAAGCTCTGCAACAGGCATGGCCTCTTGCTTGATGAGTCGCGCCATGCTTTCTTGTAACAGATTCGACAGCATAAGCTGCTTCCGTAGTTTTCGGTTGCTATGTGCTTCAAGGGCTAGCTGGAGCTCAGCATTTTCGTCGATTGCTGCCGCAATAGATGGAAGAACAAAATTATAGACCTGATTTTGGATCCTGATCAGCCCAAGTTGACTGGAAGCACGTGGAAGCTCCGAGTTGTGTTCATCTGGCAAACTTCCAACAGGCTCGCTGTAGTCCTGTGTGGAGAGGAAGGCCAGCTTGCCCAGGCTCAACTCGATCTTCTTGCTCCACAAGTCCGATTCATGCCTGAGACCGAGGTCGAGAAGTGCTGTGGAAGCCGTTTCAAGATCGCTCTCTCGAGTAACATCATTGATCCACGAAACTTTCGCGTACTCTGGCTTGCTCCGAAGAAATTCGGTCAGATATGTTTGTTCATCCTTCCATTCATCCAGAAGTTGTTCCATCAATCCACTGTCTATTTCGTGCTCGAACAATGCCTTCGCCCATTTAGTGCCAAACTTCACGAAGAGTTGTTGCACTGAATCCTTCATTTGCTTAGATCGAGCTTCCAGGTAATCGGCATCCTCGTCGCTGAGGCCGGGTTGTAGGGATTGTATGCGGCTTGAATCCAACTTCCACAGTAGTAGGCGTGCCAGAACTGGTAAAATCTCATGTTTCTCGGCCAAGGCGAGTGCTCTATCTGTGAGATCCATGTCGGCGGCAAGGCTACTAAGGTGTTTATCCTCAACATCGCTCAAAGCTGATTCCATCTGGCTTGCTTGCTCTTGATCACTTTGCGAATGCTGCGCTAAGCTCCATTTGATGCGCTCAGTATTAGACCGAATAGCTGTATCGATGAGGTCGGGAAATTCAAGTCGAATCTTGTCGACCACCTCTGCGCTTGGGTCACCCTGCCCAATAGGTTTCCCGATATATTCTCTCAAAAGCATACCACCTAAATCAACCTGCTTCCTAAGATTTTCGGCAATGAAAAATGTAGATGTCCAGAACTCTGGGAGTCCCTCGTAGTCAGATTTCAGAATACCATGCTCGAGTTGTTCGCCTCCAAGGCCGTAAAGACCCAAGTTGGCTGTTCGAAAGTCGAAGGCGCTCTGTATCGCACCCATCACCAGATCATCGGCCTCGCTCAAAAGGTCCATAACAGATGCATGATCTTTCTGGCCATCCTGATAGGTGTACTTGATGACCTGAAATGCCCAAGGTATCGCGATCTGTATCTTAGGAACATCGTTGATGAACCAATGTCTCACTGCATCAACTTCACCCTTTTCCTTGGACGGTTCATGCTTTTGGGTTTCGTTGATGTATTCGACAAGCTCGGACATGAGATCACCCTTCTTACCATCTGGCATATGTCTCACAGTTTCGTCGTGACGTTTCCACATGGTTGTTGCTGCTGCAATCTTTTCGGCGTCTCCCAGTAGTTGCCACTTTGTGAGTCGATCCAAGGCGACTCCGCTGGCCTTCAAGTAAGTCGCAAGATCTTTCAATAAAGTGGCTCGCTTCTGCAGACTTTGACTGACAGCTAGAGTGGGGAGGTTTTCTGATCCCAGAATCTCTGCACTGAGTTTGATGGCCGCCTTGCCTACTTGTTCAGCCGGAAATTCAAGCTCTGGTCGAACTTTAAAGCTCAGAGGATTGTCCTTGATAGCCCCGTAGAAAACGGCCTGCTTCAATTTGCTATAAGCATCGACCTGCGGCGCGTCGGTAGAGATCAATTTGATTTTATCGGTGGCAGCAACGCGAACTACACCACCACCTCGAACTATAAGAACAGCTGCTGGGTGCTTGGCCTTGAAACGGCGAGATTTGGTGTCAAGTACCAGCGAGGACCCATGTGGCTCTTCCATGCCAGACCCAACAATCTCAATGTTCATATCTCGCCGCAAGTCTATCACATCCTCAAAGGGCTGTGGGAGAAGGTGGCTTTCAGACCGAAGTTGATTTTCTGGGGATTCGGGGTGCTTGGCGGTTGAAATCACAACAACCGCGCGAGCGAAAACTACATATGCCATGAGTGCTGGGCTTGGAAGGTACAGTCGAGGTTTTGAGGTTGCGTCTCGACTGGGGGGTGTTGTGTAAGAAGTGATAGGCCGAATATCTGTGACGGACAGTTTTGTGGCCTTCAGGTCCACACTGACCAAGAAATAATGCGAGTTTTGTCGGTGTGTCAGGGAGGTCAACAACATCAATTGCGTGACGCCGCTCTGATCGCTAAATTGAGGCTCGACAGCCGATTTTGGGATGTATGTGAAGTCATGGATTTCGAAGCCTTCAATGAGCAAGTCATTCAGCGCAGGATTTGCAGCTTTGATGGCCATCACAATTTCTTCTCGACCTTCTGCATCTCCGGTGATGTCTGCATGTCCGCCGCGGTGTATATTCCAGGATTGCAGCTTGCCCTTGGTTGTCGCCATAACTATGCTCCGCTCTCCCACCTTATTATCGTGTCGTCCTGCTCGAACCGCAGCAATGTCTCCACGCCAAGCCGAGCTCGACAATGCATTCCGCAGGCTGCCAAAGAAACTACCACTGGCTGGCCCATTTCCAGCACGGAGAAACTGTACGGAAATTGCAGGTCTTCCTTGTCCATCTCTGACGGCCATGTATGCAATTCTACCAGTGCTGAAAGCGAGCACGAAACCGGCAGTTTCAGCATTCAAAATTTGGATAACGGTCTCCCCCGATATCATTCCAGGGATCGATAGTTCCACTCCATTTCGCTGAAGTCTGAGGTCTAGAGTCGCCGCACTAGAAACCGATTCCCAGTATGTTATTTTGCCGCTCGTGGGAATAACAACTACAAGTCCAGGTTCTGTGGAAGACGCTGAATGAGACACGAGAGATCCAAGTGGAAGTGGGTCGGAGGCGCGTTTTGAAGGCTGTGGAAGAGCAAACATGAAGGTTTCGGGGGATTGTATGTTAGCAGCGTATGGCCATACAATTGCGTGGGTGTGTGTAAGGGTGAGGGCATAGCCATTCTCTGAATTGATGGCGCCATGCTGTTCAACTGCTCCTTTCATTAGATCCGTTCTCGAAACATTGTAACATGTACGCACCTGTGCTGTCTGTCTTCAAGAGATCTGGCAGGGCAGGGAGCTTGCTAACAGTATATGTATCGTTCGATGTCTACGCATCGCAGAATTAGCATCGTTCCCCGGGACCTCGTAGATGGGAACATACAAGCACACTGCTTCCATCACCCTTCGTAATTCGCTCTCCCGATCTTGGTTTCTTTCCTCTGACTGCGATCTCTCGTTGCAAAGCAATAGCTTCCCCTGCGCTCCCAGGTCGAGCAAGACTAGCAACCATCGAGTTCCTCGTTTCTTCCATCTCCGGCCCAGCTCCAGGCGGTACAAATGTCTGGTCGTTCAGCCTTTGCCGCTTTCCTTTCGGTGCGCTGAGGCTGCCTTCATTCGATGGAGGTCTTGGGCGTCGCCGGGTGTTTCTCACGGTTGGCTGCGGTGTCGCGCCATTTGTTGACGTATTAAACATCGCGGCGATAATATGGATGTAGAGAGAGAGCTATCGTAAGCTCAGGATTGGATCCACGCCAATGGGTTGATGGCATCTGCGGGTCGCAAGTGGTGGTGAGTTATTCTTGTTGTCTTTGTTGACATGGCCGGCAGATTTTACGACGAGAGCTGCTGGCAATATTCGGCGCTAGCGTGCTTTAAGGCGGTCAACTTGAGCTCTGCACCTCAGAAAACAAACGATAAAGTCCACAATAGTACATTTACATTCATCAATTCTGCCTTTCTTTCTCTGAAACTGGTGGTCCATTCAAAACCTACCTTTTCATGGTACCCCCAATTTAAAGCCTTTCTTTTTGGATATTCAATGAAGAGCTACCTATTTTGGCCAGTGGAAGGATTCATCCGTCGATGTTTTCCACCCTTCACCCTTGAAGTTGTGATGAACAGGTAGGAAGAACAGCCTACATAAGCTATTCCTAGAGCTTCAAAGGATTTAATATTTCACATATATGAACAGCTCAGGTAGGCAGAAAGTTAAGGGTGAACTTGGTGACACGTGACCTTAGCTTGCGACCCCTTCAAGTCGTTCAATGTTGACGTCTTCCATCCGCTGTCATATTTCTGGATGGTACTGATTTCAACCATGCCACCACAATTATCCACGACAGCAAGTACGAGCCTTACAATATCAAATCCTTTGGTGCTTTATCGATCCTTACTGGCAACTAAAATAATCGATCCTGATCCGGCGCAACACAGACTAGCTCTTGAGCTTCAAAATATATAGTAAATCTCCCTCAGTATAGTTATATATTCCATACTGAAAATATACCACACATAATTTCAGTCATATCTTTCACAAATTTTAGATGCAACTTTACTGATGTGATGTAGTCTACGGTTAAAAGACTACTCACCAAAAGCTGAATATGGCTCACGACTCAGAGCGATCAGTCAAGCAATTGAGGATGCTCCAAAGCCAAATGATGAAAACTCAGTGGCAGTTCCTGGCCATCCGCTGAGAAGGAACCCTCTCTTTGCCCATTTATTCCCAAAACAGGAGACAGACTCCCTTGCACTGACAAGAATTCTGACAAGTCATGATGCTGCCATGAATATTGACTCCCCGAAAGGGATGCTGCTTCATGGAGAAGTAGGCACCGGAAAGTCTATGCTATTTGACCTGCTTGCCGACAGTCTTCCAAACAAGAGGAAGAGGCGATGGCACTTCAATACTTTCATGCTGGAAACTCTTGCAAGGTTAGAGCAGCTTCGGCAGACCCGCTCCAAAGGAAGCGCCTCTGGAGCAGATGCAGAACACTCTCTTGTATGGTTGGCAAAGGATATGGTAGAACAAACCCCGATATTGTTCTTGGACGAATTCCAACTACCAGATCGAGCAGCCAGCAAGATTCTGAGCAATCTTTTCACGGCGTTCTTTCAACTAGGTGGAGTACTAATCGCCACATCGAACCGCATGCCGGACGAGCTGGCTAAAGCAAGTGGTATGGACTTCGCTGCACAACCTCGGGGCGGACTTGTCCGAGGCTTGTTCGGATTCGGTAGCAAAGGCAAGATTTCCATGTTCCCGGCAAACGACGAGTACGCAGGCTTTGTGGAAGTTTTGAAAGCGAGATGTGAGATCTGGAACATGGAGGGTGGTCGAGACTACAGGAGAAGAGAGACGGAGGAAATCAATGAGGAAGAAAACGAGATTGTGGAGACTATGAGGCAAGAAATGATCGGAGGATTTGCAAAGCACGACGAGCGTGTCCTTGGAGAGACTTTGGCTGCAGTGTCGAAATTGATATCCGGAGCTGCGACTAACGAAGATGATTCTAAATTAAATAAAGGAATGACTCCCAGAAAGTACTTCTTACTCAGTATGGACTCCGAGGAACAGTGGCAGAATGCAATAAGAGCGAGTTTGCCATTAAACATGCCCAAGAGCATTCCATGGCAGTCTACAACACTTCAAGTCTTTGGACGAAAAGTCCCAATTCCCCGTTATCTAGAAGGAGTAACTTCTTGGTCATTTACAGATCTTTGCGGGGGAATGTTCGGTCCAGCAGACTACATCACTATGGCTTCCACATTTCACACATTCATTCTTGACGAAGTTCCCGTGTTGACACTAATGCACAAGAACGAAGCAAGACGACTAATTACCCTTCTTGACGCCCTGTACGAGGCTCGATGCAAGCTTCTCATCAGAGCTGAAGCCGGTCCGGATGACTTGTTCTTCCCAGAAACCAACATTCTGGCTGGACCCACAGCAACAGGCGTGGCAAGAGAAGAGAATGATAGTGGTGATGCCGTCTACCCAGAAACACTCTCGGAGATCTACCAAGACCAAACATCTCCTTTCCGGCCTAACATCTCATCATACACCGATGTCACTAAGGCGGGATATGATCCTGACGAAGATTCTGATTTCGGGCCTATCCCAGGAAAAGCCGGTGAGATTGGACGGAAAGTCGACTTTGGAATGACCAGCTCATTCACAGGAGAAGATGAGAGGTTTGCATACAAGCGAGCACGAAGTCGCTTATGGGAGATGTGCGGTGCCAGATGGCATGCTAGATCACAGCCAGGTTGGTGGAGGCCATTGCCAGTCGAAGTTCGGAGATGGGAACGATCCTCCCCACAATCGCCTTCCTCTCAAGGACCCCTCGAGATTAAAGGAGACGTGAAGATGGGCGAGTCGATCATACTCGATAAGCCGGCAGGACTTCAAGGGAAAGAGCTTGAAGAGAGGGAACGTGCTAAGAGTCCATTTAGAGAACCGCGCGATCCGCCTCCAGAATTTGGAGTCTGGCATGCTTGGGGAATCACGAAATGGGGAAAGAAGGCAGGAGTATGGGGTCAAGGTCCTGATGGCTTAGATGCCAGAAAGGGTAATAAATGAATTAGATTTGAAGCAGTGAACTGCGGCATTCTTGTGGTGTCAAATGCGGGCTTGACACTTCATAAATCGCATCGCACATGTCCATTCTTCATAAAATTTGTTATTAGTCTTGTGATATGCCAAAGTTCGGAAAGGTGGAATTGTCGGAACTGTTCAAGTAATTGCAATACTGCTGGCCATGTCTTTGACGAGCAGGGTTGTAATGTTATTGTACGGAAGGATCCGCGTTGGTCTGGAAAGTAGAATATTGTCTCGACAGATCTTAACGTGGGTGAAGCAAAATGACTTGGGTACGCTCTGGTACCGAGTTTCTCTCAATTCATTCTGGTTGCCTTATGACTTCCCCCTATCACGGGATTGTTGGGTATTATAAGAAACAAATATATCTAGCGCAATTAGACACAGAATTTTACCAGATTGACAACCCCAAGTCAGCTTACCTGATGCTCCAGCCACGGCCTCATGTCAAAACTCTTGCTCCCTTTCTCGTCTTTCCCGTCTCTAAGCAGGCACTCATTCTCTCACCCAGACAACAATCAAGGTCCTCCCGTGCCCGGCGTCCAACTCTCCCCAATCTTCCTCATATCTTCCGCAAACCTCTTACTAGTGATCTTCTTCCCTCCTCGTCCCGTAGGCGGGCTATGTTCATCCGGATCAAAGAATGGATTCTGTAGTAACCGCACATATGCCGCTTGCATAGCTCTGAAGACCTATTTCCCCTTCCATCAGCTACTTTCCCCTTGCCTCACCTGAAACAGCAGCTCTAAGTATCAACTGGAAGCAAAAGCCAAACTCACCACCTTCATCTCCCCCTCTCTCAACCCCAAGCCTCCACTCACAGCACCAGCTCTCCCATTCCCACCTGCAATAGCCCTCCCCCTCATATCAACCACAGCAACAAACCTCACCCCGGTATTCGTCTCAAATCCATACGCCGCCAACCTCTCATCAACAGCATGTAACAAGCCGAAATCCCCGCTCAAGCCCCCGCTAGAACTAGTGTTTATCTTGGACCGCGCTTCGAAGATGTCAAGTGTGCTGGAGAGGAGGAGACTATATTGCAGGGGTGTGAGGAGGGGTTTGGGAGGGCTGGTGGGTGAGGAGGTGGATATGCTGGGGAAGATAGAGATGTGGAGAGGGTTGTTCTGTGTTTGTTGGTCAGTATGTGGTATAAGGAATTTTCCTGAAGGGGGGAAGGGGTAGAAATACATTTTTGCCAATCACGCCTAGGCAGGCTATTGATGGTATTGTGGCCATTGTGTAGTGTTGTGTTGGGCTTCTTTGTGAGTTGGAGGGGCGTCGGCGCGGTGTTGACTTGAGGTTGATGTGGAGCCGAGATTTGAGGGTCCGCTCAGCCTCGTAGCCTTGTCGTCTACCAGAATGTGATCTTTCAAAGAGGCATTGAGGAAAAGCACAACCAAAAGCACGCAGTGTTCTCAAGGCTTTAACTCTGTAATATTTGCATTCGTCATATCATACAGCTAGCCAGGATCTTATGAATATAAAAACTCATTGCCAGCCATATGTGCTCTCATAGTAGCCAGCATGTGGATCCAGAGCCGAAAGGCTCATTCGTCACCATTAGAAGCTTCAGTCTCCTCCAGAGCTCTTAGAACCTCCTCAATCTCTTTCGGGTCACTTATTCCCCAAACACCACCTCCCTTCACCGTATCCCTCCCTCTCATACCAACCTCCTTCCCCACTAAATTTCTGCCCACCTTGCCAGGACCAATACCAATCCACCTCCTAACATTCTGCTCCTGGTCAAGGTACTTGATACTATCCCACCACCTCACAGTCTCCACGCACTGTCTCGCCCACAGGTCCTTCAGATCCTCCTTACTGGTAAATGGCCTCGCGCTGACGTTGCTCACGCACTCCATAATCCCAGGGAATGTAACGATATCCTCATTCTCCTTGCCCTTTACTCTACTCTTCCCCTCCAGCAACCTTTGCATAGCCGTCGCCGCAGGTTTCATCAATGGGCTATGAAATGGACTATCGCTCTTCAAACGCACCGCTCTTGGATCGTGTCCTCCAAACTGCCGCACATGCGTCAACAGCGTCCTGATCCTCTCGATATTTCCACTCAGCACAATCTGATTCTTGCTATTGATATTCGCAATAAGTACTTGTTGGATCGGAGGGACGTCTTCTGCACTTTCTGATTTCGAACCCGCACTGTGGTGTCCGAGAAATTCGTAGATAGCTTCGATAAGAGGAAGAAGGTGGTCTGGTTCTGTGACAAGAGCTACCATGCCGTATTCGCCGCCGTGCTCTTTACATGCCTTTCGTGAACAATCCGCCATAACCTCAGCTCGTTTCCGGACCAGGTACAAACTATCCTCAAATGACACAAAACCACCAGCAACCAGGGCCGCAAATTCGCCCAGCGAATGTCCCAGCGTCACATCTACCCTCTCCGATGGCTTGAAGCCGAACTCTTGCTCTAGTATACGGAGAATGAGAATGGAGGAAGACATGATGGCTGGTTGGGCGTTCTCCGTTGCTGTGAGTGTTGAGTTGGGTCCTTCCTCGATTATCTTGGAGAGTTTGTAGCCGAGGAGGTGGTCGATTTCTTCGACGAGGGGTTTGGCTGTTGAGGGGAAAGCTTCGAGCCATGGTGTTAGCATGCCGACTTTCTGAACTCCTTGGCCTGTGTAGCCATTAGTAGATGTTCCAACTTATGACTGTTCCTGTTGGTCGGCGCATGTTGAAAGAAGGACATACCTGGGAAGAATAACGCCGTCCGAGGACGAGGACTTTTGCTAGAGGCATGCCGTACTTGCTGTTGTATACATGAAGATACGCATAGTTGTCTGCAGAAACCCCTTCCATTCGAAATACTAGCATCCTCCAGGAGAGTTATGCTTCGCGCATGGCTGCAAGGCTTAGACAAGCCAGTCGCAAGCCGCTTCATGGTCATATTTGGAATACCGCTGGCTACCTAGAGCCTTTGGCGGTTTGAACGAGCTTCACGTCCTGCTGGCGATTGATGTTATTGCTCCGTGGAGCAGAAGTTTTATCATGATCTGGGAGTCACAGGTCGCGAGGCTGTCTCGGACGCTGAAAGAGGATGGTTCCTTCTAGCCGCGGAAGCTGGAGCTTCGACCCCGGACTGTCCCCACACTTGCGCGGAGATATGGATGATCGTTCGAGGCGAGAGATTGTCTTGGCATGTGGTATCTCGCGGGCTGTTCGAGGGGAGACAAATGTTTGTATGGCGTTGGAACTGCCTTGAGGAGCTACTATATTTTGAAACTGTACGAGATGAGATGATAGAGCAGAGTTTCCAAACAGTGGTATTTTCTCCTATAGGATTTGCCAATCCTTTACGATACACCAAACGCCAAACTTTCATAATCATGTAGAACTTTATCATCTAACTCCTTTTACTTTCCAAACACTTATGACTCCAACCAATCCAAAAAGTCCGGTGTAAAGTAACTAATGACAATAGTTGCACCGGCTCTCAAAATCCCTTCAGTTGACTCAAAGGCCATGGTCTTCAGATCAAACACACCTGCCTTCGCTCCAGCGTGAATCATAGCATACTCTCCGCTGACTTGATACGCGGCGATTGGCATATTCTTACCAATTTCCTTCGCATCACTTATGATATCAAGATATTGACTCGCAGGCTTGACCATGATAATATCAGCACCCTCACTAATATCTCGCTCAATGGCTCTGCGAGCAAGTCCTCGACCTCCTGGAGGTAATTGATAGCACTTTCGGTCTCCAAAAGAGGGTACAGACCCTGCTGCGTCTCGGAAAGGCCCATACAAGCAGCCAGAGAACTTGGCGGCATATGACATGAGCAGAACTCTGTGTGCAATTCCGGCCTCAATCAGCTTGAGCTTGATTGCCCGGATCCGTCCATCATTCATGTCCGAAGGAGCGACAGAGTGTGCGCCAGCCTGAGCGTAAGCAATTGCGACATCAGAAATTCGGTCTACCGAAAGCTCATTGTTCAAACTTCCATCATCACGCAGGATACCGCAGTGTCCGTGTGACGTATATTCGCAAAGGCAGACATCCGCAACGATGAACAATTGAGGAAAGCGTTGCTTGATGATGCGGATACTGGCCATGACGGGGCCTTTTGGATCATCGGCAGCAGTACCAAGAGCATCTTTGACATTTGGTTCGAGTGGTACGCCAAAGAGTATAACGGATCGCAGACCTTTTCGGACGAGGGGTTCGAGGTGAGGAACAATTTTATTAATGCCACGGCGGTTCTGACCAGGAAGGGAAGGAATTGGAGTGTCTTCGTCGTCGTTGTCAGTAATAAAGAGTGGGTAGATAAGCATAGACTGCGATCTGTCAGCTTCGAGTCTTGCAAGTCAAGACAATCGGCATACCTTGGTCAATTGCCGCTCCGCCTGCCATGATCTGGCCAGTGGATGCGAATATCCTCCATGGAGCTGGCTGGAAATGTCACCCGAGATGCTCACACTGGTGGCAGACGTGCTGGCGTATGATCGTGCCCGCGACACATGCGACCGGCCGTCATCAAAGGTTGAGACTGAAGAACCGCGAGCCATTTGGCGACGTTGTTCACTCGCGGCGCTGGGTTTGTCTCTGAATGAGAGATCGTTCACTAAAGAAGAGAAGGACATTGTGTTCTGTTCCAATGGATCTTGTATTAAGTCTTAGAACAGGACAGGACAGAAAGCGGATTTGTTTTAAGTGTAGAGAATTGTCGGGAACAGACAGCAGTAACTCTAAAGTCGGGATGGCTAGAGAGTTTATCTTGTACTCGAGCAGAAGTGGCGGATGCTTTTTCTGACCGAGGGTCTGGTTCCGATGTCGACTTCGCTTACGCACCGTCGATCGTTCTTTTTGAAACCAGGACACGTCCATTGGCTGGAAATGGCCAGGATCCAGCTTTCTAGGCTAAGGCTGAACCAGCAAAGAGTTCCAATCGTCCCTTCTTCCATAGCAACTTCATCTGATGAGTGTATTAGGATTTCATTTTCATTTATCCACACGGCTGATTCGTCTTGTCCAAGTTTTTTTGTTTGGTTATACCAAACAAGACGAAGACATCCTCATGGACATCCAGAAAATTCTTATTTTCAGGCCTTGAAGAAAATCGGAGGGCTCGGCATCTCATCAGCAATTTCATATCCACATCAACCACCTTTTGATAGTGGAATTTGAGTCCCAAAGCCGTCCTTTCTACTCCGTTTCCGAACCCCGAAAGCCTTCTTGATATCAGACTTGATCCGGATCCGAGCCCTTGACTTGCATTAGAATCTTCTCGTGCTTGTCCTCTCCATGACAATTCCTTTGAAGCTTTACAATTTTAGCATGGCATCTGGATTACGATGGGAAGGGGAAAAGCTTTGGATCTCTAGGCTAAGTTGATGGTCAATGCTCTGATACCCAAGCTCAGTTTCATGTCATGCATGAACCTCTCAGCTAAGATGAGGAAAGTAATTTGACTAAGCTCTGCCACTTTGCAAGCAGCATCGCAACGGCAGAGTTACCAATCACCAGCTGTAACGAGAAGACATCAATTGCCTCACTCTTTTGACACTCGCCTGGCACTGTGTACACTCCAATTACTTCTGTCAAGACTTGCCATATCATTGTTATTTCCTACGTCTGTCTGCTATACCTAACTGCTCCCTAGATATCTCGCTTGTCCTACTCCTACTCTGCATGCTTTCACCTAGAATGGAGTTTCGAGGAGGTCGACCGCTTTCATTGAAAGCAGTGACAACGAGATGATCTCACTCCTGCGGCAAACAGACAGAGAGCCAAGTTCGTTGAACTGGTCAGCATAACTCATCTGTCTCTCCTCAAGAGACCCGTGAGTTGAAACCAGCTTACTGGTAATGGCAGATTGTCTGAACAGAGGAAAGTCTTGGCAGCCGTTGCTTCCTAAACCGGAAGCTTAAGCTCGCGTCCACCTCTCATTCCTGCCTCATTCACTTGCCTTCACTTCACGCTATTTGACCATGAGAAACTCAACCTCGCGTCGCTGCCTTTTTGGTATCGTCCATTCTTCCGTTCCATACCGCTCTCCTTCCGTCAATCTCAGCTTCCACATCAACACCAACACTCCTTCAACGCTGACCATTACCATTTGAGTCGCGTCTCACACTTCTTGCCTTCCCTTCTCTCATGAAGACCTTTCGGTCTGCTTCGCATGCCAACCATCACTGTCCCGTAAGGCTCTCTATCCAACATGGCCACATACGGAAAGAAGAAGCGATCTATTCTACCCTCGTTCTCTGTTCTTAGAGACTCGGACAACGAATCCAAGCCAAAGAAAGACAAGTCTAAGAAACGAGGTGAGTTCATTCTGCCAACACTGGTACCTTGAGGAGCCAACGAGCTCTCGAGGCTGGTCAGATGATGTTCGCCCGTTGCTTCACTACGCATTTCATGATTAGTAGACTATGGTTAGTCCTGCGGGGGCTAACAGCAAACAACGACAGGCTCGATGGCATTCTCCATGCCCACGTTCCATGATAGCAACTACAAGAAGGAGTCCCCATCAACCAATCATGATGATAGCATCGAGGAGATGGCCAGCATTCTGCTAGATGACACTACCATGGATCAACTCAGGCCCGAGGGCGGCAAACGCATGTCACAAAGTGCAGCTTCAAAGGCACTCCCAGGCTTGCGAACAGAATCACAAGATGGTAAGAATCTGCCACAACTGCCCAAGCTGGTCTTCAATGGAGATGATGCCTGGGCGATGAGAACAGCTCCCGTTGTCACAGCTGCGGGAAGCTCAAATCAGATCGATTTCAACGAGGATAAATCTCCACCTTCAACCTTGTTGAATCGACTTTCCGCTCATGCTAGAAAGTCCTCGATCCCAGAGATTCCACGTAGATCATCAAAGAGGAGATCTGGACGTCCAAAGAGCAATGTTGGCCCACCTCGAGCTGAAGCAGGTGACCGTCGAAGAATTGCGCATGCTTCCCGACAGACTCTTAAGAGCAGCACATCTCCACCCCGGCCAAGCGACTCTTCCCAGCCAAAGCAATCCGGCTTCGTAGCAGCAGATATTAATGACAAAATCGAATCCATGATTGCAGCCACAAAGGCCTTAAAACCTGGTAGCGAAGGAGCGATACTGCTGGGACCGTTGGTTCCTACCAAACAGCGACGTTTGGCGGACAATAAAATGTTGTTGAAGATGAAGACTGCTCTTAATGATCGCCTCAGCAGGCGGAATACCAAGAAGCGTGATTCTATGCTCAATGATAAGCTGCTTGATGCGTCCCTCAACGAGGTGCAAGATTTCGAGGAGGAGCTGTCTATTTCAGCCATCGCGTTGACAACCATGGAACTTCGAATGAATGAAGGTGGCCATTTCACACTCTTTCGTGTAAGTTCATATGCTAAAATGTGCATTAGGTGACAACTTCAAGAATCCCAAGATCTATACTCTCACTGGCCATGGCAACGTTCGTCGCAAGCCATTAGCCGACGACGGGAAGTCTCTGAGAAGCCGCAAATCGACCGATCATCCTGACGATCCATTCTCAGAACGTCCACACTCTAGTATGTAGTAATCCTACGTTGCTACATTAAGAAGGAGACTTTCGCCAAGAGCACCTTCCATACTATCAATGTTTCTGAAGAGTCGCTGATGTTAATCCATGTCTATAGGTAGTATCACTCGCACACCTACCAGTTTTGAAAACAGACTTAGAGACGATATGTCCTTTGACCAAGGCAGCGAGTTCATCCCAGATCTGCCAAGTCGATGCCACACGCCCAAGTTTACCAGAGAGAAAAAAGCCAGAACTTCTATATACGACGGAGACTTCGATGCTATGCTGTCTTCAAGTCCATTCGCCCAGTCAACTCCGCGAATCCGTCTTGAGCCGACGTTTAAAGAAGATGGAAAGAAGATGCTCATGCACGTTCCAGCGGATACGCGTTCCCTTTTTGACAGCGACCAGATGGATATCGACAGTGACACCATGGGCAAAGCCTTATCACCACAAGAGCCGGCGAAGCGGAAGAACTCTCTTGCCAAGGACTCGGGAGTCAGATACCATTCCTCAAAGAAGGTAAAGAAGCATCCTTCTCCAAGCAAAGCTGAACTGGAAGGATTGGAGAGAGCACTACAGAATTTCTTGCCACTCAACCCCTCTGAGGGGTTTCCTCCTGTTGATGATGTTTACCCGGTCGGGGAATCGTTAGCACCAGCTGCTGCACTCGCCCCCAAAGACCCGAACAGCAAGCTCCAAGACACCAAGCGTCGTGGCATGAAGCTCGGATCTCTCAAAACCACTGAGTCGATGCCAATCCTCTTACTGAGCCGTCCAAAGATATTCCAACCAGGATCCCCACGCACAAATATTGTCCCTGCTGACGGCGGTAATCAATACATGAGCCACAACAACCTTGCGGACAGGATGGATTTGGATGAGTTGCAATGGGATGATACCGCATACAATATAGGCATGAAGAGGGTCTGATTGTTCGCCAGAGTCGGTTGACATTATATCTTGCGAAACGAATGTTACGGGCTAGGGTTTCTTTGATCGAATGTTTTTTCTTTGCTTATCCTCACATGTTCGCTTCTACAGTTAAATCTGGTATTTATTGGTCCTCCATCAATACCGCATTCGGAGTCATTACTGGAAGTTTGACTGCATGAAAGGGACAGAGTCAGGTACTTATTTTTCCTTTGGTTTGAAACTCTTTTTATGCAGCGCATGATTCAAAAAAAACACAGCGTATCATGTCATATCAAGATTCGAGGAAAATAAGTTGAATGATCATAGCGTAGAATTAGCGTCGTAAAGACCTCTAGCTATGTGGTAAAAATACAGTACTAATCCGCCAAACATTTGGTCATTCGCTCGCTCGCTTGAAAGTCATTAAATCGGGTATCTCGTCAAATAATCATACAAGTGTGTGGCTGTTGTTGTTATCAACCACGCATCCAACCCAAGTCTTACGATGTGAGAAAGACTTAATAGACACGGTGGGAACCCTTTCCATCAGTGCCGTGCATTCTGCGAGTTCCAGCAGCCTATAAACGATTAGTACATATTCAAAAATGAAGAAACGAATGGGAGAAGTAAAAACATACCTTGACACCTGGACGTCTCGTCAAGCTTCCCTTGAGCTTCATCATAGCTCCCGAGATCTTATCACCGATCGTAGCATGGCGTCTCTGTCTCACCACTGGGGTGGTAGTGTGGTGCGCAGCAGTGCGGCGGTTGCCTCCCCATCTTGAAGCGCGGACTGGTCGTGCGGCGCCGGGTTGAACTGTGGTTGTTGTCTTGGTGGTCTTCGTGCGGGCATTACGGCCTCGGAGACGGGTCATGAGGGTTGGCTTGGTGGTGCGGGTGACGGTTGCGTTGTTGCGGCGGGAATGCATGGTTGCTGTTTGTAGTGGTGGTGGTAGTGGTGGTGATGAGGTTTGTTTTGGTGTTGATATTGGTATTGGTTGTTGAGATGGTGGTATGTAGAGTGTTGTTGTTGAGGATGTGTTTGATGATGTGTTTGTTATGCGGATGAATGAAGATAGTGTTCTTGGAGGAAGTTGTATCTGAGTATCTGTATGATGAGGAAAGAAGAGTTGAGAGGTGGTGCTCATCGCAGTAGTTATAGAATTCCAACCCTCAGAGCAAAGGAGGTACGTGATATTAAGATTTGCAGATGCATCAGGTTGGCATGGGCTTATCGTGGCAGAAACTGGGTTTTGCGCGTGAGATGAGGAAGATATGACGATGTAACGGTCTATCGTTCCTTGTTGTGGAAACGAGAACGGGTTGGACCCTTACTTTTCGTGGGGTGCGGTGGAGTGGCTGAGGGATGCGTACCCTGCGTGCATTCGGGATGAGACGTCATTTCGAAGCTTCACAGCCAATGGATTTTGGCTATGGATGCGTGACAGCGAGACGTCTCACAACAGACAGTTGTTCTAGAGCTTGAAAAAAGTCACGGGGAGGTGGCTGGTGAGCAAAAACAGGTTGACGGGAGGTGTGTATGGGGTAGGTAAATACCCTCGTCAAAGGACAACAAGGAAGCTGAGACAGCGAATGGAAAGATGAGGATAGATTAGAGATGTCTTGGCTGACGACTAAAACCTGGTTGAGGGCTCTGGTGATCAAGGTTCGTATTGGATTTGTTTCAACTTTCTTTTAGGAGGAGCGGTCGGGAAAGGCTGCCGTTGAGCCACAGCATGCAGCTTGCATCTGTGACATGGGCATAAGAGTGACAGGACGTGTGTGGCTGGAAGAAATGTAAAGAATTACTGGGATGAAAGAGAAGAGCGCTTGGATGTGCTTGATCTTTGTTTGGTGTTGCGGCTGGATGTTTTGTTGATAGGTGGTCGCTTATGACGTCTGCGTGGCTACGTCATCTTGGCAGAGTTCGTGGATATTGATGTGTGGCTTGATTTCAGGATATTGAGTGGTGATACAGGAAGATGACAGATAGCAGAAGGATAGTGAGTGACAGAAATAGAACTCTGATTATTAGAAGCTGCCATATCTTGAAAGAGAAACCGACAGCCATATTGCTGAAGAAACCTTCCAAGACTACAGGTGAGTGGTTTATATCACGTGATGTAAAATCAGGTGACTTGTATCCGACACTCATCTGTCAGGCCTGCTTTTTGGCTTGTCTTTGCAGTCCGTCGAAGTCTTCTTCGACTGCTCTAAACTGCCGTAAACTGCCGCTGCAAGTATTCTGGTGTGGTTATGAATGAAATAGCTAGATCGCTTCGCGAATAGGACAGAGGTACTCTTCCTCTTCTCAGGAGCCACCCAAGCAAGAATAACCACCACCCAAGTCGAGATTAGCAGTGCTATCCAAGCCATGTTAGAGAAGAATTTTATGTATGCTAGATAGGTCGGACTTCTCGACGAAAAGTATCGAGCAAGGAGTACAGGACGTCTCAAGCACCACCAGACAAACTCTTAATTAATCAATCCGATATGAACAGGGAACTGGCAATATAACATACACGCAAGAACGACTCGCTTAGGGATACTAAAGACAGACAATAGTCAATGAATCACTGCCCGGGACAAATGCTAGTTGCACAGAAGTTTTCCCAAACGGTACTGATTTGAAGAGATAGCTTTGGAGTCAAAGAAGCCAAGAAAGGAAATGAAAAGACTCAAGCAAACATGAACGTTATACATCAGGATGAGCGTTGGTATCTAAGTTTCAGCCTTCCTTTCAGTATCTTATGAGATTACAGAGTGGGGTAGCAAAGGCTGCCATGCATACCTGTGTCTTGGGATCTCTGGAGCTGAGTAGGAATGACAGGATTTAGTCCGAGCTGTTCAGAACCAATATTTTGATCTTTTACCCGGAATTATGAATCAAGCATTCGACGATGGTGAGAGGAATACGAAGTATTTTGATCTCGTTGCTTCAAAGGGATGCTTTGCTTCACATGCATGTGGATGAGCCTCGCTCAGACACTACAGCAACTAGTACCTCGCTAAGCAAACCTTGCTGACGTCAAAGAAAACAACCCGCAATACATCATAGCTACCGAGTACTTCAAACTACTGTACGATTGAAACATCCTATCCTATCATAGAATTGGAGCTCTACTATGCTTCTCCATTAAAAGTACTTATTTATATGTCACCCAGTCCCCTTAAAATCGGATTGCTTACCGGACATACCGTCCGGCAGAATTATTATCCAACGTATTGAGATCCGGCATAAATTCAAGTATGAAGTGGTGTGTAAATTGGCTGAGGATTTTGTTTCCTCTCAACATAAAACCTTCAATTGATTAAGACTACCTGGGTGGAATAATCGAAAACTCAATTGCATTTCGTCCAAGCAAGAAGATACCATATAAATCTCTTCAGAATGGCAGGAACAGAATCTCCGTTCGCGAAGGGTAAGTTTTCTAGCCAAGTAACTGATTTCAGAGCATCAAATCTCTACCCTAAATTTCATTTTGATGAAACGACACTTACAAGCCACAGGCCACGCAGTCTTCGTCTCTCACCAGCAAGCTCTCGGCAAAAAGCACAAAATGGCTGGCCAAGCACCCGTCAACGATCAATTACCAACCTCTACTGGCGGCTACCAGATTTGCCTCGCAGCCGGCAAGCTCGAGAACAAGAAAACTATAATCACCCGGCGGCGACAGCGGAATTGGTCGTGCCGTCGCCATCTCGTATGCAATGGAAGGTGCAGGATCAACAATCGTGTACATGGAGGAAGAAGACAAAGATGTGCAGGAGACGAAGAGACTTGTTGAGGAGAAGGGGGGTAAATTGGGACTGATTTGGGCGGATTTAAGAAGTGCTGAGAGGTGTAAGAGTGTGGTGGAGGAGGCTGCGAAGGGGATGGGAGGTGTGGATATTTTGGTTCTGAATGATGGGTATCAGATGATGAAGGAGACGATTGGGGAGCTTAGCGAGTATGTATTTCCTTCTTACTTTTCATATTGAAAACTTTGCCTTTCGGGTTGAGGAGGCGCGAGAGAAGTTCACAACTGACTCCAGATCCAGGGAGCAATGGGTCAAAACCTTCGACACCAACATCCACCCCTTCTTCTACCTCTCCAAATACGCCCTTTCACATAGTACGTATCCCCCATCTTGATCCCACTGCTCTCATCCAAACTTTTCACTCAGCAACTCTGACCCTTAACCAGTGTCCCCGGGCTCCACAATCATCACCTGCGCCTCCGTCAACCCCTACATCGGCCGCCCCGACCTCCTCGACGACACCTCTACTCAAAGACGCCATCGTAGCCTTCACCCACGCTCTCTCCAACCAGCAGCTCTCCAACGGCATCCGCGTCAACAGTGTATGTCCCGGCCCGATCTGGACACGCCCTTGATCCCGGCAACCATGAACGAGAAAGCACAGAAGGAGTTTACTAGTCCAGTGGGGAGACCTGGACAGCCTAGCGAGGTGGCGAAGTGTTTTGTGTTTCTGGCGAGTGCGGATAGTAGGTTTTATGAGTGGGCAGAGCTTGAATCCTGATAGAGGTTTGGTTGTGGGTAGCTAAAGGCCGTGATGGGGATGTGAAGTGGAAGACAAAGCGTCTGAGGGGTTAAGCGAGTAAACAACAAAAGACAAACGCTGTGTGCTCTACCTGTAACGCAATGTCGAAGTGTATTCACGAACGGGTTGATCTATTCCTCGTGTTGAATTGTCATTCATTGGTTAAGTATGTACAGATCGGGCTCTATTTGATCTATCGGCATTACTTCATTCTCATGATCCAACTCGGCTTGCTTTGTCTGCTTGCCACTCGCCTGCCCCTTCCCCTGTAAACTCTCTGATTGTCCATCCCATCATTATCCCAGTAACACTGGAAATGGAAAAACACCGCTGCCGATCCTTCTAAACTCCCGAACTCCTGTTTTGTACAAGGTTCGATCAACCGACCCAGCAAACAAATTTCCCCTGCCCTAGCAAGTGATAGCAATCTATGTGTAAAGCAAGTTTGAATAAACTCCATCCCGTCAATTTACCCTGGATATCATAGTTTCCCCGCTCAACCCCGCCATATTCGTCTCTCAGACTCCGAGCCATCCTCAACGGCTGATTTCATACTAGACTCAGAGGTCCATTGCTACTGTTCATCCCCGAATATTGTCCAACACCAAGAAAAGAAGCATCAAATTCAAGGACAATAGCCCAACAAACGTAACACTGATACAAGCTCTGTGCAGCCAGTTCGTTGTCTGCTTTCTGCACAAAGCTGCTGTAACACCAGCCAGAGCGAAGCAGAGACTTGCAATGCATCCAGCAATCGCTCCGGCATCTACCTCTGCACGGAGTTTATGTCTGCCTGTAGAAATGAGGATGCTGGTAATAGAAATGAGCATTAATGACCCAGCATATGCTCCAACCATCCCTCGGAACAATAGCATCTCCCGATGCCTGGAGAATTTCTGGTCGTTGATGCTTGGAAATGTGGCGTAGTGTGCCATGTAACCAGCTGGGAATTCGTTGTTGGAAGATGCGTAAGCTTCGTCTTCGAGATCCGTATCTACTGGACTTTGCTGTTCGGCGAAGTATCCATCGTTTCGTTCCACCAGGAGGCCGTGTCGCTCGCTGGGCGACGAGCCGGGGCTAAACCATGCTTTGACGCTCTCCATAGGTTTCTTCACTTTGGCAAAAACGTACTCCATGGTCTTTGCACCTGGGAACGAACCTCCATCGGGGTTGACATAGATCGTGTATGGTTCATCCTCTCCTCCTTCACTTCCGTCATCGTACTCATTCCAATTATGTTGTGGCACCTGTTGGACTACAATCTGGGTGCTTGATCGGCGGGAGGGTCGTCTCGACGAGGTCAGACTTGGAGGCTCGCTGCCAGCTGGAGTCGAGGACTGGAGATTGATAGAAAGATCCTGGTACTGTGACAGAAGAGGGCCGAAGTCACGTCGTACCAAACTCTTCGGGTTGCTCAAAACCTCGTCATTAAAACGTTCTCCGAGTGCCCTTGACCCTGTCCATTTCTGTTCCTCTCATCAGCATCCGCTCCATCAGTATTTTGCAGCGCATCATACCTTATACTTCTTCAAGATCTTATGAAATGCCACCCGTTGAGCTGATACGAATCGTTGGAGGGACCGGATGTCGTCGCCGCACCTAGACATGTTAACTTCGAATCCCCACAGTATGTAAAACCCAATCCTACCTTTCGATTTGCACATTATATTTCGCGAACTTGTCTCGGTGTTTTTGGGTTATCGGGTCGCTATTGCTGGACTGGGCAGTCCGGGCAAGTAAGCGTAATACGACCTTCTGGAGATGCTCTGGCTGCAAGTTAGCGATAACCATGAAGTCTCCAGTGGGGATATCATACGAAGGCGGCGACTGATCTCATCTGCCTTGCTCTTTACGAAAAGATCCACGCGATCATGTTGGTTGGACAATTCGTTGAAGAAGGCGGTCTCGAATTTCTCCAACCTCGGGTCTTCTTGTCCTGGGATTGCGATTGCCTGGCCTTGGTCCTTGATCGTATTGATTTTAATCAGGTTCTTCAGTTCATCATAATCGACATTATCTGTCAAAGTCACAATTAGCGATCTGCGATGGCGTGCTATGGCTGGAAAGTCGGTGACAAGTTCGACATTGGGAGACTCACATGCCGCCCATTGTGGCACAGATTGCGCGAAGAAAGTCTGGCCGTACTTCATCCCTTCGCAGCAAACTTGCAGGAAGTCCTGCAAAGTCTCGTTGAAGTCGTCGCAGCTAGATCTTTTGTGCTTTCGCTGTAACCTTCGACTTCCGGGTTCCGGATGTCTTTGTACAGAAGAGCGGCGGGATGCAGCAACTTGATCTGGCTGCGCACACTGCGTAAGACGCAATCACTCACTGCGGCCAGAACGTTTGAGCAGAGACGGACGCTGGCAAGTGGAGGCGACAGGGGACGCCTGCGTGCAATTGAGTGGTGTTTTGCGGAGGCGTAAAGTCTAAAATCCAAAGTCAAAAGTTTAAAGATCCAGGACGAGTGGACGATAGGGTTTCAAAAGTCCAACTGGCAGCGATGTCATTCGCTGCGCTCGGCAAGGTTCTGCTTCGCTTGAGACCTTGTTTCCTCCAATTCTTCCAACCTTGCCTTGTCTTCCTTGGATGATGCCGTCTCAAACCAAAACTCAACTGGCGAACAAAATCGGATGACGGATGGGATGAAGCGCGAATGCCGATGAAGTAAGTGGCTGAATCAATTGAAGAGAACCAGAGGGGGGGATGGCCGAGCATTAAACCCTCGAGATTCGGCTTAGGCACAGGTACGTCGGACAAATAATGGGTACGCTGTCGTGACCAGCCAGAAAAATCATCAAAGAATCTTCTTCTTGCTCCTCGGCCTGCATGCACGGGAGGGGTGCTGCAGCAGGAGACCGGCTCAGGGCAGTTGTTGGCGGAGTCTGAAAGGTGGTGGGGGCAAGATGGATATGAAGTGGGTGGGATCGCTCTCTGTGGCTGGAGACGGGAGCCTCTGGCCTGGCCTGTCCAAAGTGATGCTGGGGCGTGAATAATGGGATGGGATATGGGATATGCCTCCGCAAGGAAGAGCAAACTATAAGGAACTGGGCCCGGAGATCAGGCTCGAGGAACCGAGTATCGAGATTCGATTATTAGGAATAATGGGGAGGGAGGATGCTGAGATACAGACAGAGGGTAAAGGAAATTTAGGTTCGGGTGAGGACTCAAAACCCTCGACTCGAGACCACCGGTACTAACTATCTTAGGTGGCTAGGATTAGCCTGGAGTTCCTCCTACCCAGTCCAACAAAACTACCAAGTGCTACTACTGCTACCTCACTGCCGGCATGAGTACCTCATTTCTTGACGCCACTATTGCTTGCTCATAGCTACCAACTCTCAACGAAGCATTACAAACTGTTGCTGCTACTTTAACAACGTTGCATATGCATGACAGGCTCGTACAGCGCGTATGCATGTACTTCAAACCGGGGCCCGCTCGACTGCGGATCAAAGACCACATTTTGCTGACTGCAGCCTGTAAGAACTTGAAAGTTACCTAACTGAAGTCCTTACTACATACTTACAAACAACGTACCGAGGTACCCAGAGGGCCAGAGTCGAACAATTTCCTATCTGAGGCTATCTCGGTACAGTGTGAGGCTGTCAATTCCCAACCCTGTCAAAAGCGGGATACGGATATAGAGTGCTCCTGTGGGACCTGATTCTATTGAGGCTGAATACATACCTCCCTGGCCAAACGCCATCCCAAGTCCTACCACACCATCTCTCACCACGCATTGTCCACGCATTGGCCAGTACGCAACCTGAGGAGGTGTACATTACTTCAAAATAAACCATGCAAGACATACCGTACCACGAGCAACGGAGGTTCGGTTATTGAGATAACTGCTGTTGGTGCGGGGTCGATCTCCTTTACCCGGCCGATGTCAAACTTCAGAAACTCTCACCCACCAAGCACATGGTATGTGCTTGAACCACTAATACTTGTTGTGGAGTTAGCACCGGAACTTGCCCAACAGCTCTCTCTTTGGTCAGTGGACTCACACTGGGGCTATCCACTACAGATGACTTGCTGGTTCGTGAGAAACCATGAAGTGGAGAGGATCCAGTGCCTGTCAAAGAGAGTCGGAGGTATTCCGAGGTAAAGAGGAGTATGCTCCATAGAAGATCATATGGTGACTGAATTCCGATATGCGAACTTCAAGAACTCCGAGACAGATTTCCAGATTCCTCCCGCTCGTCTCGCCTCGCCTCGATCGTATAGTTTTGTCTTAAGATCTTGACTTTGCGATAGGCTCGATGTTCCTGGAAAAGAGTGGATGTCTCTTGATGCTTCCGTGATCTGGCTCTCTCGACTCTGGAAACGAGCTGTGCATGACACAGGTTTTGCAAGGTGATGTGAGCCTCCATCATCATTCGTTTTGCTGGGCTTCAGTGCATTGGTTCGAGATGAGAGCAATGCCGAGGGAAACACACTACGAATTGGGAATGCCGGCCTGAACTTATCTTTAGCACATAGCCGATTATTTCTGTAGGTTCGCTAGCCCACCACTATTTGGATAGCGGCAATCTTCCGCTGGAAATTTCCCACCGGCGGCAATTTTCTCATCGATCAACTGCATGACTCTTCAGACCTTTTCATTTGACGTCGGTTTGACAGCCTGATTCAGGTAATTCCTCACACGAGCAATCAGGTATGGTGTTACTGTGTCTGCTGGTGCAGGTGAGACAAAACGCCTCCCGAGACTCGTTATCTCGAAGTGGGGCTACCAGGGGGTCATCGTACTGTGGCTTGAACATATCCAGCCGGACCAATAATTTGTGTCTTATTCCTCCGAAGGTTGCATCGAGGAGGGCAGGCCAATTTGCAGCCTTCTTGCATGTGCTCGAGACAAGTATGGTGTTGTGAGAGTGAACAATTTCGTTGCATTCTGCGAAGGTCTTAGACAAGGCGTGAGGATAGGCCAACTCTTGGCGGAGAACTAGTTCGAGGAGCTCCGACCTGTATGTATCATTCTTGCATATGGTTTTGTCATTGCTGCAATACATGCTCAAGGTACTGTTGAGTGTTGTGGTGCATTTTGTCGTGCATATCTAAATGATCAGAGAATGCAAGGAATACAGCGAGTTCGGACGAGATGTCACTGCTGGGTTACAAGTGGTACCAAGGAATGAGGTTCGAACTTTATGACACCTCCTGCACTTCTTGAACGACCCTCCGGCACGTACTGATGAGCCCAGATGATAATAGGCCAGCTGAATGTTGTAGCCAAGAATATGGAGATTTATCACAGTCTTCTAGGCTATGTGGGGTGGAGGGGTGCCTGGGTGCCCACTACATGTGAGTTGAGTGACTAGATACTACTGTGATTAACCAGAAAACTTCTAGAAAGCTGGACATGAGAACTGACAATGGTGACTTCAGGCTTACAAGACTGATAGGTGTTTCTGACATCTTATGAGAACAGAGTCAAAGCGCCAAGACATTATTGAGTCACGTGATGATAAGAGAACGGGCTAAGCGATAAGAAGCCTGTCAATTAAATTTTCCCTTGAAACGACTTCAAACAGCATGACTTGAGGGCCTTGAGCGCAGCAATGGCCAACAGCAGCAGCGCATCCTCATCCATGACCTCCACATCACATACGATGACCGAATTCCCAGCAGCTTCAAACGTATCTCTTTCAGCTACCAAAATCCCCACCATGGCATCCCCAATGGCCAACCTCCTGCAAGCCCTCGCGCCAGAAAATCGACATGCATTTATTGCACCAACTTCTTTTCTACCAGACGCCAGTCTAGGATTCGTTAAGGAGACTCTAGATTCTTTTGCAGGCAAGCTGGGAGAGGAACAGGCGGAGAGGTTAAAGGAGCAGAGGAAAAAGAGGAAGAGGGGGGATACCGGGAAAGATGATGGGGAGGTGTTGAAGATTCGGAAGATCTACACTGAAGGCTTTGAGGTTGAGCAAGTTTGGGAACAGGCTAGGAGGGTTATTGATGCGCTGAGGGGAGATGCCGAGCGGGCTCTGGAAGAGATGGGTGAATTGGAAGGAGACAGCGAGGAGGAGGCTGATGAGGGGGTGGAGTTGTTGAAGTTTGATGAGGATGGATTCGAAGTTGGTTCAGATGATGAGAGTATGGAAGATGGTGGAGAGAAAGACGATGGAGAGTTGGATGAGGATGAGGAGCTAGAAGAAAACGATCTCGGTGACGAAGAAGAGGACTTTGAAGGTCTTGAGGGAGAGGAAGGTTTCGATGAAGAAGAGGAGGAGGACGAGGATGATACCCCCGCTGGTCTCTATGTCGAAGACCCGCACAAATTGAACGATGGTTTCTTCTCTATCGACGAATTCAATAAGCAGACCGAATTCCTGGAGCAGCAAGACGCAGCCGCTGATCCATATACTGGAGAGGCAAGTGATGAAGAAGATATCGATTGGGATGCCGACCCATCAGCACTAGTTTCAAAGCCAGTGTCTAGCTCAAAACGAGCTGCAGCAATGGATGTGGAAGACGACGATGAGGAAGAAGAAGAAGAAGACGAAGAGGATGGACCAACATTCGGAAATGTCGATCTCAACGCCCCGGAAGGCGATAGCGATGATGGCTCAGAAAACGACGATATGGACCAAGACCCAGTTGGAGATAACACCAACAATATCCTCTACAAAGACTTCTTCGAGCCTCCCCCGCGGAAAGTTGGCAAAGCCGAAATGCAAGCCAGCTATCTCGAAAGACAAGCCAAGCGAGCCGCCCAAACCACCGCACCCGCCGACGAAGAAGCAGGTATCGAGCGTGCCATAGCTGATGTACGTCGTGACCTTTTCGACGATGAGTCCGACCAGTCAGGCTCAGAAGAAGCCCTCTCCGACGTCGAAGCCGGTGATCCCAAATCCCGCAAATCCGCACACGAGCGACGACAAGCCAAAATCGCCGAGGAGATCCGTCGTCTGGAAGCTGCCTCCGTTGCAAAACGAGAATGGACCCTCGCAGGAGAAGCTCGAGCCGCGGACCGACCTCTCAACTCCCTCTTAGATGAAGACCTTGATTTCGAGCGTACGGGAAAACCTGTACTGGAAGTCACAGCCGAGGTCAGCGAGAGCATTGAAGAGCTCATCAAGCGGCGAATTCTCGCCCAGGAATTCGACGAGGTGATCCGTCGACGTCCCGAAACCGAGACAGCTACTTCCTCTCGCCGCGGTCTTTTCGAGCTAGACGATTCAAAACCACAGCAGTCTCTCGCAGAAATGTACGAGGAAGAACACGTCAAAGCCCACAACCCAGACACCTACGTCTCTAAATCCGACGAGAAGCTCCGCAAGGAAGAAGCTGAGATCGAAGGCCTCTGGAAAGACGTCAGCGCCAAACTCGACGCCCTCAGCAGCTGGCACTACAAGCCCAAGCCGGCGGCACCCAGCCTCACAGTCGTCTCGGACGTGGCCACCATCTCGATGGAAGACGCACAGCCCACAACAGCATCTGGTATCAGTGCTGGTCAGAGCATGCTCGCACCGCAGGAGATCTACAAAGCGGGCAAAGACAAGGCGACAATTGAGAAGGGTGAGATTGTGCCGAGAACCGGGGCGCCTGTCGCGAGAGAGGAGATGACGAGAGAGGAGAAGCTGAGGAGACGGAGGAGGGAGAAGGAGAGGATTAAGAAGAGGGGTGGTGAAGAGATTGGGCAGAGGCCCGAGAGTAAGAAGACGAAGCAGAAGAGGGAGACGATTGGCGCGTTGAAGAAGGGTGGTGTTAAGGTTATTGGGAATAAAGGTGAGGTAAGGGATGTGGATGGGAACAAGGTTATGGCTGGCGCGGAGGTTAATGGTGCAGGTGGGTATAAGTTGTAGTCTGCACTTGTGGTGGTAGATGAAAGTGAAAGACATGTCTCATTCCTTTGTTTTAATTCCTGTGAAGGATGGGTTCGCAAGGCTTGAAGCTGCTTGGCTGCTATTGCTCAAATCGCCCATTGGACAATCGTGATGCCATCTGGGCTGTCTAATCTCTGTTGCACGTCGCAGTCATTTTTCCGAGTTTCGAAATTTTTGCCCGAGCCGCTAAATACTCCCGCTTTATTTACTTCATCTCGCTTGCTGCCCTTGCTTCGTCACTTGGCAAGGCGTTGAGCCAAGTCTAAGTTTGCCCACGTTCGAACCACTCTCTACAAAAACAACAAGCTTGCCCCATCATCTGCAGTTCGCCATGTCTGTTCTGCATGTAGACACTAATTTGTTGCGGAGTTTCTGATTCCTCGTTGATTATCTTCCATCCATTGCGCGTGCCAATTTGAAATGAGTAAATCTTGCTCTTCCTTCTGATCTTCGTTGAGGTCGCTCTCCGCAGGACCCGTCTCGTCTCCTTTCATACCACACCCGATACCCCAGTGAGTCGCATCCTGTTCTATTTGGTACATTAGGGGCCATTCATTTCGAAATCCACAAATACTCCATAAGATGTATGGATCTTAGGAAAGTAAGAGAAATGGAAATTCAAACCTGGATGAAATACACATATACGAGACTTTCCATCAACGCTGTCGAAACTAAACCGAGGGCTCATGAACCAGTATTTTCCATAAACTTGTCTTCTCGATAGATATAACGGGCCTCTGTAGAACTTTATTCCTGCGGGAAGAAAGTATTCTGCGCTTCGAAAGTGTGTGAACTGTGGGTCTTGGTACTTTATAATGAACTCTTCAACCTGCCAGACGTCTGCCACAGCTATTTGATTCAAGAACAACGATGTCGAATGGAAGTCTGCAGATGTCAAAACCATCTGTTTGACGTATCAGTATGAAATCTTGTCGGCGTGTCAGCTTCATGAATGTAGCTGGGAGCTGCTGTTGAGGCAACAAATCTCTAGTACTTGGTTTCATACATTTGACATATTGGCGCTAAGGCTGCGGTGTTTATGCACTGAATGAGTCGTTGAGATGTTTAATCACCACACGCATGGATTGGCGATGATACGGTACCCAAGACTTCAGATAGCTGTTGAAGAAGCACTGACCTGAATTACACCCCGGTGCCCTTTTTGTCCGAAAGTCGCAACACTTACTTTGAACTCATCGCAGAAGAACTTGAGACGACTCTGGTAGTTCTGTCGGTCACAGCTTACACCCAAGTCGATGTAAGCCCAGGATCTCTCTAAAACTTGTTGAACATCGTCAGCTAGCAAAATATGGCTATTTTCGACAAATTATTCTTACCTTGGTGACGACAAAAACGGTATCCTGTTTCGATGACCTCCCCTTCATTCATATTGACGAACTGCTTGAGGTCCAAACAGGTGATATGACGTTTTGGATTGCTCTTGCGGTCGCTGTCGAAGAAACCTAGTTTCCATGGCGCAGCTTGGCCCTAAGAAGAAGATCATGAGTTAGCTGTGGATTAAAAAGATCTGAAGGAAGGGGAAATCCGTCGGGAGATATATCCACCGCCTTATCCAAGTCAAGAAAGGTGCCAAAAGTGCTGTCCGATGGTACCCACGAATCTGTTATTCTCTGGAAAAACAAGCAGGAGCTGGTATCGTTGGGGCACATATTGAGACTGGGGTGGGTCACTCCCGGCTTGCTCAGATTTAAATGTTGTCGGGCCGCCTTGTCGGAGGGCGAGCGACAGGTTGAACATGTCTCTGGATCTATTGGCTTATCAACATATGTTTCCTCTCAAGCTGGAGTTTGATAGATCAGGGAACCCCAGGAGTCCAACCCCTAGGCGTCGAGGAAATGAAGGGGAAATCACCAACCTATCGAACGACGGACTAGAAGACCAAGGTTGCAGTATTCTTGCTGCAACAATGATTGATAATGTAAGTGGAGAGCAGACAGTAAGAATATGTTTTTTGTTGAAGCAGAGAAGCAGATAGAAAAACCAAATCGAGTCAGATAGAGCATGGTAAGTTTTGAGTCAGGTAAGAGCGACAGGCTGGCCGCCCGTTGCATATGATGGTAGTTTTCGAAGCAACAACGACCCCCGAAGCCAGCGTTGAAGTCTCCAACATATGGTCTAAGAACGAGAATCGACCCTAGGACTGATTTCATTGCTTTAATGGTGTATTGCCTCAAAATACAACATCATCCAATCTCAACTACTGATTGATTGGAGGCTCAAGCCAAGCGATTGCATTTCACTTGCAACTAAAGTGGAGAACGGGATGGAAGAACCTCCATTGTTATTCATTCGACTGAGCAAAAGGTATTAGAAGCATCGTATGAACAGCATGAATTTCAATATCCCAAGACCATAACTAAGCGAAAACCCATCCTTTCCCCTCTGCCTGTCATGTACACATCAAGGACTCAACACTCAAAGTGTAAAGCAAAAATAGGTATCCCAATAGCCACGCCTCAACGCCTTTCCTATGACCCCTCACGAGACCACACGTGCCAGCGCGAAAGAACGACCGCGAGAGAAGAGCGAATGATATGAATGAAGCCACCCTAGTCCTTCTCTCATAATCCTGAAAAGCGCAGCACGTCGCCGCAGTGCTAATTCGCACAGCAGGAAGCAAGGAAACCATAAACCAAACATAAAATCATACCCCATTTTCCACCCGCCAGTCCATCCGATACTCTGTACAACCCAATCTCTTCCCATCTTTGAACTTGGAGGCGTTCGATATCCAACTTTTGGGATCATTTACTTCTTCAAAACAGCATCATAGAGTGTGACCAAGCCCGTAATGCCAGTTCCAACAAGGACGCCTTTCCAACCGCCATAGATGGCGGAATTGATTCGGGCAACAGACTCCAGATCTACCAGACCTCCAAAAGTGACATCTTGCCCAAAGACGACGAAGGTCATCAAAGCTTTGACGATGCTAAATGTCAATGGGTCAAACTTATAGGCAAAATGTGGAGTGTGGCTCCGGGTCCTTGATGGCTTGGCTGTCAAGTTGAAGAAGTACGACGCGACCAATGGGATAACAAGAGTAGTGATCGCCCACAATGAAACGGGGTTCCAGAATGAGGCTGTGAGTAGCAGGAACAAATCGGGAATCTTGACATCATACGGGGCGGAGGTCAAGTGGTTGATGGTTGGGATTGTAAACGCGTATCGATCAGCCAAGACCTCTTTTCGCAAGTTGTAGAATTCGAAGAGAGTGACAACTGCTTGCACAGCCTGAACAGTGGAGAGACTTTCGCGCGTAGTTTGTGCATATTCGATGAGACCAGAGTCCTCATACAGGTTCGCAACCTTGGAGCGCAAGACTTGTGTACGACGATCGATCGCGTCAGCGACGACACTTGGCGATGGTGGTAGGGGCACATTTGAGGCGAACGAGAGATTTGAAAGCGCAGAGGCGCGTGGAGTGCGTGTCAACGCGGATCTGGCGCGCGTAGTCGCAGGTTCGACTTCGGAATCGTCGCTACATAGGTGTCAACATTGGACATTGACGCGCATTTGGGTCGCGTGTACTTACGTCGCAATAAGCTCTTCTGCAGCTTTTGTAACTCTGCGCTTTACCGACTTGACCTTGGCCTCGATGTCAGAAACCACAGAAGCAGCTTCCTTCTTCACCGGGGAGCTCCCGCTCCGCCCCTTGTAGAATGGCGCAAGTTGACTGTCGGACGAGAATTGGGACGAGTTCTTGGTTAGGTAGTCATCGAGCGCGACCTCGAGCTCGGTCTTCTTCAATCCATCATATCTACGGGATGTCAGTTCGTGCGCAGCAGGGTGTAAGGTGTCGTGGAATCGCATACTGTTTGAAGCCCACGGTGTCGCTCAACTCGATCAGCTCCCCTTTGCGCATCTTCTGCAGCCAGCTCGAAGCTCCGGACATTTTGAATAAGGCAACTGTGCAAAGCAGAGTTACGCGATCGTAATGGATATGTTATGACTAGGATTGAGAGAATCTGTGAAGCAAGAGATGTGGTGTAATGTGGAGGGAGAGTTTGTTATTGATGTCTAAAAAAGGTGGGGGCTGGGGTACCGGAAGGTAAACAAGACGAGCAGCGCGGCGCTACGGGATCCAGGTCAGCAAAAACCACACACGTGATTGGAAAATTGGAAGTGACGAATGAGATCGGCTTGAGTGAGGTAGTATTTGCTCGAAGAGGCAAGGCATGTTGCTATATGTTTTGATTGGCGGTTATTTCATATGTTTCTGATGATCGCCCTCGACTTCGAAGCCAACCAGCCACTTCTTTTTACAGCATTCCCAGAAGCGGCGGAGACAGTCGAAAACCCTCGTACGAGAAGAGAAGCATTTTTCCGTCCATGGGATGAGTATCCGGTATCTTGAAACTTGGTATCATAGTTCTAGTTACTCAATAATATGAACAAATCTCTCCTCGCCCTTCCTCACTACACGAACAGGTATATATCCTGGAGCCTCATGCAATTTCAAAGTGATGAGTGTAGTCGCTGTCCTAATCGTCCTTCTCGCCTTATCCTGTGCTTTCTTGTAGAGCTCTTTCTTCTCCTCGTTCGTCATTCTAGCAACTTCGTCATCATTTGCCCATTCGTCTACCGCCAACTCAATTGAGTATTTCTGGAAGATTACAGACAGGACACCCATAACCTTAACTTGGGCAAGTCTTCGCCCCAAACATGAGCGAGCTCCATCTGAGAAAGGTAGATATGCACCTCGAGCAGGTCGGAAGAGTTGCGCGGATGTATCTTCGCCTGTGAAACCTCCAAAATCGTCATCTTCTGATGATGATTCCAAACCACTGTCCCATTGCTGCTTGCCACTCGCGGTGGTTTTTACAAGCCACCTCTCCGGCCTGAAGTCATATAGATCGTTTAATCTTCCTGAGATCTTTGATGGCTGCGAAGGCCAGTACTTTGGATTCCTGTGGACACCGACTGTGTTGAGCGCCACGTGAGCACCTGCAGGCAGGATCACTTTCTTGCCATCCATAATGATGACCTGATCCTGTGATTTTGAGACCTGCTTTGGAATGGCAATAACGGGTGGCATGATGCGCAGTTGTTCTTGGAGAACAGCTCCGACAATCCCGCCGAGGAGCGTATTGATATTCGAATCGTAGTCCCATGTCTCAGGAGGTTCATTGCCAAATATCGACTGCACTTCCTTCTGCAGAAGTCGCTGAGCTCCAGGGTTTATAGCTAGCTCCATCAATGAAAAATGGATCGAGTTTGCAGTCGTTTCATGACCAGCAACAATCATGACGAATGCATTGCCCAAGATGTCCGAGTCTGAGAGGATGGGTCTGCCCACTTCTCCCTTCTCGGCACGACCTGGTGATGGCTTCCTGCCCTGGGCACCTTTCGATTCACCGTAAGAGCTTCGTACGAGCATACCCATAATATCCAAGCCTCCGCTGTGTTTGCCTTCACGGGCTTCTTCGACTTTTTGGGCGAACAATTCGCTCATATATTGTTTCCAATTGATGTATGACTGATAAGCGTCCTGCGAGCTCTTAAATGGGAGACGTTCTGGTGGAATTAGCCTAAAGTTAAAATATGCATCGACCGTAAAACTTACTCAGTATCCATTTAGGTGTTAGAAGAACCCATATGAGGTTTCCCAATAGCGTATCCAGCGCGTGCTCAAAACTCATGGTGTGTCCCTCAGGAGGATCATTGCTGCTGTAAATCGCATCTCTCGCGCTCTCCTTTTCGTCTGGCTTCTCCCCAGGCCACAGCAGACGCACCCCAAAACCAATCCGGCTGATTATATGCAAGGTCAATCGCATTGTGTCCGTTGGCACCTCTTCAAGTGTGATGTTTCCGGAGCCATCTGGCCCGGTCCACTTCCGCAGCATTCCTTGTGCTTGTCTGCACGCCTCTGCAAACACCAACACATTGTTCTTCTCATTGAATCCTGGAGACATAATCTTCCGGTGCTGCTTCCATTCTGCGCCTTCTGTTGAGATTATGTTTCTGCCAAAAATTTCCAGTATTCTGTACGACTCGAGCGGTTTGGGGAAGGCTTCGCGCCTCGAAGTGACTTGGTGTAATGCTTCGGCATTCGCGAGCCAAACTTGAATGGCGCCTGGGGAAACTTGCAGAAATACATCGCCTCGCTCTTCGAATGGTTGAAACTGAAGATCCCATACCCAGTCAGGCATTACATATCTGCCCAATGTTAGCCGTATCCAAGAACAATGCGAGGAGGCGCATACGGCAGCCAGCTTTTTGATAACGCCTTTGGCAGATACGAGAACACCTGAACCCATATCTTGTGAGTTATTAACCATGCTGTATTATAAATGTTGACAGCTACAACCGTCAGTTCGCCTGTGCAATGTAGCTGGGAGCAAGGATACTTACGAGCCACTATGTAAGGAAGACCAGATCGTTTTGCCGCAGCAATATTCCTGTACAGACCAGTTACATTTGAGTAGATCCAGTAGAAAGCAAGCCCGGCAATTGCGAGTGCAATGGTTGAAGCCATTCTGAGGGACGAGTGACGTTCGTAGCACTGGAGTGTCGCAGAAAGAAGCTGACAGACACAGTGCAACAATGGGTGAATAAAAGAAAAAGACTGCGCAGCAGTCAAAGGGGGTATTAAGTGAACATGTAGTTGACCGGCAAATCTCAATTAGGGTGAAAAGAAATATGGAGGTCATAGAGGTGGTGACGGCAGTGATTTGCAGTTCCGGAACACGGCTTAGGTCAATTCTCCTCCCGCAAGAGGCAAAACCTCTTGCCCTACCTCATGGCTTGGGGCTGAACTGGCATTTGAAAAGCCTTAAACATCTGCAGCCAATTGAGTTATTGCAATTGCCGCGTGGAGAGGGGTTGAAACGGTCCAAGTGCTGCGTTTCAGTTGCGATGTTGGTAAATTTAGACACTCGCATGCCTGGACTGGTGCTTCGTCTCATCAAGCAATGCCCCTGCCAGGATTCCAACGAGGGTGGGATTTCCCCATCTTGATAAACAACTCTCTCATATGAGCCGATATGCTACATCCAATTCTCTCTACTACTAGAATTCAATTTGACTGTTGTTTTGTATCATTCTTGCATAGATAGCTTCGGATATATCATCGTAAGTTTGACAGGCCGCTTTCATTTGATAGTCAAACGTATGGATGAAGCTAAAACTTTAGTTACCGTTGATGCGCCATCTGTGAGTATCCTCTAATCTCAATCAGAGACTTAAGGAGCGGTATACCTTTGATCCGAGGGAGACGAATTCCAATGAAAAGCCTCATAATCGGCTTTGATGCGTTGATCCTTCTCAGGAAAAGCCACAGACATCTTAGCTGGACCTGATTATCGTCGGATATGTGCAGCTCCGTCCATAGTCCAAAGCTTTCTTGAAGCTCACGCACTAAGGCGCGGAGGAACAGGAGGGGCCTAGGAAAAGCGAACCCTTTGGACATCAAAACGGGCACCGAGAGTTACCACAGAGCTCCTCAATACCATTATTTGGGATTCGATCCCAGTTCACGAGATGTTCCTGTGTCGGTATTCTGGACCAATAGCCCGATAAATCACTTCCCTTTCCCACAGAATCGCAAGAGCTTCTGATAGAAAAGTGGCAGAGCTTAGCTGGCCTTATGCTTCGTTTTGTATGGCACAAGCAATTGAGGGTGGAATAAAGAGAAAAGAAATGCCCCGTGAAAAATATTTGCGAACTTCATAGCTGAACGTCTTGTGAAGTTGTATTGTGGCAAGCAATGTTGAATGAAGCCGAAAGAATCGTTCACAGGGCAAATTCTAGCAGACCACAAATTTCAACCTTGCTAGAACGACACCAAGAATCAAATTGCCTACTTGAGCACTACATTATAAATGCCATATTCTGTCGTTGTGAGGGTCCTGATGCGACCAAATGCAATTATCGAAATTCCCCTCGTGCACGTGACTATGATCAGGTCCGGACGCTAGCAGACTTTCCGCTCGGTTAGTCGCCCACAACTTCAATATCGAGAAATTTGGTGTAAGGCAACCCAACGACGACAACCTCCCACAACGACCACGCGAGAAATCAGCCAAGATGGTATGTGCAGTTTTCTATCCCGGTGTATACTCTGGATGGGTGGGAGATAGAGGAAGAATTGGGAGAAGATGGGCGAAATAGGCAACCTCGAAGACGAAATCGCGACCTCTCAACGAAACCCTGCGGACAATTGAGGGCACGGCGTCAGAGATAGGAAGATCACGGAGTCATCGAAGATGAGGCTAACATCTCTCGTCAGGTCAACGTTCCCAAGACAAGACGCACCTACTGCAAGGGCAAGGACTGCCGCAAGCACACACAGCACAAGGTCACGCAATACAAGGCCGGAAAGGTACATCTCGAGCGCTGTTAAGAATGGAGAAGGAAAGAGATTCTGACACTGGGATAGGCATCTCTTTTCGCGCAAGGAAAGCGTCGTTATGATCGCAAGCAGTCCGGTTATGGTGGTCAGACAAAACCCGTGTTCCACAAGAAGGCAAAGACGACAAAGAAGGTCGTGTTGAGATTGGAGTGCACAGCTTGCAAGACAAAGGCACAGTTGGCGTTGAAGCGTTGCAAGCATTTCGAGCTTGGGTATGTTCCACCAGAAGATTTACTCTCAAAAACCACAAATTCCGTTCATCTCTACCTACAACCCGGTTGTTTTTGGGCATGGATTGGATGGAAGCTGACAGATAAACAGTGGTGACAAGAAGACCAAGGGTGCTGCGTTGGTGTTCTAGATGTTCTGCTGCAACTGCTTTTGCAATGAATCCCTTTCTTCACGTTGGCATGGGCATGGACATGGATGGACGGACTGGCGATTTTTGCGTGGACACAATGGTCGAGCTGGGTGAGGCAGGGAATTTTCGACATCGAGCCGATCTCTGTATCTTATTCTACGCCGCCGATGGAGCATAGCAAACGTTCGCTCATACCAAGCATGAAATTCTGATCCTTGTACTTGGCTGGATGTTTATGGTGATTTTGGTACATGATGTGATGCTGGGCGGATTGAGAAATGTTGCAATGCTGAGCTCAGAATGTCTATTTCGCGACTGAAAAGAATTGCCAAGGTTGCTGCCAATTTCCTTCTCGGTCACCATGGTACACTAACCCCCTCTATCATGTGCATGTGCTGGCGCTAGAACCTTGGAATCGACATCTGGTGGATTCATAGGTGGATCTTGGTGTGGAATTCCCTCGAAAGGGCGTATGTACATATATGTCAGCCCTACTACACATCACACTTGCCGGAATTTCCTTGGCATTTTCGAGATATTGTCCGAAACCGACAGCCTATCGTTCCCTCTTTTCAAGGCTGCGTAGTCGCGTGCGATAAATTGTTCCGCAGCCATCAACATGCCGTCATTCAACCATTCTCATCACTACTTATTCTTGGAAGAGGAATATATCCAATATATATCTAATATGGTTTCATATGCTCTATTTCCGCTATCCAAATCGATCTTTTAATTCCACCCCAATCAAGCATCAATCACGAATCTTCCCATTGAGGCTTTACAAATCTCAATTTCAAAACCCCTTCCCAAGTCTTACCGTTTTACCCCCTCCATACCAAAGCGTTCCCATTCTGAAATCCAAACCCCTCTCCTGTCCAACAATCCACTCCCCATTGACATTTCTCTCCTCACCCTTCGGCCAGTACTCCTTCTCCAACCAGGCATTGGTCTCCTCAATCAGCTTGATAAATTTGACCATCTTCTCCGGACTTGCGTGATCTTCCTGTGTCAAGAATCGCCCAACTGTGATATGTGAGCTTGGAACTACATATCTAGAATCCACTGTGACGCCTGTTGCGGAAGCAATGTTAAAGAGATCTCTTCTGAGATGGTGATATGTATAATCATCGTCTTTCTTCGTTCTATCTGACACATTCGAGGATGATGTAGCGGGTAGTCCTTCTCCGGCAGCAGGTAAGAAGGATAGAGCGAGAGCTGCTCCGTCGTAGGAGATCATGGGCTTGATGAGCCGGGGTCGATGCGTGTAAGTAAAATCTGTAATTTTCTCAGTGGCCTCGGGACCGAGAGCTTCGATAATTGCGGTGATTTGCGGCTCAGTAAGAGAATGCGTTAGCTCGAGAGCTGTGAGGTGGAGATTTGGGACAGGCATGAGCCAGAGTCCTGATGTTATTAGTCAAAATCCCGAATCTACCTGGGTAAATTATTGGAAGGTGGGGCTGGGGTAATGAAGTCTTGGAATTGGTGTTGGAATCGGAGGGTTGAAAGAGGGGTATTTGTGATCTTGAAAACTTCACTTTGTCAGTTGGACGTACTTGGGGCTAGTGTGAGCAACTTTTGCTGGACTTGGTCGACGAGTGAGCGAATGTGAGCTGGCGGTCTAGCCCAGAAGACCAGGCAATTTCTTGGGTCTACGAAGCCAGGTTCGATTGAAGGGACCATCAATCGCTCCAGAATTGGGTCAATTATCAAGCCGGAGAACTCTGGAGACAGCAGCTTCGCTTTCTGCTGCCCATTGCGAGTGTTCCGATGTGTTGCGTAACGAATTTGTAGTTGTGCCTAATGAGCTCGTTAGCTTTTTCTTCAAGTAGATCAGGAGATCTTGCAACTTATGGTATGCTGGAGGGCTACACTATAACTTGCTCGGAGTTCAAGGTATGGCTAAGAAGGAGAGAAGGAAATGACTTACTGCATCACCGTTACACGCTTCGAGCAGAGCGTCATAGGGGTTTGCAAATTGTGAAATATCAACTCCTGAGAGATCCTCGAACTTGTTTCTTGAGTCTGCTGTTTCAAAAACTTGGGGCGCCATCTTGAAATCTCTGATAGGACCGTACTTGAAATAATAATGAAATTTGAGAACTCCAGCTGAAGAAGTAAATGACTGCTCGCCTAGCAAGAATGTCCAGCCTTGTCCGTCCCGGCTAAACCTCGAAGGGCGATTGGAGGGTACCTTAGTTAGTGGCCCCCAGTAGGGACTTTCGAGGGTCCCCACGCTATCCGAGCAGGGCTTCCACAACATCATTTTGTCCTTGAAATCACAACCACCTGCTGCCAGCACAATAAACCCTAAGCGAGGAACTTATAGCCAAGTAAAGAAACACGATTCTGCACTTAGCGAAGCATTTGATTGATCGGAGGGAAACGATTCCACCAAATCTTGGACAGTCCTCAACTGCGGCCCAGCTTCCATTGAGGTGCTGCCCCCTACCATAGCCGGAACAACTTTCCGCAACTTCTGTTGCGAGCAACGCCAGAATCATTTTGTCTCCATATCTTCCAAGAGTTCTTATAAATCTTTCTCTGTTCACTTACTGGCAGTGAAGCTGAAGCTGGGAGACTCCCAACCTTTCTACAGAACCCAACGGTCGCAGCTCTATTGTCACTAATGACTTAGGTACCTCTCCCTGCCATGACAGCAGATCAGCTCCAAATTTTCTCTCTACTTACACATTAATTTCCCTCCCTTGGCAATCGAAAGGCTTTAACCTGCGCTCAAGAAGACAAACCCTTGTAATACGCCTCCAGAGCACTAGCTCACCACAAGACCACATATCTGGAGGTCCCCATCAATTTAGCATACCAGCTACCATTGCATGTCTTCATCAGCCTTTGAGTCATGGTCTAATGAAAGAGTCCCATCCGCAATGCCGCTCTCCTGGAAAGCTCTCTGCATAGGAAGTGAAGATGGACTGCTGCTGAATAACCAGGATATTTAGACCCCTGGGCACGCTTCGGACCAAGCAAATATTGCACGAAGGTTTTGACATGCCTGATAAATTATTCGGGCCCAGCTACTATCTACTGAATAGCGATTCCGGCATGAGTATGCCCACATCCACTTCATGGCCGAGAATGACTATTAACTTTGGTTGCCAAGGTCAACTTTTGGACTATGCCCTCCGTATGCAGGAAGCCGGACAAGAACTCTCGTCTTTCTCAGATAGAGAAAAACTAACAAGCATCCCTTTATTACGGATGTCTACCTGTGGACCAGGACCATTCAACGGAATAACATTTCAATTTGCAGCACACGATTCGGGCTGCCCGTGGTGAAAAGTTAAAGCGCCCAGCAAGCGTCCCCATGGAGGCCATGTTACTCCCTTTTGACTCGCCTCTTCTCGAAGTCAACTCAAAAGAAGATGGAGGCAGAAGGCGTACATTCATGCCATGAGAGAAATGTAAGCTTGGCCATCAAGAATATGTTTTGGATCACAACCTCGGCCCCAAGCATCCAATTACATTTTGAGATCCTAATGGGTTCAAGTTCCTTCCAGACTTTTATCTGCCTATGGCTGGGGTAACTGACCGGATCTTGGATCTTGGACTCGATCGATATCTCCCACCTTCGCAACATTGTTTACAAGATGATCGATGACCGATGTTACAAGTAAGCTCTCACTCTCCGTATCATAATGTAAATATACTGACCAAAATTTTCTAGCCGCTTCTTGGAATTGTCTCAGAACGTTGATCGCGACGAGGACAATAACCGCACCGGAATCGTTGGTTGTGTCACCCCATGCAACTTCTTGTTCCTTACTCAACGTGCCGGTCGTGTCGCAGGAATCGAAGCTTTGATTTCACAAGGATACAATCCGAATGCCGTCAACATTTCGAACATGTCGGAGAACCTATTACTTGACATGAGTGGCAATGCTATGACCTCAACTGTTGTGGGTACATTCATGTTTGCAGCACTGATTCATTTCAGAGACGTCTTCGACTTCGAGGGTCGACCCGAAGTTATGGAAGAATCTGAGCCGGGATCCGATTATTTCGACAACTTGGAATCTCATCAGTCTCATCCAGCTTCGTATGAACCTATCTCAGTGGAACAGATCACAGCTTTCGCAAAGAGAACTGTACGCACGTGTGTATGCGAGGGTCAAAGCCTTGTCGTCTCACGATAACTTCAACGGTGCAAGGTGTGCCAACGTCGTGTTGAAATGCGGTAAGAACCCTGAACACAACTACGAGCCAATTCTCCTGGAGCGAAACGAGCCTGTTGACTTCGCAAATATCATCAAGAAGGTTTTACCCTTTTCGATCAACCTCTCAGGCCTCTTTTCCAGCACTGTCAAAGGACTTCTTGACCAAACCTGCAAGCAATTACCCCCTGGTTTCACCCTGGACTCCTGGACCCATGTAATTGAAAGATTTCACCTAGCTTTGTCGTCCACGGTTTAGTTCAGAGGTATCAGACGCGCCGAATGCTTTCAGATCTTGTTCAGCTCCCCCACTGCGCTATTGAAGCTGGAAGTCTTGGCAAACGGCGTTGAGTGGCAGCTCTACGTTAATATCCCCGACGAGCCGCTAGAAACAAACATTGGCAAGTTCCTGAGAAAGTCTCCTATGGCTCGTATGAATTCAACTGGAAAAGATATCATGAAGGGACCTTGGCAATTTTGGGGTCCTCGTCAAGAAATTGTCCCTGTCACGATCACCTCAAGTGGACAGCTCCAAAAGTCCTTTGAGAATGAGCGTGGCTTGATAGACTTCTCAGCGCAGTCTGTCTACTCAAACATTTCTTTTAACACACGAGGAGAGACGAGCCCTGGTACTCACACACCGGACATTTTCAGAGACTATGTTCGCCATCCAGAGTGTGGCCAGGCTTGGAACTCCCTCCATTCACGAAAGACTGTTGAAGGCAGAAAGCCCATGCTTCTGTTCTTCCATCATCACTTACACAATGGCAACCCAGCAGATCATTTCTTCTCCTTCTCCAACGATGTTTCCCGGAAGACGTATGGCGAAAGCTTGGCAGCAATCTGCAATATTCCTGCTTCATGGCGTCAGCCAACGGTGGCCGCAACTGAGACCACTTCCGGTGTCACAGTGGATGGATTTCCTGTTGCTACATATATTGGTAGTCACACCGATAATGTCGACATAGTGGTCGATGGCTTCTGGGTAGACCATCCTGATCATGAACTTGATCTGAATACAAGCCAGTCGATTACTTACCGCAGATTGCCGGAGAAGATCAATCACGTTGGATTATCTTGTGGGCTGAAGCGTGCGGTTTTCGATATGGAGGCTACTACGCCCTTCAATCTAGCTGCCGCACGTCGTATCGACCGTTGGACTGAGATCAACAAAGCCAATAAGTCGGCTTTTTGGAAGGACTATCGCTTCGTTCTTGAAAAAGCACCTGTATCCAAGGTCATCGTGAATCAGATAAGTCATGGGTTCAATATCATGATAGCAAGACTGAGTGCTTGTCATGCGCACCACCCCTTCCTTCGATGCAATGGACTTTCAACGTCACAAAGACAAAGCGGGAAAAGGTCCTTCAAAAGCAAGTTGCGAAGGAAGATCCGGAGCAGGCATCACTTAACGAGCAAGCTATCAAGAACCGACCATCAGCAATCCAGTGCTTGGTCCATTTCTCGAGCACCGGCCTCAATTTCAAGATCGGTGTCGATCCAGCCACACTTGTTCGCAGAGCTAGAGCCAGTCTTCTTTCTTCTGCATCCTATTCTCGCACTAGCTCACTCGTTGACGGAGGTATCACAACAAGCTACCGCATTGTGACTGATAATGGCAAGGTTCCTCTTCCACAGGCCAAGCAATTTACTCTGCGGAGCACAGATGATATTGTCCCTAATTCCGCAATTGCTTGACTTAACAGCCATTTCGAGGACTTCTCGGACAACCCGGCTAAGTTGGAACCCCAGCAGGTACAGGCCCTAACATGGATGATGAGTCAAGAAAATGATACCCAGCCATTCATCGAGGAAGTAATTTCGGAAGCTGTCGATGATGATATTGGCTATCGTATTGAAGCCAAAGCAACCCGAAAGGTCAAGATTGCTGGAGGCATTCTATCACAAGATTTTGGATTTGGAAAGACCATTTTAGTCCTTTCAATCGTTGCTCGAAACTTGAAAAAGTTGGAAGACCGAATCCAGAATAACCCCTACGTGAAGGGTGCCATTCCATCCAAAGCCACCTTGGTCCTTGTACCACCACATCTGATGGATCAATGGAATGGTGAGGCGAACAAATTCATGAACTGTTTCTTCAAGAAATCATCCAAAATTCAAGATGTGATTATCATCAAGAGCTTCAAGAAGCTTAAAGGTTTGACGGTACAAGACTGTAATAATGCTAAGCTTGTGATTGCCAGTTGGGATGTCTGCAATTCAACTGGCTACCGTAAAGCTTTCGCTCAGTTCGCTGGCAAGGTTGAATGCGATGATAACACACCGCCACGTGCCAAACAACAGTGGTACAAGGATGCCTTGAAGATGGTGGAATCAAACCTCGAAAAATTCATGCACGACCCTGTCTACACTGATAAAAATAATCCTGGTCCAGCTCAGGACTTGCTTGAATCACAATTCGAACAAAGTGTCAAGGAGGCCAATCAGCACAGTCGATTTGTTCCCTCAAAGCATGTCACCGGGTCTAAATATGTCGGTGCCGAAACCAGAACGGCTCTGCTTTCTGAGGGTTCTCAGCCGAGAGAAAAGCGCAAGAGAGATCAGCAGGTGACTTCTGGTCATTTCAACTTTGCTGCCCTCTCCGAGAGAGGTATCGATGGTCTCGACTTCCCACTCTTCGAGTTCATGAATTGGGGTCGTATTGTGGTTGATGAACACACATACGCAAAGCCGGAGCACACAAGAATTTTTCACTGCCTCAAAGGATGGATGACTTGGGCCCTGTCAAGTACTCCTCCTCTCGATAATTTCCATGGCGTTGAGGCCATGGCTTCATTACTCGGTGTTAATCTTGGTCGTGATGACCATACCATCATGAAGGCCGACGAACGAGAAAGAAGACGAGCCAGCTCACAAGTAAGTCCTCGGGTTTCAAACATATGAATCATCTAACGACTAATAGCCTCGGAAAAGTTCTCTATTTACCAAGAGACCGCATCACCAGCCTGGCAGCGAACAGAGACGAGCACGCCCAAGCTTTCTTAGATCACTTTGTGCGAAAAGTATGTTATGGTGGTCCAGTGATGTTGGAATAAAGCTAACTTAGGAATAGGATTTCCTCGATTTGAGCAATATCGAATGCGAGCAGAGTATTGTGGGTGTTAACCAGAATGCTTCCGAAAAGGCCATGGACATGGAGCTTGAGGACTACGTTATTGCCAACGACTTTCAGCGCAAGGCATCTAAGGCAAATAGCGATAAAAAGGCTCAGCATATCAACGAGGCCACTTCTCAAAGTAAAGATGGTCGAGTTGCGCTCTTCCTCAAGTCTTCAGCTTACGCTATCAAGATCAAGGACAGTGATCTTACTGCCTCGGATGCTCCGCAAATGTGCGACCTTATCGAGCAGACCCGAACGACTGAGTACTATGATTTGCTCCACCAGTTTAACGGAGAGTTGAGCAAAGCACACTGGCTGTTCATCCAGGCTCGTCGTTCTGGCCAATCATGTGTACAATATGACAGATGGCGATCGCGTGCTTCTGCCAATCAATATGGAGATCACTCTATGACGGCTGACATACGCGAAAACCTTGGCCTCGTCGTCGACGAGGATGCATTCGACAACTGGAAGATCTTCTTCCGCACCAAAGACGATAAGGAGTCTCAGCTTCCATTATTTCCTGAAGGCCAAACAGGTGCCCATGGCTTGACTCATCGGAGCCGCGTCATTGCTGCTATTCGTGTCTCAGCTTCTAGACTTAACAGACTCTGCGAGGGACTGGTTACTCGGAAAAGATCGTTAAGAACTTTCCAGAGTGTTCGGCGCATTCAATGTGGCCAAAAGCTTATCTGCTCTAAGTGCAGTTGTGAGGCTGCTCCTGATAAATCACCCTCCTTGGCCAATGCGGACATCTTATTTGCAACAAGTGCCCTATCTCTTCGGTCTGTGGACTTATTGAGAAGAACGACAAGTGTACTACGTTTGTTGCGCCCCATCAGCGAATCTCTTGTGCCTCACGTGGACTTCAGGCAGATTCTGACTTGTCATCTCTAATCGGCTCGAAGTTGGACTGCATCATCTTGCTCATCGGAAACGAAATTCCTAACCATAGCATTCCTGTTGAAGACAAGGTCCTCGTATTCGTTCATTTTGTAAAGACCCAGAAGATGCTGGAAGCTGCTCTCACAGATGTAGGTATCACCTTCACGACATTGAGCGATCCCAAGAACGCATCTAGGAACCTGAAGAAGTTCCAGGACGACAAGTGCACCAAGGCTCTCCTTATGCTGACTGGTGATGAGACTGCTTCGGGAAGGAAATATTCATGATCTTCACTCCTTGTCAAACAATCACTAACCTAATTGCAGCAATCTTACGATGGCACGCCATGTCATTTTTTCCCAGCAATTGCACACTACAGGCTCTAGTGCTCGTCAAGAGTATGATGCTGCTATGACTCAGGCGATCGGTCGGTCCCGTAGACCGAATCAAGGCGGCCTTGTCCAGGTGTATGAGGCCTTGACTACAAACACCATCGAGGTTGATTACAGACAGCATCGTGGTCACTGCATCCTCCAGTCTCAGAACGGCTCCGATGTCTTGATTGAAGAACAAGCACCCACTGGATCCTCCTATTATGGCCCACTTGCAAGTTCCATTGCTCATCTTATTTCATTCGATAGATAGACAATTCAACTTGGGTCGCTGGCTCATAAAATCCTTGAGAGTTAGCAACCCCTTTCAATACAAACGTCACAGTAAGTCTTCCTGCAAGATATCGCTTCTCCTAAGAGTCCAATCTAATTTCGAACCTAGATTTGGTTGTCTTTCAAGCCTTCTGTTGGTATGATGACGCTACCTTGGGCATTGGATCTTAGTGGTGGATATCGTACGATGAACTGTTGATTACACTTTTCGCTTTCTTTCCTTCACAAAAATGGTGCTGATGTATTACGAATAGAATGATTGAGGTGCGATAGACATGTCTCTGCATGACGCAAAACTTGAAATAGAATCATGGTGGTATGTACGAATAGGTCAGAAATGCAAGTGGCCGCAACCCCAATGATTGTGTGCTCCTTGCTGTGATGCTGTGATTTGTGAGCTACGAGATTCTTCCGAATAAAATTGGTGTACTTTGTCGGCTGCAAGGTGAAACAGGAATAAGAGCTGGCTTGTATGGAGTTGATGGAGTTGCTTGTTCAGGGTACTGGCAGTTGTGCGAGGCTGACTTGTGCTCTTTTTCTTCTCGCCCCTTTCTCCAATACTGTGTGTGGTTGGTTTTCTTGAGCAGAGGTGATGAATTCGAAGCAGACCTATGGAATATCAAAGTAATTGTTTTCAGTATTCAGTGCTGCAAGGTCCACTGGGGTGGCTTTGGATGTGCTTTGACAACTTGACATGTCCATCTCATTGCCCTTTCACTGGGAAGGCAGAGCAAGAGTTAGCTTTGGCATTCTGAGGAGGAGCAGCCAAAGGAGAGCAGCGCTAACGGAATTTGCGGTGCAGGAATATTTCACAGACTCATAGTGTGGAGCTGGGATGTTGAGTCGTGCTAGGTTGGTGGGGAAGTTGGGGTTGGAGGTAGTAGGAGGATATAGATCAGGAATGGGTAGATATTTGGAGTGTAGATATAGAAATCCTAGCCAAAAATAGAGTGAGCCGGATGAGCGTAGTAAGTTGAGATTGGTAGGAGCCTCGATAAATAGTGAGAAGAAAATTTATTGAAATGATGGAGGGGAAACGATGGGATAGTTGAAGGTATGGAATGATTGCTTGAAGAACGCAAGTAGATACAAGTCCCGAGAAGGCTGAGAAGGCTTGTAGTGGGCTTGAACCAGCTTCAGTATAGCTGGAAGCATTCAGCCAAAAGTTATCTTCTGTCTCGTCAAGTCTCTAAATACATCATCCAAAACCTGCCTTTTTCTTTTTACCCCTTCACTTTCATTATTATCGTCCCGTTTCGAAATGTTCTCTTCTTCATCATCAATCTCATCGTCTTCTGCGGTCCTAGGAAGCCAAGCTCTGAGCTGTCCATCCGTATGTGAAGAGTAAATGCCACCTGCCATGCCTCTCCACACCAGTCCTGTAATCCTATTCTTGACATTCCTCTCCCCGGTTCTGGATCTCACTGCTGCAATATTGGGACCTGGGACTTTCAGACGTTTTAGTAATCTACCTTCATGGAGTTCAAAGACAAGGATCTCCTTTTCATTTGGGTAGAAAAGAAGATCTTTTGTGGGAGCTGTAGTGCCGGGTGGATTTACTACGAGAGGAAGGTTCGACAGATGCCCATTCTTCAAAGTTGGCCCAAAACTGGCAAGAGTATTGGCTCCGGTGGCTGCATCCCACACTCTGATCCGGTCATCGTGCCCAGCTGATATAACATATGAGCCGTCCCCAGTCCATGTCAAGCCATTCACTGCGGCTGAGTGAGATTTGCCGGAGTCTCTTGGGCGAGCACTTCTCCCTATTCCATCAGTGCCAACGATGCCAGTTGAATCTTCCATGTCTAATACACCGAGTGCTCCTGAGCTCTTACGGATATCCCATAGACGAATAGTGCCATCTATGCCCCCACTTGCCAGAATGTGGTCTATGGTTGGACTCCACGCCAAAGATAGCAATGCACCATGATGGCCTGCAAGAGCGTGCGTACTCGAGCCGGAACGGAGGTCAACAAGTCTCACAGCCGGATGCTGAGTAGCACAGGCGACTATCAAGTGGCTTGCGATTGGAGACAGGGCGTGAGTATAGACTATTGAGCCCAGGTCGAAGTCCCCAGAAACTGCAAGTGTCTCTGTTCCGTATATCTTGAGATGATGATCATAGGATGTCGACAGGAATGCTCCAGAGTCAAAAGGAAAGAAGCTCAGTTGAGTGATACCAAATTTGTGAGTTAAAGATGTCCTGGCAAGAGTAAGAATCCCTTCGTTGTGGTGAGAGCCGAAATACCTACTTTGGAACTCCATCTGATGGCTTGAATGTATGCTTTGCTCCTGGTAGATTCTCATCTAAATCCCAGACTTTTATGTTGGAATCTGCACCTCCGGAAAGAAGACTGGGCCATTTAGCAGGTTGATATCACGAATCAGACCTTAGGATTTTGTAATCTTACAGTCTGTTATCGATATCTATGGCCAAGCTGTTTACACCTGACTGATGAGCCCATATTTTGGGCTCTGTACTCACTCCTACCGATGGAATACTGGATTGCAACGCTTCACTCCCATCATCGCTGATGAGCACTACTTCTTTTTCGCCGCCGTCAAATCGTATCCTTGAAGCCGGCTGAATGGAATGAATGAGCCGTGAAGTCTGAATTCGGGCAAAGGCTTGGGTGCCCAAGTTGCCCGTTGATCTGTCAAATAGAAACTGATTCATACATGTGTCACAGGCAATTAGTAGGTTTGGTGAAGTTGTGTATTGACGAAGTGCTGTTGTTGAGTGAGCGGAAGGGCGTGGCGAGGCCGAGGCCGAGGCTGATATGCAAGGCCACCAAACTATGATGAATGGGTCTTGGCGTTGTTTTCGTTGTCTCGTAAATCTTTGAACATTGCACGACAGCAATGCAAGCAACCTCCCGAAATGACTTCAAAGGCATTTACGCAGGATGTATTCCTTAATCCAGAGTCGTCGCCAGAGCCTTCAATCAGAGAAGATAGACGACAGAACTTCAGGCATCCTACAGTCTATGATGCTGTCGCGGGTGGGTGATCTCTTCTCAGCCTTATGCCGAACCCCAATTGACGCACAACAGGTCGCATATCCCTCGCAGGATTCATTCCGAAGCATGTAGTCGTCGCCTCGACTCGAGATACCGTCTCATCGTCTACCACTGCGATTGCGCCAGAAACCGTCCTCTTCCGAAGCAAGAATGCCCCAACACGGTACGCCGAGTCTGACATATACTTCGCAAACGAAAGACAATCCATCAAAGACCTGCCCGAATCGGACCTGCTCAAGGCCTTACATTGCTATACTTCTGATTTCTACTCACGGGCCACATTAGATCGAGGAAGCGGGGACTGGAAGAGCATGGATGAGACAGCTTTGATTGCCTTGGGAATCCTCTTGGAAGAAGCATCAATGGCGAGTCTCGGGGAGACTGGCGACCTCGCCTTCACAGAAGGAGAGCAATCGACCGATCCGGGGGTGCAAGAATCTGACGGCGAACAGCGAAAACTCAAGAAGCGACGGGCGAAAAAGCGACGACTTGACAAGACGAGCTGAAAAAGGACCGAGCAAGTCTGTTTACTTTTTCCTAACCCCCCCCCAAAAATTGCCTCAACCCACCTCGTCAGGTCTAAGTTGTGACAGCGGCACGAAGTAAGCATATTGCCTGGGAATTAAACCTGCGCGTCATTCTTGAACCTGGGGATGTGCTCCAAACTTCGAGGGGTTCGATATATTTCTTTTGAAAGCCAAATTCGACGGCTCGTTTCCGACCTTGTCCCCCTTTTCCTTTTTCGAGCGGCACAAGATGAAAATGGCACAAGTGATCCTTCTGGGCAATGCGACAAACTCTATTATATCGAGGACCCTTTTGAGATCATTACCGTCGGCTCTTTTCTCTCTTTCACGTCTTTCGATGTCGTCACCGTCATGCCATTTTGCTTTCAGTGGCGGCGCAGGGGGTTGATCTGAGTTAAAATTATGTTCTGAGCACTGAAGACCAATAAAGTCTAAAGCTTACACAGTATGTCGAGGGCATCGGATGCTTCGACCTTAAACTTCGAGTATGGCGCCAATTCCTGCCTCCACATCGTAAATGAAATCAAAATACGACATGAGGTGTTGAACTGGGATGTCTATGGCCTCGGCTTATCACTCGACTCACTGTTTCGACTTCGAATATGGAATTTTCCTGTACAATGGCCAGGGCAGGCCACGCAATCATATTATGTTATATTCCTATTTCAGTCTTTAAGGCAAATAATTCGGAGATACGCCTGGGTAGCATCCGCCAATGAACATGAGATCTGAATCAGGATTTAATTTCTTCTCTTCCGCATTGCCGCATTTGGCAATCATAAACTGGGGCATACACAACCTCCCCTAGTCAATCAGAGTCGGTGCGGCCCACGTGGCAAAGGTCAAAGCAGATGCGAAAGCATATTCGATAACAGACGCAAAACCGTTGGCCACTCTGAGCAGGCAAGGCAGGGTCGGAACGGCGCTCTTTTACTTCAAATAACTTCTGCCAAAACCATGATCGACAATACTGCCGTTGTTCAGGTGTGCACAGTTTGAGATTGCAACATGAAGCATGCCAAGCCAAGCCCTGCTGGGCACCACCAAGCGGCAGTTTAAATTTGGTGCAAGTCAAATGGACATCCCGATATCGAGAAGCCGATGCCGATGTCCTCCAGGAGCCAAATCCATGAAGCCGAGCCACCGGTGTCAGGATCAGTGGTGCATGCCGATGCTGGGACGATGCTGCGAGCTCGACAATCGTCTTTCTAACCCTCTGGTCCGGGAAAATGACATGTCAATTTTCAAGAAGCCGCGTACGCTGCCCCGAGGTAAGGATCTTACTGGAGAAGCCTGAAGACTGGCGGTTAGGCGGCGCGTTTCCAACCTCCTGTACTGACCAGGACACGCTCCAACAGATCTTGGAGAAGCAATTCCATCACAACATGGTCGCTCCGCTCCGAGGTAACTGACCTACAAACATACCTTATGACTGGGCTTACTTATGATGATTATAGCCCCGCATCACATTGAGATCTGCAGGTGCCACTGGGCAACACCTTGATCTTTGGATGACCTCGGATGAAGCCGCAGGACACCTAATACTTCAAAGTTTCCCGGGTCGATAGACTTTTAACATATTTCCGAGATCATCTCCGTCTTCCATGCTGCGCATTCAGAGAGGACGCTCAGGTCCCGCTGAAATGTGTATTCGGTGGGGTTTGCGCAATACTGTCCACACCAGGCCACAGCCTTGCCGCCTCGTCTATCCGAGAATGTTGCTTTGACTGCTTCCAATATTGCCACACACAGGCGGCCACATCTGAGAGGAAAACGGAGCATTGATGCAGTCGAAAAAGTTTGCCCATCAGCCTGTTTTGAAATCTGTTACGGTAGTGTCGCAACTCGTTCCCAGAGAGCAAGCTTACTAACTCGGCGAGGTCATGAAGTCTCAGCCTCGCATCGATCTGCGGAAGAGCGGTCACAACATGGAGCAATATGTGAGCTAACAACTTTGTTGATCAAAGTCGTAACTGAGGTTCTGGAAATGCCACTCAGATTCTTCGGAGTGTGACTAGATCTGATGGCCCAAAATACAACAACTCGCCACCGTTATCTGACAGGAAACAACGGATGTTGTGAAACCCTCGGCCAACGGCCTGAATCGCGTCTGAAGAAGGTTGGGCATCAAGCGCCGAGGGCTTGTATTCGGAGATTATGTACAATTCCCTTTCTGAAAAGTACAAGAGACGGTTGAAACTCGTTCTTCAGACCGTCTTTTCTAGAGCACGACTTCCTTGAATCCTTAAACTTTTGGATCCAGCCTTCAGATGGTAAAATTTACAACAGCGGTGAGAAGCAAGAGTGGGTCGCGAGATTCCGGTACGAGTGAAGAAGGCGAGCTGAAGAGAGCTGAAGAAAGCTTGGTGCGGCAGTTGCGATGCGACTGCAACAGGAAGAAAAACGTTGATTGCGTCGAGCAAGTTCGACTACTCGTAATTAATGTCCGACTCCCACTGTCCAGCACGTTTTACAAGAGACTTGACAACTTGACACTTATCTTTTTCTCCGCTCGCTCTGTAACAGTCTATGGGAGAGAAGGTTTGGGGCAATCTGTCGACTATGACTCGCGAAGACCGAAACAGGGTGGGCGACTGACCCCTCCAAGAGGGACGATCCTTGATGGCCATGCTTCTCCAGACTCAACCGCGAGCTGGCTTTCAGGAACAAATTTTATGTGATTGGACACAATTTCCCCTCCAAAGGAAGCTAAATATGCCGCCTTCCTCTAGCTTGGACGGCTCATGTGGAAGACACGCTTACTCAAGAATCTAAACTCTACGGGCCTTTATCCGCGTTCCGAACTCGAAGGTTTGGGACTATTTCCAATGGGCCGGAAAATCCAAACCTAAACGTCAATGAGAGCGTTGTCGATTCGTCGCGAGGCTGAACCTATGACGATGGGCTGGCAAGCCTTGCCATGCGCCCCCTCCTTATGAAGTGAACACAGGCACACAGGAGTCAATTGGAACTCCAGCTTCATCTCGCGCCTTAAGATTAACCAGTGGGGCAGCCTCTGAATGTGAACCGTTTGCTCGGACTACTGTACTGCCTCATGGCGATAGCAAGCGATGATCCTGACTTGGGAAGTTGGGATGATGGATCGCCCCAACCGCCCCTCCGTCGTTTTGTCCCTGAAGCGGCGGTAGCTCATGGCCCGTTTGGCCGCATTATTCCTCAGCACTTCAGCGGTGCCTTTCTCTTACAGATGAACACAGTTCTTTTTCGGGCTATCTAAACCATAAATAGTGTCTGAATGCGAAAGCTGCTAGCTAGACTTGTTGAATCTCTCTTCCCTATCCTACGCAAGGAATACACAGCCAGCAAATCAAGTAAAGCGCGCGAGTTGCGTCCTTGCCGCAAGCGATTCATTATTTCCCCTGCGGAGAGCGGATACAGGGCTGCAATCCTTACACAAGCCTCGCCGCGACCACAAGAGTCAAGAGTCAAGACTAACTGGGCAGTGGGCACACCCCCAGCACCCCTGGTCATCTCGGCTCTGAGATTTTCTAGGGTTTCCAGGGCGTTCTCCGCGAGTACCATGGGTACGGTAACGGGTAAATGACTACTACTGATACTTAGGACGGCCGCCGCGGCCTGCAATCTGTCTGGGCTGGGGGTTCAGAGAACACGGCGCAGAAGCTCTGAAGAAGAAGCCACACATGGCCAAATCGTGCTTCTATCGTCATTTGCAATCGATGGTTGTGCGCCTCGTTCGTTCATAGAGAGTGCTATTGCCAATGGATTTGGCAAGAATCCGGCGGCTGAACTAGATAGAGTATGGGCTGTCTCTGTCTTCTGGGAGTGCCAGCTAGTCGCGACTACACTCATTTAGTGCCGCGACCGCTTCTGTGGGAATGCGAAATCGCCATACAGTACCACGCAGAGGGGCAAGATATGAGGTCCGACTTCAGACACAGCACTCTGCCAGTCTGCTCTGCTCTGCTCTGCTCTGCCGTGCAACGAGAACGGTTTGCTGTGTAGCCAAACCTTGTGATCCATCATCCCGGCTTAGGGAGGGCCAGACCTTGCGATAAGCCGTGAATCGTACGAGACTTACCGGCCAGGGAGTGGCTAAGAAAGTTAATTATGTTCAGAGACGAAGCTGGCTGGTGTGGGGCTTCCTTTCTGTGCGCGCCACAAATGTGATGTGATTGATGTGAGGCCAAAGAGGGAACCCAGAGTCGGGGCGAGGCAGCCGACGAGGATGAGCAGAGGAGGGCGAGACGAGGACGAGCTCAGGAGCAACAAAAGACCAACGGCAGCCCAGGACCAGGACCAGGGCGACAGACAGATGGGATACGGATCATACGGCTGGAACAGGACGCACAGAAGGTCACTCTGCTGTCGCTCACTACTGTACTGACTCTGTCTTCGGAATTGCTACATTATCATTACATCTGCAGCGCATCATCAGATAGAGAACTGCATCATCGGCGGGCTCGGCAACAGCTCTGAGTACCTTAGTGGAGTGGTTCCTTTGCCCGTGTTTCTACTGAATCGCGGAGCAGAGCCGACCTGGACGTTCATCTCCATTCCCGTCCAGTCCAGTCCAATCCTCCTCCTTCGGCGGCATCGCGATCAACAACTGATCGCATCGTCCTTCGAATTATCATCTAAAGTACTATTGACCGGGGGGCAGCTGTTGTTTGTACGTCCATGCCGATATCATATGTACCTAATTATACCCAACCACCAACCAGATCAGCGCAGTCTTTCTCGACGACTTCTTCGAGCCTCGAGGCTGTCGATGATCCTTGCCTCGATCGCACGTTCGCCCTGTCGTCAGGTTCAGTCTGAGCAACCTGAGCAGTAGTAGTCGTGGTAGTACTAGTAGTGAGTAGTAGTGAGCAAGATACCGAGCCGAGCTAGCATCCGCCCCCTCCCCTTCCCTCCCCTCCCTTCCCCTCGCCTCCCTAGCCAGGTAGCCATCCACTATCCGCAACCCTGGAGCATGAGCATGAGCATGAGCTTGAGCTTGAGCTGGACCAGAGGTGACCTTGACCGCCTCTCGCTATCACTGCCTTCCAGGGTTAATAACAGTGCCCCGTGACTTGCTCGACAAACTTCATCATCCACGGATCACGTCTCGCGCTGTGCCCTCATTACCTTACGAATCTGCGTCCCGTCTTGTTATCCTCGATCATTATTCCTCGAGCGGCCTGCGAACTTCCAGCATCCAGCATCCAGCATCCAGCATCCTGCATCCTGCATCCTGTCAGAACTCTCAAACGCTGCAGCATATCTCACGCCAAAACCTACCCACCCGTCAAAGCCAGCCAGCCCTTTACTGTCACTGCCTGGCCGTTGACGTTCCTGTGCCGGCTCTCGTACGAAGAGGCCTTGTCCCTCTTGGTCCTGGTCTTGGTCTTCCGTCCTAGGGTCAACGCTCGCTATAGAATTCTCCGCGCATTAACGAGTCAAACCGAGTCGGGTCGGTTCACCATCGCCGCCCGCCCGCTTCATTATTGCGGCCCTCCTCTGATAACTCCCCCGGCAGACTACTCGAAGTAAGAAAAGGGAAGAAGGAAGACAACCGCCGCACCGCATTGCATTGCATACCAGAGACTCAGCTTCAGGCCATTCGTCGCAGATCCCCGCCGGGAAGCAGCCGTGGGACAGGCCTAGTTCAGGTAGCTCTGAGATTTTCTTACCTCGATTTCAAGCTTCCTGGTCCCTAACAATCCCAACTCTACCCAATCCAACCCTCCCCACACCAAGCAGCCCACTACTCTCTCCCTACAACTATTTGCGCGCGCCGCTGGTGCTTTAGCCCAGATCCTCGTCTTGCCCTGTCACTTGCGATTTGCGCGACTTGCGACTTGCGAAGCTGAAGCTAATCTGCTATCCCATCTCAGACAGTTTAGTTGCGAAACCCGGTAGGCGATTATTAGTCGCGGGGGATATCCCTCTGCTACACCTGACCATACCACGTCAGCTCGTACCACCCTGATGAGAATATCTGTGTTATCTGGCAACCTGTAAGAAGCCGAAGCTCTACTACTGCCGTCCATGGCCTCTGCTGCCGCGATCGTATGAGAGTCAAAGCTATGATGGACATACCGCCCGATAAACGTCCTCGTCTCTCCGGTCCGCCTCCAACACCATGGCAGAACTCACCCGAAGGTTCTCGACAACTCCCTTCCCCCAGTGCGCCGCAGCAGCATTACCATCCAAATCCGTTCTCTCGACCAGCAGAACCTCATCCACTTGATCATCGTCGGCCTTCAGAGCATTCGCAATACGACCATCAAGACCCTCGCAGACCAGGCTCTGGTCCTTCGCATGGATATCACAACGGTCCTCCTCAACCTCCTCCCCCACCATCAGCTCCTCCAGGCCAGCAGCCTCAGATACCATCTTATGCAGGACAAAGGGACCCGATGGTGAAGAGGGATCCGTCAGACGAACCACAACAGTATAGACCGCCGTCAACAGGTGTAGATCACAATGTGATGCCATCACCACACCACGAAGGGCCGGGCCGACCATATCATCCGTCCTACGATCCAGCAAGAAACCAGCAATATCAGCCACCGCAACAAGCGAATCCTTACCCTCCAGTGCAGAGTCCAATGTCTGCCACGGAACCTTACGGTAACAATCCGTATGGACCAGGTGGAGGTCTTCCTCCACCTCGAGATTTCCAGACAGTAACATATCCCACAGCAGCACCAAGAGGACAAGACATCAGAAAAAAGGCGCAAAGAGCCGCGCAGGCATGCGATAGTTGCCGAACGCTGAAAGCAAAATGCGACGAGGGGCGACCAGCATGTTCGACTTGCAAGGAAAAGGGCACGGAATGTCGTTATCGGGACCCGCCACCAAAACAGTATGCTTGATTTCGGTTTTGTTTCTCATCATCTTGATACTAACTATACTAGGCAAGACAAGGCATCGGCGGACATCATGGACAGTTTGGCACGCCTGGAAAATTTCATGAGTGGCTTCAACAATAAAATTGAACATGTCAATAAGAAGATCGAGCACCTCACGGGTGAGATGAGAGACATCAAGCAAGCCCAGAATGGAACCGTGGCAAGCAGTACGAACTACGACATGGTGAAATCAGAGCAAGCAGACGCTGTTCCTGGAAATCGGGTAGACTATCCCAGACCGTCCATATCCGAGACCCAACCACTACTTTCCAACGAGTCGCCTTATGGATCTACGCCGAGTCAACCAAGGGCCCCAGATAGCTATGTACCACAAGGTGGCGAGATTTCAGAAGAGGAAGATGAGTCAGGGAATCCGGGCCCATCGAAACCCCCTTCAATTCCAGTCAACCATACAACCGGCGCTGCAAGGTTGCTTAATGTCCCGGCGATTAGAGCCCTGTGTCAAGGGGCTATGGATAGTTCAAAGATCAAAAATGAGAAATATCCGATTTTGCAAGAAGAGAAGCGAGGATTACTTAGGCTTTTCGGTAGGGGCGAAGGCTATGAACCTCCTCCAGGTTATGACAAGGATCCTTTGGTAGACCATGGCGCAGATAGTACCCCCGGGGACTCTCATTCGGATGTATCTTCGCCCGCTGGTGAAGAATGGGGCCAGCTTGGTGGTCTCACTCCACCTGGACACCAGCCAGACATCGTGAGGGGAGGAATTGATGCTAACGGCATGCCTGACTTGAGCAGAGAGACAGTCCTCGATCTGGTTAAGAGTTACATGGACCACATCAACATCATGCATCCTATACTCATTAAATCGCGCCTGGACCTGCTTGTAGAGCACTTTTTAAAATCCATCCCAGAGAGCCAGGCGAAACCAAAGCAAGTGTCGACTCTCCAAGCCGGGCATGCGAGTTACAACGGACCTGGGTTTGTGGGAAGTGGTTACCGGAATCCGGAAAGTCCTGGGAACAAGCGTAAACGATCTCCAATTTCAGGCGAGTATGCAGAACCACATGCTATATTGGAACACAAGCCCGGGCATCCATTCCGATCAATTGGATCAGCTATAGTTCTATTGGTTATGGCATTGGGAAAGATCTGTCAGCACAAAGGGAAGATTTCGGATGCCTGGCAATCAGACCGCGATACGGATAATTCGTATGGTAGTTCTCCCACTGTTCGAAATGGTCACCCGCCATCACCCGTCCAGAGCTCACCTGGCTTGGGAATGGCGTCTCCCATGGATGGTGAAAGAGGTCAGCCACGGAGCCGCAGAACTTCTATCGATGGAGCGTATCCGGCCAGTCGCTTTGCTCGGCCGAGAAACATCGATATCATCCCAGGACTTGCATACCATGCTCTTGCTACGGATGTTATCGGCAACCAACTTGCGGGAAACAGTCTACAGCATGTACACGCAAACATCCTCGCTGGACTGTATCATGGGCAACTTGCAAGAGTGATGGAAAGTCACGGGTACATTGCAGCAGCTTGCCGTAGTCTCCAGGTTATCCTCAGACCGTAAGAACAGGACTCAGAGAACCATATCCAAATGCTAATTTTCCCAGGAAACTCGATCGACTGAGAAAAATCAAGGAACATGGCTTAGTTGTCCCAGAGAAAGATAACCCACTCATCATTGCCTTCTGGACATGTTTACAGCTAGAAAGGTACTGGACGAGATCTTTCAGTTCCCAAACACAAGCTAACATCTTATTCTAGTGACATCGTTGCTGAACTTCCTTGCCCGCACTCTGGGATTTTGACATATGAAGAAGATATGCCTCATCCACACCTGCAAACGGTACAGGATAGCTACGGAATCCACAGTGATGTTGTACAAAGCTACGTTGGGCAATTGTTCTTGCGCAAACATCTTAACCAGTTGCACAACATGTTCTACCGGCCTGACGGTAAGTCTCCTCTGTCACGTATGATGTGCAGTGTGTTAATTTATGGGTTCGAAGAAGATCAACAACAGCCATTCAACTCCGCCAGCAAGACCAAGGAGCACTTCCCAACCATCGACGCCTCGTTGGCGAACCTGCGAGACATCAACGTCATGGCCGCCAGGATGACTTGGAATACAGCTGAAGGTGAACCAGCCACAGACATATTGAGAGCCCGATTGAGGGCCAAATTTTATGGAGCAGAGGTCATAACCTACCGCCATTTCATTTTAAAGATTCTCCAACAGGATTCATCAGGGGACGCTGGGGGTCAAATTGCCCCTGGCTATCTACCAAAAGTCGAAGCACCTGAGATCAAAAACAACGTGCAGAGGATAGAAGATCTCGAGCCTAAGCTTCTGAACTATATAGAGTGTGGGCTCAGAGCTCTTATCTACAGTACCAGGGCATTTTATGGCGTGGGCGATCCTGGGAAGGATAGACTTATTGTCACTAATGTCTGGGGAACGGCACATGCGTATGTCTATTTCTCCCTACTCTTCACTGTTACTGACTCCTTCAAGGCAATGGGGAAACGTGGTGACTCTACTAGCGGCGTACATGAACCCGATCCTTAACCAGATTCTTCTCCGATTTATCACGGTGGATGGTCTGCGACATCTTACTGAGACCACGTTGGCTTTTCTTGCCTTGATAGCATCTCCCACATCGGCCCTGCATTCCGACTGGAAGATTCTCAAGTACATGGGCCAGAAGACTGGCATCACGCCACCTCAAGGACCGAACACGGGTTCAAGCTTCTCAAGTTCGACTGTAGGCGATGTTCCAATGAGCGGGCACTGAAATGCTCCGTAAGATCATAGACGTTGGTGAATGGCGGGCCGACCCATTTGGAACGACATCAATTCAGACATTTTTCGTGCGACAGCGAAACACGTACATATTGCATTGGGCAGGTGGCTGGGCAGGCGGCGGCGGCAGCTTTTCTCATCAGCATATTTAGCGATGGCGCATCCATAATTCCCCATTCGGCATCATATCTTTCTTTTCTCATTCGACATTGTGTTTCTGTTACAAGTTTTCGTGGGCGGTTCTCATCGTTCGGATCAAGCACGTACATACATACATTGGGCGGAGCAACTTCATGTTAAACAAACAAACAAGCCATCAAACACATTTCGCAGTGTGTCTGTGGGTACAGTTCCGCATATAACCAGATCCTGTTTGTTTCTTCTCCATCGTCATGTCATCATTTAGTTTCTGGGGGTGGTTGGGTCGGCTCTCTGTTTTTTTATATCCCATTTCGCGCGTTTCTTATGAGAGGAAGGAAATCAATCAGTCACGCATGAGGCGTTTTGTGCTGCTAAACCATTCTGTCCGTTTCCTGTTTGCTTACTGTTCTGAATGTCTGATATATTGTACACATGGGGAAATGATACACAAACACGCTTCTTTTCTGGTGGCTAATAACCGGTATCTATACCATCATTAATTTTCCCCCATCTATCTCATTGATTGGCACTTCATCGTTCGAGATCTTCATATACGTTTTTCCAGACTGGCTAGAAATACGACGAGCAATCGTTTCTCATTTTTCGGGTGACTGCCTACCCTCTCCTTCCGTCTCATCATTCGCAGCTCCGACCGATCGACTAGTCAGTCAGTCAGTTCTGATCTCGTATGATCTCATCAATACATCTCATCATATCTTGTGTGTGGAATAAAAATGATGGGAGGCGAGTGGAGTGGAGCAGGGTAGCAAAGAACTTCAGGACAATCGAAGCAGGCACGTACGCTTAGTCTGGTATCATTAGATCGACATCGCACTTCTTTACCTTTAGGAAAGAAGAGTGATGAGGTCGCAAATTAATTTTGTTTTCTATAAAACAGTATCTCTTCACAACTCATCTATCGAGACTTCAACCCATTGAATGACATCTACATCTACATCCACATCTAACCTACATGTCTTTCCTGATGTCGCCGACAGCATGGATGTAGTACCGTGATATGAACCTCCCTCGAACCTCCGCTCAACCACTTTCTACATTCAACCTCTGTCCTACCTTACATGAAGTCATCTGTGCACTCCAATCCACTCCTCCCGTCCAACCGTTCGTTCGTTTACTCCCGCCCACCAGCTTACCTTCTTCCTTCTTCTTCATGCTGTGTAACATCATGCATAGTGTACATTACATGCATGCACGAAACACACACGCACACTGCCTGCCTGCCTGCCTGCCTCCCGCCCGACCAACCCACGGGACCCTCTCCCGATTACGATTCCACATAGGTACGTACCGACATGCATGCATGCATATCTCACTTCACTTTAACTTACCTTACCTTACCGAATCGTATCGTATCGTTCGTCTCGCATCCGCTTCACATACATAAACTTACATACATACATAACTACCCGACATGATGGCACAGAAACACTCACACTCACACTCACACTCTTATTATCTTCAGCGGCGAGAACAACATCAACACCACCACCACCCGGATGGATACCTGCAGGAATCACGTTACACGCAGAGTTGTCTGTACAACGGTTCTGTTCTGTAGTGCAGAACAGAACCGTTGTACAAAGTCGCAGATACAGATAGATGGATGGCTTGAGGTGCTGTGTTGGCACCACCTTTTACGTCCGCCCTGACGATGTCTGGGTCTCTGGGCGGCAAGGTTGGGATCGAGGGGTTGTTGAGGCGTTGAGGCGTTGTTGGAGAGGTACGGCGTGATGTACGGGGGGGTAAGTAAAGGGGTGGAGAAGTGAAGGGGGTGAGGAGTGAAGGGGTGAGATGTTGTCCTGGTGCTACGATATTGGTAAACTTAGATATTACAGTTAGGGCTTATCATTTGCATGATATTTGAGGGCTGGCCACTGATCCTGGTTAGGATTACTGGAGGTGTTGGAGATGAGTAGCGTAATATTGAAACCTACAGTAAAGGATGGCGTTCCTGTCCTGTCCTGTTTCCAGGAAACGGGGAACGGGGTCAGAATGAAAGGCTGGGTTGGGGATGTGGAGATGGTATGCCGCCTTGGTGGTTGGGGCTGACCTCCCCTCCGTAAATGGTGGCGGAGGGAGAAAGCCGCGGGTTATACGACGCTAAGGTACCTACCTACCTAGCCAAAGGGGAAGGAGAGAGAGACAAAGGAATGCCAAAAAGCCAAAGAGGGGAAGAGAAAAAAAAAGGAAAAGCTTGGTCATTGGTTGATGGGCTGAGACATACAGTAGGTATGCGTGTATACAGGTGGAGGAGAGGCGGATGTGGATGTGGACGTGGACGTGGACGTGCACGAGACTTGTCGCAAAGAGCGGGAGGTTGGAAAATACTGTGATGGTGGGTGATAGACGATAGATGATAGATGATACAGTAGGTGGTGAATGAGGGCGGTCGATAGCTCTCACAGAAACGTATATTGGATCCTAGAAAGGAAGTTATGACTTCACACAGTATGTACAAGTGCATGGTTTATTCCGAGGTGCATGACAACAGTCCCAGGAACAGGGGCAAGAGATGGAACATGTCAGCTGTACCGTCGTTGGGAAAATTGGCTGATCCCATCCATCCATGGATGGATGTATGGGCTCGTGCGCTCGGGGGATCGCCTTGCTGTGGCTTTTGGAAAAGTGTAATATCTGGTCCCAGACTTTCGGGATGATAGTGGAAGCGTGAGAGAGAGGAGACGGGATCGTGGCGAGGAGACCGGGGATGGTGATCGTCTGTCCCGAGCTGATGTTCGGTTTCCCGAGGTTTGTTTTGAGTTTATGTTTTTTTTTGCTTTTTGTGTGAGTCCCTTATGCACTCACTCACTACTCAATTCAGCTTCAGCTTGGCGATATTGATCTGACATGCCTTCGAGACTTGAAAGGTTGTGATTAGCGGGGTGTACGATGTGTAATTGGAACAAGGAGTGCCGAATGTGGAAAGACATTCGCTGGACGGGAAATTTGGTCAGTTAGCTCTAAGGTGTAGAAGGGGGGTTTTGGGGCACCTTGACTACAGGATTGAGACGTTGGTCAGGGTTACTTGATAGTGGAAGCGGGATTACGTCGCAAGATCTCGATGTGGGAGCTGTGACTGTGGCCATGCCACACTTGTTTACCTTTGCAGACTCGGTTTAGCCTGGACGAGAAATTGATGTAGCCGAAGGTAAACAAAAGAGACAACTTCTATCCCACAACGTAGAAATGATTCCATCTAACCATCTAGCTGACCCAATATAAAGTACAAAGAGGAACATACACTGTACTCAGACACCCTGCTCCATACCCTCTTCCCACTCCTCATCCTCAACCCCAATAAGCTGGTCAGTCTCCTCAACTGCCTTCCTTTCCTCAGCTCCTTGCCAACCCGTAGCAGCCTGCACCAACACCATAATGAGAGCCAACCCTGCACCAGCTACATAAAGTTGCTTCAATCCCCCAACATACCCTCCAACCGCAATCCTCCTCTCCACTCCCTTGAGAGTCTGCACCATCGCTGGACTTCCTAGCAATCTCCTCACCAAATCCTCCCTCCCCTTTAGTCCACCGTTCTCCTCGTAGCCCTTCTCGAGCGTCGCTTTGAGAACACGAACGAAGTATCCACCGCCTATAGCGGAACCGAATGAGCCTGCGAAACCACGGAAGGTAGTCAGGAGGGAGGTGGAAATGAAATGCGTTTCCGTCGGCGTCAGATGGAGGAGATGAGCGAGCGTGTACGCAAGAGCAGCACCAACACAAATCCCATTTATGAAGACGTTCAACAGAAAGAGTGGCGCAGGGGTCGCCGGATTGGCGATCTGTGACAGAGTAATAAGTGTACAAGCGAAAAGAAAATACGTGATGATGCTTGGTCTGTTGACTCGTTAGCAAGAACAAGCGAGAATGTGAAAAGGGCAAACATACAGCCAGAAACTTCCCGCACGGCGAATGTGCAACCCACCTACACTGATCCCACCGATTGCGAATCCTAGATTAGTAGGAATGAGAATCGAGCCTGCTGATGCGGGAGACCATCCTCGGACTGCGATGGCATAGGCGGGTGTGTAGAAGAGGACCATCCATCGCGCGGCCATGATGCCGAGTTGAGCGACGCAGGAGAGAAGAGCGCCGCGGGATTTCAAGACAGTGACGGGAATGATGGGTTCAGATACCACGTAGAGTTCGATGAGGATGAATGCTACGAGCAAGAAAACCGAGGCAACGATAGGAACCCACTGGATGACTGGCGAGGAGAGTCCGTAGAGGAAGAGGCAAAGAGTTGTCGTCTTTTTAGTGCGTTAGTAGGGATGCAGAATGGAGGACGGAAGCCTTACGAGAGTGCAAGCGCCAAGATAGTCTATTCTACCAAGCTTTTGCAAAATAGAACCTTCTCCAGATCCCGCATGTCCAGAAGTAAAAGATCCCGGGATGCCGAAGAATATTCCAGTTCCGAAAACAACAGACATTGGGCTCTGGATCCAGAACAAGAACCGCTTGAAGATGTTAGCCGAGCCGCATCTTGCTTAAAGCTTGTGAATGTACATACCCATCCAGTAACTGGCAACAAGGCACCGGCCACGACTGCTCCAACAGACACACCAGTAGTGAAGCCAGCATTTACAAGTCCAATAAATAACCCTCTCCGCTTCTTCCCAGTCAATTCGAGCACTAAAATAAACGACACAGTCATGATACCCGCACCGCCAATTCCCTGGATTGCTCTCCCAAGAAGAAACATCTGCAAATTCCGTGCCTGAGAAGTAACCACACCGCCAATTGCGAAGAAAATGGATGCTGCAAAGACACAGTTTCTGGGTGAAAAGATCTGAGCTAGACGTGCTGCGAGAGGGGATGTGCTGGACATGGCGATCTGAAAGACATTAGTTGAGACATGTTATCAGGGTTAAGATCACTTACCAGGTATACAGAAGCAAACCATATAGCTTCTGCAAAAGCATCCAGATCTTCAGCGATTTTCGATTGTGTTGTCGTAATTCCGGACATGTTGGAAGCTAAAGTCATTGTCAGCATATTTCCAACAACAATCGATGATTTTCATCGATATCAAATCTTCTTAAACAGCATACCTTGCAAAAAGATCAGTCCCCACAAGCTAAATATAATCAACGCTCCTCTCGCCTTGCCAACTTGCTGGTTCGCTTTATCCACGTCAACAATCTCCTCCTCATCGCCCCTCCGCTGCGCATCCGTCAAGGTCTCCGAACTACCATCATCTCCAACCAAATTGCTCGCCTGATCCCTCAGCAACGGTGTTTCCTCCCCTACAATCCCAATCGTCCCTTCCTGACTCCTGATAGCCATGTTGTTCTTACACAAAGTACCCACACGTGACACGCCACTCTTGCTTTCCCAACAGCCAGGTCCTTGGTTCTTTGTCGTGCAATTGTTCCCGACCAAGCAATTCTCATCCAATTCTCAAGCTCCCATCTTGTCTATCGTCAATTGATCGATGTGAACCATCTTTGGAGATGTTGAAAAGAAGGAGGGTAAAATCCGCGATGGAATTGCGTTACATTTCGCGCGTTGACATCAGGACTTTTTGGTGATTCATAATCATCCAAGCTAGATACATAGACGTAGCAGGCAGGTCGGAATCGGGATCCATGTAATTCCGTATCCGACCTGAGACAACCTGTAAGGATTGTGAGTTCAGGGGGATCGCCCCGCTGGAAAGCTTATCTGTGGTGCTGACTGCGCGGGATTTGGCAGTGGGTTGAGGGGCAGAGAGCTTATCTTTGGTCCGCAAAACTCTTTTATGCGAACGACATTGTACCTATACATACATAGGTGTTCCCCTCGCAACTATTCCCAAACAGAGACTATGTTTTGTCGCGATATCATCACTTTTGAAGATATAAGTTACGTGTTAGATCACTTTGATCTTAGTATGTTGGTGAAGAGTTGGTGAAAGTTCTCATGATATCCACCCCGTCGGTCTGAGGTTGAATCTTGTAGAATTTTGTATATTGTCTTCTAATTTGTTATATCTAGAGCTTAGATCTCCTAGGTATATTTTCACACAGCTCTATACACTACTTGTTTCTTGCTTTAATTTTTCATCTACCGCCAAATTTCTGGTCTTAAACAATGTCTTTATTATCCTTGTCTCCTTTCACCACGGCTTCTTTCTCAACAATTTCCTCTCCGTTCATCTTCTGTCTCCTCTTTGCCCTCCTCTTCTGATCCACCTTATCTCTCCATCCAACACCCCACAGCACAGCAGCATACGTAGCCAAGCTACTGGCCACCAAAAGGCCTGCACTGATCGTCGAAAACCAACCAACACCAATCTTCTCTACCGCAGGCAAAACAGTTGCACTGCCCAACGCAGCAAACATATATCGGATAACATAGTTCCCAGCAATAACTTCGGCGCTGTGACTCTGCATCACGTCGAGACAGTATGTGTTCAAACTTGGGAAGCAGAAGAGCTGCGCCACACCCTGGAAGAACATCATGATGACAGGCAACGCAATACCGCCAAAGCGTTTCTCGATCGACCATCCGTATATCAACATACAGCTTGGAATAGCCACGCCCATGAAAGGAAGTGCAGAGCGGAGACGGTCCTCGGGTACTCGGTTTCCACCTCGCTTAGCCTTCCATTTGATGGTAATGTAGTCTGCATATCGTCCCCCAAAGAAGGTGCCGAGAATATATCCACATCCAGGTGCAAGGTAAAACAGACCCGATTCGATAGGTGTCATGAGGTTGAACCGAGGATTAAGGACATATCGGATAGGGGTGAGAAGGGAGTACATGTTCCACACAAGCGAACTTGAAGCCAGAGCAACCATGATCAAGTTGGGATACTTGTAGAGCCTCAGCACACGCCAAGGGTTCAGCATCCCTCCCAAAACCCGCGCTTTAGTCCTCAATGGCAATCCAACAAGGTCATCGGCCTTCATGTGGTGTGCTGTTTCTGGAAGAAGGAAGTATGCGCCTATCAGAGCTACTCCGGCGAGTGCGGTTTGCAGATAGAAAATCACCCGCCAAGATTTGAAAGTTACTATGATACCTCCGATGAAAGGTCCAAAAGCTGGTCCAATTAGCGTTCCTGACAAGAACCATCCCATTGCTGTTGCTCGTTCCGTGGGACGGTAGATGTCGCCGATGCAAGAGGCACCGACATTGAGAAATGAGGTTCCCTCAAAGGCAGTCAGGATGCGGAAGACGAAATAAGCTGGGAGGTTTGGAGCGAGAGCGGTGCCTAGTGAACAGCCACAGAAAAGAGCTGCTGTTATAAGACAGATCTGGATCTGGTTAGAGGTATATGGGCAAGTGGGCAGAGCGAACTTACCCATCTACGGCCGTAGACTTGGCTGAGAGGACCCCAGAAACAGGGCGATACTCCCATGAAGAGCATGTAGAGGGCATTGCTCAAGTTGATGATCGTACCGGTGCTGCTGTACGTAGAAGCTACTTCAGGAACGGCCGCTAGGATTGTCGTTGAGGATATTGGTGCCAGGAATGAGCAAAAGGACAGGAGAGCCACGATGACAATTTTGCGAGATGGCGATAGCCTGTCGTATACTTCATCCGGAACTTCTACAAATGAGGAGTAGTGCTGTATGGGAGCATCATGTGTGGAGATGTTGGTTCGGGTATGTGATAAGTGTGGATTCTCGTCCGTGGTGCTGATTGAATGTATGGATTGTGCATCATCGTGGCGACTCAATTGAGAGGAATGATCGGGCTGAGGGACTGAGGATTCTTCATGGCGGGTTTGAGACATGATGAATGAGCAGTATTAATTCAGTTCTGAATGGTACAGGAGTATCATGATACAGCAATAATGATATCGAAGAGTGGGGGCAATTGAAGAAGTCTTCCTCCTGGATCATGAAAGGCAATAAGAGCGTAATTGATCCAACGGGTAAAAGCAAAGACTGATTTCACTAATAGCAGGAAAGAAGAAAGCGGATTGAAGATATACTGAAGGGAACCAGTGAGTCAAATACCTCTTTTCCATGCTGGTTAGCAAGTCCGAGGCCGGTCAGTGGCGGGGTGGATTCTGCTGGGCCCAGGGCAGAGTTCTCAACGGCAAGTTTCTCTTTCGCCGGTGCTTGAAGACACTTTAGGTATGGTCTAATCTTCGGCCCTCCGCAACTAGACACCATGATTTGCTTGTCTCCTTACCTTGGCGCAAGTTCAGAACGGTGCCGTCACAGCCGAATCCGGGATAATGTCCGTTCGGCAAGCTGCCGAGCGGAAGCAGACACGCGACACTGCGTGCCTTTGGAGTTGCATTTTTGTCTCATGATGCTCTACTCGTAATCGCTTGATTGCTCGAATTTATACTTAACATCAGCAGTCTACAAAAGTACATCTATAGGTAGGCGTTGAGAACTGTTTTTGCAAAAAGCAGGTGAGAAATGGGGAAAATATGGCGATAATAATACAAGCGAGAAAATCTCCTCCAACCCGGTGAAATTCTCTACTCCCCGACATACACGATATGCATGACCACGAGACTGCATGTATGAGAATTTGGCATGAATCGCATGGAGCATCAATTCCTATCACTAGCAAATGCTAGTCCGGTACTTGGCAAAGATAAGCTACAACTCCACCTTACTGCATATTTTCCGGATCTCCAACAGAGTTATTTCGGGAAAGCTTCTCCTAAGCTTGGTTGACTCCTGACCCGAGAACTTATTTTTATTCGTCCCTAAGGTTTCTATATTCACAGAGATTCATCTGTGAATTGCACGAGTGTATTTCACTTGGCCAGAGATATATGGTCTAGAATTTCATTAATTTTGTCAGATATTTTGACCGTGTCTTCACATACATTTCAAGAAATATTTACAAAGAAGTCGCTTTTCCGGATTTCTGCTTTTCCGAATGTCAAACCTGGCTCTTGAACCAATTCTCGGGACATTGCGCTTGCATTCCTCACACCTCGGGGGTGAAATGTATGCGAATTAGCTTGAGATGCTGCTACACGCAACTTTATCGGCATTTGCACAGCTAAGAACAATTGGAACATTCACTCAACTGGTGGGAACATACAAAGTCTTTCTTAGGAGTATCTTAATACTTTTTACCCCGCAGTGGGGTCAAGCCTTTTGCCAAAATGCGATTACTCAGCAGGAAAATTCGGCTAATGTCGGGAGCAAAATAAACAATGGAGAGACTTCGTAGATTGGCTGTCCAAGTGATGGAGCTCATCTAGTTGGAGAAATCTTTAAGAATCTTGAGTAATAGCTTGGTATGCAGAATCATAGCGACAAGCCACCCATTTCTCGCCTTGCTTCTACTGGGCAGATGCAAAGTTGTGGATATTACGCAATGGAGAAGGCAGTTGGAAGAAATGAGCTAATGGACTATCATTTATAGATATACATTTTTCGGTAATGAGAACTCTGACATGAGTAATATGTTATTGCTTTCTTGGTCTCTGCAAAGAATACTTTGCTCTGAGAACGAAAGCAGACAGCGAACGACCATAGTAGTCATGGGCTACAGGTCGGTGAATTGAACTCACAGTACAGGCCTTTGAATGAGTCTCAAAAAGGAAGGAGTCTATCATTCTCAAACATGTGATATTATTACATGGCAAAGCTGTTAGGTGAGTATCAAATTGAGACCAAACGAACGGCCGACTTCGCTGGTAGTATCGATCCTAATAGGGGAAGAAACATCGTGCTTGAGATCCAACTCTAGACTAGTCGTGAACGAGTATTTTATACCTCCGTTTCCATTTCCCTTTCAATCACGTCCAAATCTCCACTGGATTTGTCTAATCAGCCAGGTAATCGTTTCCAACGAAAGTAAACTTCAAAACTGCAATCCACCACTACATTTACACCCTGTACAAACAACATGCTCCTCTTCTCTCTTCACCATCTTCCTCTGCTTCATCATCCTATCTCATACCACACACGCCGACCCTTCACAATCCGAACGCCAAACCTTCGCACTCAACCCCAACCTCACCTGCGGCCCCACCCTCCTCCAAATCAAAACTACTTCTGCCCGACTCACGCACCCTGCTGCTCTTACCACGGCTTCTGCGGCTCCAAAGACGCTTACTGCATCACCCTGGCTGGCTATCAAGCCTCGCACAGCAACCCGACTGTACCTGCCTGCCATGCTCCGATCGACAAGGTGACAGTCTCGCCGAATGGCAGTTGTAGGAGGAAGTATGAGCAGACTTGGGGGTATAGATGTCCTGCAGGCAAGGGAGAGAATGGTTGTTGTTCTGCTTCGCAAGTCTCTATTTCACTTTCTTGGGTTTGATGTGTGTGGGGGAGAGTTGAAGATGAAGCAAGGTTGTGATATGGACAAGGACTAAATGGCTACAGGTTCTTCTGTGGAAGTACACTGGATCATTGTGATGTTAAGAAGGGTTGCAAACCGGGGTATGGAAGATGTAATTCTAGCTGAGGAGGGAAATTTTGTCTTCATTTGAATGGCTGGGTTAACATATAAGTAGGGGAAGTGCGCAGACTTTGCTCGAGGCATCCCTCTGTGGAGAGTGTGAAAATTACACAATGAGAAGTGTTGAGAAAATCTATGGCTTTTGCTCTTCAGAATGATGCATGCATGATATTTGTATTTGCTATTGCTCTACTCGTCTTCCTAGCAGCCTAGGAATTGAGCATACGTCTCATGGGTATCTTGAGCCGCCAACGCCTTGGAAGCTTGATTCGGATATATTGACGCTCACAACCTAATGATGTCGATCTATAAATTGATTCCGGTACAGTCAGAAAACAATGCGTAGAAGTTTGGAGTGATGATACTCCGAAACCAGAGATACTCGCACGCTGTCGTAACCTCGCATCCAGGCGAGGCCAATCAATTGACGCGCATGCAAGCAACCACCAATACGGAAGTTTGTTGGACTTCCAACTAATCAGCTCAAAGGAAAGCACCTGTACCGAGAGGTATGCATAATCGCCTCGCAGCTATCGAATCATTCCCCTCCACATGATCGCACCAACGCCCTCGATAGAAGTGGGTGTGCTGCTCTGCTCTGGTTACGAAGACCCCATTTAAAGAACGAGACAAGTATCAGAGCACCGCTCTAGCAAAGCCTTCCATCTACCAATACGCCATCCAATTCTATGAGAAATCTTTGTTTGAGAGAATATATCACAAGATGGCAGTGAAACGCGGGCCCCGAATTATGGAACGAGCAAAACCTTTCGAAGTATCTCAGCGAGCATCAACCAGCTCCACAATCTCAACAACCGCCACTCAGAGAGCAGATGAATCCGCTGCTGACACCAAGAGAAGTCCGCCTACTTCACGTCTGAATCGAAGCGGCTGGTCTCATGGCGAACGGCCTATTGTTCCTACCAGACCATTAAAGAAGAGTCATGGAAAGGACTCGGAGCCCTCGCATCAGCCACTACCTCGAAATGACACTCATCGTCATGGCGGACCGGTGATGGACACAAATAATGGACAATTACACATTGAACGTCCATTGACGCCTCAACAACATGCAGGTGTCTATGTTGACAGCCTGAACACCGAACTCGTAACCGTCAAAGCCGAGATTGCATCTCTGAAAGAGGGATTAACACAACGAGACAACGAAATACAAATCCTGGGGCGGAGACTGGATGAAATGAGAGATCAATACGAAGTGGCTATACATGATCTCAAAAAAAGTCAAGAGGAGAAGGGTGAGCTCAGGGATCAGGTTGACAGATTGAAGGCAGACTTGAGGGAGGAGAGATCCTTGAGGAGGAAGACAGAGGATGAACTTGAGGAGAAGCAGGCGAAGGTTCGGGAGTTGAATGAATCACTTACGAAGATGAGTGATGAAAAAGCTGAGAGAGCTAGGAGGTCTGCTCTAGACGCTGAAGCTGAATTGGCAAGAATAGCGGGAAGAAAGGCGGAAAGTCCTCTTGAAAAGGTGGAGAAGAAACGGACAAGCAAGAAGCATGTTCATCATGTTTTTTTGTTCGAAGACGAACCGCAGAGTTCAGTGGGCTCGCGTCTCCCCTCGAAATCATCAATGTCCGTGAAAGCCTCGGGAGGGAAAAGCGGCGGCTGGAAAACAAGATGGAAACCTTGAGTATGACAGATGTCTTGCAGGTCGGCTCTCATCGAATTACAGAAGTAAAAATCTTTCGAGCATGAAAGTGCCTGGCATCCTCATCACGTCCATGTAAACACCTCTTAGATAATCCCCACTGTCCCATCTTCAAGAGCTGAGCCGCGCTACCCCGAAACCACAACACAAATTCCCTTCTTCACTGTCTCCTCTGTTTGGCCAGGAACGTAAAAGTCATGCTTCAGCAAAACATCGTCCACACCTGTCTTCCAAAGCTTCATCCTCGGCACTTCTCCCCCGTCTGCCTCTACCGAATACCTTCCAGCGAGCGCCGCGATGACCAAATACATCTGTGCCCAAGCTAGATTCAGACCCACGCAGCCTCTCGGCCCTTTCGAGAATGCAAAAAGATACTTATCTAGCGCAGGGTTGGCGAGCCAGCGTGACGGACTGAAGGTTTCCGGAGAAGGAAAGATGGCAGGGTTGTGGTGGAGGAGAGGGATCGTCATGCTGATTGGCGTCTTTTTGCCAAAGTTAGCAGTGAAGCATGTCGAGGCTACGGACTGTGAAAGTTTAGAGAACATACGCCTGCTGGAAGGATCCAATCCCGCGTTCCATCGTTGAAGACTTGAGCTTTATCTGGGGATATGCGGTACAGTCTACCTGAAATTCCATAACTTAACCTCAGAGACTCTTTGAGAACAGCAGTCTGCATGTCCTCATTAGCCGACTGAACCCCAATTCTTAACCAATTCATCACTTACGAGATATGGCAATGCCTCCAGCTCAGCGACTGTCACGCCAGTAATTGTGCCATCCTTCAACACGGTTTTCAATTCTTCTCTCAAGCTCGTCATGATCTCAGGGTTACTGAGCAGGTAAACAATACAATTCACCAATGTCCAGGACGTTGTTTCGCTTCCTGCTACGTTGAAAACTTGGCCATCATGCCACATTCTGTCAACGCTTTTCTCTGCTGCAGGGAGATTGCTCCGCAATACGTCTCCGAAAATGGTCTTGGTGCCTTTCTCTTCCAGCTCTCGGTTTGCGACCATGCGTTTCAACTGATTTCGTGATTTCTGGTCTACTTGTTAGTCGACAATTCTCCGCTGAGTAGCAACTCACTGCCACTGATCTCCACTCGTAGAGCACTGCAAAAAGTATGAACAGAGAGGAAGTAACGCGAGCATAAAATCACCTTTTCAAACACCAACATATACCCCATCCCCATCCCCTCCCTGACAAACTCCGGCAAGCTCATCAGAAGCGGCAGAAACCAAGGCCAATGATTCGTCAGCGCATCCATCCTCACAGCATCCGTAAACACATTCCAGAACCCCGCATTGAAGTCCGGGATACTCAGGAAATCATGGCTCTCGCCAAACGCACACCCCGTCACCACATCGCTGGCCAGCGCTTTGAACGCATTCCAGATATTCACCGGCTCTCCAAAGCCCGTCTCTCCCTTTCCCCACCGCCCATTGCCTTTCCCCTCAAACTCTTTCATCCTCTCCATGAATTTCTCCACATGCTTTTTGAGCTCCGGCTCAATAGCTCGGATGTTCGACTTAGCGAAATAACGGGATACGGCTGAGCGGCGCAGCCGATGGTGGTCGTGATCAACGGTCGCGATTATGGACTGCGGACAGGCGAAGTGCGTTACTGACCAGGGATATTTGTTGCGCCTCTCGCCAACTCTGCCGCTGTAGATGTCGTAGAAGTTGGGGTCGTTGATGTGGATGCAGTTGGGGGATATGCGGATTATGGGGCCGTATTGGGCGTGCAGAGAGCGGATGCGCCAGATGTAGGAGCCGGAGTGAAGGACATCGTGGTAGAACTCGTAGCTGGTGGGTGGTTAGTCGGGTTGGGATGGGTTGGGTTGAGATGGGACGGCAAGGGAGGGAAGATGAGAGTGAGTGAGAGACGGACAGAAGAGTTGCGGCTGCGAGCTTGGGACCGGGAATTGATGAGAGAGGGTGGAAGTAGAGGCGATATATCACCAACAGAACGAAGTAAGACGAATAAGCAAGAATTGAGGAGGCAATCAAGCTCGGGTAGCTTACATCAATCATGATTACTTCGCCTTTGGCTAAGACTTAGATTGACCATAAAAGAAACTTCTCCAGAGAGGCTTTTTTTTGCATACAAGACCGCCGAAATATTTGGACAGAATCTATGTTTATCTAGTCTTGATATATAATGTCATATTTAGCAGAAATTTTGGGGACTAACAGCTTTAGTCATGATTGCAAAGCGGCGGAGTTAGCTCCTTCACGTAAAAGTAGTGTACACCAATCAGCTGTCTCCCCTGGTTCGATATGACACTCCGCTCAGGGCTTTATCTCAACCTTGACTTCCTCTGTGCTATCGAGGTTTTGGTCGCCATCTCCTAGTTTGCGGCGTAGGACTGGCTAGCTGGCTGACATCATACCCTGACTGCTTCTTGGTAAATGCTCTGAACTACGCAGACATCTTAAAGTCATGGACTGCGAATGCTGGAGATCGATGAGCAACCACACCGGACAGCTGGCATGTCGCGGCAGCAGAACGCTCTCGATACAGCACGAGTCTACTGAAACAGAGTTGTGTCAGTGATTTCAGCCTTACTGCTAGAGTCGTGATATGCATACCTGACTGAGCTCGTGGTTGATGAAAACACTTGACATGACTTCCCATAGTCATCATGGCCCCGCGGGAATCATTGATAGTGGTGCGATGCTTGTTGGGATATTATCTTTATCCACAAGACTCCCAGAAGTTCATTTGTGAGCGTGAATGGACATTCATTTTACTCTCCAAGTAATTTTATCCACCAGGAGGACTGGGCCAAATCGTATAACGTTTAGCATTATGAGATGCAGGCATGAGTTCGATTGAATCGCTAGACCTGCTCGATCTGAATGCAAGGTCAGCAAGTTCACCCGCTGGAATCAGACAGAAAGGTGTCTTGGGATCTCGGCAGTGGGGGCCTCTCTTTGACGAACCTCCTTTCTGCAATCGACTCTTGTGGCTGCATCTTCTTGCTATTCGGACTATCATACTGGACGACCTGGTTTCCCGGAGCGATGGATATGCCGACTTCGATGAGGCCAGATGTCAAGCTGCTTTCTGTTCTAGGTGGCATGGGGCGATGGAATTGCGGAACTCGGGTATTGCTTGGGGATCGTAGGTGAGCTTTTGGAGGAGTCGAGCTTTCGGCAGCAGGTTCTGTATTGTGATTCAACTCTCTGGCGAACATTCGGACCCGGTTTTCAGACTCCTGTACAGCTTTTCGCTGCTCTTCGGATGCAGATTTCTGAAGACTTGGCAACCTCTCGAATTCTAAGCCTTGAGGCCTGCTCGCTTCTTCATCTCTTTGCTGTTTTCTGTGGACGATTTTTCGTCTCAGGCCACACCCGCCTACAACCAGGTCTCGATATTGACGCCATGACTTGGTTGTCCCGAATACAAGGAAGGCGACCAAGGATGCCGTAACTCCGGGAATAAAAAGAACGATGTCAACAATGGATCCAGATACGCTGAAGTCTGGCTTGCCGGCTGCGGCAATGCTGGCGTTATTACTGGCTTGAAATAGTGTGAAAATTATGATGGTGATTTCGAATAACCTAGAATAATGTCAGCATCATGTGGCACATGGCGCAAGTAGATACATACGCAAGAATGACAAAACCAATAGTGAAGCGAGTGATAAGTGCTCGGTCATAAATTGACCTGCGTGTGCTCGAAAGAGTTCCTGATATGGCGGTATCGACTGTTCCTTCGGCATATGCTGATTCATCAGTCCTAGACTTGGATCCATCTGAGGCCCACCAGCGACCCCTTCTCTGCGAATGTCCAGCTACAAGTCGGCGAGTCTTCATGTACTTATAGAGGATTAAGACTAGTAGGATGCTACCCATGGAAAGACTCGTGAACACTGGGTTACATCAGCGCAAGAATATGGCTTCGGGACGTGGTACTCACTTGCAAAATATGTAACAATGATAAAAGCAGATGGTTCCTTTTGTAGAGACTCAATCTGCATCAATCCGATAACGAGAATTGGGAAGAGAACCGAAAAGACCTTCGAGACTGGGGCCATCCTGTGTTGCCATTCGCCAAGCCAATTCGATCGAAGCTCCCATGCGCCTGCAAATAAGGCAACCGTCCAGAAAAAGACATTGAGTGCCATGACATTGTAACTGTAGAATTCTTTCGCGATATACAGTCAGCCATTGTGCTATATGCTCCGGAATAGGTCCTTACGGATATAGAATAGAACTTGGTCAACGATCTGAGCAGCGCCGCCGAATGCCAGGCCTTTGCGAGTTTGAGACTCCACAGCCTTGTGAAATTGTGCTTCTTTGATGACCTCCCAAGCTGCGGCATAGTGGATTTGCTGGATGAGTGACGCAAATGTACTGAGAGCCGTGAAGCCGGAAAAGATGGTGACATCTGCCAATTGTTAGCACAAGTCTTCAATTGAGATTTATTCCCAACATACATGACCATGCTTCGCCAAAGCTAACAAGCAGACAAGTCAGCAGCGTAGTGAGCGTGAGACATCCTGCAGAGTACAGCAGGACAATGACAGACACGCCGACCGCACCCTGAGGGATGCCACCCGTCATGCCGTTCGTGTTTACAACTCTCCTATCTCATCCAAAAAGTACATTTTCAAGGAATTTCTTCATGGATCGACGAACCAGAAACAATATGAAAAGGGAGGGAGGAGAAAGAAGAAGGGGGGAAAGCCTTGAGTGACGGGGATCGCCCTCCAGGTATTTGACCTGCTACACGTCCCAGCGCCCACGAAAGATCTACACTAGCTCGGTCTTGGCTCATCTGAAGAACATGTAGAACCTTGCTCAATACTCGCATTGTCCATACGTACTCCACTCGAGTCGTTTTCTCGTCATCTTACTGGGAGCGTCGTCATGCACCTGGGGAGATAAATCCCAGATCCACGTGAAATCCCTGCATTTCAAGGGGGGGTGGCGGGATGTCGGCTTGCTCTAGCTCTATATTCAGCCCCTGTCAACACGAAGCGAAGCTCCTGTCCCTGGCCCGTTTCAAGTTCTGAATAGAACCGATCATGATTCCAACAGCTTGATTGGTGGAGCTCCAAGATACTGGATAGAATGTTGGACATCGTTTCCTTGGCCACATCCAGTTTGTCGGAGCTGTCTCCAAGGATGTCGTCGTTGTTTGATACCTATTGAAAACCACCTTGCAAAGAGAAGGGCTGGCTGCGGGCCTGCGGCTGCTGCCCGTGCGAGCGCGCGTCCAGATGACTTTACCGTTGACCTCGCATGAGACGCGTACTTGCATCCTCAGAGGCATTGCTTTTGTCCCAAGTTGTACTCAGACATCGGACAGTTCTGCCCTAAGGCTTGGAAGTACTGTTAGATGTCAAGTATCACGTCCACGCAAGACATATCCATGCTAGCTGAAAAAGCCGTCCAGTCTCGCGAATCTGACTCGAGCAATCGGTCTGTTGTTGTGTGGTGTGGTTCAACGACCGCGACACCAGTTTGGATCTTGGATGAGTGGTCGTTGGGCAGAAATGCTAAGTAGTGGACAATTAGAATTTGGAGGCTGTCTCTGTCAGACTAGCATCGGGGCTTATGGTGCTTTCCTTCATCAGATCAAAAGATGTTGAAATTAGGATCCGATTGGATGCCTCCAGTCGGAAGCTAAGTCCTAGGCAAACTTTAACTCTTTCTAGACGTGTTCCCTGACACCTCCTTCCGACTTCTGAAGGAGCAGAGTTCTGATGGCACGCGGTAAGACGAGTGTATTATTGCACTCCGAAGGTGTGGATTTGCGGAGTGAACTGCTCACGAACTTATGCCGTGCTCCCATGAGAATAGAGAGTTCTTAATGACGGAAAAATAGATCTGGAGTTATTCCTGACGACATAAGGGCCACTCCCGGCCACAGGCTTTCACAACTCCCGGAAGCCATGTCGGGTATTATTGCCACCGTACCTGAGTCGTGCCGTTGTCCATCTCATCTCCAGTATTCGGAATCTTCCGTAGTCCTCACGTACACTAGCAGCAACATCTACCTCCGTATATCAACGAATTTCCTCCTGCAGAAAACTATCGAATTTAGCACCAAACCGCAAGGCCGAGAGTTAGATATGTATGGTGGCGCGGAGGCAAGAAAGTGGACTGCAAGTCTGCAAGCAGGGGAACAGACGCAGGAGGGTGGATGGCTTGCGGCATGCGAAACTTGTTCCTGTCCCAGACTTTTGCCCCTGGTTCTCTCCCACGTCTCGGCTGCGGGACTTCAATTCACCGTTGGCAACGGCGCAGACACATCCACGTGCTTATTGGACAGCTTATGTCAGCCACTCCATCAATGTTCCACGGCTCTTCAGCCTCACGTCGCAAGGCCAGCTGGAGCTCTCCAAGTCAACAACTGATTTTGAGACATTCCCGAACACTGGACCCAAGGCCACATCCAGAATGGCAGGCAATGAAACGACAATGCAAAGTTTGATATGGTCCTCTACCATTCCACTACACATCACACACCCATCGTCCGCGACGCCTTACTTGATTTCCGTGCCTCGAGTCTCGTATCTACCCCTCCTGCTACCCCGCCTAACCTCCTTCTTCGGACCGTGCTCAAGCTTCTCATACGAAGATATACTACTGAAAAACCTTCCTATCGGACTTCTCTGCGACCTGTACAGACCGGAACTACCCTGGCGGCTGACGCTAGGGAATGGACCATTGTTTGACATCCACGATACGTTTATAAACAGCGTGAAAGAGGTTGCTCACTCTCCCCATGCGCGAGACTTGGTGAGACAGCAGAGCTGATGGACTTGCAGGCAGACTTCATACGAAATGGAACAGCGAAGGGGATTATGTCCATGTCGAAGGACAATTCCACGCAGCTGTGGAACTCAGTACAAGACAGTTCGTTCTCCTCACTCGCACTATCTGTTACTTCTCTGTCGGTAACCGGCTAACCCACAACTCATCCAGATGATCTCGCCGCACACCTGAAAATAATCTCCATCCTCCTCAACCCCTCCACACCCCTCCGCAACATCCCCCTCCGGATATACATCCCTGCCTCGCCAACATCCTCCACACCCCTGGCATCCATCAAAATCGTGCAAGCACTGATCCCTCCACGAACACCCAACCGCGAGGTCCAGACCCTAGGCATGGCGCTGAACAGTATCTTGCCGAGTCTGTTTCCTAGCCGGCGGGATGCGATTGTGGCGGAACCAGTGCTACATGGTGCGAGTGTGCCATTTAAAGCACCGCTGGAGGAGTTGATGAGGGAGGCGGCGTATGCGGATGGATGGCTACATTTGAGTGTGCTGATGATTGATGCTTGATGATGTATCGGCTACATCGAAGGGTTATGTGATGTGATGAAGGAGAAACTCTTGGACTTTACTTGAGAAGGCTCGTACTTCCTGTGCCTCTGGAAGAGGATGTGCTATCACTACCCACATCCTGCTCCAACGTCCCCAGAGGATCTGCTGAGATCTAGAAGCTACCAATTCAGCCAAGCTCTCACCTCCTGCAAAGCACAGGAGCTGAAGGCCGTGCAGTATATCATGCATGCACGAAACAAATCCTCCGGCTCGGTTCGGTCTGCTGCACAATTTCCCGAGGGAAACCATACTCAGTACAAACAGCTGAGAAGGTTTTGGTGGCTGTCAACACCGTCTCGACCGTCACCATTAAACTCTATCTCAGGACTAGGATGGGGTCTGCTGCCCCAAAGTCATTCAGTCACTTCGGCGACCATACTTGCTTTCGCGATGCAATAGATGAATCTCAACCGATAACTCCGTCATATATGCTTTCAAGAAAGAATGGATAAATCATGAGTTGAGGCGGAGAGTCTCCATGGATTTCGTTGGTATGTCGTAGACAGGAAGAAGAGTGATAGAGATGGCGTTACGCGAGAGTAGACTATTTCTGTCTGTGCATTTCCGGCAATATCCAATTTTGGAGGAAAGGAAGACAGAGGCAAGATCATATCGTCAAATCGTCAAGACATTGATGTCAAGCTAGGTGACTGAATACACTATTCCGCTCACTTCTCTCCAGCCTCTTCACAGCTCCCAAGTCAATGAACTAAGTACACGGCAGAAAAAGAAACTCATCAGCATCATCCTCATCCTCATCCTAATCCCCCTACTCAATTTCGCACCCCAAACACATACTCAACTCAATCCTAACTCTCATCCTCAGCCCTATACTCCCTCCCCTCAACCTTCTCCGTCTCACCCCCCACCCCAACGACCTTCTCCCCACCATGACCACCACCACCACCCAACCCACCCTGCTGCGCCATACTGGCCCTAATCGTCCTAAACGTCGTAGTAGGCTTCCAATGCACGCTCTTCCTCGCGACAGTGACCTCATCGTACAGCTCGTCGACTTGTTCGAGTGTGAGGCCCTTGGTCTCGTAGATCATGAAGTAGACGAAGGTGATGCAGAGGAAGCAGCACGCGAACCAGATGAAGAAGATTTTGGCTTGGAGGTTGGCGTTCCCTTTGCCCCTGGGGTGTTGGGAGGTGCGTGTTAGTTGATGGGGTTTCTAGTGGGGTGGGCTGATACGTGTGTGTGGTGGAGAGGGAGGGGAGGAAGGGGAGGGAGGATTGGCTTACCAATTTACGAGGTAGGGAGTACTGTATGCAATAGCCCAGTTGAGAAGCCAGTTCGTGGCAGTCGTCATAGAGAGAGCCTTGGCTCGGACTTTGAGAGGGAAGATCTCGCCTGTTACTACCCATGCGATTGGACCCTAAAGTTCAATTGTCAGAAAGCCACTTTGTCAAAAGTTGGGGTAGGAACGAGGAGTTTCTTACCCAGGTAGAAGCAAAGAAGAAGATATAGATGCACACGAATGCGATTGATGCTTTCTGTGATGCCAAGTTCGTGGAGAAGACAGCTCCTGTCTCGGGGTTTTGACCCGTGCTTGTGGTGCCGAGGACGGCAACGAGGAGTTGACTGACTGTCATTCCAATTGCTAGTAATTGTTAGTACGGCTTAGAACATCTGGGTACTAAGAGGTAGAGAACTCACCTCCCCAGAACAACAACGGCCGTCTACCCCATTTGTCGATGGCGTATAATCCGGGAAGGGTTGAGGAGACGTTGACGGCACTGGTAATCATGCTGATGATGAAGGGATTCGTGATGCCCGTGTTCTTGAAAAATTGCGTTCCATAGTAGAAGATGAAATTAATCCCAGTCAATTGTTGCAGCGCTTGAAGGAGACAACCTGTCAAGAGTCTCTTGAAGACCTTGCCGCGGAAACAGTCGATATATGATGATTTTCCCAGACTGAGTTCGTATTCATGGTTGGCTTGGATCTCGCCTAGCCTAAGCGAGGAGCAGGTCAGCAAGGTTGCTCAGTCTTGAAGAGAAGATAGTTTCGAGAGAAAAGAGGGTATGAAATGACTGTCCCGAGTAACTTACTCGTCCTGAATAGCAGCGTGGTCAATGGGGAGACGTCTGATCTTTGCGAGAGCTTGCGCGGCTTTTTCTGGTCTGCCTCGCTTGATGAGGAAACGAGGTGTCTCAGGAAGGATAAGCATTCCAATGATGAGGATCAGGGACCAGGCGAATTGAACAGCGATAGGGATCCGGTATGAGCCAGTATCGTCACGATCCTTTGTAGCATTGTCAACAATAGCAGCGAGGAGAAGCCCGACGGTGATGGCGAATTGGTAAGAGCCAACAATCACACCTCGAATCCACTTTGGTGCTGTTTCGGACTGGTAGAGAGGAACTACAAGTTTGTATTAGACAGGGCGATTGAACTCCATGGAGATGACTTACTCAGGGCAGAGACCATTCCAACACCGAACCCAGCAAAGAAACGTCCAGCAATGAACATTGGTAGTTCGGTTGCGGCAGTCTGCAAGATGACGCCGAGGTTGAAGACCCAGCATGCAGCGATCAAAGCCATCCGTCTTCCGAGAAAGTCTGCAGATGGAGCTGCCCAGAGTGCACCGAAAAAGGTACCAGCTGAGAGGATGGACACGATCAACGAGGTCTGCGAAGGGCTAACATCAGGGTTGTTATCAGAGTTTTTGTATCCGGTGCTGAATTCGTTTCGCCAGTAACTGTGAGGGTTAGTTAGCAGGCCATGAGGGGGACAAAGGCTCGTGGAACACCTACTCCATGGCCAATATGCCACTGATTGTTCCAGTATCATATCCAAAAAGCACACCTCCAAAGGCCACAAACAAACCGATGACAATCTAAACTGAGTGAGCTTTGCAGGGCCATTGGAACTCAAGGATTGACACATACAGCAGGCCATGATCTGCCAGGAACGCCCTCAGGCTTTTTCAGAGCGAGGCCCATATTGAAGACTGTTCGATAAATCCAAAACTTGAAGTCTGTATGAAGAAAAGAATGTGAGGGAAAACCGGGGGGAATCAATAGCTCTTATAGCTAACAAAGCATCGTAACAAAAGAATGCTGCAGATCGAGTTAAGAACCCCAGACAAGAACCACGACTGGAACCCCTCACTGAGGAAAGCTTCAGGGTACCATGTAGCCTTGTGCTACCATCTGGTCTGTACGAGGATAAGATCGACCAAACAAAGCTTCATGATTGGGTTCTGGTCAGCAGGCCTTGCTGCGATCCTTGACGAAGGAGTCCGACCCTTCCCAGGATTCCAGCACCAGCACTTGCGCATGCTACAGCACTCGCAGCAGTGTCAGTGTCGAGGGCACGCCGTCGACGTAACTATATTAGCAAGGGTAAGATTTGTGGAGAGATGTAACCATCCCGCCATTGCCATTCGATGATTCCCATAAGACCCTAGATTTCCATCCATGACACCTCCATCTCTCGATACAGGCGGGCATTTGTATCCAATGGTTTTCCTGCGGGTCGGCACAGTAGTGACTGACTTGCGTCGCCCCCCCTTCCCCGCAAACGTTGAACCGACAAGCCCTGGCCATGAGAGGGTGGCGCTTTCAGGAAAGAGAGGAAGAACTCTAATGAATGTGGGATGTGGAAATAGTTGCCGAGTTGGATATGAGGGCTCAAGATATGCAAAAATCACTGTTGAGATGCACCTAAAATCTGTGAAGCCGTCTCGCGCTTTCGGAATGTCCAGCGATAAGCATGAGCATGAGCATTCGGTCCTTTTTTGATGTCGAGACAAGGTTGTCAAGAAGTTCAAGGAGAGTTAAGGCGACAGTAAGAGCGATGATAAGCAATCCGGGGAAGATCGCCAGGAGTTGGCGAAGTTGGCAGCAGCACACCCTGTCAGCGGGCGGGCGGGCTTTGACGGCGGCACAAAAACGTGACCGTGACTTCTGATATCCTCAAGCTCATCTGACTAACCACTTTCCTTTCTTTCTTCTCATCCCTCTGCTCTTAGCCAAATGACGCAAGGTATTTCTGTCCCTTTGCTCAAAGAGAATACACAGCTACGAAAACTCACATCATTGGCTCAGCAGGTCTCGTCAGGTGGATGGTCTCTTCCGGATTCCCAACTAGCTGTCAAATTTTACCCCTCCTAATAAAGGCAATAACGGTTTCTGCTACTGTACTGTAGCTGAACCTTCTCCTGGCAAATACACACGAAACTCGGAGCAACCGAAGAAGCATGTTATAGGTTAGCACGAAGCTTGTTTTTGCCCAACGAGTCTCAAATCGCGCCGCGGGAGAGAAGTGTCGCTCTTCTGCAGGAGGCTGAACCTTGTGGCTCGTTTCTTTCTTGCTTCTTGAGATCCTTCTCCCATTCTTGCAGTCGGTGGCTGGATGTTTGGCTCGAGCTAACACTACAATTTTTGTGATTGAAGTCAAGGAACCAAATCAGATTCACTGGTTAATATTTGCATCTTGCAGAAGTCTAGCCGTTCTGCTGTACGGTATCCGGCACACTTCAGACTTGGATATCCTACCAAAGATGATATCCCGATATCAGTAATGCTTTCTTCTTCCTTATCATTGTATTATTTTTATATCTCTCTCTAGATGCACTCAGCATGACTTAGCGACCACGTGCTGTATCCTACAAGATTACCAGTTTTGGGCCACCTAATCATTGGAACTGCAACGTGCAGAAAAGCTGATCCTACAGGCCGCTCGGCTTCATTTGCTTCCCTATTTCATATTGTCTCGCTTAATTACTTCTGCGCCCACCCTGACATGTCCCTGACATAAAGTCAAGCTCTAACCAGTCACGTTCGTTACTGAATACCCGAGCCAAGTGAGCAAAGTCATGCTTTGGGACGCTCCAGAGAATTTTACTAAACAAACATGAAGAATTGATGTAAAACATGCCAAGAAATACATTGATAGGGTTAGTACTCACTGTCAGGTTGCCGTTCGCCTATTAGCGCTGAGTGAGCGACACCGTCAGCTTCGACCATATCAAGCAGCTGGTTAACGAATGTACTCAGTGGCTCATCCTGCCGTAAAAAAAGTATATGATAGATGAATCGCAGTGATTCTTAGCAGTTTTTGTGAATTGCTGTCTCAAATCGCTCCAGGTCAATTCTCACTATGGCTGTTTCCACGTTCATCTCAGCCGTTACGGCACAGCTGTCGAAGGAAGCGAAAGTCCTGTCAGAATCCAGCACGGAGGCATTCAAAACGTACCTGGAACGATGGACTGATCGCGATCTGAAAACTCCAAGTGCAATAGTCGTGGTAGCTACCGAGGAAGATATCATCAAGACTGTACGGACTCCATCTGGTCAAATTTGTCAACAAATACTAACGCCAAGGAGGTCCAATTAGCACTCAAGTACGATGTCCCCTTCGTACCTAAATCCGGCGGCCACTCCTCTTGGTCCACTATCGGACAAGAAGGTATCATCATCGATCTAAGCAACTACAACAAAATAACCATCGACAAGTCTGCCCAAACGGTCACTATTCAATCTGGAGTCGTCAACAAACAACTCATTGGTGCACTCCACGAAAATGATTTATGTCTCCGTACGTCCTCTCCTCCCTTTACCCTCTCCAAGCACTCATATGCAGAACTCCCAACATACACAACAATCCAGCTCTTGGAGGCGGCAACACAATCGGCTCCGTCCCACAAGCCCTCGGCGGCGGTCTCTGCGCTCTCTCCAAACTCTGCGGCAACACATCAGACAGCATCCTCTCCTCCCGCCTCATCACCTCCACAGGCGACCTCATCACCGTCGACGATAGCACCCCCGACCTCTGCTGGGCACTCAAAGGCGCCGGGCAATACTTCGGCCTCACCACCTCACTCACTCTCCAAGCCTACCCAATATCCACACTCGGATCAGAAGACGGCACACTCTGGACAGGAACGTTTATATTCGAAGTTGACAAATTTGCGTCTTTGGCATCCGTAGCAGCTAAACTCATGGACGATGAAACTCACAACTCCGCTAACATCGCAGTCATAACCCCAAGCCCGCAAACCGGGTCACCCTGCCTCCTCGTCATGGTCCTCTATTTCGGGTCTACTACCCAAGCAGAGTCCTTCACTGCACCAATCAAAACTCTCTCTCCTCTAGTAGCCATGGAAAATAGGGTCAAGTACAGTGAGATCAATGATGGGATGGATGCATTCTGTGCGAAGGGGGGGTTCAAGAGGTTTAAAATGCTGGGAGCGGAGAGGTTTGATCCTGAGCCATGGGGAGAGGTAGCGAGTGTGTTTGTGGAGTTGAAAGAGAAGTGCGAGGATGTTGTGAGTGGTGGCTATGGGTTTGAGTGGGTTACGGGGAAGAAGGAGAAGAGTAAAGAGGATTCGGCTTGGGCACACAAGGAGGTGAAGGCTTGGGTGTAGGTTCCCTCTTTCTTTCTTTTCAGCCATTTCTCATTCCCTCTTCCGATCTATTTACCTGAATGGCAGCAAAGGCAAATTATTGATATAGAAAATGCTAACAGCAACAGAGAGACTCTCTCATGGCACACCTCCGCCTCATCCATCCCCGCCGTCGACGCCGCTACCGAGAAAGCCCTCTCCATCGCAACGCGGAGTTTCAAGCCAGAGGAACTCCACACTTACCAGAATTTCTCTCGGGATACAAGTCTAGTCAGTAGATTTGGCAGTCAGGAACGAGTAGAAAAGTTACAAGCTTTGAAGAGGAAGTGGGATCCTAAAGGGGTGTTTACAGATGTGTTGCTGTAATGTTGATATTCCGAGAAATCACATTGAGGAGAGATTGTTGTGTTTTCGTCAATGTGACATTGAAGAGGGGTGAGAGTATAAACCCTGTCTTCATTTTTGTTCACAAGCCCAGATTCCTGTAGATCCGGGCGATAGACAAACCATTCCTTTCGGTCCCTAACGCCAATGTCACAACCTTAAAAACCCACATTCAGATCCCTCCGATGTAGAATCCCATCCATCCATCCACAAAATAAGCGAAGAGACCCCGATGAAGACACAAATCAGAAGCATACAAGCCTAGAGCTAGACGCAAGGAACGAGATAGAGACCAATAGGTTCAGTACCAGTATTCTGAAAGTAGTCGAGCTCAGTCTTGCTAGCCGAACTACCCTCAATTGTAATAGTCTTTCCTGTAGGGCAAGGGAAGACAGCCACAGTGTATTTGTTTCCGGGCAAGATCTTGACCTTTCCATAATCGACCGCAACGGGAGGGGTAGAGTTGTATGTCGTACAGTTATTCGCAACACCAGCCAGGAGAGCGAACTTGAGTCCTCCATTCTGATACACAACCTGTTCTTGACCTGAGTATGTGTATTTTCCCGCCGAAGGATCCAGCTGAGACATATAGGGGAAGAGAAAGATTAGAGAACAATTGCCGGTATATGTAGCTGGAATATCGAAGTTGAAAAGGGTAGACGCAGCAGGTGAGATCCAAACGGTATATTGGGTGCCTTGGGGTTGATCCGGCATGGCGATTGAAGTTGGGACAATGAGGTGTGGGAATTGGTAATCGCCAGAAATATCTGTTGGACACGCGGCTGCAGTCGAGGGAGAATCAGATGAGATATCCAGGCTTCTAAGCTCGATCTTGGAGTTGTCATCGACAAATTCGTAGTCATAAGGGTCGAAATTGTCAACGTCCAGGTTGGATGTAGCTAGACGAGCGACGCCGTGAGACGAAAGTGCTGAAGTAACTGAAGAAGCCGCAGGGACTGTGATGGTTTGCGTCACTGTAGCATAGGTGGTTCTGGTACGAGTTGACAAGGTCTGCAGGGGACTAGAGGCCGGAGAGGAAACCGTAATTGTTCTGTGTAGTGTGCTAGTCTTGCGAATGGTTGTTGTAGGCCAGAAAGACTGAGCCAAGAAATGCTGGGATCGCAAATCGACGTTGAGGGCATAAGAAATAGAGGTGGACTCCGGAGCATAGGCATCGACAGTGACAATATTGATGTCGTTGACGGTCTTTGTGACATCTGTGGCCGATGTGCCAACAAAAGTACCGAGGCCCAAGCCAAGGAGAACTATAATGACCATCAAAATGAGTCTGCAGAGCTTCATTTTGGCCGAGATATGTGCGTATTTGTGGTGGGTTGTCTGATATTAGAAGAGAAGTCAAAAATGGCTCCTCTGGGAACGCCAATGTAGGGGGAAGAGCTTGCTTGCCTTGGATGAAACGATAGAACTTTGTGGAAGGCGAGATCGAAGACTCATTTATTGAAGAGGGCGTTGCGTCGTGGAGAAAGAAGAGAGGAGGGGCAGTTGTTTATATCTTGGAAAGTGTAGTGGGAGGGTTTGCTAAGGCTGCGATAACGTGGCCAAGCGAAAACTCTAGGCAGCACACAGACCTAGAACCTTCCCAGAAGCGTCTAAAGGCTTAAAATTTTCTGTCAGACTAATTTAGCTTCGCTTTTTGAGCTGTTAGTTGAGAAGACATACTTTCTTGCCTGTGTTTTGTTTTGCACCAGCTCGCTACTTGAAGCGAACCCCTTTTCGAAGCGAGAAGTGAGCAGCTTTTATTCTGCAGTCTGTCAGATTAACATCTAGTCATTCTGTGATACTTCATTGCAGATATGAATGGTGATGGGACTTGTGTACGCGATATCCTATCAAAGTGGCAGCACTTACAGCGTTCCTTGTTTTGAGGATGACCCCACACAAAACAGACCAGCTTTTCGAAGGACCCCAAGATTTTTTCAGGTCGTATAGTTCTCAAACATACCGATATAGTTGATGAGACTGAGAGACTGTCGTCAGAAGCAGCTGTTGCCAGAAAGCCTTTCTTTAACATGTGGTCGGCGAAGCTACGAGGGAGGGACATGAATTTGTCTAGCGCAGCTTCCCAGCACAAACAGCGAGATGACGCTTTAGGAATCACCATCAAAGGTCACACCAGAATGATGCTGGAGAATCTACGTTAATAATTTATAGCAGAGTCCTGAAGCCAGATCTTTGTTCACACCTCGTCGTGGATCCAGTCAAATAGACCCTCGTGTTGTTGCCCAGCCATAATCAACGACAGCAATCTCCTCTTTCGTCGCTCGTACTACCCCTCTGCCTCATTCATGCGACCTCATACGGATAACAGAGTCGCAATAAGCAAGACAAAGCCCTTTTGGAGAGACATGAAGTCAGAGATTGGAATGCTCGCATACGAGGTCGCCGGGTGGCGCGGTGGAACTTAGCCAAGCTTTACCCCAGACGCAAACCTGTATCTGCAGGTGTGGCGGGTATATTTAGCTGGAAGGGTCGTCCAGACAAGAAACATTGACGCTCCAACTTGTGAGCTGTCATTCGATAATTTCCGTACTCCTGGTACTCTCCACGAGGAAGCTGGCACCTGTGGCAGCTACTCTGAAACGGTCAGCAGAAGTGGGAAAGCACCAGCTTGTGTGACCTGATGCCACCATCGAACACAATCCGCCATGCTCGTAGCACTTCTCTAGTGCAGACGTGCTGGTGCGGCAGATGCTTAGTTACTGAGAGTGGTGGAAGAGTTGTAAGTTGTCAGGTGCAAGCAGGCAATACGCGACAACTTGGGACATGTGTCAAATACACATCGCATGCCTTGCAAGTGAAACTCTGAAGCTATGTTGGAATTATCTCGGGACATTTTGGTGGATGAGGAGGAAGAATGTGAGTAAGTTCTTCCCGTAGGCTCATCTTGTCCCTGCTGGCAGTTTCTCGGCGCATGCTTTCAGTTGCAGCCGGATCAAGACTTGAAGAGCCAGAAATCCAGAACTCCAGCCAAGAATATTCGCTCATCACTTCTGGGATAGCTCCGTTCTTGGATGAATGATCTCTCAGCGAGCTGCAGGTGCTGAATATGTTTTGTCGTCGGACCTTGGAGTAGAAAGCCTTTCGCTGTTGGTTGAAAGAGAAAGCTCTAGTTGTAAGTCATCTCAAAAATCTATATCTACACTTGCACTGCCGCAGAGTCGGTCGTCAAGGCAGGCTTCAAGTGCTTGCTGTTGCAGAAGTCCCAGCCGTCAATGGAAGAAGGACGGCTTCAGCTAACAAGCCATTGCTAAAACAGGTCCAATAACTCTTCCTCATAAGGTTTCCCAACCCCTCCCTACAGCTGCGGACCTGCGACAGATAATCATGGTTGGACGAGTTTCGGGCTATTGCTAGACGAAGTACAGTACTCCGGGGTATCGGGTCGAAACAGTGAGAGATGGTTGTCGAGGAAATCCAAGTAGCGGTTCGAGGATATTGGCAGGTTGAAGAAACAAGTGACCGACGGCATACTGATAAAAAAGCTCGGACAATAAATAGGTGCGATCCGGATGTGGATATGTTACTGAGGAAGGAGCGCTTCGGAAAATATAGAAAGTAGAAGGTTGGAATTGGAAACAGCCAATATCCCACTCTGGAGGACCACAGAGAAAATATCCCCATTCGGTGCTGCAAAGATGGCACAACTGTTGTCTCATACTACAGGACGATGTGCAGACAATATCTGGCGTGGAATATAGGGACTTCTACAACACAGCCTGAGAAATTTTGGAAACATTGCTGACGATAACACATAATGTATTGTTCTCCGTGCAATCTCATGATTGATGTCGTCCTCTCGTGCACCCTCCAATACAAGAGCACATACAAACAGAAGTCTCAGCTACAGGCAGACGCCAGCGGGAAATAAATAACAACAAAACAGCATAAGTGGTGGACTATGAATGAGAAGGAGACGAATGGGAAATCAAATGATGACCTCAAATTAATTTTCGAAATAATGTAGATGTTTGAACAGCATCTTTGCATAAGGAGCGCATAAAAATCGTCAGGCAAAGGAGCAGAGAAATGTCTTGATATACACTTGGCAGAGTAGAGACATTGAAAAGTCGGACAGCAATCAAATCGTGCCGAAACAATCTCTTTGCCTCTCAGTTGTTCGGATACCAATTTTTCACTCCGTGCATAAGACGGTTCTTCTCCCATCTCCAACTGTCTACGTCGAGGAAGAAGGTCTCCATTTCTGGACCCCGCGCCACTGCCGGGCGGGGTAGAGATGCTGCTGGTACTGTATGTAAGTGGCGAAGTTCTGCACAACCTCACTCTATTTCCGGCCTGCCCCATGTGATAAGGGGACGCCGAACCTATTATATACCCATCCAGCAAGTCTCCAAGACGAGTTACTTGAAGTAGATATATCTCCGTTCAGCTGGTTCTCAGATTCGACAAAACTCGAAATGCGGTTGCACTAACATCTTCCAATCAGGAAGCCGGATATGCAGGTGATCTATGCCGTCGACGAATCATCGCCGGATACCCAACTTTGGTGAGCGACACATCAAACCGATCGGGAAATGATCATTGGCGCAGATCTGGATTCATGCGAGAAAACAAATGCTCCGAGAGCTGGAGATCCTTCGAGTCGCCGGCCATGGGAGCACACGTGGAGATTTGGTCGGTCCGGATGCTGTGGCTGCACAGCTCTTTGGTCAGGAGATTTTGGCACCTGCGTAAAGAAGGCGATGGAGATAGAACCCCTGACTATATATTCCCAATACTTTATAATGGAAGCGGCTGCACTTTGAAGCTGTACTGTCTGGCTTTCCTGGTGTATATCGGAGTTCCGCTTCAGTCAATACTCTTCTCAAAATGCTGGCACTATTTATTCTGACTGCTTTGGGGGCATTAACCAGCACAGTGACGGCAGATACACCCATTGATAATTCAGTGTTTGTCAACGACCCTGTGACAGCTGTCAAAGCTGCAGCGCCATTATGGCACTTCGACACCAAAACCTGCTTCCCCACAGTAGCAGTACAGCCAGATGGCACCAAAACAAAGAATCTCACAGAAGACGCATGTATGATTCTGGGCCCACTAAATCAAGGCTGTCCCGCCCAAGCGAAACAGACACAGCAGGCTCAGCTCTCGACTTCCTTTCCGACATATTACACCATTAGGAAGTGCGACAAAGATGCGTCGTGGAGAGTGGTGTATGATGTGTTCTTCCAGAAAGTTAGAGTCCCTTCTTCTTAAGGAGTTGAGACACACAGCTGAATTTAGGTTAGGATACGGGACACCCATATGATTGGGAGTGGGCAGCTGTGAAATTCGTGCAAAATGCACAAGGACAGTATGTCAGAGATGGCATCTGGCTCGAGCAAGATGGAAATCACCCGTACATCACTTGGGGAAATATACCAAACACCTTCGACGGGTAAGTCTTCCATCCTCCATCCATCATCTCAAAACACCAAAGCTAATCCTAGCTCTAAGCGATACCGACAAATTCCAAAACAACAACAAGAACCGCGATCATCCCAAAGCCTACTTCGGCAAGTGGAAACACAACGTGGATGTCGTTTTCAATGACAAATTCGCCAATGACTGTCTTGGTGCAATCGTGAATAAGAAGGATTACCATAGTGATGATTATCAATACTATGCTGCTGATAATCTGATCACGGGTTTGGCTGTTCCTAGTAAGTTTCTCCCAATCATTGAAATGTGGGACTGAAGCGAAGATATGGAAACAAGAGGGCTGATATGCGGCGTAGCGAGTTATACGTATGGAAATGCGGATTCTACGCCCCAGGCTTTTGAGGCTGGTGGGAAGTATGATATTTGTGGGAGTGGATTTGCTTAGACCGAGATCAGAATCAATATTTTGTTTCATATTTACCCTTTCTTGGATACGAGCATCTTCTATTCTCCGGGTCGTTTTAAGCGAGAGCTTCTCGTGCTTCATCATATGCTCTTCATCTTTCTTAATAGAGTTCGTGCAAGGGTTTCGAGTCGGAAAATTCAGGATATCGAAGCGGTATTCCTCCTTTTTCTTCTCCCTTCCCTCAATAGTAGGTCCGACGACGGATAAAAACTCTCGAGAAGATGATCAGTACTTTTCAGCAACGACAGAAATGTCTTTGACGTAACTGGTAATTCCGTACAGCTATCAGTACACGACTTCACAGATTCAAATCGGACCTAACACGCGCACCATAGTCATGCTAAGCCCCTGCAGAGGGAAGTCGGTATTGACCTAGCAACTAGGCGCTCAAAGTCTCAGCGCCGAAGTCGCCTGGCGCTCACAAGGTTTCAGCGGACCAGGGGCCGCCCTGAAGCGACTAAGCGAGGTAAACAACTGGATCCCCACAATTACCATGCATCGCGCACTAAATTATGCCCCAGAACATTATGTCGGTCTGAGAACAGTGTAGAACTCTTTATGATGAAGGATCATGTTCTAGCCACGTTAGGCATGTCAAGCGCCTCGAATTTCTCGCTACCAACCTACCCCTAGAAATTGATTTTGATAGCCCGCTTCATTTCTTGGGTGCCTAAGTCGTCACTAGCTCCATTTTATGCTCAAAAATAAAATGATTCCCATCCAAGTCCTTTTTAAATTATATTTGTTGTAATCGCAGATATTCACAAGACATTTCTCCAATCTCACAAGATGATCACTTCCACAGAAATATCAAAATACTCACGCCCCGGATCCCACATCACTCAATCCACCATGCACGATATCTGGCTCACCACACAGATATCCTCCATCATAACCGTATTCATTATGCTCGTTCTGCTTTTCACGTTCATATGGAGTGGTCGACTCGATTGGTGGTATGAAAGATGGGTGGGAACAACCGGGAATATATTTATGACAAGAAGAAGATTTCGGGCTTGGCCAGTGTGGCTTAGTAGAGAGATGATGGAAGGATCGGAGGATCAAAGAGGGCGACCAGTCGAGATAAGAGTGCGAAATGTTTGAGGTTATGTGGTAAATGGGAGTGTTGGGGCAGGAAATGGACAGTTTCAAGACCGAGCAGTGATCAAGTCAGGTGCATATCTGCTGGTAATACCTGTCCGCAAACACTCTTTACCTCAGGACGCGCAAACTTCCGAGCATTTTCTGATCACAGCACAAGAGGCATGTTCTAAATTGAACCCGGATGATTTCGAGTTAGCGAGATTCTGATGGCTGAGGTCAGTGGTAATGCCTTGTCTTCTCACCAAGACACACAGCACTGGATGTATTATTGCAATGTCCCAGCCAACTCTTGAATGGGTTGAGAACAAAATATACCCCACCTTCATGTGATGGTCTAAACAGGATGAGTTATTTAGGCTATATCAGCCGAAAATCTGCACACAAGATTTATTCTTGCTTATGTAAAACATTCCCATCCAGGACATTTTTAAAAATACCAAATGTGAACGTGCCCATTATTATCATGAAGAGAAGAAATTTATCACAACGCCAGCCGCCTCCAGTGACCCATCACTCAGCAACTCTCATGACTTCAATTCAGCAATGGGAGTTAGCCACTTCAATGCATCTCAGACCTCGCATCTAGCGTCGCGTCCCCAGCCTCAATCTCCACAGGCCTGAACCCCGAGTTTCTATACTCCGGCTTCATCAATGTTATCGATGACACTGCAGACATCTGTGGTGGAGAATTTGGCGTCGAAGACGTCATTCCAGGAGACGCCATTGGCTGCTGTAAAGATTGTACAGAGTAGTCTGGCGTTTCTGGCTTGTTCTTCCAGGATCTCTTCCACCAAAGAAAGAGAATCGCTGCAATAATGCCGACTATACCTGCCGCTGCCCCGAATTCTATACCCGCTTTCGCGCCTGTAGATAGTCCTTGTGATGGCTTTCTCGGGGTGGATGGTGGATTTGACGGTACGGTTGAATCGGTACCTACTGGATCGCTTCCAGTGCCTGTGCTAGTGGTTGATACGTTCGTCCCTTCTTCAGAAGCGAGAGCTTTCCATGATCCTTTCCATGTTGATGCCCAATCTGCGGCCGATCCGATGATGGATCTGTCCTCGTCTCCGACTGCGATGACATTCGCTTGGGATGGTAAGTTCGGTCCAGGAGCTTGTGCTAACCACCATGTTGCTGATCCGTTATCTGCGTTCCAATTTCCTCCCACAAAAGCAGCTTGTAGAAATGCTCGGCCTAATTGGTAGTGTGTCTGGGTCTCAGCTTTGCAAGGGAAGTATGATGTCGGTGTTGTGCTTAACGGTGCGGTGAGCGTCAGGTTCAGGAGCTTGAATGGGACGTTGATAGTCGGGTTTTTCTCAGTTTGACTTTGACGAAATGTGAATGTCAAACACGAAGGTGATGAAATGATTTGCGTGTATTTCGGGTCCTCAGTGTCCCAGAAGTAAAGTCCGTACTTCTCTTGGTACTTCAGTGGCAGTCTTGCAGCGATCGCATCACACGTACTCCTAGGCAAGTGGAGATACGGTGCCAAAGAGTTGATCGAAACTGGTAGAGCACTGCTTATCGATGAGTTTCCAGACGCAAGGAGCCCCCCACCCAAGCTACCGAAGTCCCATGGCGAGTCTCCTTGGATGACATTTAGACTAATGTCAAATAAGTCGATCGAATCAACGCTATCTGCTGGGCCCTGCTGGGTTGAAACTTCTCCCAGGACACGATTCTGGTCAAAGCCGCCAAAATACAGAGACGGTGGAATGTTCTGGGATGCCGAGCCAATGTGCAGGCCGTAGGAATTTGACGCGATAATTTTGCTTGATGGTGCTAGAGTGGACTGCCATCCAGGAAGAAGAGTTGCATTATGGGAGTCAAATGTCTGATTGATGGTTCCTGGTGCGCCAAGAGCTAGAGAGCCAACAGAAAGGAGATAATATGAGCCATCAGGGAGGATTCCCCAGAGAGAATCGTGATATGCCATGTCCATCCCAACAAGAGGCTCCATGGATTTACCGATACGCCACTAGATAGTTGAGAATTAGCTCTAGAGTTACTGCCTGAAGATACGTCAAGTTGGAGGGGATCACCTACAGTGTCTGTGTCGATATCTCCTTCTTTTCCATCAATTTGTAATGCGCCTCCAGTGTAGTCCACTTGTGCTTGAAACTGAATGTTGGCAAAGGATTGAGACGAAGAAAGTTGTTTGTCATATAAACCAGCCGTCTGGGCGTAGCAGACGTTTCCAAGTGTTGAATTTGAGCATACTTTTGGCGACAAAAAGTGGCTTGAGAATATGCCTCCTGGATAGAGGCTGATGACTTGTTCGTTAGACCCAACTTGGATCTCAACTGCTTGCCACGGTCCATCTGGCCCAAATGTCTGTGTTGACCAGGTCATTCGAAATGTGTTGACCGTTCTCGCGACATCGTTTATATACAAAACAATCAGGTCTGGGGCCAGTCGAGTACTGTGAGAAACCATTCTCACAAGGACCTGATTCGATGGTGTGGAAGCAACACAGTTACTTGGAAGCCGAAAGATACCAGATCATTAGCAAACATATATAGACCTTAGAATCAAAATTGGAGAATTTCTTCCAGTCAAACCTAACGAGGGAACTTTGATTCGATATGAGAACGCTGCCCGAGCGACCAGAGCCCGTTTCTACAGCATTACGTCAACTCAAGCCTGCAGTGTATTCACACAACATGCATCAGGGCCTTCAGAGTCGTGGCTCCAGGTGCTTGACCTATAATGTCTCGAGAGAATGTTGGGCCAGCCTCTAGGCCGCATTCATTTTCCAATGGAAGGACCCTTTACTCTGTTTGGCAAGTCTTGCCAGGGTTTATTTCCTGTCAGCAATCAAGTCCACGGATTGACTATCTAGATTGGAGGAACAGGCGTGATCTCTCGAGCCTCCACGTCTCCCGAAGTCCTCTTTCTCATTGTTATTTACAAATTAAGTCATAATCAAGAAACGATCTCGTTCGACTCCAAAATTCAAATATCAATGTCTCAGTCCTGGTAATCAAAACCACTAACTGACTTCGTTTTCGCGTATAATAGTAGATCCTAGGGCCAGCGCTGCAGCTTCTTGAACGGATCGGATCGGAGATGATGGATATATACTCAACAACTGGTCAGTGACATCCAATATTCTCATCTAATTTATTGTGGATCTGCGGAGATCAGGAGGTGAAGTAATCCGTGACTGACAGGATTGTTCGTGTTCCATTATAACTTTATTTCGATTTACCTCCATTTGGAGCTGCCCTGTCCGACTTCCCATGGTGACGTCTCGGCAGACCCTGATTCTCAGAGTCTCAGATGGCTTCCTTCTCGTTCGCTGTCAATCATGCTCGTTGTGGTGAGTCCAGACAGGCTTTGAGCTTCATTCGGCATCTCTTACCCCTTCCCTCTGATTCCGTGCAGTCATTTCATGATCATCGTCTATGTCGATGGTACAATCTGAAAGGCGAGCATGACATCCCCCCGGCCCTCTTTGAATGTTGCGTACCAGTCTTTGTCGCTTGCAAGCAGCTACCCTCACTCCAAGATTTTGCAACTAAAGCCTTTCATAAGCTAGATACTGCAATGTCCCCGAATACCCAATACGAGTACCTAATTTTACCATATTTTTGATATATGGCTTCTTTGATGAGCTGGAGTGATTCGAGTGCGACTACTTTACTGCTATATATCCTTACGGGGGTGATGACAAATGTGCCGAGAGCAATATAGACTGATGGTGGTTCGTATACGCTCAGGATGTCACTAACACGGAATATTGATGTAACGCTGTGATTTTGCTCGAGGCTTTTCATCCGCTGGGAAGTAAAGCAGACGGCCGGATAATGCATCCCGAAAGAGTGCACCTGGATGCTGCTTCACTGATCAAGGAAAAGTCAATTGCTAGAGTAGCCTGAGTGAATGAATAACGTGAAGCCATGTCTAATGAAGTCCAGCATCAAGGTCAAGGTGAACGTAAGTTCAAGCATCAAAGGCTGCCCGTGGTCTCACTTTGACGCTGAAGAACAGATGCCGACCCAGCAACTTGGGCAAACAGGTACACTAAACTCCTCGTCTTAACCAAGCCGACTCCTGTCCCTCGACTGCGATCTCCCCATCCTCAAGTTCTATGATGAAATCTCCATTCTTCCTCCAGCGCCAGCTGCTATGCCTCGAGTCTATTGAATCGACGACCCATACCTCACTTTACAACCTGTGCTCATCGTCTCTTAAGCTAAAGAGTTCAAGCGAGCCAAAGACTCGATTGACGGAGACAAGAGTGGCAAATACAACATGCATATCGTAACTGACCTGTACAGCAATAGCTGCATGAAGATTCCTCGTTGCCGCCACAATTTGCTCACAGGCTAGGTGAGTTCCGCTCACAACGCAAGCACGAAACATACCTCTGCAAACACTTTCGAGAAACGGGATCCGGACAAGGTGTTTAAAGGGGCGAAGCACTTTAATTTCTCTGACCGGCCGGTGCCGAAACCATGATCACGACTCCAGAGACCACGCAGAATGATGACCAGCCGAAATGCGAGATGGATGAGCAGGGCAGGGAGGATTGTCGTGCGAGAGATCTGTGGCTAGGGTTCTATGCTGATTTCCAGAAGAGGAGGATGTTATGTTATGTATCCAAGATTTGACCGCTTGGGAATAATTGGATAGCTGACAATTGCAAGGATATATGTGGCTTCGCGCCGAAGCGACTCAAAGCGAGATCCGTCAACAACGTAAAGAGAGAACCGCCAATAGGCGCGTTTGTGCCGCAACGCAGGTGAATATTGACAGTAGGAATGGTAGACCACTTTATTATACTCTCGCCATCTTTGCTTCAGGTGCCCCGGAAAAACCCGACGTTGAAAAACACGAGAGGGGAATTTTGGATAGCAGATTGACGAAATTTGGGAATGTAAGACATGGACGGCGTCCGTCCAGGTTTAAAATGCGGGACTCCATGCACTGTTTAATGGAAGAATTTCAGTACCGCATTTCAACTCTGGATGATAGGAAAATCGCTGGAGTCAATGTTTAGGGACTTATCATAACCCGACATTTTGAGCTACCTGAGGTTGTAGAAAAACTTACCGCCTCGCCTCCACATCGAATTTGATCTCGCAGCATTTTGTCCCAGTTTTCATCTTTATCTTGCTACTAGGAGCTAACTTATTGCCAATGGTTATGTTCTTTATTGCTCCACTTGGCCTCCACACGATTCGCTGTCATGACTTGCAACTCTACAAGCGATCGCATTGATTTGGACTGTCTGGCAATTAAGCAAAGCCATCACACGAAACCGACGTCCTGATTGCATAGATTCTTTCCCCCGGATTCTGCTCATTCACATCTATCTCTGTTGTTGTTGAGGAGTAATATACACGTAAACATGAGATTATTGAAGCACTCGCCTTACCTTCGAACCAACGGATCATAAGCGACCACATAAGCGACTTTATTCATCCTTGTAAACATCATATCGATACTTCGTACCCACATGATCGCTCCGCAGCAGCTTCTGACCTTTCCCATAAATTTTCTCCCTTGCCGTCAAAGGTTCATCTCTTTCTCCTGGTGCTTCAGGATATAGCCCTCTCCTCCGCAGCTCCGGAATCAACAGATACACCACATCTCCGAATGACCCAGGCGTATTTACGTACGCGATATTGAAGCCGTCTAAATCGCCCTCCTCAATCCACCGCTGCATCTCATCAGCCACCACATCCGGCGTCCCTACCGGACAAGGACCCAATCCTCCAAAGGCCGCTTTCTCAGCAATGACTCTCGGCGTCCATTTCGGGACGTTCTCGCTTGTGGAAGTCATTCGGTCAAGGATCGAGGAGATCTTATTCCCTTGCTCATGCCCTGACGGGTTGATCTCTTCATCGAGTGGCAGAGTCGAGATATCAATGCCGGTCCAGCTGCTGAACAGGACAAGACCGCCGATAACAGACGCATACTTTCGTGCTTCTGCGAGCTTTTCCTCGGCTATTGCTTGAGTAGAGCCAATGAAAGGGGTGATGGATGCGAAGAATTTGAGACTTTGGGGATCCCGGCCTAAAGCGGCGGCTTGAGCTCTGATTTTGGCGATCTTAGGACGAAGTAGTTCTGGAGAGTGGCTGGCTACGAAGATGGCTTCGGCGTGGGTGGCTCCGAATAGAGACCCTGCTTTGAAAGACTTTCATTATTGACAATCCTGTCACAGGAAAAGGGCTTTTCACTTACGCTGATGTGCCGGCCTGGAAAAGAAAAACGCGCTGTGGACTTGGCGGGATAATGTGTCGAGTGTCAAGCTTGTAGTATGGACCATCATGATGAATCTCTCTGATCATATCTGGATCTGCGTATACATCATTGTCAACATCGAATTTCACTGCATCGTCCGACCAAGACCCTTCCCATAGCTTATACAAAGCTCTAAGATAGTCATCGGCCATCTCATACCGTCTGTCGTGGTCAATTTGAGATGACATGCCAATCGCTTTGTACGCAGCATCTTTCCAGCTGATGTCTCGTCAGCATCTGTTCCGCATCCAGTCGCTTCGAAAGACACGAGAGAACTCACGAAGTCACGATGTTCCACCCGATCCGCCCATCTGTCAGATGATCCAAAGTCGAAAAACGCTTCGCAACAACAAATGGAGTCTCAAAGCTCGTCGAAGTCGTGATAGCAAAAGCTAAATTCTTGGTCACTGCAGCCATTGCCGAAATTGGAATACTGGGATCCAGAAGTGGCCATTGAGCTCCGCGACGGATGCACTCGTCCATGGAACCTTCATAAACTGCATGGCCCGCCGTGGAATCTGCGAGAAAGAGTGCGTTGATATTTCCACGTTCAAGAAGTTGGGCCCGATTCGTCCAGTAGGAGAGTTTGAGCTTGGTGGTGGATTTATCTTTTGGGTTCTGCGTCTGCAATCAGTGTTGGAAGAAGGAGAGCCCGATTGGAGGAGTTACTTTCCACTGTCCAGGTGAAAGGTGGCCTATTGTGCCGCTCATGTCAAAGGCATTTAGCAGAATCTGCTTTCCAAGATCCCTTTTCTGACGCTTTGCTGAGGCTTGAAGTTCGGCATCCTCGATATCATGAGGATCATTTGTCCTAGAGCTATTTCGCTTCAAGCCATTGGTGTATGGCGCTGAACTTGACATTTTTAACACAGAAGCAAAGCTCAATCATCGAGCGGTTGATAGTTTTAGCGAATTCATGACAGATGAAAGATTATTGGGATTCCGACGAAAGCTACCCATGTAACATGAGCTAAGGATGGAGATGCAAGATGGGAGCTAGTGACAGGTGTGATGAAGAGTGGGATATCAAATCCAAACACGCTCATTAATACAGTGGAATGTTGATGTTGTGATACTGCCCCAATATGAGCAACATCGGTACGAGCCTATCACATTGTCTTCTTCGACGTGCATTTCGTAACTATTCTTTGCGGTGCGAACTTGACGCATATCCACGCCTGCTCTTGATAGAATATGTTGCTGTTGATAGTGGATATGCGACAATTGATAACGGAGGGGCCGTTCCACTTTCCAAGAACATTTGCTGCAAGATTCAGAGCCTCAGGAGAAACGGTACAGAAGGCCATGTGAGCACGCAAATCGTAGCTTGGATGATGAACATACTTCGCCGCAAGCACTCCAGTTATTTGGCTACTTAAGAAGTACCTGGTAGTGCTCTTTTTGTCGCCCGTATCAGCCTCCAAGATTCGGCATTAACTTCGTCCAGAATGGCAGAAACACCGGAAGATGTCGTCGTCGCAACACCGAAACCAAAGCAAGGACTCTTCCATCATTTCCGGTGGTTCGATGAGAATGATACGCCAGAAGAGAGGAAGTTAATCTGGAAGTTGGATCTTCTGATTGTTCCATACGCATTGTTGGTGTACTGGGTGAAATATCTCGATGCAGCAAATCTGAGTAAGTCTCTAACACCCTCGCTCCTTGGCCGTGCTGATGTGATTAGACAATGCGTATGTCTCCGGAATGAAAGAAGACTTGAACCTGGGGGGCAATGATCTTTCACACTTGCAGTCGGCTCTTCTGATTGGGAATTGTATCGGACAGGTCCCAGGAGCATACTTCTTCCCCAAAGTGCCACTACACATTCTCATCCCGGCTTTGGGGCTTGGCTGGGGTATCTTCAATTTGCTGCAATATAGAGCAAAGGGCCTGCCTGAACTGATTGCATACCGATTTCTGATCGGCTTGTTTGAGGCAAGTCGAAATGATGCTGTTTTAATCGTCCAACTTCTGAACTAAGTTTGCAGAGCCCTTTCTTCATCGCTGTTCACTATACCTTGGGATCATGGTACAAAGGCCACGAGCTGGATAGAAGAGGCTCATGTTTCTACATCGGCCTCGCCCTGGGAACACTCACTGCTTCTCTCCTCCAAGCAGCTGCCACTAAAAACCTCGACGGGGTGAACGGTCTCGAAGGATGGCGCTGGAACTTTATCATCACCAGCGTCTGCACGCTTCCCCTCACTTTTGTCGGATGGTTCATTTTCCCCAGCACTCCAGATAAACCAAATAGATTCTCGATCAACAAGAGAGATATCGAGATTGCGAAGAAACGCCTTGAGAGTTCGGGACATAGACCACCTGCGGACTGGACATGGAAATTGGTGAAGAAAGTCTTCTCGACTTGGCATATCTATGTCTTGGTATTTTGGAACATAATGTTCTGGAATGGATCACTGAACACTGCCAATGGAGGCTATCTGCTATGGATCAAATCGCTCAAGCGGTATAGTATTCCCGAGGTCAACAATCTTGGTGCGACCATGCCAGCAATCGGTATCTTCATCACGCTCGCCGTCTGTTTCGGAGCAGATTTCTTTAGATCACCTGTAAGTCTGAGCTCCAAGCCTCCAAATTGCGTGCTCTTCTCCTGGACGAAGATGTGCAGAAACAAATGACTCTGCAGTGCCAAGTCAGCTGCTGATTTCACCGTACAGGCTTGGGCGATTACCTTAGCATACATCGTGAACATCCTAGGTTTGGTAATAATCATCATCTGGGAAGTCCCCGAGCCCAGCCTGTGGTTTGCCTTCAATACAACCTATTTTGCCAACGCAATATCCTCTGTTCTCTATGGGTGAGCCAAGTCGAAATGATTCCTAAATTTGCTCACCACTGACAAGCGGTTCCACACAGTTGGGCACAGAACATACTTCGGCACTCCCCGAACAACGCGCTTTCACGCGGGTAATGATGAATGCGATCTGTCAATCTACCACAGCCTGGACTCTGATTCTGACATTCCCCACGGTCGAAGCCCCGAGATTTACGAAAGAATACTCGTTCGTGGTTGCTTGTGCGATTATATTGATTGTTATGACGTAGGTTGTGAAGTATCTGCATGATAAGCAAGAGTCCGTACCTTTCCCTGTTCCCAGCTTGGTGAGTAGGATATCGCTAATTTCGTGGCAGACGACAGCATAAGGAGTTGCAGGAAAGTGATGATGAAAGGAGCAGGGAGGTTGCAGATTTAGTTGAGCCAACTACTATTGAGGTGGAGCCGATTAAGAAGATTTGAAGAATCCCCAGGGGAGGCACAAGCCCATCCCAATTAGCCCCAGGAACTCTAAAATGTGGCAAACTTTTGCTGCTTTGAAGACGTATCACAATGAAACGTTCCAACATTTGCATTCTTTAAGTATCTCCAACCCAGTCAGTAATTTGAAAGCCGCGGGAACTTTGAGTAAACATTGATTGGTACGATTTGGAATCCATGATATCTAAGAAGCATTGGTAAGTCCTCTACTGAGGTGTAAAACATTTGTTGACTCACCTACGACAATCACTCATTCGAGCAAATGCTTGAAATCGCCTATCAAGACCCTAAAAGTTCTATAGGTCATTTGGGCACATCAAAAGACCAACGTCGCAAAAGTCTATCCCAACGGACACTCGATGTGATATTTCGATTTTCCAGAGCGCTCACGGTTCTCCCCTCTAGCTCCCCAACTCAGCTCGATACACATTCGTAGGAGCTTCCACCGGATTTCTGTACGCAGAGACTTCCACGGGATGGGCCGGAGAGTATTTCTTCGAATCCGCGACTTCGTGATATGCCACGCCATTATGTTCGTGACCTCCGTATTGAGGGACAGTTGGAGTCTCAGATGCCTTATTCTGCCTTCTTCGCAGGAGAAAGAATGCCGTGACTGCTATGATAGCAATCACAACTCCTGTAACTCCAACGCCGATTCCGATCTTGGCTCCATTGCCTAAGCCATCAGAGGTAACTGAAACAATTGACTTTGATGGACTTGGTATGGAGGAGGCTTGGTTCGGGGCAATCGAAGCTGTCGTGGAGGACGTTGTGGTGCTGGTGAGTGGTCCGCTTGATGTCGAACTCGAAGTCGATGTTGTAGAGCTTGTTGATGAAATTCCGATCGTTGCTGCTATGACTATCCCCTGCTTCTTGTTGCAACATGTGGCGTTGACACCTCCACAGCACCACGACCCATCGCTACACTGGCCTACGGGCACATTGTCTGATGCATCCCCGCCATTCTAGAATAATCAATATGTGCCAAAATAGCTGGGTACATGGCAACGTACCTTGGGATCTGTGCATAGATTCAAACAGAAGGGACTATGAGAAAATTTAGCATTGTGACTGCAGTCTCACAATCATGAAGTCAAAGTCAAGTACCTTTTCCAAGTCTTATCCGTACACCCTTGCCTCCAAAATACCGAATCTCCATTGTTCTGACAAAGACCATTTGCCTGGCACGTATCCGGGGCTACCACTCCCGTATGATTTGTCCCGCAGCATTGCGACACTGCACCAGCAAATTGATTGCAAGGCTGATAAGCTGGATCCTTGATCTCAGAGCCATCCGGATTGTAGCACGCGGCATCAATCCGACATATTTGCAAAGCAACAACCAAGAGAAACGCTACAGTTGACGACATGATCGAGGAAGAATAGGATGGAACTTTCACAAAATTGCAGGGTAAGGCCAGTCGGGGGCAAGGGTGTCTTAAGAATACAAACTTGAAAGACTGTGCCTCTTTATTTAGCCCCCAACTTCCCCTGAACCAAGTTTCTGTACTTCCCCTGCTGTGCAACCGTATCAGCCTCAAGTTTCGCACGACTGCATTAGCTAACAATAGTGTCCAATGGCAACTCACTAAAGGATGCATAGGATTCAACGCCTCCAAGGTTTTGGTTTGTACCCAATATTTGTTAGAATCGCCCCCAATTATCACCGAGCCACTTGTCTCCTGCATGGTCTTCCAACGGCAACAGATCTTGGCTTGATTACGCACGCGCGCCCTGATGCGGCCCATAAATTCAAAACTATGCGAGCAAAGCGCGTAAGACGGGCAAAAACAAAGATAAGTTCTGAGCACGAGGCGATTATGAGGATCGTGAAAGAAGAAGACATTTTTTTCCTTTGTTTCCTCGGTGAAGCCTTGAGCACCCGGCCGGGGCAAGTATCAAACGGATCAAACAGAGGGAAAGAACGATGCAAACATGAAGAGTCGAAATGGATCATTCACCGTAACTTGCCAACGATGTATGCTGTCCGACCATGGTGCCGCAAACACCGAAGATTCCAGATTTCTGGCGTCCTCTTCCAGATCATCAAGATGCAGGACTCAGGACGAGATCTACGAGTAACTAGGTACCTAGGTAAGCTGTAAGATCTGAAGCTGGTGAAGCTGTTGGAAGCACATGAAAGCATGACTAAGCCTGGCTTTTCCGTCCCATCGGCGTTCACAAGCGAGTCTCCGATGCCTCGGCCAAATCGCGTCTTACGAAGCGTACATGTCAGCGCTCTTTTTCCATCTCAGCCCAGGAATAATCTACAAGCCATCCATCAACACTCCTTTTCTCTTCCTTCACAACACAACATACTTTCTGTTCATATCCTCGGTCACTTCCTTTAAAAACCATGGCGTCCGCAACGCGGTTACCCCTGAAATCCATAGCATTTACGACTGCGCTCGTAGTCTCAGCAGGCGCATCCAGAGTCAGCTTCAAGCAGCTCGCCCTCACCACTTTCACCGGACCAGGGAGTTATTCGCGGATAGTAGCAGCTCTGATCGTACTTGCGAACCTCAAGAATGTGCCGTTCGCATGGCATGTACGTATCTTGCCTTATCTTCGGCCTGCCCATTCCAACCCGATCCTCCAGAGCCAAACTAACATGTATTGGTATATAGTTCCGCGTCTTCAACGCCATCCTCAAACACTGCCTCTTCTCCCTCCCCAACATCCCACCCGCCCTCGCCCCCTCCACGCTCTTCCTCCCCGTAATAACAACCTCGCACTCTCCCCTCACAGAATGCGACTACAACTTCCACAAATCCAACAGCACATACTTCTCCGACCTCGACGTAACCCGCTCGCACCTCGTCTGCGCCCTCATCCAGCCCGGCATCAAAGCCCTCCAGCAAAATGCACAAACCAAACTCGTTCTCGACGCCCAGGGTAAACCTGTCCTGGGAAGATGGAGCATCATGCTCGGCGGCGTGATGTGCAGCTTCAAGCGCGAGATCGGCATGTACCAGGGCTTCGAGATGTGGAGTCGCCTACTGTGCTGGGACAGGAAGTGGATATACGTCGTTACGCATTTCGTGAAGAAGGGGACGGTGAAGCCAAGCGCATATATCCTTACAGATGGGAGCTGGTTTGGTGGAAAGGGGTATAAGACTGTGAAGGGGGACAGTAACAGTCAGGAGGTGGATGAGAAGGCCATTTTTGCGAGCGCGATTAGTAAATATGTTATTAAGTTGGGACGGTTGACGACGCATCCGGAGGTTTCGCTGAATGCTTCGGGATTGCTGCCACCCAAACCTGGCGGATGGGCGACGATGAGTGGGCCGTCCGGGGAGTCGACGCCGGAGACTTTGGAGGTTGAGGGAGAGGGCAGTGAGACGCCGGAGAGTGAGGGATCAGAGGGAGAGTGGGATTGGAAGAGGATTGAGAAGGAGAATAAAAGAGGTTTGAAGTTCGCAGAGCATTTTGCCGCGCTGGATGGATTGAATCAGGAGTTCACGGGAAGCAGGGAGGCGGCATTGGGAAAGTATAGAGACTTCTTGACGTAGATCAAGGGAGATGGATCTTTTTAAGTGTTAGAAGTGTTAGAGTAGAATGTTTAGAATAATTTGAGACACTCACAGAACCCCCGAGGTGGGCAGTGCCTTCCCAAGTGGGGTGCGTGACATCAGTGTGACTCGTTACAACACACTCACCAGTTGCAACTTTTCATTTTATGAGCACGAGCAACATGGAACAAGATTGTTATGCTTGACAATATTATTATTTTGGTGTTCAATAATGCTTATTCATATATTCACAATTTCTTTTTCCTCCCATATCCCTCTCCTATCCTCTACCCCAATACTGTACTGTACACTCAATCCGCTCGCTTCGCTTCACTTACAAAGCGAGAGCAGCGATGAGAGCAGCACCGGCCATAAGACCACCAACCTCCTTCTTGCTGGCAGCGTTGGTGTTTGTAGCTGGTGCGGAGCCAGTTGCGGAGGCAGCGCTGGATGCAGCACTGGCAGCCTGATTTCATTTCAATTAGCCAAAGATCTCTATATAGAAAAAAAGACATGTACTTGGTGTAAGAAGTCACTTACAGAGCTGGCAGCTGCAGATGCGGACGAAGCCACGGAAGAGAGGGAAGAGGCAGCGGAGTTTGCTGACGAAGCAGCTGAGGAGGCACTTGAGGCAGCTGAAGACGCCGCGGAAGTGACACTCTCAGATGCAGAGCTGGCCGCGCTGGACGCGGAAGACGCAGCTGATGTAGCGGCCGAAGAGGCTTGAGAGGCAGCAGAGGATGATCCGCCTGAAGATCCACCGGCACCTGAGGCGACGAGGGCGCAGATTTGGGAGGTGAGGGTTTGGGTCTCTGAAATCCATATATTAGCTTTTGCTTGTGACGAAATCAGGTGATTCAACCAGGTCACTTACTCAAGGCATCGTCAGAAGAGCAGCCGGAGATGACACAAGGAGTGGCAGCCTTGGTGATGGCAGCGTTGGCACTACCGCATTGGCATGCGTTGTCAGAGATGGTGCATCCGGCACCGGTGATGGCGGTGGCCAAGCAAGTTTGGGCGCAAGATGGGATTTGAGCAGTTAAGTCAGCGATTGACTGAGCAGAGACGGCGGTGGCCAAGATGGCGATGGTGGCAGTGGTGAACTTCATGTTGACGATTGTTCTTGTTTGTTTTGTTTGACTTCGGAAAGTAGCGAATGTGTGTAATTGGAATGCGAATTGACGGTAGATTTGCTTGATGAAATTTGTCAAAAGTTTTGCGTGATAGGATTCGAGAGGAGAGGGGGGAATTCGTTATTTATACGTGACGACGACTAACATGCTTCAGGTCAAGAAGGGGGAGCGTACACCCATGCTCGTCATGGCTGCCCACATCAGTGGCGTTGAACAGCTCCAGCAAAACCTGGAAGCTGCTTTCAGGCAGGTCCCGTCAATCATGTGGAGGAAGGGCCGGGTCTGGGCATGATCTTCTCTCCACAGTGAGGTGTCTCATACCGAGGTTGGCACTGGCATGACCGTTCTCCTCAAAAGTTGGAGATTGGCCTGGGGACGCCGGACAGACTTTACTGTAGAAGGGAAAGTTTGGTCATCCCAGCCCTTGGGCTAGTAACAAAGTAGCATAGATGCCGAGACAGCGGACCTTGGTTGAAAAACGGGATTGGAACTGCGAAAGATAATTGGGGGGAGCAAAGGGTTGTTGATTGACGAGGGAGTTCCCACTCCGACTAAATTCACCTGCGCTAGTCCTGTGTCGTGCCTTCCTACTGCGAAGTGTCGTCTGCACCTGCGCTACCGGTACAACATTCCGTTGCACAGTCCGGCGATTCCTGTGCCTTCGAAGCACAGCTGCTCCCTCTCCTCGCAACATCCCCTTTTCTTCAATACGACCTTCAGCAAGCCCAATTAAAAGAAGCAATGCTCGCATTGATGTTCAGATTTTGCACTTCCAGCTGAGGCCCATATCAGATATCATTTCATGCAAGGGTTCTTTTCCCAATTCCTGCGACCCCAAATCCCGGCAATTCCCTGGCCTATCAACCCAGAAGGGGATTTAAGGTTCAGTATCCCCAGCCAATCTCTGTGCCCCGCTGATCCAGTCAGGGGTAGCGAGGCTTGCCTTAACCTCATATGTGGCGGATCACGACGATCGACAGCAGGTTGCCGAGGTGAATCAAGGGGGGCTGGGAAGCTTGAAAGGGACTGGACAACATTTGAGCCATGCGAGCCATGCCATGTGAAGCCAAGCTTCGCTGCCACCTACAGTAAGCTTGTTGGGTGGGTTCTGGATGGATGAGCTGTGAGGTTTGTCAAGGTGCGGGGAAATATGCGGGGGTGAAGCTTGACGTGCATTTGGGTTATTGGATGAAGGATGTGACGGATGCTTCAACGGTTCACGTGAATACCGACTATGGGACGGAGCTTTTACTGGAAGTGTGTTGGATCAGAACGTTAAGCAGTGGAACTAAGGATGGACTTTCTCAAATCAAGTTCTGGTTGTTACCCACCGAGGCCACGACGTCGAGCTTGAAATCCGGGTAATGTTGCAGCGGCGTAAGCCTGCGCACGAAACTCTAATTTGAATATATTAATGATATCATGTGGGTATCTCTGAGCTCCTCGAACAGTAACCGGGGATATCTCACAGAAGTGTGTAAAAATTCAAGTCTAGATGGCGAAGTTCTCATTGCTCTTGATAAAACCATCTGTACACCCTTCATCTCAAGCTCTCCAGTCAAGATCTAGAGCTTCCTGCGCCAAGTGGCACCGTCAATTCCGTGCCTCACAAGCATCATAGTAGGGTAGTAGTGAGGATTTTGAAGCTGTGAGCGGTCCAGCGGCTGCAGGTACCAGAAGCTAAGAATTGAAAAGGTTGCTTGCAGCTGACGAGATGTGTCAAATGGCCCGTCTAGACTTCCTTTTTCAATGCTAGCTTTTTGGTTTATGGCCTGGGTTGGGTAAGATTTTGGGTATAGCAAGAGGCTGAGAATCGTAATACGAGATTGTTGTTCCTAAAATCTGGACCGGGCTTCCTTTCAACGTTGTGACATAGAATTAGAAGAAGGTAGGGAGTCTTGATTGCCAATTTTCACCTGTTTCCAAATTTCCGGAATATCATAGGGCTTGTAGTGGCTGCTTCATCACCCTATCTTACGCACTCTTGTTTCTACGTATTGTTGAGATTTCGTCTTGCTAATGCTGTCAACCGAACAACAGCAGTCTATTGGAAATTTCCTCACCATATAGAGAATTATCTCGCAAGATATAACACACTGTCCAGCCAAGTTTCCTCCAAGCAGCAGTCACATCTTATTGCTGCGAGGCACGATGCCCACGTGAGCTGAGGATAAACCTCTCCCGGTAGATACATTGGTAATTTAAGAGTCTGCTGGATCTTCTACCGATCACTTCTTTACCACAAGCTAGGCGTATATAGTCTCTAAGGTACACGTACACTAATAGGTACCTAGGTATGCCTCTCCATGTTACATGTCACGTGAAGTTATTGATTGTGACAGTGAGTTGATGTGTCTCTGTTTCCTGTCACTCCATTTCAGAAGTCTAGATTACAAAGTTCCCTTCTTGTTCCTCTGAACACAGAAATCCATGTTTTCGTTAACTCAATCAAGCGTTCGGGCCAGCTCTGTCTCATGGCTCTTCGCTTAGGGTAGTTTCACTTCATACCAAGGCTTGAATCACTCTTTATTCACCTACCGAGCGGTTTCCAATCCTTAGAAGCAGTTCCAGTGAATGAGTTCACTCACATCGCTTATTGCTGAGTTGGATTCTGCCTTTCTAAGTTCTATGAAATAAAAGCATGCACTCTTGACCGGTAAACTCCATTGCCTGCTTTCCCCTCCACGCCAAACGGCATACGAATATTGCTGTGCTGCAGCGTGAATTATCTATGCTCTACCCCACCGCAAGTATGAATATATCTCATCAGAAGTCTGGGCAATATCACCCACTGCCACCAAGTTTCCCGAGGCTGTCATCTGATGTTCACATGAAAGACTCCCGTCGTTGAACAGCCTTAGCAAGAGTGTCAGCTGACTACATGTGGTAGGTATAATTACCTCCACAGCATTGAGTCCATTAAATTTGGGTATGTCTATTAGCTCTATCAAATATAAGCGTACACGCACCATGTCTCTCCTTCTATTTCCCAAGGAAGCCAGCTCAAACTCTCAATCCCTGATTCTTTCTTAGAGCTCCTTCTCCTTCCACCTAACCTCAATCCCATTCGCGCTCCTTCCCGCTTCTTCTCCATCATCCTGCTTTAATTCCAGCCCTTTCTTCCCCACCCCATCCGAGTAATTCCTATGCATCAAGTACCTATTCTGCGCAACCCTCAACTTCTTCTCATTCACATCCTCCCTCCCACTCAACCGCGCATAACTCCTCGCCGTCCCCCAAACTTTCTCTCCGTTCCCACCATCCACCCAAACCCCTTCTCCCTCTCCCTCTTCCCCATCCTTCTTTCCCCAATTCTCATTCAAAACAAATCCCCCTCTCGTCTCAACCCTCCACAATAATCCCAACCAAGTCCCCTGCACCTCCCCATCCGGCTCACTCGCCCACGGACTCCACATGCCACTCGGTCTCTCAAACGCATCATTCGCGAGGGCTACGATCGCAGCATGGCTCCTTTTGTAGTCGAGCCAATTGGGGAGATTGCGGAAGAGGAGGGGGAAGGAGAGGGTTTCGAGGTGGTGAGAGGTGAGGCGGAGGGTTTGGAGAGATGAGGGAGGGAGGTAGAGCAGGATTTGGAGGAGGAGTTCGGTGGGGAGAGTTGTGAGTGTTGGAGGGGTATGTGGGGATGTGCTAGCCATGGGTGCAATCAAAGGTAGTTTGTTTGTGTACAAGGTGGAGGGTTGGCAGGTGGGATTTAGTAGTGAGTGAGAGTGGGAAATATGTATATGGTTGTTGAACCTTGAGTACACACAAGAGTCAATTGACCTCTAAGCAAGCTGCTTCGATCAAAGTGAAACCCAAAAAATGATTATAAGAGGAAGGAGACGAAGTTAAAAATTTGTTGTTCATGTACATGTTCATGGAAATGAGTACCTTGGCGGCTGATGTGAGCGTTCCAATTGCTTACTGTGGAACTCGGCTACGTAAACAGACGCCGATGAATGATAGTAAGCCAAGACTCAAATCCCTCAGGGTAACAACAATACCCGGAAGGCAAATATTGAATCGCATCAACCAAAGAATGCACGCAGATCACTAATCTGTGGGTATCATAACGCAACTGTGCAGTCACTTCCTCCGTAACAAGCCCTCTGCTTCTCTCTGCTCTTCCTCCCACCAGCTCTTAAACATGTTCAATCTCTCCGTCCGTTCACGCGCCATCCTCTTCCCAGGCGCGGTCTTCATCATACTTTCCAGCTTCACGAGCTTATCGTCAAAATGCTGAATAGTCTCCCCCATGTCCCTTGCGTTCTTCGCCCCTCCAAAGGTAAAAGTACGACCGATCCCAACAGCTCCTATGGCATCCAATCGATCCGCATCTTGCACAATAGCCAGCTCTGGATATTTGCCAATCATAGTCTCGACATGTCCTGGATCCTTGATCTCAGAAGAGTACGACACTGCAAGGACGATCCGCTGTACCTTGAGAGCTAGATCTTCAGGCGCACCAAAACCCAACAAGGTTGCCAAAACCAAGGTCTCTCCCTTCTGGCCTGGCTCCAAGTACTTCTTATCTCCGACGTCGTGCAGTAGAGCTGCGAGAGTAATGACATGTAGATCCAGCGAAGACTCCTTCTCGAATAATCCAGACTGCTCCTCTGCTTTGATGATCTCCGTGTATATCTTGTGCGCCAAGCCTACTACCCTCTTGATATGGTTGAAGTCGTGAGAGCCATCATACTTGCTCATATATTTCTCCACAAAAGCCGTCACCTTGGGTATCAAGGCAGCATTCGGAGGAACCTTCTTGGCTTTCTTGCGAGGCTTCTTTGGAGATGCTCTAGGTGAAGAGGTACTTGCTTGCATAGGATCATTGTCCAATTCTTCCTCCGAGTATTCTCTGAACTCCGGATATTTAGACCGTCTTCGCATCCCCAACTTCTGCCGCAGACGAGCCAGATTCCGCGGTTTGATCTCATACCCCTCAGCAAGCAACGCTCGCGCCATCTGGTCATCATTGAGATTCTTGTTGTAGTGATATATGATGCGTTCCTGCAGCTCCACCGATGCAGTCGTGCGAGTCTTCTTCCTTGGTACCTTCCATTGCGTCAGTCGTCTCGAAATTGTTCGTTCGCTGATATCCAGACCATGGTTTACGTTCAGCCGCCGGGCGATTTCAATGATGGGTACATCTTCGTCGATGAAGAGTCTCACGATCTCGTCTTTGTAGGGTTCGAGCGGTGTGGATTGGGGACGGCCTCGCTTCTTGGTGGACACTTCTGGCTCTGGACTGGAGCTGGAGAGGTCGCTGTCGCTGGCCGACATTGTGGTAGGATATTATGGCCTAGAGGTACTTATGGTCGGGAATTGCGTGGTTAAGAGTGAGGTTTGGGAATGCGCAAGAAACACACCGGAATGTCGATGTGCCATGCTGGTTACTCCGGGCCGCCGTAGGAGCTGTTTGCCTTGCACCAGGCCCCAAAGTCATTTACTCGTTCCAGACTTTCATACGTTCCAACTTTCATGATTGGTTTGAAGTACGAAAACGAACAACAAGACATGGAGCGTTTCAAGCGAACGCTTCAATCATCGAAGACCAGTTGTCCAAGGGCCCGGCATAGTTCTCCGCCGTAACCTTGTAGCCTCGGACCCTTGAGCCTATCATGTCATTTCCCCTCATTGCGTCAAGGTGGGGTAAGAAATATGTACTGGAGCCACCCCAGATTCTCACAAGAGTAAGAGAAATCGTTCTTCAGAATTATTGTTATTATAGAAATTAGGAGTTTTGTTCCAAGGAAACAGTCAAAATGTCAGATTCGGCAGGAAAAGCAGCTGGTCGACTCACGCAAATCAGCGACTTTCTCACCGGGAACAGGACTGCTACTACCATTCCATTTGACCCAAATTGCACTAAGTTCCCAGTTAGAAAGGATGTTCCCAGAAGAGAAGATGCACCGGAGGGAGCGTAAGTACCTCGGAAAGTCAGGTTGATGATTGCTAACACATTTAAGTGCATGGGTTTGGGGACAGAATGATTATGTGAGTTGAACTTTATTGAAGCATGTGATTATACTGACAAATATAGATTGGGAGAATTAATCTTCTCACGCCTACTCGAGTCCAAGCCGCATCAAAAGAGATCAAGAGTGGGGAAATCGTATCTCTCAATTTACCATTGAATGTCCCTGAAGTTCCAGCTTTCAACCGAGAGACTTTCCGGCACGAGATCAAGCCCATAGCCGAAGGTCTTGCATATGATGACAAGTACCAGTTGAACACCCAGTCTGGTACTCAGTGGGATGGTTTCAGACACATTGCTCATATGCCATCTGAGACATTTTACAATGGAACAAAGGGAAAGGATATTCAAGGAGAAGCTGCCGATCCTCAGAAATGCGGTATCCACCACTGGGCCGAGCATGGCATTGTTGGTCGCGGTATACTGATTGACTACTGGACATATGCCAATGAGAACGGAATTGTTTATGGTAACAAATTGGACTGTTTATAAGCACGAAATTCTGGCTGCTAACAAAGCTCAGATCCATATGACTACCATACAATCTCCTTTGCTGAGCTTCAAGCATGTGGCAGGTCTCAGGGAGTTGATATCAGACCTGCAGCGCAGGGAGGAGACATTCATATCGGCGACATCCTGTTCATCCGGTCCGGATTCGTCGCAACATATCACTCCAAATCCCCCGAAGCCCGTGCAGCAGCCGCCCTACGCCCTCACTCGGCCGGCAAAACCGACGGTCAACGATGGGCTGGAGTGAAACAAGAGACTGCTATGCTCGATTGGCTCCATGATTGTTACTTTGCAGCCGTTGCGGGTGATGCCCCTGCGTTCGAGGCATGGCCAAGTCAGGAAGAGTACATGCTCCATGAATACATTCTGGCTCTTTGGGGAATGCCCTTGGGTGAGATGTTTGACTTGGAAAAGCTGTCAAAGACTTGCAGGGAGAAGGGGAGATGGACGTTCTTTGTGACCAGTGCTCCGAATCACTGCGAGGGTGGTGTTTCCAGTCATGGAAACGCCTTGGCAGTTTTCTGAGAGCTTTTTTGACTAGTATTATAAGTGCAACTGTCATGGATGACAACAGATATCAATGTTCAGCAGGTTTCGCTAGCAAGAACAGGATATCCATCGTCCTCAAGATTTGCGATTTTAATAGCACTTGGTACGATAACCAGGTACATGATTTCTTCATTGTAGGGCGATTTCCATGCATGCTTACCGATTGGGTAATCCCCGAGTGGCTTGCATGCAGATGCATCATGAGTTCTCGGTGAGTGCTTTGGGAAGCGAGCACGTCTCGTCGCACCCCAGCCTCATTCTCAATCTCTCATCCAAAATCAAACAAACTTCAACGCGTAGCGCCAATTTCAAGGTAAAATGGACAATCAGCCTTTCGTAACGTTATCTACTGGCGGGATGCAACCTGCGTCACGATCGCCAAGTGAAAGTCTGTCAGACAGCAGTGTAGGAAACAGCAGACTCGATATTATTTGGAGATCTAACAAATGTGCAGGAGCAGCCAAAATCCAGCCCAGCGTCCTCGATTTCAGCGACGACACATGACACCAGCCGAACAAAATACCATATAAATGAGCTGAGTACATTTGTTCAGCGACTTGAAGCTGTGAGTACATATTCAATCTCAAATACCGATCTGACAGTTACAGGCTGCTACCAAGATCTTTCCCAATAAAGGACGTTCTCGCTACGAAAATGTCCAGGTCTTGCTCCTCAGATGGGAGCAGGATACGATGGGCGTTCAGTATGAGTTGGATGACCTGGCTGCTGCATTCGCTAAGGGCTATGGCTTCAAAACGGAGACTTGGTTGATCCCATCTACACAGCCTCATCTGGCTCTGATGGGCAAAGCATTCAATATAGTACAAGACTTTGGAGTGAAAGATAATCTACTCATCGTTTATTATGCCGGCCATGGTGGAATGAATAGTTCTCGGCAGCCACTGTGGACATGGTAAGATTTCCGCAATGTTACGTTCGACAAGCTTACAATCAACAGCACTGGCGACCCGAGCTCTCCATACTTGCAATGGTATGCTATCCAAACAATATTTGAACAAGCAGAAGCAGACGTACTCTTACTTCTCGATTGCTGCGCAGCAGCAAGCAGTGCTCCAGCGGACGGTCAATGTAACAGTGTGACGGAAACCATTGCAGCCTGCGGCTTCGAGACATGGGCTCCTCAACCTGGCCGACATTCATTCACCAACACGCTCATCGCAGTTTTAGATGACTGGCAGGACCGTTCAAGCTTTACAGCAGCAATGCTTCATTGCGAGATCCTGAATCGATTACGACATGAAAAGCCAGAGAGAAGACGCAACATTAAAAACTTCGAGTGTCGACGAACACCTGTTCATATTCTCAGTACGGTCGATGCGAGAGCAGGTAGTGTTGAGCTATGTCGTCGAAATGACCCCGAATATGTACCAGAAAGCCCCACAGGAAAGGGCAGAGAGGCAGATCTAGCAGATGCGGGATCCGCAATGGACATTGATTCCTCCGAACCAGCAGTGACCGCCAACAGAGACCAGCCCGCAGATCTGTATTCCCCGGACTCGTTAAACAAAATTCTCGCCACCGGCGAGACAGCTCTCCCGCACGTCCTCATCTCGCTGGCGCTTGAGGAGGAACAGCTACTTGACTTGGAACAATGCAGGAAATGGCTTCAACAGTTTCCCGCACTCGCTAAATATGCCCAAGTTCAGAGTATTTACAAAAGTAACTCAACATTGATGATCCTATCAGTTCCGGTGCTCATCTGGGACTGGCTCCCGGACAATCTGGCTTGTTCCTTTATTGGCTATGTTCATTCCACTAATCTTTTTGCCAATGACGCTGGCAAGTCGGCAAAATATTCAGAGGCTCTAAAATCATTCACTACTCCTTCAGTACAGCAACACGTTCCGGATTGGCAACCTGCGTGGTGTGGTCCATCTAAAGCATGGTATGTTTAAAATGACTAGCTCTAAGGGCTCACTGACGCTACGTAGGGTGCCCTTGTTAGAGCCTAGTTTGCTCAGCAAGCCTCCGCGGCCTCTTGATTCTTCTCCACATAGGCTACTGAGTCGACGAAACATTGTAGCGAAATCTGAAAAACCACCTCTCTTCTCGTCCTCCCCGCCCTCACCAGAACCAACACCAGAGACAACACCAGAAATTTTCGGCGGCTCACAATCTCCCAATACCAGCAGACGAAACAGCCTCAGCAGCTACGCACCTAGTTCCACCGTATTCACATCTCCAGACGATTATGAGCTTCTCTCCTCTATGGGAGACTCGACCGATGTCAGCAACTCGACTTTCAGTGATCCCTGGTACCCAATCTTCCCACATGATGACCATGCTGAGGGTGCCTCGGATTCCCCTCACATTGCCGCCTCGAAATCGGCAGCTACACTTCTGCGAAAACGAGATAAACCACTCCCACCCATCGTCGTCGACGATCCAAACGATACAGTTGCTATGAAACGAGCCAGGAATACCCTCGCGGCGAGGAAGTCTCGTCAGCGAAAAATGCAAAGTATACTGGAGCTGGAGGAGGATATCGCGAAGAAGACTGCTGAGCGCGATCACTGGAAGAAACTTGCTCTGGGGTTGTCTGATGAATCTCCGGCAGCGGGTGTCGATTCGCTGCGACGTTTAGCAGATACACCTTTGTAGATGTGCAAAGTCATATGTGTTTCGTGGTTCATTTACACAACAGTGCTGGTCTGGTATTCTTTTAAGTTAGTCGTATTAGGTCCTTATTCCTCGAATTGCGGATCGATTTGCTTCTGTTGTGTTGTTTTAATGTGTACTGGAATTCCAAGCGGCACTTCTCCAAGCGCGTATGGGCGAAACTAGCTCCTCCGTCAGGATATCCTTTTCACGAAGCTTCCCATACCACGGCGTAGCGCTACTCCAGAATAGCGAATAGGAATGATTATATATGTTGGTCATATGTATATCTTACCTAGGTCCTTTAGTTTTCTGTCTTGGCGTCTAAATACTTTCTCTGTTGGATGTTTACATGAAAAATTAAGCGATCATTCAAGTTCTCATTGGCCATGACCATGAATTAGCTAGCCATCAACAAATGCTAAATCGGCTGCCCTACTAGCACTGGGCTTAGCTTCCACGCTTCGATTATTACTTAAACTTGATTTATTTCTCATTGCTGACTGAATTTTACGACGGCAAAAGAAAAGCCTTGAAGTTTCCTACAGAGAACATTCCGATACAGCTACTATCACCACATCTGACAAGACCACTCACATAAGTCACCCTACTCCATGGCGGAACCATGCCTTCAAATATCACCTCAAATCAAAGCATACAATACACAACCTTCAAATTGGGACAGCGGGGCGTTGTGATCTTTTCCTTTCTCATCAGCATTTTCATTGTTGGACTGATAGTCTTGATCAACTGCTGCGGTCGCTCTAGGAATTGAAGGCCTCGCCAGTCTAGTGGTTGAATACTTATATTGTGGGGGTAGCACCTGTTCCGTTCATGATACGTCGCCCAATATGGAGCAATGGAAATGAAGGTGTCGATGAAAAGTCAGGTTTGAACTCTAGCCTGAGGAGCACTTGATAAGTCAGTGCTGGGGCCAGATCAACGAGTCTCAATTCTCAGAGCTCATGTCTGCGCTCACGGCCAGGAACATGAAATATTCTGCAAAAGCTGCTGCTTTGACCTCTGTCGAAGCTGTCCATGCTACCGATCTTTTTCTATTCCAAGTATCATGCTCCTCCTGCCACTTCCGTCTGCTGGCTCTGAAGTCAGTCTCGTCAAAAGCACCAGGCCATCCGCTATCCCTGTAGAGCTTTTTACGTGCCTCTCGCATGTACAGGCCGTCGTTGATTCCCAGCTGCGGCTGCCGCGGGCTCCTTGGAATCGGTCCATCGGCGGGGTCGACATAGCCGTTGATCAAATAGTCGAGGAACCCCGAAGGAGGTGCTGGCGGCTCAGAACTAATCTCACACACCTTCTTATTCCGCCAGGGAATCTCCTTCAAATTCTTTAGAAATCCTACCCAGCGGTTGAAAAATTCCTCAGGCGGAGAAGTCGGAAGGTCGAGATATGTATTTGTGTATCCACCTTCATTGTTCGGCCATTCTATAATGCTTTTGGTGCGCATATCGTAGATTATAGTCCCTCCGTGAGATGCTGTCGCAGGTGGGCATTTCGAGAGTCGGATCACCCAAGGAGCTAGGTCGTTTAGTCCGTCCCAAAGAACACGGCAAGCACCGCCCACATCACTCAAATAGCTATATGACTGTGTATAAGGAGATATTTCTCGTTCGCGGTCAAGATATGGAAGATATCGGATCAATGCACGGGCTTCTCCGTCTAGGCCAATATTCGCGAGTTCTTCCATCGGCAGGGCTTCATAAGGAGGAACTTTGATCTCTGAGCGATCGAGATATGCCATGGTAGCCAAAGTGTCATAGACTCTACTGATTCCTTCAATCAAAGATTCGTGGGCAGACTTCATGTATTCCTCTCGGCGAACAGCATATCATCCCTAAATCCAGTCTCACTCTGATATGGTTGATCTGAAGCTCGCTTAGTCCTGTCCCAAGGAACAGCCACCTCGAGATTGGGCTTTCTGCACCCCTTTCTCTTAGTCTTGCATGATGAGCCTATGAAATTATGAATTATATGTAATTAGATATCACAGCTGACATGACGAACTCACAAACAGGAAACGCTCCGTCGCAGACAGCTCCATTGGAAGCACATGTCAAACATTGACGAGGTGGGAATTCCGCGGTGGCCATGATGTATTGGAGGAGACAAGTAATTACGCTCAGAGTCCGAGTCAACAGGCGAGCTTGCATGGTGATATTTCGAAGCATGAGAGATGGGAACTTGGTGGTGGAATCTTATCATATGCCGAGGCGCTAGTCCCATTGTTGTCTCTTGGGGACCAGGGGTTATGGAAGGGCCGAACCAACTTCATGAGTACGTGATCCTCAATGTCATCTGTCAGAGTCGTTGCATGCATGAGCATTCGGAGATTGGCTTTGCTTCAAGTCCATATCCTTGAGATCTATTAATCGTGAGTTCTTTTAGTCTCATGCTTTACCCATATCATTGAAATAGTCGTTTTCTCCATGTCCTAGAAGTCTGGTTAGCTCAAAATTGCCATACTTCAGCACCGTAAAATGTAGGAATGCAATCTTGTAGGCATGCCAGACTATAAATATTGTTCAATGCTCCAACGGACCAGTGAGATATGTTTTCGAGCTTTTAGTCTGAGTGTCCGATGTTTACAACTTTTCGCTTATTTTGAAGAGAGCTCGCTCAGTTATGTGCCGAGTTATGTGAGACTTTGGACCGAGGTTTAGGAATGAATGGACTTTCTCAGTCATGTTCAATTATTCTTCAGAGCTCAAATACAAAACACTATGACCCTGTAGCTTATGACTAACAGCCATAGATGACTTCGCAATTTCTCATGTTTTTTGGGGCTGAATTACATTGCTCCCAGAATTTTAGCCAGGGATACCAGCGCTTCGGAATGCGGGAAACAGACCTTGAAGGGAAAATAATAATATGCTGTGAAACTTATGGGAAAAACTGTCTTCAAATATCCCTTTCCTTGAACTCTTGGTTCATAATGTTTACCGCTGAAGTATTGCACCACCTCGAGGTAGGTACGCAATCTCAGGAGGGAGGGTTTCACGTGACGACCATGAAAAACTATCTCCTTGAACAACACTTCCAATCCGCTTCTATCTGTATCCTCTTCCGCTGAATATAACATAGTACTGTACATTGACTTGTTGATCCAGTACATAACGCCACCATTTAATTACCGGGATGTACGCATCTTACTAGGAACGGCATTATCGTGGCGAATCAGACCCTGAAACAAGACATCTCCCGGCACGGCAAATGCTTGATCGAAACTAGTGCCGAGCAGGCTTGTTGCAGATCATTTGAAGAGAAGAGGTCTTCCGCAGCCCCATTCGAGATCTCTGTGAGCGCTTGCGCATGTGGCTGTGAGGAATAAACCCGCCTCCAATCAGTATGAAGCGCTGAGCCAACGGATGTGCACTCATGCTGGGTCAGTTCCGAAACGTGTGATAGCGACTTATCAGAAAGTGGTAGGCTTGTGAGATGCTTTTGGAGTATTGCCAGTGAGGATGAAGGCCCCAGGGTGTGCTGCGGTGATGCCGAAGAACTTTGTCCGATGACTTCAATTGGAGCAAAGTTATGGACGGCGATCTACCCCGTGCAGGGAGCTTCTGTTCTTAAGATCAGTACCTCTTCCTCCCTGATGCTCCCTTTTTCACCCAACCCTACCCACGTTCTTTAACATCAATCCAACCAGGTAGCTCTCCATCGGTGGCCTCGAATCAAGATGCTTCTTAACATTCTCGCCACGTTCCTTCTCCTAGGTTCTGCTACCGCTGCAACCTGCAATGGCCACTCCGACTTGTGTTCACGAAAGTACTCCAACGTCACACAAATCGGCGCACACGATTCTGCATTTGTTGGCATCTTGCCTACGGACAATCAATTCCTCTCCGTCACCGATCAACTTAACGGTGGAATCAGATATCTTCAAACACAATCTCATTTGAAGGATGGGGTCATCCAACTATGCCACACGAAATGCGAATTGAAGGACGCAGGACCACTCGTGGACTACTTGACTACTATCAAGACCTGGATGGACAGTAACCCGAACGAAGTGGTCACGGTGCTGCTAACGAACGGAGATGGAGTACCTGTCAGCCAATTCGGTGCAGACATGACAACGTCCGGGCTAGCTAGCTATGCATTTTCTCCCGGGAAACAACTTGCGATTGAGGACTGGCCAACTTTGCAGCAGCTCATTGATGCTAAGACTCGACTTGTCATGTTCATGGGTATGCGAACCACCTTTCTGGCAAAAAGCCTTCTAACACACTCCAGACTTCGGAGCCGATACTGCCACAGTTCCTTACATCCTAGACGAGTTCGCTTACTATTTCGAGACCGCCTTCGATGTAACCGACAACAACTTCCCTTCTTGTGATCTTGATAGACCTATGGGATCGGACGGCACTGGTCTGATGTATATTGTCAACCATTTCCTCGACCTCGACATTTTCGGTGTCTTGATTCCAGCTACCATCGAGTTACCGAGAACCAATGCCGCGACAGGTGATGGAAGTGTTGGCGCACAAGCTGATCTCTGTACGGCCAAATGGGGAAGGCGACCGAATGTTGTTCTCGTGGACTTCTTTGAGACTGGTAAGTGTATTGCTGAGAGCTGGAAACTCGCGCTTACTTCAATTAGGCGATGTCTTCAAGGCTCAAGATACTTTGAATGGGCTTTGAAAGTCGAAAGAAATAAATACAGTAAAAGGCTTTTTAATACAAGTCACAGAACCCAACCATACGGTGGTCTTGTGATTTTCAAATGCCTTCATGTAATCAGAGAGCAGGATTTCCAAGGTAGGTCTATTTTCGTGCAATCTGGTAATTCGAGTTTTCTCTGCCTTGGTGAAACTTCACACTCTCTTATATCTTATGAGCAAGTCCAACTTTATTCCGTTAAGTTTAGAGCATTATGGAATTTTTGCACTGTTATAATGCTTCCGCAGCACTAACCCTTTCCAATCCATATCTGCTTGAAGACGCTCGCTTAGAGTGGATGCAGATAAACAACACTTTGAAGCACAAAGTGCAACTGTTTAGCCACAGCAATTCTAGGAAGCCAGAAGCGCACAAAATTCATGTTTTAAAATGCCATTCGCCAAATGAAAATCGTCTTCCTCTTCTAGGTAATGATAGGAGTGGGTAGGTACCTTACCCCACTGTGTATTTAAGGTCACGTGTCGTCAGGGTCCCAGACCCATCCCTCTTGCCCGTTCTGATATTTTGATAGACAAATCTTGAATTGGAGTCTCGGTGTCTTGCCTCAATGATATCAACTCACTTGATATAATAGAAAGCTTCATATTCAAACACAATCTGAGATCGTTCCTTCCGCTGCGGAATATGCCACTTCGGCCCCCGTACTGGACTCGCTTGCCCTATGAACCTCGACGCGTCCAACTTTATCCTTTAAAAAAACCTCTGCATGATCGATGTACATCTCGAAGCGCGTAAACCTTGGTTGAATCCTTCAAGGGACGATAATGTGTGTTAGACGACGCGTAAAGTGGTGCGAAACGAGCCACACAACTGCGAAAACTCAGCTCGAAGAGCTTGAACTTTTTCAACACAACCCGATCACGTGGGATTAAATCAAGATGCCCTCACTTTCCAGGAATAATTCATGTGTGGATATTGACTTTACGTTGAGGAGGAAGTTCAAGAGAGGGTCTTTCAGGTAATTCCAGCTGGAACGGTGATACTATCATAGAGGGCTAACACGATCAAAGACCCCTTCAGCGTGATGTGATCGTTGAGGCTCTCAATGGTGCAGATGTTTTTGTGCAAGCAGCGACAGGCTTTGGCAAGAGTTTATGCTTTCAGCTGCCAGCAGTTATAGATCATGGAAGTAAGTGACCAACCCGAAATTGCTGATCAGGTGTCTGACCACTGCCAGTCACGATCGTCATTTCACCCCTTCTCTCCTTGATGGTATGTCTCGGTGACAGCTGGCTCCTCATTTCCATCAACTGACTCCAAAAGACCGACCAAGTAAACGCGTTACGAGCAGCAGACATTGCAGCTGGTTCAATCAACGGAACCACGCCATACGACGAACGGATCCGTTTGCTACAGGACCTCGCAACTGGTCATCCTCTCACCCGTCTCCTCTATGTCACGCCAGAGCAATGTGGCACGGATAACTTTCGGAAGCAGCTCAAAATCGTGCATGAGCAGAAAGAGCTTGCTCGTATTGCTGTCGATGAGGCTCATTGCATATCAGAATGGGGTCATGACTTCCGTCCTTCTTTCAAGGGTTTGAGCTGGTTCCGTGAAAGCTTCCCGGATGTGCCCATAATCTGTCTTACAGCTACTGCAACTGCCCAGGTACGAAACGATGTCATAAAAACTTTGGGTTTGGCAGAGTCGAATTTGAAGATTTTCACGATGACCACCAGCCGGAAAAATTTACATTATGAAGTACGGTACAAGAACGACGAGGAAGATCATTTCAACGGTATGTAAATGCAGTGGACATTCGGCATCGTTCCTTCGGCTTTATTCCGTATTCTGTGTCCTGTGATATCAACAAATGGTGTTTGTCCTTTGGAACGGGTGCTGACATTTATGCAAGACTTTTTAAGCTGGCTGAAAGCTGTACACCGCCGGCGGAAGGAAAACGTCGAACGCCGAGCGGAACTCGAGCGCATCAACGAACGCCCAGATAACGTTTCGGGCATTATCTATACGATATTTCGGAGTGATTGTGAAAATCTAGCCTCTCGACTCCGGGCTAATGGCATTGGAGCGAAGCCATACCATGCAGGATTAAGCACCGAAGAGAAGAATGGCACTCTCAAACGGTGGATCGAAAACGCTGAAGGCTATGACGTGATTGTTGCGACTACCGCATTTGGAATGGGGATCGATAAAGAAGACGTCAGATTCGTCGTTCATTGGCAACTTCCGAAGTCGTTTGAAGGATTTTATCAAGAGGCTGGTAGAGCCGGCCGCGATGGCAAAGCGAGCGCATGCATCATGTACTACAGTCGTGAAGACCGGGATCGAGCATACAATCGGCTGAGCAAGGATGGCAAAGGCTCTAACTTGGAGGCAAGAGCAAAGAGTCTGCAGAAGCTTGTTGATTACTGCGAAACTGTGGATACCTGCCGCCATCATCTCATCACGAAATACTTCGGCGAGAAAGACGTCCCGGAATGCGAATTTGCTTGCGACTGGCATAAGGATGCAAAGAAGCTCAGAAAGGAGAAGATGAACAACCTGCAGAGTGAGGAGTGGGTAAGCACGCAGAATGAACTTGGACGATTTCAGCAAGGATTCGAAGGTTATGATTGAAACAATTATGCTGGCATTTATGGGGGCGGATTGTGGCGGGCATATGCAAGATACCCCAAAGACGTAGTTCCTGGTTTGCGCGTACGTGATGCATTTGCATGCCTCAACTTACAAACGGTATTTTGCTCTTCTGGGAACACACGATGTTGATTCTTGGATACCAGGCACACTCCAGAAAAGCCAAAGTTTGAATGCTCGATTCAATCAGACAAGTGTCGAGTGGCTCCTTCTCTCCCTGGTTCCGTCTTTCAATCTTTGAATGGTTCAGGGCTTTCATTACTCGCCTTGCCGCAGGGAGAAAAGCCCTGCCTTCATCGTGGTACATTCTCCCTGCTGCTCTCGTGCATGGCTATGTAAGATTCCGCGCGGGCGCCTCTCAAAATCCAGACGTGTCTCGTTAGTTCAAATGTCTTCTTGAGCTTCTACTTGGTTGGTATGAGCTTGCTGGAGAAGCCTCCTAACAGCATTCGGATGTCGATGTACATTGCCTGCGGGTACCAAGCAGCTTCTGGGGCCCGCCGGTACATTACAGATCTTACTTTTTTGTCCTGTTCTTTCACCGTGTCGAAGACCAATTCAACTTTGAGGAGTGACAACTAGCAAACCTGTCGTTCATTCCAGACCCCTTCATCAATTGGCTTCTCACGCCCGACATTGTATAAGCCAGAAAGTGGTGCACATGCAGTAAGTACAGAAGCCGTCGGGATGGAGCATGTATTTGTTTCGGACTTTCCTTTACATTTCTCATACGCCAAATCTACAGTCACAAAATCCAGCAGAAGCAAACTTGTCTAGTTGGTATCATGAAAGTAGATGAAAGAATGACAGTCCGCAGGCAGACAAGCTCTTCACCGATTCGCGAGACAACAAACACGCTTTATCCTTTCGCCTCTAGCTTCTCATTGTCTAGAACTTTGTCAGCACATTCGTCTCTGCCGTTCTGCCAGCAGCGATGGTGGAGGTTGGGGCCTATATGATAGGTGTCCCCTTTTTGAAAGTGACATCGACCAGCATCTGCCTCTGCATTCAAACTTCCAGAGCAACCTTCACTTCACTACACACTCTCCACATCAAACCAAAACCACCTGAAATCATCGATCAATCACCTCCCTCTTCATCACCTTCTCCTGCTCAGACGTTTTCTACAGCCCCGACGTCACCAAACTTCAACGACAAGATGGCTGCCCCTTCGGTCACTCCGTCCAGCAACCACACCCAGGAGTATTCAATCAGTGGGTCGAGGAACGTGGCAACGTCGTCTCCCCAAAGACGATGGAGCCAGTCTCTTCACCCGCATCTCGGTCACCTAGCCTGCGCCGAGCCCAGCTGCGATTCCTACACCACCGGCCACGAAGTCATGAAGATCGACCCCATCTGGGACTACGCTACTCTCGGCGAGAAGATCAAGCACTGGGTCAAGACTGTTCAGAATGGCGATTCCAAGGTCCGTAGCTACCTTCGTCAGTGCGTCTGGACCGACGACCACAAGATCGTCTCCCTCAAGGTCAACTGGAACGGCCTTGCTGGCAACGGCTGGTCTGACAATGGCGAGACCATCATCACCGAGAAGAACTATGGTACTGTCCTTGCCATGATGGTCAAGCGCAATGCCATCGACAATTTGGTTGTCATCACGTCCCTCTAGGTGGGCTTTGGGAGGAGGATCAGATGAAGGATCCGTTCATGTATTTATCTGTCAATTTTCCGGGAATGGCTGCGATGGTAATTCCTGGTTTCTGATCACTCACAACACACTTGGTGCTCGGCTTCACATACACATCTCCTTTTTGGGAGTTTTGGTCTGGCATGATCATCGGAATTTGCTTCGCGGGAGACAATTTTCTCCATCACACTCCTTCACTTTGGGTTGTATTTACACTATAGGATATGCGGGATATGTGGGATTTTTGGGTTTGGATTTTCAATGACATACTCTTGTCATCGCCTTTGGTGTTCTTGCTGCTTTGGCTTTTACTGTGACTTCTTGAATGCTTGTGACTTGTGCTCGTGAGATCATACCATTTCCAGACCAAACTTACGACCCATGAGCGTGTTTACGTCCTTGAAAACGTCTGTAAATATTCACTCCACTCTCGGCCACTCAGCCTGCCATCCCAGCACATATGTCTCGCTCATACAGGGCCATAGTGATGTTCTATAACACCCTTTTCCCAAACAATCGAGACCCCTAACATGTACCCTACGATCCATAGAACTCTGTCATGGTTCCCTTTTCCCGCACTCGGCTGCTTCTGTGGCTGGACACCCTCCTTCAATGTGTAACCCTGTCGGTTGAATTCCCATGATGGAGTCAGGGGGACACTTTTCCTAACAGTCAACAGTGACATCCATTCAAACAGGTATATCATGAGAAAGATTAAATCAATTACTTTACCAGAAGGGCAGCCTCCAATTTAGGCTTCCGTGATTGCAGACGCACTCCTGCTGTGTTGCTAGTTCCCATCTCGCTTATCGGCAAAAATCAACAAAAACATCAACAATAAAACAACACCAAAAAAAGTCCGAATCCTTTCAGAACTTTCATATCACCCATTATCCATTTAAAAGTCCAAACGATAAGGATTGAAAAACAGCAAAATTCAACTGGAAGCCCACACTCGGATGCGTGTGAGGTTCCAATCTACAAACGTAATTGAATACGTTTTTTTTTCCGATTCGCTTTCGAATCCGCCGTTAGTCGTATGCGAACCGCTTTGTCCTGAACCTCTGATATGGCCGCCCACGGTTTTGTCGATGCTGGGTTTTTGATTATTTGGGTAGCTAGAAGTGGTAAGTCTGGCCTTCGCTTACGTGGTCGCCAGGGCTGGATTGTAGAGCGGAAGGGGAGGTGAGGATCGGTTGAGGGTACTGCAGAAGCTCGTTGAGTTTACATTGATTTTGGATCAATTCGTTGGCAGCAAGTGTATTTATTATCAATGTTTTACTGACAGCCTTCTAGATCCAGCCTACTGTTACCAAGTCAAGTTTCAACAATACTCCTCCCCATGAATTGATACTGCATAGATCTCGCAACTGTACCTTCTACACATCGCGTAGCTTATTTAAATGCTCGTACTGATAGAAGCACTTCAATGTGATGATGCCTCGAACTGAGATGATTTGGCCCCGAGCGATTACCGCTTACACTTTTAATGCCTCCGATTGACATCTCACCGGATTGACATCTCACCGCATGGAATCAAATTCACTACCTTGACAAAACACTCCGCATCTAGCAGCTATGCTATATATAGATATATATAGATATATATAAACCCTTCCTGCATATCCTAGAGTGACCAAAGAGAAGTTTTGCCCCTTGGGAAGGTTTAGGTGCCAGACGTGGAGAGTTGAGTCTATCTACGTCCGTCTGCAATGACAGCTCACTGTCCTGAAATTTCTGTTAGTTCGCAAACTTAACAGGAGAAATATACGCCATTGAAAAAACTAGATAGACTGTTCTAGTTTCTTTTGCTTGTCGATTACTCCAGTATCCACTGTCATCTCAACAACTCTGCTCCTCGATCGACAGCAAGCACCACAATGGCAGCAATAAACAGCATTATCGATTACAAGAATACTCCTGCATCTCTTCACCCGGCTACCATGAAGTCTCCTTGATACAGGATTAGACGCTGTCAACATTCTTTCACTTTCTAAGCCTCAGTACAAGATCCGCGATATGACCAAACACCAAACAGGCATGCGTAGGCTCTAGGAGTGCTAAGCTGGTTATGGATTTCTTTAGGCCTTCGGGAGGAGAAGGAGGTTTACATGCCTACAAAAACTGAATATGAGGCTGTGGCTGGGAATTGGAAGTTACAGTTTCTACGTTGTGGTTTCGTTTGCCTGAGGGGAGGAGGTGGAGGAAGTGAATATTTCGGGACATTATTTCCCCCAAGTTCCGTATTCAACGTAATACAGTGCTCAATAGCAGCGAAATTGAGATTCTCCCTCCATTTTGCTCATCACATATATCCTCAAGTTCTTTCATGCCCAAGCCATACAGCAAGCAGCTCCAACCATTCCCAGTTTGCGAACTACCGCCCTTCATAGACTGATAGGCTGGGAGATGTATGTCTATTTAGGTTTCTACGGGCGAGTACTTGCTATTCTGATCACATAGACCATCAAATCATATTTAAGCTAGGGATGAAGACATCTCTTGTTTGTTTAATGATATTCCATTGAATTGAAGGCGTGGCACGGCATTACACAAGTCGAGGCCTATCACTCACAGCTCTCTACCAAGTTCGCTGTCTCTTCGTTATACCTGTTTACGCCAAACATAATATAGAAGGAACAACGTCGTATATAAAGCAGCGAAAGAAATAATTGAAAAAGCAGCGCATAGAATACAAGACTTGATTTGGGTTGATTTATAGGAAAAGTCTTCTTTCATCGGTAGCGTCTTGGGTGCACACACTTAAAGTAGTCGCAATTAGAAGAAGAAAGGAACTACTACTCGCGTGGAGGAAGATGCTGTGCTCATATCCATCAATACGCAGGCCAGATCATTTGGATCAGGTAAATCAGATCAGTCATTCCAATCCATTCCATTCCACGACTCAAGAAAAGAAGAACGAAGTACAAGAAAGCCAGAATGGTGATTCCGTAGTGCTGATTTCGTACTTTAGGCCACCCAATCAAAATGCCTGCCTGCCTTCCATCCTGTCTGTCTGTCTGACTGACCTCTCTGCGTCTACCTGCCTATGTGTCTTACTTGCTTTCTCCAAAAGAAAACCAACGCCCCGCCCTATTTTACACTCCCCAAAAAAGTAGATGCGGCTCAGAAAAAGACATAGGCGAGCAAGAAGCTGATTAAGCAGAGGGCGGCAACGATCTGTAGTGGAACACCTTGGCTGGATTGGACCTGGTGAGCCAAGTTGTTGACGGTCTCGTTGCTGGTCTCTCCCTTGGCTACCTTGCGCATCCGTAGACCACCTTCTTGTGCGTATGATGAGATTGTAGCTTGGGCTTCGGCGAGCTTGGCCTTCATCTCCTCGTAGGACATGGGGGCGGCATTGCTGACTGCTGCTGGGATCGAAGATGCCAGGTTCGAGGCAGGTGACTTTCCTATTGGGGTATCGGTATCTGGCTTTGTTCCAATGGTAGACCGGCGGGTATCGGGGGTATAGGTCTCTTCTGGAGATGGGGAGCGTTGGTTACTGTAAGCTGGAGGGGCGGACTCGGGAGTATCAACCTAGTATATGTTAGCGCAGTCTTGCATGTGCAACAGGGAAACATACAGAGTGGTTCGAGATACCATTTACGCCATTCTTCATGGGTGTAACAGCAGCTTGACCACTTCCTGGAGCGAGGTAGACAACCCGGATCTTCTTCTCCTGAACACTCGACTTCTCGGCCTCGTCAACATGCTGCCACTGTGTCCTGTTAGTACGTATCCCCGGCAGATAAGGTCTGCGATCCTTACGATAGACTGGATATTGGTAAACTCTTTATCGGCAGTAACGGCAACGGATTGAACCAGGAACTTGTCTCTGCACTTGATATCCAAAGGAGGATCCTGTTTCATCGCCTGGAGAAGAACTGCGGGGAAACTGTCAGCATCGAAGCATCGAGAGACGTTTCCTCAACCTGGCTGGCGCAAGAGCCCACTTACCAGTAACCTCGACCTCCTTTCCTGGCTCGATTCTTCCGGAGTTGGGACGGACACAGTATCTGTAATCGTTGTCAACGATAGCTCCGAGGTTATGTATGCGGGGGGAGTGCGCCGTACTGCTTAGGGGCTGTAGTCTTAACCTGCATATCGGACAGAAGTCAGCATGTGGTGTACAAGTACTCGCGCAAGAGATATAGATGATCGCATACCTTGAAGGCAACAGGCGTACGGTTGGAGTTTCTGATCTTGAGCGATTGCGACACCTCGGTGGTAAAAGGCCCTATTGCTTTGTCAGATCCCCTTGTGCCAATCTGTATCATGGCAGAGTACATACGGGTGAAGGCAAGCTCGGTGGGCTCGATTTCGACGGACATGATGGCGGATTGAAGAGAGTTGGGGAAGTTGGCAGAGTGCTTGGTAATTGTATGAAACCAAGTATGTTGTCGCGGATATGTACCGATGGATCTAGCTAGACACACTGGCGGAGGATGAAGTCGGAAGCGATTGATCGAGGAGATAAAAGAAGGACAAGTATATCAGGTGCCGAGTCAAAGGGAGAAGCTGTGGTGAGTGACGGAGATGATTCACTTGTGCGTGGTGTATTGTCTTGTCTTGTGGTGGTGTCTTGCTTGCTTGTTGGTTGCTCGTCTCCGTCGGGGATGGTGGTGATCATGGACTGGGCCTGGGACGGGAACCGGGACTGTTCACTGGCTGGACAGGCTGGGCTGGTTGGGCTGACTGCTCCACCAGGTTCTTGGGTGGTTCCTCGCTAAAACGTCATTCACGGGGTGCGCGTGCGCCTAGCTGACCGGACTAGCTTGATCGTGGAGACGAGACCGAGAGACTCTCTTCCATTCCACGCTGGAACCCTTCCATAAATTTCGCCATCTCAAAAACAAGTACCTCCTCGTGCTCTACATACTCGATATCATATCTTCCAAAAATCGAATTCTCTGCAAAGAACATCCACAAGCTCTTCAACAGTATCCAAGATGGCAAACAGTGATCTATCAGTCCTCTTGGACATGGGCTTCGACAAGGACAGAGCAGAGCTAGCTCTGAAGAAGACCGGTTCTCGTAAGCTCCTCATGCTGTATACTATCGTAGCATAGCTAACATGTATCTCCTGCAGTAAACCCAGCGTTACAATGGCTCGAAGACAACCAAGACAAATCCTGGGAAGACATCACCGCCGCCGCAGCCGACGACGAGACCAACCCAAGCATCGAACCCGCACCCTTAAAGGAAGGAGAAGTCGCACAATCCCTAGTCTGCGAGGTCTGCCAAAAGAAGTTCCGGAGTATGACACAGGCGGAGGCTCATGGGGAACGAACGTATGTATGCCCCACTACTGCGAATACGGATGGAGGGGTAGACCTGGTGCTGACTGCGGGGTTGTAGTGGCCACGACCAGTTCGCGGAGTCAACAGAGGAAATCGCGCCGTTGACTGAGGAGGAGAAGAAGGCGAAGTTGGCGGAACTGAAGGAGAAGGCTGCGGCGAAGAAGGCGCTGAAAGCTATTCAAGATCGTGAAGAAGCAAAGGCGAATGAGGTACCTACAAACCTACACATCAACACTTTCTCCGCCTAAACCACACCATTAAGGAAGCTGCTAACCATCTCCCTCCAGAAAATCCGCATGAAGTCCACAAAAGAAGTCCAAGACGCAAAGGAGAACCTCGCCAAACAAGAACAAATCAAAGCCGCCGCAAAGAAACGCCAGGAGAAAGTCGACGACCTCGCCGCAAAGCGCCGAATCCAAGAGAAAATAGCAGCCAACAAGGAAGCCCGCAGACTCAAAGCCGAAGCCCAGAAAGCAGAACGCGAGGGTCGCGCCCCTCCACCAGACCCAACACTCGCAGCCGCAGCCTCAGCACAAGCCAGTTCGAGCGGTACTGCAGCGCCAAAGAAGGAAGTTACCGAGGCAAGATTGAGGTTACAGACTGCCACGGGGGTTGTGATGAAGACTTTCCCCGTGGAGACAACACTTTTTGAAGTTGCTCAGGCTTTGGAGGGAGAGAATGGTGGAGCTCCGGTTGAGAGCTTCACTATGACGTATCCTAAGAAGACATTCTCCGGCGGTGTTGATTTCTCGAAGACGTTGAAGGAAGCTGGTCTTGCGCCCAGTGCTGTTCTCATCGTCAAGTAAATGGGAAATGGACTTTTGAGATTACGAAGCATGAGCCCCGGGTTCTGTCATAGGCATCTGCATTTTTTTCTTTCTGGTTAGTACGAATCAAAACGCATGGGGACAGGTGCATGGATGGCGTTGGGAGAATGGGGTTGTTTTCCTCGACAGACAGTAAGAGCTTGTGTCTTCAGCCAGTTGAAATAACTTCAAGTTATTTATAAACTTGAACTGCGCTGGTCTAGGTCTACAAATCCACACATAGACGGGCACAATCAAAATATTGAATATTCAAAAAGCATACAAGTTCACCCTATGAAAAGAGTGAGCGAGACGGATGCCGGTTATATGAGATGTGTATATGCACTCTGGACAACTCTCCCATTCCAGTCAAGCTACAAAATCTATTTTATTTCGTTTTCCATCCTCACAAGCCAGACAATCGTGCTAATAGCTTGCTCGCCGTTCTTGGTTTCTTTGAGCAATCTGCTCTCTCTATCTCCTCCACTGCGCCCTTTGATCCCATCAAAGAAAGTAGGCAAGCCAATTATACTTTTTCAGCAAGAGCAATTAGCCTCCTTTCCCAGATGTCTGTAGGTAAGCTAAGTAACTATCTGAACTCCCATCCGTACGCCCAGCAAACGCCCAAGCAAAAAAGTTCAAAAATCTGATAACGGAGGATTCCCAAACGCCACCCATAAGCACTCCTCTAACCATTCATTCGCTGCCTCTTGACATCACCTCCCTGTTCCGCACCAGCACCAGCAATCGCTCCATTCGGCGGCAAATCATGTAACGGCGCCCTCGAATCAACCGGCCTCTTATTAGCTATCGTAGGCGGCTTATATGAATTCCTATTATTCATCATCGGGCTCGGACTCCCCGGTGCTCCAATCCTCCTGGTGTTGTCAAGCTGCGGATTCATGATATTGGGCCTTGGAGCACCTGCACCAGGAGCAGCAGCTACAGCTTGACTAGATCCAGGAACGTGCTTCAAGTCTCGGGTGAGCGGTTTGGAGGATTTGTGGTCGATGCCAGGGGTTTTGCGGATGGATGGTGATTCGGCGTGAGGGTTAAAGACTGGTAGGTGGGCTGGGATTGCGGGAGGTGGAGCACCGTCTGTGGTTGTTCCTTCGGGGAGCATTTGGGCAGCGCGGGCGGAGAAGAAACCTTGCCCCTGGGGTGGGAGGGAAGTGATGTCGTTGTCGTTTGAGGAGGGTTTATTTAGACGGGCAGGAGATGCTGGTGCGGAGGGTGGACCGTTACGACTTGGTTGGTTGAGGACTCGTCCGGCTATCGGATTTGGAGGTGGCATTGGTCGGTTTTGGGCATTTGCATCCGGTTGTGGGCGATATTGTTGGCCTGCTCCGCTGCTAGTTCGTGTGAATCTACTGTTTGGAGTTTGGGGTTGTGGTGGTAGATTGCTGTTTTGTGGTGCTGGACCTGTTGGTCGTCCCGGAGGTGCTCTAGGCTGTGGATGATTGACTTGAGGTCTGCTTTGGTTTTGAATTCCAGAATTGGGTAGGGCATTACCATTGCGGGCACCGTTGAAGTGATGTGATGCTGCTGCGGGGGGCTCTGGCACAACTACTTCGTCTGGATGAGAATCTGGATCAGCTACACTGAAGTCTGCTTCATCGAAATCTGGATGTTGTCAGTATAGGCTGCTGTAGACGGGGTGAACGAAACCTACCTCCGTATTCGTCCTCGAGCGTATCCTCCGATACTATTTATATTAGCGGAAGCTGTTTCAATGGTTTCCGTGACCTACTCAAGCTTGTATTCCCAACCATGGCCTGTGGTTTCTCTTCCATCTGCTTGATTTCCGGTTCTTTCTTAGGTTGCGGTGCGAAAGTAGCATGTCGATGCAATCTATCCGGCTCAAATTTCGACGACCCAACCTTCATCTTCGTAACAGCCTTGACGTAGTCCTTGTCATAAAGGCAATTGCCCAGCACATTTCCAAAGTTCTTTAGCGCTCTCTTCAGACCGTCCGTCGTTCCCTCCTTCTTCGCCTTTTCAAAAGCAGCTGCCTTGCCTTTTGCATTCTCCATATGTCCATACCCAATATCTTCATGGAATGTACCATCCCGAAGCGTAACCCGTACAATGACGGATAATCCCAAGCTGACTTTCATCGTCTGGGGATTCTCGTCCACGAAATCAACTTGGATGTCCATGATCTGGCTGGACCAGCCGTTGAATCCGAAGACTTCATTGGCAAGCTGGATAGATTTCTCCGCTGCTAGATAGTGTACTTTTTGGTTCGAAGGACCTGTCCGAGATGATATGTACTCTGGACCCAATTGCTTCTCAAGACGGGCTTGTAAAGTCGCAATTTCTTGCGCCGTGTAGGGAGACACCTGTGGAATGATGGGTTCGAACGGGTTCAAAGCTGCTCTCCCGGTCGCGTTATGCTGGTCGCCAGGCCTATCTATGTTAGCATCCAGGTCGCCATCAATGGTCTCTAGACATACGCAGGCATCTTAGAATGGCAGATGAGCAAGGAGAGGCGATTCCAATTTCACATTGATTGTGGTGGTTGATAATACTTGGTGTCGTCACGTCTGATAGTGGCCCTAGGCTGCCAACGCGTTTGTTGTGAGGTTGGCAGGAGGCAAATCAACACGGAGTCACGGGTCACTAGCCACATTCTCCAGTGGCTGTGCAAAACTCTCCAGTTCGTGGTCACAAGCACAACCTGGGAGATAAATTATTGTGACAACGGAAGCTGCCTGCTAATTAAAATGTATAATCAGAAATTGATACATGTTATGGGTTTGATTGGTGACATTTGCTGGATTTGAAGACTAGAGTCAAGCCACTGAGAGGGGTACACATCAGCAACTCCAATGAAATACCATGAACCTTTCTTGCTCGGTCACAAATTCAGCGCTTAAGTTGATATGCTCCATTTCCATTCCAGTCCCAGTAGTCGCAGTCTAAGCTATCGACCCAGTTCGCTATGATAAAGAGTGTGCGCCTAACATAACAGCCTCCCAGTAAGGAAACAGGCCCAAATGCAGAAAATAGAATCCACCCAATAGCGAAACCAGAACTCCCAAAGCATGCTCCAAAATCGAGCTCGAGTCAAGGAGAAGGGGAATCGTCGTAAGTCGTAAATACTGCCTTTGGTTAAGTACCGTATAAGCACAAGAACGCCGCGGTGTGAGCTGCCGTCTTCTATTCCAGGAATCCCACGCATGCTATGACACACTTCTCTCCTGCATGATTATGTACGGGTGTCTTCTCGTTCTCGTAATTACCAAAGTCCAACACGGACAGGCATATTACCAGGACTAGCACCATAGGTTCCATTCAGTAATTGATTGCGGATCGATCCAGAGTCGTTGGAACCCGAGCCTGAGCCAGCACCCATCCCACCCATCCAACCAAGATTTGATCCAAGAGCATTAAGAGCAGCTTGCATACGTCCTCCACTCTGCTCGTTGTGCTTGGATAGTCTTTGATCCCATCCACCGGAATGTAATTGAAATCCTCCACCACGTTTCGAAGCCTCACTGATGACAACCGCCCAAGCTCTCGAGATCTCGTCGTAAGCGTTATCTTTGTGGTGTTTGTGAGATTGGCTGTCCCACTCGGGGAGATCGTGGATGACTTTGGTTGCGTGGTCTAGGTAGGTGAGGGATACGGTGGTTTGGTTTTCGTTAGGAGGAAGGTAGTGAGGTGTAAAGTCGGTCAAGGCATCGATCAGCTCGTTTAGTTGTTGCTTGACTCGGTTGTAGGCATAGTCTGAGCCAGCATTTCCACCGAATGGAAAGGCTTCTCGCAACTTGTCTTGATACTTAGACAGAACTTCGACCGTGGAAGCCACGGACGGTCTAGGAGCTGACGAAACCACCTCTGAACCAATCTGGGGATGACGCTCGCATATTGTTTGGAGAACGGATCGGAGAGAATCGGCATCTAGGGTTTCGAGGAGACGGGGGAGAGCGAGGGGTCGACCGCTGATTTCGTTGGCTCTGACTTTCTTTGACGGGCGAGCCAGAGGACGAGCTGCAAAAGCGGGGGATGCCTGGGGCGAGATGGACATGCTCTCATCGTGGCCGTCGTCGTCGGCTTTTCTCTTTCGGGTGGTCATCCTGGATGGAGTATGAGGAGAGGCTGTAGGAAAGGCACACATTAGCAGAGGAGGCAGAAGCGGTAATTCGCACGGCCTACCAAGGTTTTGATGGGCGTCGTGGTGATAGAGCGGGTACTGGCTGAAGGACGAAGGATGTGTTGGTAGCAGAACGTTCATCTTGGTGAAGTTCACGATATGGTGTCCAGTATTTTGACGATAGGCCCTCCAGCAGGCGTTGTGTTGTGGAGTGAAGAGGTGCTGGAGGTGATGTGGAGGAGAGACTCGGGAGAGTTGACAACTTAGAGGTGCTGAGTAGATGGGGTCGGGCTCGAGCTACTGCTTGGCGACGCTAGCGGTTGTCAAAATTTGGCCCTAATCAGACGACAACAAATGACAACAATGCGTGAATCAGAACAGTACTTTGTTTTCAAAGGAAGCAAGATTGAGGCGAACTCGATGAATACATCTTGTTTTGTGGATAAGGTTACGGAGCCGCATTGACCGTTTTCGTCTTGTCAATTACTCGTATCGCCACCCTTAATTTATTCGACAAGGTTACAGTATACCCCCACCAGGAAGAAGTGGAAGTGTGACCTTGGTTGCGATGTCAACAGCAACGCAAACAAAACGCATCCCAGATCAGATAAGAAGAGGCGTCATTAAAGAGCTTCGCAGCTAGATACAACACTGTATACTTGCTTAATTATCTGTGGGCCAGCCAGTTGTAAACATTCTGAAGTTAGCCTCGAGCTTGAAGATTAATATTGATTAAGAGGCTTTGGAGTGCTTCAGAGAGGGCTGACCGAAGCAACGACTTGATATCGAGGATTCGAATCTTCTTATCGAATATCCGATCCTCTCGATGGTTACGGCTGCACATCATCCCTTCAAATCATATACCTCGCCTGAACGGGTGTGCCCTGCTTAGCCAGTTCTAGTGTCTTCATAGCCTGGATGTCTGCGTCCGCTCTTTGCCATTTATCTTACAACGACCACTGTCCTTTTATGATCATTTGACGTTCTACTTCTTTGATAATAGAGCGATTGCTTCTCGATTCGGAAACTCGAGGATGGCTCATATCTTTACTTCTTCACTGAACACCATGGTGCGGTTTGTGTTTTCACCCTGCCACTGTCGGTTCTTCCCGCAGAAGAACGTTTTGTCATGTTATCATCCTCCGGATTCCACATTACCAACCATTAGCTTTTCAGTATTGTTTGGAGTCATGGCCACTAATCCGCTGCTTACTTATATCCAGGACGATAACAGAAGTCTTTGTTGGGCTCTGGGCGTCGATGATATTATGCCATCTGCAACATGATATGTGTGGAAGACTGGACCCCCCATATTCGGTCACTGGAACTTATATTGTTGAAAGCTAGATCTACAATCAGCTGGCTGTTGGTTATTGAATAACCCTCGAAGTAAGTATGTGTAAGTGCTAATATTTCCAACAGAATATGTTTAGGAAGATGGTCTACTTCATCTTTATGTGTCTCAGAAGTTCAAACAGAGCTATCCGAATATTATCATGGATCTGCTTCTGGTCCCAAGATCATTTACCTATTATTGCATACAGAAACAGGTCTGCACGATGCAGAGGTCGACAATTGTGCGCAGTCGAATTTCTTCACTTATTTCCATAGACGCACAGCCTTGGGCCCGCAAGAATTGAAGGGAAAAGTCTTGTCGAAGAGATCTTACATTCGTGGTGTCGGAGCCTGTAAGCATTGACCATTGCTGGGCTGCCTCAGATGTCTTCCTCCTGCATAGTCTACCCCGACGGGTATTGCCTTCGTAAGGACTCGCCGATAAATATGATGTAGCTGGAGCATGGGGATCTGCTCTTGAAATATACTACGGAGATGATTCAGTCTCACCCTGCAGCCCGGATCGGGCCTGGAAATGAGCTCGCTTATCTCGCCACCCAACTCTCCACCTTCAACAACAAGCAAACTTTCCAAGAAGCTTTCTTCGTGCAAGATGGAGACTAATAATTAACCTTCCGGACGTTCATAAATTCTCCTAGTCTTCCATCGCCTTACAAAGTTCATGCCAAGTCCCAACTTTAAAAGTGGACAGACGAAGCTATCCAAGCATGACTAGTGCGCACGCCATCCGCGCCAATGCAGAATCAGTTACATCTACCAGAATCAAGAGGCTCTCGCGGTATATGACGGCTTTAGAGTCCCATTTTTATTGTTTAAACACTACAAACTTTTCCACCTGTTCTGCATGGGAAAATTGAGATGCGAAAATCTCAGTTTGCGTGACAAACGCATTCATGGGGTGTGAGAGCACGCCACTTGGCGAAGAGGTTGGTATATAAGTATGTTGGTACCTTGATTCTTAAAAATGGCACTATTGGGCTCTGTATGCTTTCGTTTATAGAATTCTTATCTGCATTCTTTATTTGCGTTGTACTGTACTTGATTGTTCAATATGGGAATCGATGGATCTGTCGACGGCCGAGTGCACAATGATACAAGCTCAGAGGAGGCGGGTCTTGCAGAGACACAGGTCGCTCAAGTGAAAAGAACATGGTATCGATCAGTTCCATTTCAGATTGCAGTAGCAAGTGGTGTCTCTTTTACAGCACCAGGAATGTGGGATGCGCTGGGAGGACTAGGTGCTGGTGGTGCTGCTGAGCCAGTGAGTGACATTTCCGTATCAGACGTGTTTATGTGAACGATACTTTCAAATTGAAAGTTTCAATTTAGCTTGATAATTCGATACTAAATATGAAAACAGTATGCCGTATCTGCAGCCAACGCCCTGGTATATGGTCTCTTCTCCATCGTCTGCGTTCTCGCAGGAGCAATCAACAACCGCATCGGCCTGAAATACGCACTCGCACTCGGTGCCATAGGCTATCCACTCTACGGAGCCGGTCTTTACACCAACAATGTCTATCCCACAACATGGTTTATGTTACTCGGCAGTGCCATCTGCGGCATCTCAGCCGGCTTCTTCTGGGCCGCCGAAGCAGCCGTCATTATCGGATATCCCAGCCCTAAAGAACGAGCATTCTACCTCGCCATCTGGCAGACCGCCAAGGCATCGGGCCCAATCGTAGGCGGAGCCATCAATCTGGGTCTAAACGCAAATCGATCAACTGCTGGATCAGTGGGAAGTTCGACTTACATCGTCTTCATTGTAATCATGTGTCTCGGCCTCCCCATCGCGCTCCTGCTTAGCCCGGCTTCAAAGGTCTGGCGAAAGGACGGCACGAAAGTCCTGATCAACAGACAGGATACCTACGCCGCTGAGTTCAAGGCCCTGTGGAAACAACTCGCCTCCCGCCGGATCTTGCTCCTGCTTCCAGCTTTCTTCATCAGCTACTTTTACAACGGATACAACAGCACGTTCTTGACCCAGCACTTCACTGTTCGATCGCGGGCCTTCTCGTCATTCTTCACTAATTTCTCTGGAGTGTTCAGCTCTTTCTTGATCGCTGCTCTCCTGGACAGACAGTCCATCAAGATCAAGACCCGAGCCAAGATCGCTTTCACCTGCATCATCACCGTCTTGATCGGGACATGGATTTGGGCTTCAATCCTCCTCAAGCAATTCATGGATGCACCTGAGATGCCTGTATTCGATTGGTTCACCGGTGGATTTGGGAAGTCATATGCCCTGGTTTTCTTCTGGGCATTTGGTGGACAGGCTTTCCAGCAGTTCTTGTACTGGCTTGTGGGACAGTACTCGACTGATATCTCGTCGTTGTCGCACGTCACTGGTATTCTGAGAGGGTTTGAAGCACTTGGTCAGACTGTCGCATGGGCGTAAGTGCACTTATTCGAAATTACGATGAAGATATATGCTGACGAGTCACAGAATGCAAACTGCTCCAAATGCGAACGGATTCGCGAGTATTGGTGTAAACTTTGGGATGACTGTTCTCTGTATTTTCCCAACTTGGATCGTGCTTTCGGAACTTGAGGGAAGTCATGAGGTTCAGGAGGTTCTTGATGAGCCTGTGAAAAAGGTGGTCGATGACAGCAACTGAAGAGCTTGAAATCAGCTACTCCATTAACTGGTTAATACAATAATAACTAATTTAGACTCTGCCTCTCATTTTCAAAAATATGCAGCGAGCTGGATGTGTGGCCCACTCTTTTCAACTGCAAGCTACATTTGATCACCTGCATCAGATTTTGAAGTCCCAACACCTGCCACACTCATCACTCCAATAGCTCGCTTAGGGTGCTGGACCAGAACAACAAAACAACATGACTTGTAACCAAAACCTCCTCTTATTTATGCTACTGATCCTACACAACAACAAGCTTGAGATTTCACCAAGTGAGAGTCTCCCTAGCCCTTCCATCCCAGCATCTCCATCATCCAGAACAGCGAGTCCATTTGGAGCATGACCCTACGCCTTACAAGGCTAACCTTCTTCAATTGTGTGGTGCAATGACAGTGGTGGTCATTACTGTCTACTGCCCGGGCACGCGGTCTGATAAGTCCCCATGATTTATGAACATCTTGCATTGTATTTTGTGGTGTATGGATCAATCTGCAGTGATAACAATATGTCGTGTCTACTATATCCTGTTCCAATAATCTGATGAAATCTTCTCGCTACAGTGTCGTAGAAGTTTGAAGCTATTTTGTCTTACCCAAGACATAAATAAGAGCATTCGCTTAAGACCGCCAGTTCTCCAGATACGAAAGGTATTCAGCAATGAGGAAGAACTGAAAAACAACACTTGAGGAGCTACAATATCTTTAAAAAACGAGACGTATGAATTGTCAGCCAAGAAAGTTGCCCTGACTCTCATGAATCTGTGACCTGTTCCATCACTGTTATCGATGGCACTTTGGGAAATAGGGTAACAAAAAGCCAGCATCAGCTTTTAGATTGCAGGTCTAGACGTCCTTTCTATGCTCCATAAGTTCCAGTCCAATGCAAAACATGCTGTAGCAAGTTTTTGTCATTATCAATAGCCAGCCAATCTCTACCCACATGCCTCATCGTTTAACCTCCCGTAGCCTCTCTATAGAACGAGATACTCCTATTCGCCCCGGCCGTAGCAAATGCCTCACTCCTACCCGTCTTGGGCAACCACTTTACACTCCAGAGGGTCTTGTCCGTCTCACTGTGTGTTGCAACACAAGTTCTCTGATCGATCGACCACACCTTGACCTTGCCGTCGAATGATCCGCTGAGGAGATACTCGCCGGTATCACTCCAGTCCACTGAGAAGATCCATGCTGAATGGCCTGTGAGATTCGCTACTTGCTCGCCATGCTGGACATCGTAAAGTGCAATGACACGTGCATCTCCTGCTGCTGCCAGTCGAGTGCCTGCTGGCGAGAAGGAAACGGTTCGTACTGGCTTGACCAGACCTAGAAGTCGTTAGATCATTCCTTTCCAGCCGAGAAAAAATAATGCTCAAGGGAGACTTACCAGGCAACGAATACAGCATCCTGCCCGTATCATTATTGAAGACATAAACTCCACCATTCTCATGCCCACTTGCCGTAAATCTCCCATCCCGACTAATATCAATACACAGCCCAAAACTCCCCTTCGTCTCGTACTCTCTGATCTTCTTCCTCCCCGCCTGCAAATCCCACACATTTATCCTCCCATCATACGTCGTGCTAGCCAGAAACTGCCCATCTTCACTCAACGCCACAGCCCAGATCTCACCAGCCTTATTGCCGTCTACAATCTTGCCTTCTTCGCTCCATTCGCCCGTATCTTCAGACAAAGACCATATCTTCACTTCGCCGCCGAATCCTGCGCTGGCGAGGGTCTTGCCGTTGCGGGATGTGACGAGGTGGTGGCAGCCCAGCTTGTGTGCGCCGGTGAGAGTTTGCGCGAGTGGGATGTCGGGCGAGAGTGTGGAGTGGACTTTGATTGAGGAGGCACCAGAGGCGGAGAGGACTTGTGTGGGTGTAACGGCCAGAGAGAAGATGTCGGTGATGTGGGCTGTGGGAGGTTAGCTGAGGCTTGCTTGGAGGGGTAGCTTCAACACACCATCATCCACCGTGTGGGTTGTGAGATACTGTTTCGACTAGTACGTATTAGCTTTTGGTTGTTAGATCAGATAGAGAGGTATCTACCATGGTCACCTGGAATTGGAGAGCATGTCAAGGTGGTGGTCGAAGAACGCAAGTTTGATGTTGAAGGTTGGAGCTTTGGCGGGGTTGAAAGTCAACATAAACTGGCATGGCAGAGCCATATTGAGAAACAAAACTTGACAGAATGTAGGATATTCTTTTGATTCATCATGGCAGATTCTCATTCTACATTTTAGTACATTTATTTTTGTACAAGTCGGGCACCGGAAATTCTTTCCATGACACATCTGAAGTCCCCAAAACGCCTGGTGCTAATGCTATGCAACACAAGTGACTTCCCTCCAATTCCTTCTATACAACACCGAACCTCCACCTTCGCACTCCCTGTAATCACTTCGTATCTGCCTCCTTGTCGGCTTTGGTTGTTTCGGCCAGTTTCTCAGATTTCCCCTTGAACATGTCCTTCAATTCTGGATTTCGTTAGCCCAAAACTCTACTGGATAGACTGTAATTACACACCAGATACACAATATGGACACAGCAAATGTGCTCTCTTCAGATGCCCGCATGCCGAGCATCTGTTCAGAGAGGTTACATCCTTCAATCCCTTTCCTGCCATCTGTCTCGTCCTCTTCTTCATGTGTGAAGTCTTCTTCTTCGGCACCGCCTTCAATATTGACTCCCATATTCCTTCTAACAGACCTGGCACATTGAGATGTATCGCGGAAGGAATCGCAAAGGCGATTGATGGGATGATGGGGAGAAATAATTGTCGAGAGTAGAGTGTAGTGAACTGTGACGCATTCGAGATTGACGCTGCAGAGAGTCGTGGGAGGAAGGATGAGAGGATCGAAGACGTTGTTGAATGAATTGCGGCCATTTTTGCAGTCTCCCACTCTGTTGAGGCTGTTGATGTGAGGGTATTCAAAAATCGATATCTGCTCTACCTCGGTGCTGTTCCTCTCACATCCGATGGACAATCTTTGAAGCTTTCGCGGATGCCGCCAGGGGTGCATGCAGCTTTAAGCTCAGACGAGACTAGTGGCATTCATGTCCCCCTTCCCCTTTTCCAGGAGCGCGACACTTATTTTGCGGAGAGACCACAGCGAGATATCCCTTCTTAACAATTTCCCACCTCAAACCGCTGCAACTCCAAACTCTTCGATCCCGAACACCTCGTAAACAGATCTCTGGTTACTCGTTCATATCTGGCAACAATGGCAACCATCCAGGATAGACATGCTCCTCAGCAATCCGTATACCCACGCAGCCACGTTGGTTTCGACAGTATCACATCGCAGATTGAGCGCAAGCTCTTGAAGCGTGGTTTCCAATTCAATGTTATCTGTGTTGGTATGTAGAGCACTTTGAAACTCGGAACGATGTATATTATTTGCGCACTGTCTAACGTTCGTTACTACAGGACAAACCGGTCTCGGAAAGTCAACTCTGATTAACACCATCTTTGCCTCGCACTTGATCGACTCCAAGGGAAGACTCACCCCCGACGAGCCTGTACGATCGACAACCGAAATTCAAACCGTCTCCCACATTATCGAGGAAAATGGAGTCCGTCTGCGCTTGAACATTGTTGATACCCCAGGTTACGGAGACCAGGTCAACAACGATAGATGCTGGGACCCAATTGTCAAGTACATTAAAGATCAACATTCCGCATACCTCCGAAAGGAACTCACAGCCCAGCGTGAACGTTATATTCAAGATACCCGCATTCACTGCTGCTTGTTCTTCATTCAACCATCTGGCCATGCCCTGAAGCCAATTGATATTGTTGTGTTGAAGAAGCTTTCAGATGTTGTCAACGTCGTTCCAGTCATTGCCAAGTCCGATTCTCTGACCCTCGAGGAGCGAAGCGCATTCAAGGAGCGCATAAAGGAGGAGTTTGCGTTCCATAACCTTAAGATGTACCCATACGACAACGATGAGTTTGACGAGGAGGAGCGTGCTTTGAATGCTCAGATCAAGGTATGTGGATGCAATTGCAGGAGGAAAGAACTCATACTAACTAAAAGCAGAACATCATTCCATTTGCTGTTGTTGGATCTGAGAAGTCAATTATTGTTGGAGGCAAGCAAGTCCGTGGCCGCCAAAACAGATGGGGAGTCATCAACGTTGAAGATGAGAACCACTGCGAGTTTGTCTACCTCAGAAACTTCCTCACCCGAACCCACCTCCAAGATTTGATCGAAACCACCTCGCAAATTCACTACGAGACCTTCCGTGCCAAGCAATTGCTTGCACTTAAGGAGAGCAGCGCAGCAGGTCACGCTGGATCCCGACCAATCAGCCCAGCAGCCGATAGAGAACTGAGCAGAAATTCTCAAAGGATGACCATGAACGGCTACTAGGGAGTTATGAGGATTGTGGCGTCAGGTTGTTATGATAGCAAGACGATTGGACTGGAGCTCTTCGGGAAAAGCGACTTTTCTAAGGGGCATAATTTCCTTGAGCAGGCCAAGGAGAGCGTTTAATGGCCGGGGCTTTACTCTTTTCTACTTTATGTTTTCTTGTGTCCCTTCTGAACCTTTTCCCATATTTCTTCCTTTGCTTAATTAGCCTTCTCAGACCTCCATTTCTACGGATATGGAATCAATGGAGAACTCCTTTTCTAATCAGTAAAGTCAGCTGTCTCTGTGCGTCTCTTTGTGCCGGTCGAAAATGAGTGTGATATGTTGAGAATTTAGAGCTAGGGTTACCTGGAGGTTGGAACTCTTTGGCCTTGACCGCTTTTCTTGACTGACATGTGACCATGCCTTTGAGGATTGGTCCTCAAATTTAGTTTTAACTGTATGACTATATTTCTATTCTTCTATGTGCAATGATGTATGTCAATGGCTCAAATGCTGGACCTAAGCACCGAGATTAACCAATACCTCCCTCTACATCCTCAAACTCCTCCCATCTATTCACACCACCACCATAACTCCTCTCCCAAAATACCTCCAAGTTATGCCCCGAATCTATATCCACCCGAATCCCCTCAATCCAACACACTCTCCCCCGCCTTCCCCCCATCCTTCGCACTCTGCTCCTGCGTCTTCTTCTCCCCTCCCACAACTCCCTTAAACACAAAATCCTCCAACTTCTTATATGCCTCCTCCAGATCATCATTCACAATAATCAGGTCATGCACACCCTCTACGCGACTATACTCCAGCTCATTCTTCGCCTGCGCCAGCCGCTTCTGGATACTATCTTCCTTCTCCGTGCCGCGGTTTCGGAGCCGCGATTCGAGGATCTCCATGCTGGGGGGTGCAATGAATACGTAGCGTGCGGAGAGGGAGGAGGATTTGATTTGTTTGACGCCCTAGGAAATTGAATGTTAGCTGTGTTGATTGTAGAAGCATTAAAATAGCCACAATCAAGAGAGGGCACAAATAGACAGGAAGTCAGAGAAACAATAAAGGCAAAAAAACACAAACCTCCATCTCAATATCCAACACCACCACCCTCCCGCCCTCCGTCAACTCCCCAATCATCTTCTTACTCGTCCCATACCTGTTCCCTCCAAACTTCGCATGCTCCACGAACCCCTCCTCCGCAATCATCTTCTCAAACGTCGCCATGTCCGTGTAGTAGTAGTCCACATCACGCTTCTCTCCTGGGCGGGGGTCCCGCGTTGTGTGTGAAATCGAGGTTGCGAATTGGGAGGGGTGTCGGTCGAGGAGGAGCTTGTATAATGTGCCTTTGCCAACGCCTGAGGGCCCGGAGATGATTATGGGGCGGGTGTCGCTGGGGACTGTGGAGGAGAGTGAGCTTAGGTTTTCTGCTTCTGCATCTTGGCTTGGGGGAGGTTGGGAGTAGAGGGGTAGTTGAATGGGCGGTGGGAAGAAGCTTAGGAGAGCAGACGGAACTTACCTGGCGCCATTGTGTATCTGCGTAACGGTGTACTGGAATATCTGGTTGGGGAGAATATGCGGGAGGTATATTTGAGTCGGGGGAGAAGCATAGATGTGTAGGACAAGGGAGCGGTGGGGATTTTGGTGGTGGTGGGAGTGAAGTCGACGGAGTTGCTTTTTTGTGGAGCTTAGCTTTATAAGTATCGGGCGAGACTTGATGGAGGATGAGGATGAGGATGACTCGACATATCAGTCAAAATCAGTCAACGTAAAAGAGTGATCCGTATTGCTTTTTTCAGATGGTCACTCTGGTTAAAGAATTGAGTCTTTGGTTTTTGATTTTGTATTTATTGTGTCATACTATTAACAGATACTCTTTTCAGAGCCTTCGTCTTCTTCAAAGCCGACCTTCACCAGCCAGCCAAATCATGCCAGCCATGCGCCGAAACACCTCAAAATGTAGCGCCAACCCTCGAAATCGAAGCACCTAGGGATACAACGTGTGAACATGTGCTTCGTAAGGAGCGGGTATTTTGGTAAAAACAACAAGACAAATAATTATAAACTCCCAGACGCCTTTGCAAATGATCCTTCTTCTGATATAAATTCTCCCCATTCTGGTGTCTCTGCATCTAGAATCTTGTCATGTTGCTAATAACACTGTATCTGGACGAAGCTGGAGGTGGTGGGTTCGGAACGCCTTGGTGGTATGGGTGAAGCGCAGTTGGTGGACGTTGAACAGCGAGACCTGGCGCAACAGGCGAGCTTCTCGACTCATCCCACTTGGCGAACTGCTCGGGGTCTTGCATGATGGGTTTCGAGATGGGGACCTTAGAGCTGCGAATTGGCAGTCTGAATGAAAAGCGAGACTTTTGACGCTCGGCAGGAGCAGGAGCATTGTAGCTTGGGAGAGTTTCAGAGACTGAGCGACGGGAGGAGCCGCTAGAGAGACTGAAGGTCTTGGTGATTGGGTCCTTGGGGATGGCAGCGCCGTGGCTACGGACTTGACGGCCGGTGATGCCGAGCTTGGAGTCACAGAAGACATAGGTCTGCCGATTGTTAGCAAGATCATGGTGGGGAGGAGCAGGTAATAGAAGCTTACAGCAATGATATTGAAGAACCCCATGATAGCTGTGAGAATGCCAGATGAAATGACGATCCTCCACATTGGTAGCCCCAAGTTCTCCACGCTGGTAGCAGGTTTATTGAGGTTACCCAGGATATTGAAACCAAGGACGATCATGGAGAGTCCGAGGAAGACAAACCCGGATTCAGGGCTAAGCATAGGCCAGTGACGAGAAAAGTAGGAGCGGAAGAGTGTGACCTCGGAGACGACGAGGAAGAGACCGATGCTACTCGTGATGAAATGGGAGACACCATCGAAGAAGAAGAACTGTGGATGATTAGCCGGAGATCGCTGAGTGGGAGGAGAAAAGGCACATACGCTTGAGGTCTTGACAGTCATAACAAGCATGATCCAGCTTGCGACGACAACCAGAAGGAGAGATATGATGTTCAGGGCTCGGATGATGTTCAAGGTGATGTAGCCAGCACCGGTGAGCTTGGATTCGGAGAACATCTCAACGGTTTTTTAGATTTTCTAATTCGTATCAGTATGAAGGTCAAAGGTGTAGGATGTAAAAAGGCTCACGGCGATTGGAAAGATTGTTATAGTTGTGTGATAGTCGACTGCCTGCAGAAGAAGAATTTGGATTTGGCGATTTTGGAAAGGAACGAGATTTTAGAGAAGAGTAGACGGCGAGAGAATGGAATATTATGTAGGGGAGTTATTTGACAATAGCTATTGAAGGACGCAGTCCATTGTCGGTTAATAATAGTGAGCAGTCAAAGGAAAGGAAAGTTCGCGAGTAAGGACGATAGGAAGGAAACAAAGCCAAATGGGTACACTCCCAGTATATGAATGAATCACGACAATAGCAATGGGCCCCCTCTTTGAGGCCAACAAACGCGACTGCAGTTCGGCTCAGACCTTTGAGCTACCGTGAGGGTAGTTCATGCCTTTGTTCCAGAACTTAGCGCAGGTCTTTGAACGAATGATATCGAAATTAGCCGGCCATTTCTCGACCTGCGAAGATCCAGACGCGCGAGAAGCTGAGTTTCGCGGGTCCTGGGACAAACAACTGGACGGAGACAATATGTTTGGGGATCCGTGTGCCGCTGGAAACCTCTCGAGCCTCATCGCCGTGTGCTGGTCGAGTTGCACGCCAGCAGAGGACGCTTGTCTGGGAGCAATGGGTGGTCATCAGCGATCATCCCAGATCCGATTTTCTATTTTAAGCCAATAAGCTCTGCACCAGGCGCTTGCATAGATGACAGCCCGGGAGAGCTATGCAACAAGCCTTGAAGGTTGTTTCAAAGGGTGGCTTTCAAATCCTGTCCATTGGACGAACGCGCTTAGAGGATGTGTTTCAAGATCGGCTGTCAAGCAGGCGAGCTGTGGTCCAGATGTTTCTTTTGATCTGAAATGTTTCGGGTACTGGTGTACCAAAGTAGATCCTCAACATGACATTCTTCGGGATCGTGTCTCGAACTTCTCGCTTTAACAGTCTGTGAAGACTGGAGAAAGACATTATGTTGAAACAGCCAACTTGAAGGAGAAGGAGGTGATTCACGTGCAGATGTCTGGAAATCTTGGCATGTGACTCGGACCGGATCAACACTTCCTCCTAGCCCAACCTAAAAATAAAGCAGTCCAGAATTCTGGCCAAAATCGCATCCATTAACAGCCACGCAGGCAAGAAACTCTCCTAAGGACCCTGTTGAAAGAATCGCGGACACCTGAAGTCATTCAAAATGGCCAGAGGAAATCAGAGAGATAAGGCGCGCGAGGCCAACCAGAAGAAGATGGCCGACATGGTATGTCTAACCCCGTTCACAACCGGAATTCAAAGAACTTCGCGCTGATGGCTCTGCGCTTTGTAGAAGAAGGGAAACTCCATGTCTGGATCTGAGATGCAGCGCGAGAAGGAGAAGGTAGCTGCGAAGATGAGAGAGAAGCAGGCTGCCGGTTCGTACTTCTGCTTCGCGGGCTGCACTTTTACTAACTGAATTCTAGCGGATGCAAAGAAAGCCGCCGAAGCTGCTGGAGGCGCTGCGAAGAAGTAAAAGATATTGGTATGGCCGAACAAAGTACTCCGACGATGCGAGGGTAAAAATGCGAAATTACGACGGAGTTCTTGAAGGGTTCGGCATGGATTTGCTTTGGTGTTTTGGAACTTTGTTGGACGTAGAAGCATGGGATGCGCGGTTGAGGTGTTTAGACTGCGTGGTTTGGCGGGCAATGAAATTTGATACCAGCTCGAATTTCTGTTCTCATCCGTCTGCTGCTGCACTTTCTTTCAGACGTAGCGTGTTGTGTATTGTGGCTGGGGAAGTCTCCAAAGCTCAGATCCCCTCGTCAATATTTGAATCTCCTGAAGAGAGTGCTCGAGGGCATGGGAATCTTCAGTGATCTTTGTTTCTTGGAATTACTTTCATTTGTCAGAGTTTACAGCCCGTCATGTCATGTTTCTTCACCATTCATGAAAAGATATGAGTTGGCAATCAGTTGCTTACATAGTCTCCCAAGCCGCAACTTTACCGAAATCTCAATGACCGGATGGTACAATAACAGCTTTCCTCTCATGCTGCTCGCGGTACGCAGCTGTAATTTCTTTGATTATCGGTCGCTGAGTCACTAGTGTGGTGACAATACCCCGCCGACATTCCTTTGTTTGAAACGTGGACCTTCTTGCACATCAATTTTGGATCCAGAAGCCATCGAGAAACCAGTCATGGCGTTCGAGTACGCTGAGAGCAAATCACTTGGTGGTAGCTGGGAGAGTTATAGGTACTTACCTAGTGGGCTGGAACGCGTTGAAAATCTTGCCATGTACGAGGTTGGAGGCCTCCACCCTGTTGAACTCGGCCAGTCCTATCAAGAGGGACGGTACAAAATTGTCCACAAGTTGGGCAACGGTGGTTTTTCGACAACCTGGCTTGCCAGAGATTCTCGCAACAACATATATGTCGCGTTGAAATTCGTCGCTTCGGATGCATCGAAAGGCTATGGCGACCTCAAAACTTTGCGAGACATTTCTAGTGCTGCAAGTACTCATGCTGGTACCAGATACATTAATCATCTTTTGGATGAATTTTTCGTGGATGGTCCGAACGGACAGCACCTCTGCTTAGTGACTAAAGTCTTGGGTGCCAATGTCGCCCACGTGTCAAGCGACTTTCACAGGTTGAGCGGCAAGGCATCGCAGGAAGTTGCGTCTCAGGCTGTCTCGGCTCTGAGCTATCTTCATAGCCTTGGGATTTGTCACGGGGGTAAGAACACCATCATCGAAATAAGAAGAAGCTGACCCTCGAGTGTAGATTTCACTTCTGCAAATACTCTCCTTCAACTCTCTGGAACACTTGACACGCTCAATGTCGACGAGCTGTGCTCACTTATTGGCATTCCAAAGAAAGAAGAATTACGAACCCCTGATGGCAGTGCTGTAGGGCCATCAGCTCCTTCCTATGTAGTAGAGAGCATTGATTTTGCGACTGTCCCAAATCTTCTGTCATTACGACTGAAAGTTATCGACTTCGACCAAGCTTTTCAGATTTCGACACCTCCATCGAAGATGCTTGGGACGCCTCCCAGATGTCTGTCTCCAGAGGCAATCTTCGATCTCGAAGTTGGAGTGGCCTCAGATGTGTGGGCGCTTGGGTGTCTGATCTTCAAAATCCGGTCTGGATTCGAACTTTTTGGCAGCTTTGGAGGCCACACTCCATGGCATGCGTTGAGGCAGATAGTCAAAACTCTAGGAGAACTTCCCGAGAAATGGAGAAATCGAAACTTTGATTCTGATGGGTATCTGGCCGAAGACAGTGACGGAGATGCAGAAAGACTAGAGTATGAACCTTTGCGAGCACCGCTTATTGACACGGTTCTTGAGATTCAGGATGATCCAAGCCGATCGTTAGTTGGCGTCAATGATAGTCTGGAGGTCAGGCTATGGAAACCTAGCGCTGAATATGGAAGTATGGATGATGAAGAATCCACAACTTAAGTTTCAAAGGAAGAGGCGGATTCTTTGTTTGACTTGCTGTCGAAAATCTTCAAGTTTCAGCCTGAGGACAGACAGATTGGGACTTCAAGAGATCGCAGATCACCCGTGGTTCAAGCTTCAAATATAGAGCTCATTTTGTATGAGGCGACTTGTGGAAGGCCTAAACCGCTTCCAATTCCCATTCCCATCAAGTCGATGTCCATCATTGTACCAGAGGCTTGTGGTCTGGGGGCAGATATCAAAGAAACCAACAAGTGACTGCATAAGTCATGAGCGCAATAGCTAGGTAGCATCGGATGCACGATCCCGAACGTGCGATTTGCTGCCAGTTCAGGCTTGTACCACCACACTGCTGCATATTGTCTGGCAATCACATTCGCTGCCCCTGCCTTCCGTGCGGCTCGCTGTGTGAAGGCTGTTATCAATTGTGCAAAGCAGGTACAGCAGTGCACACTACTGTCTGTTGTGGATAGCCAAACGAATATCTTCTACTGCATTCGCTCTTCATTCTTGCTTGATGGCCTCTTCTGTGTTTATTGTTAGCTCGGGGGCACATATCAATAATATGCATCCTGCAGCACTCCTAATGCGTGTATTTGAAGTTGGTTGAGCTCAGACAGAGTGTGTTGCAACCTTGTTTTTTTTAAGTCGTTAGCATCCAAAATTACTCTCTTGAGCCAAAATATATTATCTCGCTGCTGTGCGTGGGCTTTGATGTGAAGCATACTTCAGATACGTCCTGTTGCACAAATTTCCTTGCTTCAGATAGATTCTTGGGTTGGTAAGGGTAATATGAATCTCAACTTCCTATTGCCAAATGCCCTAGAGAGAAACCTTGAGCTTTTCTTCAGCTTCTAGGATGTTGCATGATGCGAAGCACCCTGAGCATATTTCAATCACCAACATGTGCTATGACTGTAATGTGGGGGTCTTTCAGACCCAGAAAATTGTGCTCCCTGGTGAGATGACATTCAGTAAAGTCAGTCAGTCCTGAACATGACTGTTGGTCATGCCGTTCCCTCCCTGTTCCTTCCGGTGGATATTGGTAGCATTCAATTTTTAACCGCTGGGGGGGCGCGAACTGAGTTGAAGAGAGGATGATATGTTGTGGCAACCATTTGGATGACTGTATGTGGGGGGCGCAAGTCGAGTAGGAGTGTTTATATTGCGTGATTCCCTTCATCTTTGACGGCTTCCTTCCTTCAAGCAAGCGGTACACACTTCACAATGACGACCTTCTCCACTTGGACGAATACAACTGTTCTCTATGCCATACTATTCCTATCTGTCACTGTATTCTTGGTAGCAAGTCTCCACCGTCTACTCTTCTCTCCACTGAGACACATTCCTGGCCATCCTTTATGGGAAACCTCGCGAATACCATTTGCATACAGTCTCCTCCGTGGCCACCTGCCTTATGCTATCTCAGCTCTTCACGAAAGATATGGCCCCATCGTCCGTGTATCTCCTTCTGAGATCTCTTTATCACCGAGACAGCCTGGACCGATATCTACACAGTATTCAAGGCGAAGGGCGGGCGAAAACTCAACTGAAAATAGAACCGGTTTTTCGAAGGGCTCCAGGAAAGGCTGAAAAAGATCTCATGTTCCAAGTCGATGATGTTGAGCATGCTAGACAGAGGTAACGCAGGCCCTGTTTTGTTCCCTGCGCATCTGTAACGTACCACTCTCACTGTTTGAACTGTTTTAATGACAACTGCTTGTTTATAGGAGGGTTTTATCGCACGCCTTTTCAGAGAAGAGTTTGCGTGATCAAGAGCCTGTCATTAAGTACCATATCGATCAACTTGTCACCGACTCCATGCAATGCGCAACGAATCTGTCGATATGTCAGCTTGGTTCAATAACACATTCTTCGATACTATCAATGATCTATTACTAGGAGAGTCGTACGATGATCTTGACACCGGTACATTTCAGGTTCGTCATTGAAGCTTTCCCTGCTTGCTCAGCATTATCCTCTCAGACTCCCAAGAATTCGAATAGTTGCAATCTTACTAAGCAAGTAACTGACAATGTAGCCCACTGTTGACAAGATCATATCTGCCGCAAAGGGCGTCACGCTCTTCGGGATGGCCCAGCGATTCTGGCCCTTGACTTACATCCTCCTGCTGTTCATACCCAAGAATATCCGAGAAGCCAAAAATCAGCATTGTGATTTGACAAGGGCACGAATTCAGCAGAGACTCCAGTGCCCAAATTCAAATAATGACATGTATGTTGCTATCCTGCTTTGGCCCTGCCCGTTACACCCAGTGTCAATTCTACACATGAGAGTTTTGGCTAATGGTTAATCAGGATTTCGACAATGTCCGAGTTCATCGATGCTCCCGGACCAACCACAATTTCGCAATCCGAACTCTGCTACACGGCCTCTTTGATTATACTCGCTGGCTCAGAGCCTAGTGCCACAACTCTTTCCTTCTTCTTCCACCACTTACTCTGAGATCCACAAAGGCTCGCCCTTCTGACCAACGAGATCCGCAAAGCTTTCATGGACGCAAGTGATATAAATCTACAGTCTGTAAAACGCATCCCCTACCTATTTGCCGCTATCAATGAAGCCCTGCGACTTTTTGCTCCTCTACCAGGTTCCCTCAGACGCATCACACCCCCGGAAGGGTGCATAGTATCGGGAATCTACATACCAGGTAATACTGTTGTAGCGGTGAACAGCTACGCAGCATCACACTCCACATCCAACTTCCATGAGCCCGAAAGGTTCATTCCGGAGCGCTGGTTATCAGCAGAAGATCTGCTATCCATGAGTTTAAATGTCAATGTCGCGCAGTTCGCTGGAGACATGAAGAGAGTGGTGCAACCTTTTGGTATGGGACCACGAAACTGTATTGGCAAGAACCTCGCTATGGCGGAAATGAGTATGTTGGTTGCAAGGCTGCTGTGGGAATTTGATATCGAGTTGCAGACTGAGAGTGAGAGATGGTTGGATGGCATGAAGGTTTATACTTTCTATCAACGGCCACCATTGATGTGCAGGTTCAAACCCGCCAATCGCTAGAAAGTAGCCATCATTTTTCCCCTTTCAGAGCTGAGATGGTGTTGGTCTTGAGGTACTAGAAGAAATACAAAGCTACGTAACGTGTACTTGAATGCGCCGCTCCCGCAGCTAAGCTAGCTTGCCAGAACTTGCGAATCCATGTTTGTGCCCTTGCCGTCATCCATTTCCAACACATTTGCTTAATTTCTTCTTTGAAGAAAAAAAATCTGCGATATAATTTGTCACTCCACTTCTGTATGAACCTGTTGCTATTCTTGTCTACCACAACTACAGAACCCTACAACCATCCCACCGAATCTCGCAATATCTCCAAACTTATTCATCATGCTGAAAGACTGGCCCCTCTTACTCATCATGCTCATCATCGTCCTCGGATTCATCATTCTATTCACTCTGATCTGGACTGGGCGTTGTTGTGCAGGCGAACCACTTGACGAGGATACAGAAGATGGCGACTTTGAATTAATGGGAATGGCTCCATTTCCATTCATACTCCGATATTAGATTGGATGTTGACTGACGAAATATGCCATGGGGACGTAACTCGACTGTCATCAAAGGCGGGCAATGGAGTAGGCGACAACACTGAAGTGCCCCGGTCCTGCTGAACAACGACCTTGGAACAATGAGCTTTTTAATAATTTCGGCAGATCATGGGCAAACACCACAGCTTCCGTGGAGGATAAGTACGACCTGTGTCCACACTTTTGTATCTTTATGACAAGGAGTACTCTACTCTAGTTTTGAAGACCGGAAGTCGTATTATAATCTCGGGACTTTGCTTTCGCAAGTCCATCGGTTGGAAATGAGATGGGACGTGGCGGGATGAGGTGATGGACAAAGGGCTAAGCGAGGATTGACAACAACAAAATTCGTCCCAACCATACCGCAGCAAAAGATCTACCCTGGCATGACCTCTTTGCCTAGGTTTCTACCTAAGCCACCATTTTCTCTAAAACGTAACTTCAAAAAAGGGTTGAGCGATAGGAGTAACCATTCTTGTAGCTGAGCGTAATGAGAGCAGATGGAGGAGTAGCGGCAATGTCAAGCATGACAGCAGAACGAAATCGACAACACTTAATACTTCACAACAATTATCCAGCTTCCCTTACTCATATACTATTTCCGTGCTACAAGCTTCTATACTCGCCTCAAAATCGCTCATAGGCACCATCAAACAATATCAACAATAGCAAATCGCAAAAACCGTCCATCAAACCCAATATCAAGCACTCACCCACATCCAAACATGTGCTTGAACCTACCGTGATTCAACGAGTGTTGGGGTTCAATAAATTGAGCCGGAGATGTTTATATACTCCCTGTTCGTCCGGTTCGGTGCCGGAATTGGCTGTGAATTCAGTTCAATTGACTGAATGTAGAGCCTTGATCATTCACTCATAATGTTATTCACTCACCATTGTCTAGGCCAGGAGGTTGGAGCCAATGTTCCAAAAATCTTTCACAACTTCCCAAAATTGTTCTCTCTCTCCTCTGAAGCACTGTTTATGGAGTACAAGCTCCATTCTAGCAAGCTCTTAGAAACAGATACCCAGGAATCTAAGTAACATAACTCACAAAGAATTAGATTGGCGATGAGAACACTGTATTCCTTTCAATAATGATAATAATAAGAGTAAGCATTGAGTCTAGCAGAGTCTGTCCCTCTGTATCTATCTCTATACCTCGCCTTTCTGGCTGTCCCAAGAAAGTAATCCAATCTTTCAATCTTTTAAACCAAACCCAAAAAGAACACCGATCCATCATGCCATGCCGCGCCACGAAACATATATACCTCTTCGGCTTTTCGTCTCATCTGGTCTCATTCATATATACACTCCACCTCTTCCCTTCATTCCCAATTCTCAGAGCATCTCTCCCCAACCATTCCTAAGCCTAAGCCTGAATCTCCTCCTGCGTCCACCCACCCCCCTTCCCACTCGCACCGACCTTCCGTCCACCCTCCTTCCTCTTAACCCTACACGTCATACCCACCTCCTTATCCCAAATAAACTGCCAGATCACCCCCACCCAGCTCTCATGTTTCGGCAGATCCGCATAGAACTCCTTCGCAAGCTCGTGTAGCAAGGGAAGTCTACTCCACGGCACAGCAGGGAAATCGTGATGCTCGTTATGCAGCCCAACATTATACGTCAGGATGTTCAGCGCACCGTAGTACGAGAATGTTTCTGGAAGAGGTGTGTTGGTGAGAGGATCTTTAGCAGCGGTAGGTTGGCGCTCGAAGACGTAGTGTTCGGCGATGAAGTGACCTGCGCAGGGGTGTAGGGAACCGGCAAGGAAGGAGGAGAGGATGAGGTAATAGAGGGAGTTGGTGGAGCCGAGTTTGACGAGGATAGTGTCGAAAAGGACTTGGATAAAGATATTGATGAAATGGACGGGGGTAAAGGGAACGGCGTATATAAAAATAGGACGGATGGCGTAGAAGAGAATCTGGAAGGTGCAGAAGAAGGCTTTGCCTAGCAGGGAATCGAGGAAGACTGCTTCGAAAGCAGTGGGGAGATCAGTATCGAGGCCGTCGACGCCGAGGGATTTGTGATGTGTAAGGTGGTATGGCTGCGGTTCTCGTTAGCATATCCCTTGATTTCTTTGTGGTTCCAACAAGTCATTTGCGCTCGCCATTTCTCCCGCACCGCATTCTTTCAAACGTCTCTGAAGTAAAACTCCCTCCACAACCCTCAAAAAACCAAAGAAACTCTCCCCTCTACTTACTCTAAAACTCGCACTATACGGCACTGCAATTGGCAAATTCGCCACAATCGCCAACGCCCTATTCAACCACGGCGTCCTAAACGCCAAATTATGCGATATCTCATGAATAGCCAGAAACAGGTTCTGGTTCGCAGTAGCGCCCACCACGTATGCCGTCGCCCAGAACTTCCAGCTGAGGAAGGGGGTGTCGCGAAGGAGGTAGGCGCAGAGGATCTGGATGGAGATGACGAACAAGACGAGGTATTTGGTGAGGGGCTCGGGTCCGCAGAGTTTGGTTACCTGGTGGAAGAGGGAAGAAATTAGTACTTGCTTTCTGGTAAAGTAGTGTGAAGCAGGAGATCCAATTTGGGGCGATGTTGAGGGGAGAGATGAGGGGAGGCAAAGGGAAGCCAATTGGCACTTCTAGGTATTCATACCTCTGGATGCGCCTTAATAATAGCCATTCTCCTCGTCCGATGCGGCTCCTCGGTATAAGTCCAGAAGAAATCATGTTCCTTGACTTCCAATGGAGGGAGGGGGGGTTGTTCAGTATGCTTCTCGGCGCGGAGGCGAGCGGTTTGTGGCTCTTTCGAAGGCCGGGAGGTCGTAATCGTTGAGGTAGAAGCAGGCATCATGATAGGAGGGGGTGATGTGCCTGCCAGTAAGGAATGTATGCGGTCAATGAGGAGGTAGAGAGAAGTTGACAGAGAGAGTGGTGATCCCAGCTCTCCAGCAGCTTGATCCGTCCGATGTGGCGGTGGAGTTTCTTAGCTCACTCCAGTTTTCCAAGGGTCCTACTGGACTGGACTGGACCCGATCACAGTGCTGCCCCTGCCAACCATCTCTCGCTTGGAACGGTCCATGCCCCAACTGCCCCTTTTCACATGTCAAAACTCTGTAAACACAAGATACACTTCATAAGCACCCGGACCCAAAGATACGAGTATTTGCAAGAAGGTCAAATTGGCAAGTCTATCTCTAGGCCATAGCCAATTATTCTCGCTTCATTCTAGAAAAGATATCAGAGAATATCTGATCTGTGACTGTCTACGGTACCCCCCCCAGTATTGATCAAATCTAACCCCCTAAATGAAATCCACTCTTTTGTTCTCATCATCATTCTCTCCTGTATCATCAAATTATTATCGCACTGATTTCAAGAAGCTTCCAAGCCATAGTCCAAATCTGCAACGCCATTTCAACATCGATCAACCAAAGGCATGATCAACTAGACACCAACATGAGACTAGCTCACAACTGGGGACCTAGGTAGGACATGCGAGGGCCAGTCATGCTGCTATTCAATCTCGATTGAAGCTGTGACTGGATGTTCTTGCTTGGTGTGAGGGGCTGTTTCTGACCGACAGGAGTAGATCCCTGGGAACGTTGAGGGGATGGCTTGAACGAGGGCGCAACAGGGTTGATCTTGCTCTCCGGATTAGCAGAGCTAAAGGACGAATGGTGTTGAAACGAGCTAGGACGGACCGGGAAGTGTGAAGATGCTGTGTAACCGGAGTAACTCGAGTGTCCATTTGAAGGGCGAACATTCTCAACGTAGGTATCACCACTCTGTGGGATCGGAGCATGCGCAACGATTGGAACTGAACCGGTTTTCATCATACCAGTGACCTCCTTCCATCCACCAGCCCCATCCGGAACCACAACAGTGGCTAGAACCGGAGCCATGGGCGTATATCCTGGGGCTGGAACCTGGTTCAAATGTGGTCCCTGTGGATAGTATGGAGTTTGTTGAGTTGACTGAAAGGATGAAGAGTGAGTTCTTGGGGTGGGGTGGTCATTGACCTGAGGAGTGGCACATTCATCAGCCCACTTCGAAGCCGAGAGACCAGGAGCACCATTCAATACTTTGCTGAGTGTCTCGTCGAAAGCATTACTTGGATTGACTGGTTCAGCCGCAGCTGCGAGGCGACAACCTGAACTGGTCGCAAGGACGCTTGAGGCGGGGTTCTTGACTGGTCCTTCGTGATCAGCAGGTGGTGCCTCTTGACTCTTTGCTGCCATGACTATAGGAGGAGGTAAAACACCACTGGTACTCGTGCCAGACTTCAGCTCGGGCTCAATCTTTACTTGAGTGACTGGGAGACTGCCGATCATCTCCTTATTTACATCAGTAGCTTTCTTTAATTGGGGCTCTGTATCTTGCATTGACCCAGCTGCAGACGAAGGTCTTGTGAAGCTGTTAGCAGGAGATAATCTTGGCGAAGCCACCAGAGGCTGCTTCAGCGCTGCGGTGATCTTGTGTTGCATGGCTTGGCTGGCTGGGGTAAGTGCAATAGGAATAAAGCTCTGAAGAGAAGATTGGCCACGAGGCATCAAACTTGACTCTGGAGTTGATTGCACTTTGATATCAGTCTGTGGAGCATTCAACGATGTTTCAGAAACCGCTGGAATTTCTGCAGGTGTAGAGTTTCGATTGGGCGGTCCACGAGACAATCTTGGAGTCGGAGTCGATCGCACGCTGACTTCGGGTTGTGGAATGGGCATTGACTTATCAAAGACTGGAATGGTTGGCTTGATGTCTGGAGTGACAGTCTGAGTGTTGAGGTTCAAGCCCGAGAAATCTTTAGCAAGCCTATCGTTAACATCGGACTTCGATGGACGATGGTGCAGGTTACTTTTGGGGACCTGCGGCTTTGGCTGGACGACAGTCTTAGAGGAACCAACAGTGCCAAGAATAGCCGCCCAGAGTGTATCATTTGTGTGTTGACCCTGCTGTGAGCTAATCATAGTGCTTGGTACGGTAGAAGAGACACTAGCAGTGGAGATAGTAGCTTTCGGAGTGGACTGCACCGCTTGGGGCTCTTCTCCCGCTGGAAACACAGCTGGTACAGCAGCACAAGTGCTTTGATCCTCAGATGAGGTCTTTAGCTCTTCAGCGGCAAACGCCTGCCATAAGTTTGCAGCTGGGGCTGCTGGCGCAGCTCTGTGGACCTCACTAGACGTACCGATCGGGGGCTTTGGCTCCTGGGAGTATACATGGGGTAGATCTGCTACCTGAACGGGCGCAATTAAAGAAGTCTTTGGTACTGGGGTGGATGACTTTGATTCTTTGGCGTGAAAGTCTTGCCATTCCTTGACAGTCGTAACTTGAGGAGTCGCAACTCTAGTAAGACGTCGCTCGCGAGGAGGGTGCTCGCTGATCTCCACAGCTATTGCATGGCTGCGAAGGTTGAGCAACGAGTCTGGGGAATATTTGATACGAGTGTCCTGCGCAAGTTCCAGTGGCTGTGGGTCTTCAACTTTTACCGAATTTTCATCGGATCGAGACATGGGCTGACAATCGATATTGTCCTTGTGATCATATGTCTGCTTGTTTGGTAATCCAAAGTTAAGATCCTCAACTTTGCAAGTGCCGGCGGTATTGTCTTCAGTAACAGAGGTAATCGACTCCAAGACAAGTCCTCGTCTTGAGATGGCGAGTTGCATGACCTTACGACTCTTATTCTGAACGTACGCTGCGCAGTGGTTTTCTGGAAGCATAGTAAAGGTTTCCGATGACGAAAGATAATGAAAAACCCCTGTCTGTAGAACGCATTGGTACTTGGGATCCGACATTAATTCATCAGAGGAGATTTGGCTGACTGGCTTGCCTCCTTGAGTAACGACAGCTGAGCTCATCAGGTCGAAGAAATCATCGTCGCCACCAAGAAAACCAAAGAGGGCTTCAATGAGAATGCTATCATCGGCTTCTAAAAGGTCAAGGATATCTGAGTTCATGGCCGACGATGGGACATATGTTTGATCATCATTACCAAGTGAGACCAGCATTTCAATACTCTCGGATTCAGTGTCTTGAGCAAATGCACCTGTCTTCGGAACATTTTCGAGCTCGTCTCCTGGATGATAGTGGGATCGTGAAAGCTCAGAAATCTGACGGTCGTGGTACATGGTAGCCTCGGTCTGTTGGTTTTGAGTAATCGACGCATCAATAGCATCTGGAGCGCTGTATGAAGTTTGGAGATTGGAAGAGTGATCTGTTTGGCGGGGTTCCCTATCCGAGGCTGCACGAGGAATGTAGCCAGAGGATTGACGCTCTAGAAAGACGAAGTTTGTAAAGCTAGCCGCGTATATTGGCAGTTGAAAAATGATCTTCCAAGTGGGAGGCTTTTCTCCGGTGTGTTGAGCGGCGCGGTACGTGACAATACTACCCTTAAGTTCAATGACAGCCTCATGATTCACAGCCTCATCAACCAAGATATTTTCGTTTGAAGAATCGATGAGGACTATGTTATAGAATTCGTCAGCTTCGTTCTTCTTCTTCATGATAGCTACGCCATCTCTCTGTATGGGTGACCCATTCTTCATGATCTTGACAGGAACTCGTCGAGAAGTCTTTCGTTCATCGAAAATTGAACGCGATGGAATCTGCGATGGCTTCTTAAGTCCCAATTCATCAGCGAACTTGAGGATTTTCTGCGGAGAAGTAATGGCTTGTGGCTGAACAGATTGCTGTAAAGCAGAAATATCTTGAGACTTCGAAGCTAGCTGTGAAGCAGGCACGGGCTGTGACTGAGCAGGTTGTTCTGGAGAAGGACCCCACTTCGAACCCAGCAGTCCTTGGCTCCGAAGAGAGTTAGTTGAAGCACCGTCTTGAGCATGACTAGTAACGCCATTGACAGATGTCACAGGGACAGATTTAGCCTGGCCAGACCGGTCTGTACGAGGTGTAAGCTGGGCTTGCGAGGCTGTAGTAACGACTGGCTTAGCTGAAAGCTTTGATGTAACCGACTCTCCAATACCAGCCCACTTCAGAAATCCGTCACCATTGTCGAGCATGACCCGTGGTAGAACGGGCTCTGGAAGGATAGGCTGTGGATTAACTGGCTGAGAGGGTCGGTTGTGAGTGTTTCCTTTTGACTGACGACTAATGGCAGGTGGAGCACCAGCAACGTGACCTGGGTGACGATGTGTAGGAGGGTTGAGAGCTGAGGATTCGATAGCTCCACGAAGGCGAGCCATGACTCTATCGACGTGAGTGCTACTCTTCATATTATCTCTAGCCTTTTGGAAGAATGACTTTGGAGTAGAAGCTGAATCGAAGCGTCTGTAGGAAAATGGTTAGCGTCACAAAGAAGGAGTAGAATTGTCCAAAATACCTCTTGTCCTGACGATCATGTCTCACAAAGCCATTGCCGCCTTGTTCATATCCGCCACGACCTCCTCTACTGCCACCACGATGTCCATGAGAGAAGTGACCACCTCTAGGGGCGCTATTGCCTCGAGATCCACCCGATGAAGCACCTCTTCTCAAGCGATACAATTGTCCATCAGCGATGTTATCAAGATCTGCCTTAGTAGGATCGACAGGTTCTTCAAGATGGAGATCTTCCTTTTATTAGTAAATTAAAATCAACTGCGTCATATCTGACTGTCGACTAAGAGGTCGAAACTTACTATGCCAAGCAGCAATTGCTGTATTTGCGATCTTCTTAGGCTTCTTGAGAGGTTGCAAGTATTCGACAGGGGGTCCTTTATCAGCAAGATGTAGGTTATCTACTCGGCCGAGACCAAGCTCTTCCATCATTGCAGCTTGGAGCTGAGCTAGCTGTTCTGCAGTGTATTCCTTTTCAGGTGCCACCGTGCCGGAAGGGTGACCGGGATCGTTGTCCATGATTGAGGGCTTGGGTAGCTGTCGCTACGTTGGCAGATCGTTCAGGTCAGTATTTGCTGACTTGCTTGGATCTGTACTCCCGTAAGTCAGTATAGGAGAACTGAGATACTCGATGTTTCCCGTGGAAAAATGAAGATCGGGAGTGTTGATGGTTTGCGGCAGCCTTGAGAAGGACTACTTCTGGGGGGCGGGAGATAAGCATCGAAGCTGCTCATTGCTGTCGAGAACTCGAGGTGAATTTGGAAAAGGAAATAAGGCAGAGATAGAGAAGCCACTAATTACAGTGAGATGGAACGCGTCGAGCCTTGATTCTATTGTGCTCTTGTAAGGAAAGTGAGCCTAAGCTGTAAGATGTGCCCAAACAGCAACAGAGACTTTCTGTTCCCCAAAGTTGCAGAATGAGAAGAGGCAGACGTGATAAGCACCGTGGCGATGGGCAAGCGGAGTAAAGGAGTCTTACCCAGCGAATTCAATGTTTTGTGTTCACAAGAGCCAAACAGAGGCACCCGGAGCCACCGTTCGTAGCTGAATAAATTGGCTAGACACTGGAGAATTTCGAGGACGATCAATAACGAGAGTGTGTACGCGAGTTGCAGGAGTAGCAACGAAGGTGGAGTGAAGCGGCCAATTGACCAAGGGGGAGAAGAGATGTGCGTGTTGTTGTTGTTGTTGTTTGTGTTTGGCAGAGGTGCACGATCGCGTGGGGGGGAATGATATCGCTAGGGAAGGAGCGATCGGGTCTCGAGAAAAGCCGAATCGAATACCCCATTTGAAAAGGGGCCCATCCAGGATACAAGTGAAGACTCTTAATATCCCAAGCATTTCATATCCACCTCAAAGAAGAATCCCGCCGAGATTTATTCATGTAGACGTAGAGGCCCCTCGAAAATCAGCGAAGTCAAACGAGTATCTCATATTCGATCACGAAAGCACGAGAGGTACTGAGGCAAGTACATACCTACGAGCTGCTATCCTCTAAACCTTTGGCACTCATGATCAACTGACACCGTACGTAAGCAGCTAGTTACTCACGATACCATATATTCAGTGAAATAGAATCAGAATGTGTTGCAGGTTCGCAATTAGCAGTCTGCGAGCTTAGTGCACCAAGGCCTATCGCTAACTTCGACGTGGTGCGCTGGAGGCACGAAGAGTTAACTGGCCTCGCAGTCAAGATTTGCAGAATCAACTTTGAAGAAACTTCCAGTACACACGGCGAGATGTTCGCTGTAATCGGCATTTCACGCCTGTCCTTGGAGCCGTCATACCAAATGTTAATCATCTCGTCCCAAAATTTCTGTTTCCCTGATACTCCATGGATAATCCACAGATACTGAAAGGGCACCGAGATGGGAACCAATACACAGGCAGCTTCAGTTGTGAAGAAATGAGCCAAGCATTGATGCCAATTGTCTGAACTGCTAGCTCTGAGCTAAGTAAGAAGGAAGAAAGAAAGAGTTGGGGAGCTGACGTCGTAGCATTGCAGAAAGCCCCCCAGATCAAACGACCCATACCCTCCAGCCTCATCGAATGAAACAAAACAAGAGCAACGCAAGTGCAGAGTGGAGAAGGAAGACAATATAGGAGGTCTCGGACGATCGTACTATGCTTGAGAACAGTGGACAGGATAGAATGGTTGGCAGGCTTTTGAAGACCATACCCGCGCGCGAATACCACACTCTCAAGAGGCAGACAAATTCGAGAGGTAGACAAATTCAAGTGGCAAACAAACTCAAGAGGCAAACAAACTCAATAGGCAGACAAACTCAATAGGCAGACAAACTCAACGAGCACCCAACCGGCTGGGACTACCCGTCCTGAGATGTAGCTTTACTCGAAGTCAAAGTCCTACATGTAGCTCTTGATTCTACTTAGTTCACGCGAGGACAGTAGCTCTGATGCCTTTACAAACAGGGTGGGGGAACGCAAAACAACAATAAAGAAAGGCAATTACAGTGCGCAAGAGACGGCTGGCTTGATCCACAGCTAATTGCCTAGCGGCAACTTGATGGCAAGCGACCTCGAATCCCTGTCAGGAGCAGGGCGATCAGCTGCTGTGTAGCAAAAGCATCGAGTACATCTAAATCAGATTTGCTGGGTCAACTTCTTAGATGCAAGAAAGAGCCGCAGTGACAGGAGAAAGGAATTGGATTCATGTCATATGTTTCTTCTCAGCCCTAGCACGCGTTGGCTGACGTGTTGATCGGAATGAGCACAAGCCTGTCTGCATTCGTCCCTTGTACAGTACAGTATTTCACTGCGTTTCTCCATCTATATTTCGTGAATTGATAGTCAAATTTCAATGACGACGGAAAGAAAATGCATGGACTGGTAATAAATATCCCTCGAGGAGAGCTGAGGTCTGTTTAAACATCCCCTCCATCTGGGGAAAATGTGGAGTTCCCCGAGCCAATCAACTCGGCCCCATTTGAAAAGTCACAAGTTCATGCCGACATCGCCTTGGAGCGACAACTTTTTCTTCATTGCACTTACAAACTCCCCCATTTGTGACAATCGCATTCAAGATGAGGGCCGGGCTTCTGAATAGTAGCAGGTCTGCTATTAGGGTATTTATGCTTCCAAAATTTAGTATTAATTCCTCAATTGACCCTTGCAATAGAGCTCGACAACAAATCTCCTTCGCCAGCGCTGTGCACGAAGCCTCGCAACAGTGAACACCACTACCTACACACCTGATATCGAGTCCCGAACTCCACCCTACCCTCTTCTACTCAACAGACTCAAGACCGTCCGCAAAACTCTCAGTCCAGAGCGCAAACTCACTTTGGCCGAAAAGATCCTCTATTCCCACTTAGCCAACCCTGCCGAATCCCTCCTCTCCAATACAGACAACGGCCTCAATATCCGCGGTAATGCAAATCTCAAGCTCAAGCCCGACAGAGTGGCCATGCAGGATGCTTCTGCGCAAATGGCGCTCTTGCAATTCATGACCTGCAACCTCCCTTCGACTGCTGTTCCTGCAAGCATACACTGCGATCATATGATTGTTGGAGAACGAGGTGCAGATGTAGATCTCCCAGAGTCAATTAAGGGAAACAAGGAGGTGTTCGACTTCCTAGAATCTGCGGCGAAGAAATATGGCATTGAGTTCTGGCCTCCAGGAGCAGGAATCATTCATCAGACTGTCTTGGAGAACTACTCTGCGCCAGGTCTGATGATGCTCGGAACGGACAGCCATACACCCAATGCTGGAGGATTAGGAGCAATTGCCATTGGTGTTGGTGGTGCAGATGCAGTCGACGCTCTAGTCGACGCGCCGTGGGAATTGAAAGCTCCCAAAATCCTCGGAGTCAGACTTGAAGGGAAATTGAACGGCTGGGCCTCGCCCAAAGATGTCATTCTCGCTCTTGCGGGTAAATTGACTGTTCGCGGAGGCACAGGCTATATAATTGAGTATCATGGGTCTGGTGTTGATTCGTTGAGTTGTACTGGTATGGCTACAATCTGCAACATGGGAGCTGAAGTCGGAGCTACAACCTCTATCTTCCCTTTCTCGACCAGACATATCCCATACCTTGAATCAACGCACAGAGCTTCGATTGCGGCTCAAGCACAAGCTATTGCTGATTCGCCAGCCCATTTGAATCTTCTCCGTGCGGATGAGGGGTGCCACTACGACGAGCTGATCACAATCGACCTTAGTACACTGGAACCACATGTCAACGGACCAAATACTCCCGATTTGTCAACTCCTCTTTCTGTCTTCGCAAAGGCAGTCAAGACCAACAATTGGCCTGAGACCGTTTCGGCTGGTTTGATTGGAAGCTGCACGAACAGCTCATACCAGGACATGACCAGAGCTGAGGATCTTGTCAAGCAAGCTACAGCAGCTGGGTTGAAACCAGCTACCGACTTCTTCATTACTCCTGGAAGTGAGCAGATTAGAGCTACGCTTGATAGGGATAGCACTATTGCTACATTCGAGGAGGCTGGTGGCATTGTGCTTGCCAACGCCTGCGGCGTAAGTCTCTTCTCTTGTGCAATGTCCTGGGCTCATCTTGGACATTGAGAACGGAGACACGATGAAGCTAACTTCCTTTCAGCCTTGTATAGGTCAATGGCAGCGCACAGATGGTATTGAGAAAGGTACCAACAATGCCATTTTCACATCCTACAACCGGAACTTCCGTGGCCGAAACGATGGCAACCCAGACACAATGAACTTCCTCGCCTCCCCCGAAATCGTAACAGCCATGTCCTACGCAGGATCTACGTCTTTCAATCCTCTAACAGATACCCTCACCACACCCTCCGGCGAACCATTCCGCTTCTCACCTCCAACCGGGTCCGAACTTCCAACAGGCGGCTTCGAAGTCGGCAATCCAGCCTTCCTCCCCTCATCCGGATCCCCATCCCCCCAATCCGAAGTCGTTGTATCCCCCACCTCAGACCGGCTCGCCCTCCTCGAACCCTTCGCACCCTTCCCCCAATCCGACCTCAAAGATCTCAAAGTACTCTACAAAGTAACCGGCAAATGTACCACCGACACCATCTCCGCCGCCGGTCCCTGGCTCAAATATAAAGGCCATCTCCCCAATATCAGCGCCAACACCCTCATCGGCGCCATCAACGCCCGCACCGGCGAAGTAAACGTCGCCTACGACTTCGACGGCAGCACCTCCGGCATTCCAGAGCTCGCCCAGAAGTGGAAAGACCAGAACATCGAATGGCTCGTCGTAGCAGAAGACAACTACGGCGAAGGATCAGCGCGCGAACACGCTGCTCTACAACCTCGTTATCTCGGTGGACGAGTCATTCTCGCTAAATCTTTTGCGCGCATCCATGAAACGAATTTGAAGAAACAGGGTGTAGTGCCATTGACGTTTGCGAATGGCGAGGACTATGGCAAGATTGATGCGTGTGATGAGGTTGATACCGTGGGATTGTATGATGTGTTGAAGAATGGCGGGAAGGGCGAGGTTGTGATTAAGGTTAGGAAGGCAGGGACTGGAGAGGAGATCACGATCAAGACGAAGCACACGCTCAGTGAAGATCAGTGCGGATTCATCCTGGCGGGAAGTGCATTGAATTTACTTGCCAAGATGCACAAATCGTCGTAGATTTTCGAAACTTGGGGAAGAAAAAAGGGCGCTCGGGTTAAGGATGCTGAAATGGAATGGATATGGATATATCCTGTATTGTACGTATGAAAATAGAGCCAAAAAAAAAAAAAAAAAAACTACCAAGAAACCTTGATTGATACCAAGAAAGCATCCACCTTTACCCAATCGATATTCAATATTCAATACCTTCAATCCTCTTTCTCTATCTCCCTCGACTGGTAGCTACTCCTCACACCAGGCGAAGCCTCCCAGGGCCTACAGTACTCAAGCAAACGTCCCATACCCCCCTCCCCCTCCAACACTAACACCATCCCTCCACCTCATCACACGCATCTCCATCTCCTCTTCTCCATCTTCATCCTGTTTCTCATCTTCACCCATCTCCTCCTCCTCGCCATAACCACAACCCCGAACATAACCACCCCGAGTCAGGTTCGGACCCTGGATATAGCGACATAACACTTTATAAAGCACGAATGATACTACCAAGCAGAGGATAATTAGAGAGAGTCCGATGAAAAGCTTGTTAGGTTGTGAAATTGGTGGTGGTGGTGGTGGTGGTGTTTGGAGGGGGGAGAGAGAGGTTGACGATGTGGGTGCGACAGTAGGTGTGCTGAGAGGTGTGATGATGTAAGTGTGCATTTTGATGATTAATATATGATGATTTCCCCCCCTTGCAAGTGGTTTGGTATGACCTTCGCTTGCTTGCTGCTTGGCTTTTATGAGTATTATGTGCTGGACAGGAGGCGTGGATGTTCAGTTGTGATGCAGTGTAACTAAGTGTAGATATGTGTGCGAGAGAAATTCAGATTCGGTTCTTTTGTATGTATTAGTGGACAGAAAGTGCGTGGGAATTGATCCGCATTTTTACTTTCTTAGAATAGGGAGTTTGAGATTGCTTTCCCGACTGCGAAGTGACGAAGTCTAGTGGTAAGTTGTAGTTTGGTCCACACTAGCTCCCGCTGCCAACCAGTCGAAATCCATATCCCCAATTCGCCCAACGCCAAAGGTACCAGAATTTCGGGCTCTAGCTCAGGGTAAAGACCCTGAGCCCAGTCCCTACACTATTTCATGCATTAATGGAGCACTATTCCATACTAGCTATGATTTTCCCGTCAGAACTAGGAAGAAAGAACGCTTTAGTATGATCAGTCCGTTCCAAAATGCCGGTTAGGACTTGTAAGGACTAGTTTTGGTATTCAGTCAATTTATCAATGCTACTACTGTATCTAAATTCATGAAAAGCACACTTTGTTCCTCTCTTTCAAACACTTTCATCCATCTTTCTTCCATTCAGTCATTCCAGTATCAGTCAAGCATATATCGCCAAGTTAGCGTCTCAAACAGCACAGCAAAGTCCATACGCACTGTACCAAAACGCCGCTTTCCAGAAGATAAGTCTTCTAGCAGCAAACAAATCTCGAAACCAGTCAAGAGCCAATCCCCAAAAATGGCAAGCCTCACCAACCTCCCCACTCCTCCCGAACACTACCACCTCCTCTCAAACCTCACCACCCTTACAAACACCATCACCAACTCTATCACCAACTCCACCCACACCACACTTCCACCCACCCCCAGCACCACAGACCAAGCCACCCCCTCCACCACAAACACAACCCTAATCCTCCCCCTCATCTCCATCAGCATCCCCCTCATCTTCACCACATTTCTCATCGCCGCCTACTACATCTCCAAACACCGTCGGCAAAGCAAATCCAAATCTCAATCCCAAACTCAATCCCCTCTCGACCCTCACACCCACACCCACACCAGCTCCAGCATCCACACCCCCACCAACACCACCAACGTCCCTCTATACGTTAGAAACATGAGTCTTCTGCGAGGAGTAGGAGGAGGGAGGAGAAGAAGTCTGAGTACTACCATCACCATCGGATTAGAGGACATAATTGGCGGTAGATTTAGTGTGGAGGATGGAGAGTGGAATTCACCACCGCCGCCGCCGCCGTACACTGAACGGTGGGAGGATGTGGATATAGATCTTGAGGAAGGAGTGTTGAGACGGCCGCCGCCTGCGTATCATCCTCTGTTCTAGAATGGGTCGCTATATTGGGAAGGAGGAGAAGAGAAGAAGAGAAGAGAAGAATATAATCATCCTCGAGGACCACCAAGCTGTAGAGACGCGCAGAGGTGCAGAGGCGCGAAGAGGTGCAGTGCGGAGTCATAAGAGGCCTGCAATGTTCTGTGAGGGAGAAGGAACAGGCCACAGGACGTATAGTGGTTGGCTTTCTGGGCGGGTGGTTTTCTGTCCGTGTTGCGGGACACTTCGGCCCTCCCTGCTGTCAAGATAGGCACGCAGGGCGGTGGTGTGTTGCTGATCTGCGTAATGGCGTTTCTGTATAGATATAGATCTTAGCTAACATGTATATGTCTTTGGCGTGGAGTGAAGAGACGGTGGCTCTGGGTTAATTCTCGAAATGGGACAGGATGAGATGGTTAGGGATGGCTACCAAAGGAGACGACCGTCAAGGTCAAATGCTTTTGTGGAGATACTCACTCGGATCAGTAAATGGAACCTGATGGCTGGACATCGCACCTGGATGGCGTCGGAAAGTTCATAAATACTACACACTGTAAATAACGCCATTTCCCCTTCGCCCTTCCATTCCCCAGACCACAAACGCCACCATGATCATGACCATGCCAAACGCCCCTGCCCTTCCCATGTTCAATGCTCGATTATCTAGCCTCAGAATAATCATTCAGCGCAACACACACCAACCCCCGATGATGCCCATTATACTGCCGAATAATCTGCTCACTATGCAACTCCCAAAGTCTGGCATAATGATCCGAACATGCAGTGACCAAATACGCCGAATCAGCACTGAACGCACAATCCCATACCCATCTCTGATGACCCGTCAATGTACTCTCCAGCTTGAACGGCTTGGGATTCTTTGGATCCGAGCAGGCCTGCCCGGGAATAGGAAGCATCGATTCGAGGTCCTTGACTTCCCAGATCTTCGCTGTGTGGTCCGCGCTGCATGTTGCGAGGTGCTTGACATCTGGGGAGAGGAGTACTCGTGTGATGTAGTTGCTGTGTGCTTGGAAATGGGTGATTGGGACGAGGGTGGTCTTTTCACGGTATTGGAGGAGATGCCATACATAGACATTGCCCTGGAGGAATTAGCTAGGCTCCTCAAAATAAACCAGCGCAAGAATTACTCACAGAATTCGTACCCGCGCATAAAGTCGACCCATCACTGGCAACAGTGACACTCGCAACTGGCACATCCTCCTCCGGAATCAATTGATGCGAGCAATTGTTCTCTGCCAAATCCCAAATCCGCACACTTCCTCCCCGATCACAACTTATAATCTCGCCTTGGTTGGGATGAATCACTACATCGTTGACAGGGCATCCATGCGAGTAGCTGCGCTGCACGGAACCACTCCTCGTCTCCCAGATCTTGACTGTGCCATCTTCAGAACTCGTAACCATCCACTTGCCTTCGCAATGGAACGCGACGCCTGTTACATTGCCAGTATGGCCTTCGAATGCGAGGAGAGGGTTTGGGTTCGTGGACTTAATATCGTAGAGTTTGACTGTGTGGTGACCAGCGGCAGCGAGGAAGCGTTTGTCGGGGGAGATGCAGAGGCGGTTGACTTGGGAGTCGGAGTGTTGGATTGTGCGGGAGCAGATGCCTGACAAAGCTTCCCAGAATCTGGGACGTTAGAAGGAGCTTTCACATGGAGAGCGAGGAATGCGCATACCTTATTGTGTGATCATAGCCAGCTGTTGCGAACACACACGTGTCGTAGTCAGCACGGTCTCGAATATATGCCATGACGGCTTCAAGGTGGTTTTCTGATGGAGAGTTGTATGGTGTGAAAGAATTCGAGAGAAGACTTACCGGTGCAAAGAATGACCGACATCTTGAGATGTCTCGCGACAATACCTAGGGATAAAGATACAAGGGCAGGATCTTGTGAGTGTTGGTTGCTCCTTCCTTTTCTTTGGCCTTGCCTTGAGCTTCGCTGACGTCGCGCTGGCAAATCAGATTAGAGTGATGAGCAGGGGTGCGCTAATTCAGCCTCACTGCAAGCATCAATCGCACCACAGAACGACTGAGATCTCCAACTTTAATTTCACGGCCTGGAGAGACCGTCGCGGATATGACTATCTATAACTCGTCCTACTCCAAGGCAAACACAAAACAATGTTCTCATGACACTTATTCCACATTGCCATTGCAGTGGATTTCTTACTTGTGGGCTAAGCCAGATCCACTTACCGACCGTTCACCACCCATCCGTTCTGGATACCGTTCAGACCTGCAAAGCATCATAGCCGTGGCAACATGATTACTCTACAATGAGTACAACAAGAAGCTTTCTACGGAGCTCTTCTCCCCTGGGGCGCAATTCATCGCAAGCCCAGCTATGGAGATGCGACGAGTGATACTGTTCCTATGCACGCTCAGCACATGGAGCGGCAAGCCACAACGCTGTGGCTGAAGCTAACCGAGCCCATATCAACACGACCAAACACCCGCTTCGCATTAACACTTCACATTTCTCCAATCAGCAAGAATTAAGTTCCCGATACAATACTTCTGTACTTGACTACGTGTTACAGATATCGCAAAGAATAAAATATTCAAGCCGGATGATTTGCTGTGGTTGACCTACCCCAGTCGTTGCTCCAGGATTTGGCGGGGGAGAATGCGGCGCCAGCGCCAAGACATCTCGAGTTCACCTCAACTTTGGACTTCACTTCTCAAGAGTATATTCACTTTCTCGGCTTCATAAACGCCACTATGAGAAAAAGAAGGAGGCTGGATAAGCGCAAGCGAGTGGGAAAAAAATCGTTTGCAAAATGCCGCCCACGATTCCGTCCTCCTACTTTTTTCAACAATTCCTTCTCATACTCTAATTGCAAACCCAGCTACACTCTCATCATACCAACTCGCATCATTGCAATACCAAAACATACAATCCACTTCAATCCCTACTTCAATCCTTACTTCCATCCTCACTTCCATCCTCACTTCAATCATCATGTCCGACTTCTGGAATGACCCAGCGATGCAGCAGATGATCGATGACTGGCAGCCTTGGATGTCTCAAGACGCGGACATGGCTCCCGGAGGCATTGACAGATTGCTATCCTTCAACCAACAAGGTACTTTGATTGCTAGCAGCGAGAGCAATACCCATACTACCCAGACCCCGAACCAAGCTGGCTCAAAGAGTATCGATGAGAACGCTTCAAAAAATTCGGGACCCTTCGAGGAGCTCTTCGACGAACAAGGTGGTTCAGATGTTACTGACGAGTACGGTACCAATGATGCTGGTTTCGTGAAGGGCCAAGAGTGTTCCGAGGCTACCTACGAGAATACCGCCTGTGGAATGGGATTCTACGACCAGCAAGACGCGTCGGAGGCTACTTACGAGAACACTCCCAATGATTCGGATTTCTTCGATCACCAAGAATCTTCTGAGTATTCTCCTGAGAATGCTATGGAGCAGATCGAGCGTACCTACAAGGAGGAGATCCAACAACTCAAGGTAAGCAATCATGGTAGCTTCAGACATGTATCGAGTCACTAACATTAGTAGGCCGCCCACGAGAAGACCATCAAGGAGATGGAGATGAACTTCCAGCAAGCTCTTGCCGCTAAGGAAGCCGAAGTCAACACCGCAAAGGCGGAGGCCTACCAAAACCTCAAGTGCGTGCACCAGATGTCTCTTCAGGTCAAGAAGTTCGCAGAGAACATGAATGCCATGCAGATGAAGATGAAACAGATGAAAGCCACAGTCAACTCGCTCAACTTCCCCGACACTCCCAACTCCTCCACCTCAACCACCTCTCCCGACACCAACTTCTCCTTCACCTACCATCCCTCTCAAACATTCACTCCGACACGATCAACCCAACCATTCACTCCCCAGAGCCCAGCTCAGCAGTACTTCTTCGACAATGGCACCGGCACCGGCACCGGCATCTCTATCCCACCTACCCCCATCCCCTCCACCCCGGACCCGGCCCCAACCAAGAAGCGCAGGGCTTCAGCCTCGCCCTTCATCGGGCAGTTCTACCAATGCCGGCAACAGTGCAACAACAAGATCCCCAGCAAAGATCCCAACGGCAGGGTGGCCTCGGCCAAAGACGGCCGCACCTTGTTCTGCGGAGTGATCAACAACCAGTACATGGCTGGTGGCAAGACTCCTGGCGAGCACAGACAGCGCTGTGTCAACAGAGAGTGTAGGAAGTACACTGATGTGAAGGAGAAGCATTGGGTGGAGGGGTGGGTGGTGGATGTGTATGGGGTTGGGGGGAAGGCGCCGATGGAGACTCCGAAGTGGGTTGTTGCAGGGGGTGTTTGAGGGGGTGAGGTGAGGAGGAGGGTGAAGGGAGGGTGGGTTGGGATGGTGGGGCGATGGGGGGGATAGGAGGTTATTTAGATGATTATATTTCAATAAAAGGTGTTTGTGGGTCGGTTTCTATTTCCTGTGACTTCATGAAAACTATTCTGTATGTGGTTTGTCCAAGACAGTGATACCTCTAATCTTCAAGACATTGTAATTCATGGTAACCCAGATAGCTAATCAACCCAAGACTAACTATATATACTTTAAATATAATGTGAAGCTGATTGAATGACTTGATGGAAGTATCTTTGAGCAGTGAGCTTTGAATTTAAGTAAGATGTACTCAGTTTAGAGACTTCAAGCTATAGTGTTGATTTCCCAGAGCTTCCCAAGAGATAGAGATATGCTTCTTTTCGAGAGCGTGTTTGCCACTTAGTCGCGGACGCAGTTTATCTCAGATTGACATCATGGAGTCCTCGAATAGATCAGAAGCCAGAAGAACATTTCAGTCCACCTACACCACACGCCAGTATCGCTTTCAATTGTGCGGAGACGGAGAAGGTTCTCATACCTAGCACTATGTGATCCAGTCCAACGCAGTGTCCTATTGTACGCCAAGTCCACTTCACTCCCACAATAGTACAATACCTTCACAGCAAAAGAAATAACTCATCAAGCGATTACAAAGGAACAGAAATGTTTGAGCCAAAAACCTGCAGTCGCGAGGAGCAAACAAATAACCTTCTCGCTTAACCCCTCCTTTCCCCTCCCCAGCGATCGAGAGAAGCCACATTCCTTGGCCAGCGAATCATCTCTAGCCTGCCTAAACTTACCACATCTTACCTTTCCTTTCCCTTTCCTTTGCCCTCTACAGGAGCCCCCCTTCCCCGAAGCGAAAGTCCCAGTCCAGCAAGTCAGCAGTAGGTACTAGGTAAGACAGCCCCCGTAATCATCCCGTTCCCCGCCTCGCCTCGCCTCGCTCGGCATACCTATCTATGCAGAGTCAGTCACGGGAAGTCGTGGTTTGGACGCGATGAGGGGGTTTGGGGCTATTTTTAGGAGCGGTCTGAGATTTGCGGGAGGGGGAAAATCGCGATTGGGATGATCTCGATGAGTTTTAGTTTTTAGTGAGACAATGAGACGGGATTGAGGGGTTTGCTGCCTGGTGGCTTTGGCTTGGCTGGATTGTTAGGGCTGGGAGTTTGGGAATTGGGAGGGAGGAGGAGGGGCATAAATACTGGTGTTGTTCTCGCGGCGCACTTACTTCAATCCATCAATCACGGCTGCGATTGCAATTGAAACTTCCACTTCCACTTCAACTTCAACTTCAACAATCAGATAGCTCTTCGCTACGATACAAATAGCCCACAGAACACTTCCAGCTAGGCTACGTAAGCTTCATTCTCGATACCTTCATAGAGAGCTCAATACTGTGTATGTCTTCCTCCAACGGATCCTCCCCAGCCCAAAGACCTCCCTCACGCCTATCTCACCCTAAGCCAAAGCAATAACTTACGTTGAATCTCCAGACTCAAGAATCTAGATTCTCTCCAATTCAAACCGCCGTACCTTTTTCAACTCATCCCCAAAATGCCACGCTTCATCCTCTTCCTACGCGCCGACAAGCAAGCTGAGACTGATCTCGGTACGTCTACACCTCACTTTTCCCCTCTCCCTCCCCTCCCTCCCCCTCTCCTCTCACCCTTCCTTCTTTCCCCCTTCCAGCATCCAAACCTCCCACTAACCCCCTCTCTCCCCAGGCGGACCCCCCGAAATGTTCGCCGCCATGGCCGCCTACAACGAATCCATGGTCGCCGCCGGCATCATGCACTCAGGCGAAGGGTTGCACCCATCCAAATCCGACGGTCGAAGAGTCGTATTCCATCCTGGAAAGAAGGCAGAGGTGCAGAGTGGGCCATTTCCGTTGAAGGAGTTGGTGTGCGGGTGGTGGGTTATTAAGGTGGGGAGTGTGGAGGAGGCGGTGGGGTGGGCCGAGAAGTGCCCTTGTATGGGGGAGGTGAGTTGTGATGGTTTTACTTGATGTTGGACTTTATCTTTGTGTCTACACAGTGTACGGTATTGTTAGATCATGGGGTTGGAGGAGAAGCTGTTGGATTTTTGCTGACGTGTGATATTAGGGATCTGTGATTGAGGTGAGGAGAATTGCGGATGCGGAGGATTTTACGGAGGGGTTTGATGATGATTTGAAGAAGAGGGAGGAGGATTTGAGGAAGAAGACGGAGGAGATTGCTAAGAGGGGCTGAAAGATAGATGAGTTGGTTTTGGCCGACTGTCTGCAGCGTTGTTATGTTAGGTCGTGTTTGGTGTTTGAGCAGAGAGCAAATTCACGCTCGTTTACTACCAAAAGTTGATCTCCTTCATCTCGACGTGCCCTGATCAGTTGGGAGATGAAATTTCAGCAGTGAAGATGGAATTCTAAGCACAACGAATCATCATACGTTTCTGATAGTGAAGCTGTCGTCGAAGCTGAGCGGTCTATCATGCTACTACCACAAAATCTCCCGAGCTCTTGAACCCATAAGCGTTCGGTAATGTCTATTGAGATTTGAGTGGTGGTGATTGTGAGTTCCATTGATACGCTGCCGGGATGAAGAGCTGCGTTTGGCTGGTATTGGCGGCGGACAGGCTGCTCCCAGAGATGCTGGATTCAGGGCCTTCCAACTCATCTGAACCCTCAAAGTGACAGATTATTTGAAAGCAGCTACATGCACAACTACCATCAGGACTTCCCACAAAAGAGTCTGGGAATGTTGTTTCAATAGATGGATAGTCTCAATCGTATCATCCGATTCGGTCAAGGCCCGACGCCCGCCCAGCGTTGGTGGTTCTGCTGTCGATGAATTTTATTTAAATTATACATCAATACTCGACATATCGTCCATCATTAATGGTAAAATACTTCTGCGAATACAGAATTCTGAATCATATCTACGAAAGGGGGTTCGCTTAGACATCAACAGTCCACAGTCCCCTGTCCTCCCCACATTCAAGCGTCATGCGGCACAGCATTCCAACCAAAACGATCTCTTCAATGCCTAATTTCTGTCTCCATTTCTAGTATCAACAACCATGAATTCGTGAGCTACTCAAATCAAATGCTCATCACTAAACCTCTCCTATGGCTCATCACTGCCGTCTCCGTCGTTGCGGCGATTGGGAGCAATACTTGCAGTAGTGATCTCAAACCCCAGCCAATCGGCATCGATTTTGGGTCTAACGTGGTGTAGGTTCGACGCGTTCTATCCAACCCCATCCCACTACCAACTGTATATCAACTATACAGATAACCTTTCATTTATTTTTCAATTTCAATTCGCAATTATAGTTACTCAATTGACAAATATCTAGAGTCGCAACCTACGCCTACACCTCCAAAAACATAACCACCATCTCCTGGCTCTCCCCACCCACCTACCACCACACCATCTTCCGCCTCAGACTAGAAGACTACCAAGCCAAACAAACAGCCAAAATCCTCTGGGGCATCAACAAAAGCGAGAGCCAAACCCTCAAAACCCTCAAAACTGCTTCCCAAGCCTACCTCTCACCGATCCTCACCCCACTCAGCAGCAAATTCACAGCCCTGAAAAAATCCCACCCCGTTCTCGAGGACACGATATCATGGCTATCCGGAAAATTTTCATTTCTCTTCACATTCGTGAGATCAAGATTCAGCAAATCCTGGTTCAACGAAGATCTCACCTTGCAAGACGTCAAGAATGAGTTCATCTCAATCTTGAACGAAACCAAACTTTCCGTCGCTGCATCACACCCCGACCCCTCAAACCTCAACACCAACACCACTATCACCTTCGCCATCTTCTCCGTCCCCGATTTCTTCAACCAAACACTCTGTGACCTCGTAATCGAATCCGCGCTTGAAGCCGGCATCGAGAGTCTCCCCGTCACGATCGCAAGGACGGTTGCCGCTGGAATAGGAGCCCAAGTTAGAGAGGTATTAGATGAAACCACCTCCCATTCTTCTCCCTCTCAATGGATGAGATCACAATATCAATCTCAATCGAAAGCCAAGAATTCAATCTGGGACGCCAATGGCCTGACCAAACTCAACTCTCCCAGCAAAAATCCCGAACCCACCAGCCTAGCACTCAACCTCCCCTCCAAACGGCCCGAAAAAATCCTCATCATCGACCAAAGCCGCTTCTACGCCGCGTTACGCACTTACGAAGTTGAAGATCGCTCTCTGGCCGCAAGACGTGCATTAGCGTCATCTCGCGCAAATGCAATGAGGAATGGCACAGGATATGGAGATGAAGACTGGGATGGAGAAAGAGGGGTTTTCCTGCAGAAATACCTCCCGCTTGATCCGTATGGGAGTCAGATTATAGATACGAAGTTGTATCAGCGGGTGTTGGAGCAGGAGGTGGTGTTGAAGGAGGAGATTAGGTGGGGGGCTGGGGAGGAGAGGTTGAGGGATGAGGTTGCGAGGGGGAGGTTGTTGATTAAGGATGCGTTGGATAGGGAGGTGCTAGGGTTTTTCGGGAAGAGGGGGGGTGAAGGAGGAGATGGGGATAGGGAGGAGGAGATGGATAGACATCATGAGGAGTGGCCGTTGAATCTTAATGGGTGGAGTTCTTCGGGGAGAGATCTCCAGGTGACACTGAAGTGGGAGGATGTCGCTGCAGTTGAGGAGCATTTCGTCGATAAGTTTGCGGAGGCTGTTCATATGTTTCTGGTCACCTTGAGACGTACGTACATTCCCTTACCCTCCACGTTCCCTTCCTTTCCTCATCCTTCCTCAACCACCACACCATCCAGCTCCTAACACAACCCCCAGGAATCCGCACATCCAACGACCAAACCACCCACCCCGAAACCATCCACACAGTAGTCATCCTCACCGACCACACCGATGGGCAACTCCTCACTCGCCCCGTCAGACAAGCTCTAGGTCAAGACGTCAAGATTGTTGGTGGTAGCTCAGCTTCTGTTACTTTGGCTGCTGAGGGAGCGGCGAAGTTGGCGTTGAGGAGGGTGGGTAGTTGGGAGGAGATGGTGAGGCGGGAGAGGCTGATGGAGTTTTTGGAGAGTGGTGAAGGGGAAGGGGACGGTGAGGGGAGGTGACGGTGAGGGGAGGTGATAGGTGGGAGAGCTTACTGGAGGAGATGTGGGACGAGGAATGAGCTGGAAGAATGAGTTGTTCAGAAGTAGGGTGAAGTAGAGTCTATCCCTTCCACCCCCAAATGGAACGTTTTTAACCTTTTGGATCCCGGTGGGAAGCGAGCTTAGCGAGCAAATCGGGATATACTTTTCTTGTGGAACGCTTACTTAAACTGGGGATTACCTCGCTTCTCGAGCTAGATCAGGGTGTTCTGCTCCACTTCTGCGTGCACCGACAAAAGGTGCCATTTGGGGGTGGAAAGGAAACTTGAATTGTTTGATGAGTAAAACCAAAATGATAAGGCCACGGTGGATACTTCTTCATCGGACGTCAGAATACTGCGGGAGACGACAGATGGCCGAAAAGGGGTGAGGTGGGTGTAAAAGACCAAGAGAAAGCTGGGAAGGAAATAGAAGGATAATCTTACAATTGGTAAGAGACGTGTGTTAAGGTCGAGAGAGGGCGTTGATCTTGGATGATGATTGTGCATTGGAGAAATTGACCAACTGATCTCGTTGTCTTTGAATAAATGCATTGTGTTGAGAACTGGGTATACGCAATGAAGAAAAAAAGGAGAAATAAATCGATGCCGTACAGTGGACCATATGGCCAAGCACCTCCATGATAATAAATCCAGCTTGAGCCTCCCTCATAGCCCTTTCATTGTCCACCAACCACTGGAAATACGCCGAGCGGAACCTCTTTCTTCTGCCGTCCAGGTCGACGAGGCTCCGGCTCTCGCTTTCTCTCCTGCATCACGAGCCGACCATCAAGAACCTTCGGCACACAATTTCCAAGGATCCCTTCCGGCACCCCAAAGAGCTCTTCAAGCCTCTGAATTCCTTCCCTGTATTCATCATCGTCACGCTTCTCTCTTGATTGGTGAAGGTCCCATCCCATCTCCATTCTCTCCTGTACAAGTTGTGGGCGTAGGATATTGCCGAAACACTGCTTTCTACTTGCTCTCGCCGCAATCTCGAGTACTTTTTGTGCTCTCTGATCTTTACTCATCCTTTGAGGCCAGACAATTCGTGGATCCACCGCACCCCATCTTTGTGTCTCGAGCAGTTCTTTGGGCTCGGGCTCGTAGGATGGATCTCGTTGTGACTGCTTCTGTATGAAAAAGTCCAGCTCACTCTCATCAAATCCATCAATCATCTCGGATGAACTTGATGCTTTCGATGATCCTGACAAAAGTTCATGCTCAAGAGCAGCAGGTGTCAAATCATTCACGATGTCGTCATTGATGCTTGGGGTTTGGGGAGATGATAATTCCGAAGAAGAGTCGGACATTGGAGAGGGAGGCTGTGGAAACAAGCGTCTGTTTCGAGCAATTCTATTTGGTTCGAGTGCGTCCGGGATCTCTTCATCGGCCCCAGCTCCAGCCATCGGCGAACCTTGACTTGACTTTTCAGGATATGCGATTATCGGTTCCAATAGTGGAAGCTGTTTTTCAACTGTGGAGGTTGAAGAATTGGGGTTGCCGCCAGCGCCATTCATTTCGTACAAGCCAGACCTCTTCTCAAGAGAGTTTATTAGGGGCAGAAAGTTACGATCTACCCTTTGAGCCGACTTGCGCGATTCCGAAGATGCGACTGGAGATTCACGTTGTGTTGTGCTGTCAACTGAGCTCGGATTCGCTCCCAAAGCCTCAGTCGGCTTTGTAGAAGGATCCTCCGTGTGGGCAAGACTTACCCTTGCCTGCTGCCCCCTGAAGTCTTCATGGGAAGCCACTCGCAGCCGTCGTCCGATTACGGGATTCTTGACGTGACTAGCATTATCTTTCGATCCTGCTGACCATCGAGAACCTTCGACTCTAGCGCTCTGCCCAGGAAAGGAACGCTTCCTCTTGTTCGTGACGAGTGGGCGATCATCTGGATGTAAGGGGTATAGTTTCATCTTTTGGAATGGTCTGGAGATTGTTGTTGGCTTTGAAAGATGTAGTTTACGAGCGGCTTGGGATCGTTCCATAACGGCACAGATAACGCATAAGTGCTTCGTGCTTGGCGGCTTGGGAGGCACAGCAGGTTTGCCACAGGCTGCCTCGCACAGAATGGTTTTTGTTTCGCCGTTGCTTTGGTTGTCTGTTGCTGGCTGGGTCTCCCCCGGTCTTTGATTGTTGATCGGACCATCTGTCCTAACACGGGCTACTGAAGTAGCAGGCTTCTTTCTCTTCTCTGTGCACCTACCACATGTGTAGTCCACTCTTAGATAGTGTTAGCAAATGAAGACTATATGGCTATTTTTAGGATTGTTACCTGTAGTCGATCAACCTGGGATTCGTGCAGCTCATGTGATATCTGCTCCTACATCTGATACAGGTAATGAGGGGAGAAGTCAAGCTTTCGGCGCCTTTGCATACCCTGCAGACGGTCGCATTGAAATTTGACGACATTGAGGTGAAGGAGCTTGCGTCGTCAACATGGTCGGAGCTGTGATTTGATTTCTAGTAACAGCAGTCAGCGATCGGCAGCATGAAGATATCGTAAAAATGTATGACGGAAGAATTGCGTCTCAGGTCTTTTCAGTTTGTTTTAGTCATCAACCTGCAGCTTAAGCGGCTTCGCATTTCGTCCGCACTCAACAGCTCTTCTAGCTTCGAGCAGAACCAGGAGTGCTGAGCGAATTCTTCCCAACCACTCTCTACCACAGCCTTTGGTTGCACTTCCTTGAGCATGAAGAGTTGCAACTCCTGATAGTGGTATTGTCCGAAGACATGAATCTATCCTACAATGTCATTTCTCTCCCTATACTTGCGTGAGAGAAATCTTGCCAATATTGATGGACTGCCATGCAAACCCTGGAAGCGCAAGAAGCGAGCGTCCTTACTGTACAAAAACACAAACTCGACCAAAACCAGAACAAGCATGAAAGCAGTCGGACCTTTTACCAGAAGTTCATCACAGACGCGCAAAGTCAGCAATAGAAGGGGCTAACGTACCTTCGAGGAGAGAGATTCCAATTTTTTGAAAGTGAGCCTGGAGGGTGGAGGTGACGATGCCATTTTGGTCCGAGAAGAGGCGGACGTTCAAGTATACTTTAGTTAGCGAGCAACAATTCGGTGTTCCGATGTAAGGTTAAGCTTCACACGCTTCTGGAGTGAAGCGGGCAAGCAAGGCAGACACTCCAGTCAGCACAGCAATTGGGCAACGGCGAATGCTGGCAATGCTGCGGCCGGGTGGATGCCCAGAATGCATCCAGGATGACACTGTGCAAAGATTGAAGAGAGCTTTCATACTCCCCCACTCCGACAATTCACATGTAAACAAGCAAGCGAAGAATGAAGAGACAAGCTTGTTGGTGTTGCGATGGGGAAGAAGCAGCAAGATGTCGTCGCGAAATGGATGGACGCGCTACCCCACTATCACGTGCCACAAGCCCAAGAGTTACGGCAGTCGAAGCCACATTAGGAGACGGAGCTTGGGAATAAAGCCAAAGGCACGAGACTGGCAGCAAGACAATCTTTACTGTTCTACATATTTTCTAATTTCTTGCTTGCTGCCATGGAATTTTTCAAATCTGCCGTCGCCTCAGCGATATCAAAAGGCCCTCCATTTCCTTACACATTTGGCGACCAAGTCGACGTCGATACCAGCATATGGACCCTTTACAATGGAACCAAGCGCGTGCGTAATTCCCACTCCAGCGTTGGAGCCACATGCTGATGTATCTCGCAGGAAGATGGCTCACCATGTAGTATATTCTCCTTCGATGTGACTGCGAACAAGTCCCGGCTGCCAATGGCAAAGAATGCTGTCAGAAAGCTACGAACGTTACGACATCCCGGAGTTATAAAAGTGCTGGACACGGTGGAGGCATGTATACGTAGAGATCTTGGAAGGACTATGCGACTGATACTGGTATAGACCGAGACGTACATATACATTGCGACAGAAAGACTGGTCCCTCTGCGGTGGCATATCAAGCGGAAGAGCATGAGTGCAGAAACACTGAAATGGGGTCTATTTGGAGTTGCGGTATGCTCGAGTCTTTGCCGTCGCGGAAAAGACCTTACTGATTGTCCTCTAGCAAACTATTAAGTTCATAAACGACGAGGCAGCTTCCGTTCATGGTGCCTTACGAGTCGGATCGATATATACCAGTGAAAGTGGAGAATGGAGAGTTGGAGGCTTCGAGGTTCTGAGTAGTATGAAAGATGACGAAGCTATAATATACGTATGCCAGCGATGTTCTCCCACCTTGAAACCTGGAACTGACGGTTTCTAGAACTATGGCAGTCTGGTCCCAGACTCTGGACGATATACACCACCAGAGCTGGCGAAGTCTGGATGGGAAACGATCAAGAAGAACCCATTACCTGCCGTCGACGCTTATAACTTTGGGACATTAATATTCGAGGTATTCAATGGAGACTTTATGGGAGGAGATCAGGCGGGCCAGACCAAGAACATACCTCCGAGCATGCATTCGACTTATAGACGGCTGGTGAACAGTAACCCAAAGGCGAGAGTCAGTACAGGGGCTTTTCTGGAGCAAGGACGTCGCAGTGGAGGTTTCTTCAACACACCTCTGATCAAGCTTACTGAAGGCGTGGACAATCTCGGAATGAAGAGCGAAGAGGAACGAGAAGAGTTTCTGGAGTAAGTACCTGGACTGACTGTTCGAACAAAAGCTGATTCTCTAGTGATCTTGATGAGCTGTCCGATGATTTTCCTGAAGATTATTTCAAAATGAAGATTCTCCCAGAGCTGCTCAAATCCGTCGAATTTGGCGGAGGTGGGCCGAAGGTGTTTGGCGTAGTAATGAAGATCAGCAAGAAACTCACAGACGACGAATTCGAATCCAAGGTTACACCAGCTGTTGTACGGCTATTCAGTAGTCCGGATCGAGCTATACGAGTTTCACTCTTGGATAACCTTCCCATAATGATTGACAGGCTGCCGCAAAAGATCGTCAATGACAAAATATTCCCTCAGATGGTATGACACAGCTTGTGAATCTCCAGGATTGTACACTGATACTTTAATAGGTCACCGGATTTACCGATGTAGCACCAGTTGTAAGAGAGCAGACAGTCAAGGCTGTCTTGACCATCATAGGGAAGCTATCTGACAGAACCATCAATGGCGAGCTCTTAAAATATCTTGCGAAGACATCCAATGATGAGCAACCTGGTATTCGGACCAATACCACAATTTGTTTGGGAAAGATTGCCAAGAATCTGGGCGTGGGTAATAGGGCCAAAGTATTGATCGCAGCGTTCACGCGATCGCTCCGTGACCCATTCGTCCATGCTCGAAACGCAGCCTTGATGGCCCTTGCTGTAACCTCAGATTCATTCAGTGAAGATGATTGTGCCAGCCGCATATTACCGGCACTCTGTCCCTCTCTCATAGACAAGGAGAAACTTGTTCGTGATCAAGCCAACAAGACTATGGATATCTACATGCAGCGCATCAGGAAGTTTGCTGCTACAATGCCGGATTCAGTTCTGCCACCACCGACAACAGAGACATCGGCAACACCCACACCTCGTATGAGCACTCCTCAGCCTAGCGAAGCCGCTTCATGGGCAGGTTGGGCGATCTCCTCGTTTACCAATAAGGTTTCCTCCGCAGCGGGTGAAATCTCGGCACCAGCTTCTAATGGAGCAGCCAACCCATCTCGACCTGCCTCTGCACCAACATCTGAGCCACGAAGACCTCCTGGAACAGCATCAGCATCAGCACTCCACCGACAAGCAGTGGCCTCTCCACCCGCGACCTCAGCACGAACCTCCACATCCTCAAATACCAACGACTACTTCCAAGATTCAACTGCAGCAGATGAAGACAACGATGCTGACGATGCATGGGGTAATATGGGCGAGGATTCTTTCTTTGACGTACCATCCGAAACGCCAAAACCTCAACCAGCAGCAAAGCCGTTTGATGATGATGGCGAACCAGACTTTGCAGGTTGGCTCGCGGCGCAATCAGGGAAGAAACCTACAGCGAAGCCATTACCAAAAGGGTTGACCAAAGCTGCCAACGGGAGGCCTGCCGCTGCAAGCAGAAGTGCAACAACAGGAAGTGTTGGCTCCGGAGCAAAGAAATCTGTTCCTGCTGCGAAAGCAAAACCGTTAGTGGCTAAGAAGATTGATACAGCGCCGAAAGAGACAGGGGAAGACGACGGGTGGGGCGATGGGTGGTGATCTGTCGGTCTGGACTTATCTTGGTCGCTTTTGGTATTTGGAGCAAGGCATAGCAGTGGCGTTCAGGAAATTTTGGAAGGAAGAAAGTAGGATACCAGGACAAAGTATATACTTTGTGCTCAAATGTCAATATGTCATTTTGAGATTGAGGCAGTGCCACAGCAACAACTGTTCATGATGTGTTTTTGAAAGGGTATGAGTTACCTGAGAAATTGCATAAAAGCCTTGCTACAATCCTAGCATTATGCAAAGCGAGGTCATTACCTAATAAATGCCAGCCTAGTCTGCCACTCAAAAGGGGGACGACGACGACGACGACGACGATAACTCCAGAACTCAGAAGAGGGAAACCGACAGCGAAGGGTCCAGAATCTAGAAGATAGAAGACGACGACGAATACTCTAGAATCCAGAAGGAGTAAAACAACGACATAAGGTCCAGAATCTAGAAGAGTCCACTAACCCTACGACCTCTATTCTCGGTCCTATGTTCCGGTGACTGTGACGAGCAGGACCTCTTTGTTTACTTTTTCTTTGAGGCCCTAGGGCTCACTCACGTTTAGTATTTCGTAGCTGCTTTATCAGCTACCATGTGTATATAGTTTGAGTCCTCTCTTGACTCTCTTCCTTCCTTAGTTCTTGATTTCAAGGATTTATTTAAAATAAACTTGACATGGCCCAGACTTCCAAATAATATACATTAACCCCTCACCAACGGATCAACGTTGTGTGTGAGAATCAACGGCGCACACTGGGATATTTCAGCCCCCGTTACAATCCACTGCACCTCAGGACTCTTCAATTTCTCCATAGCCGCCTCAAAGTTTCTTACGACAAACACTCTACTCCCCTTATACGAATTCGAATTACACCACGCAAGCGAGTAAAACAAGTCGGGACGCTCAGGAGCAAACCCCGTTCCCATCGCCATGTACAAGTTTCTACCGCCGATCGTCGCCGGTGCCAGCATCGCGATATTCTGACCTTTGACTGCTGAACTGGCGTCCACTACTCGCAAGCGCGAGATGCCGTAAGCGCCCATTGTGTCCGGATGCCAGGCAAACCAGCGCGTCATTGAGGGGCCGTAGACAAGATTGAGGTTATTCTGGAAGACTGCGCCTGGGAGGTTGCGAGAGCCGAGGTACAGGTTGCCATCGTCGTTGGCGACAAGGTTGAATTTGCCCGATACATCTGCAAGACGGGTTTGCCCCGGGACAAGAGCTGGGGTAGCAGTGACTCCTTGGGCTTCTAAGAGTTGTGCTACGGGTGGGAGCTCATAAATTGCGCTTGATTTCGGAGAAGGAGTGGCTACTGCATCGGGTTCGCCGGGTTTGATAGGAGTGCTCTCCTCTCCTCCCTCCGGAATGGTCTTTCCCAGACAACCTGAAGCTAGATCAGGACCTTTAAATTCTCCGAGACCAAACGTTTGGTCAAAGACGTTCAATTCGAACTCTGTGCCGATACCGAGACTCCAATCGATCCCATCGCACCCGTCTTCATCGTTCGCAGTAGGCGTATTCCAGTGGGCTTCAGCACCGATATATGGGCGAGAGACAACCGCTATACCTTGAGTGAACTGACCGTTGAGAATGTCTATGCCGACGCCTACACCGATCGGGAGGCCGAGCGATGCAGACATCGTGAGCTCGCCAACTGCCTCAAATCGCGTAGTGACCGTGGGCTTGAAGCCTGATATTCTAGAAGCACCCGTGTCGATGACATCTAACACGACTTTCATCTCTGGGAAATCGACTTCTGCCCCTGCTAGAACCCTGCCAAGTGCCGAAACGCCGGCTTTACCATCAACGTCCAGCGTGATCAACGGTCCGATAGTTATGATGCCCGGCAGGGTGAAGCCGGGCAGCCCAGCAGTAAACACTCTCTTTTTCAGGAATTCGGCCTCCTTCTCTACATATGCTTCGATCCCCAAGTATACTCCGGCAGTGAGACTTCCTCCCAGCTCGAGGCGAAGCGAAGTTGGGCCCTTGAGGACGGAAACACTAGCTGAGCCGGACACACTCAACGAACCCTTAACGCCACAATCGATACACCAGACGTTGAGGCGTGGCTGTGGCTCTGTGACGAGAGAGTATGTGCTGATGATGGATTCGAGTTTGGATTTGGAGGCGCTGAACCCAGCATCGTCAGGCGACAACTGTGAGGAATACAGCGGGATGCTATTCGATCCCCACGGGGAGTCCGTAGCGAGGAGGGAAGTCATGTCAAATGGGATCGTAAACCCGATAGATGCAGTAATTGTCGTAAAGATGTCGACGACTTGGTTGATACTGTCCACAGCTGTGTTGAAGGCGCTGTCGATGCTTGCCACAACGCCTGTGAGTATAGTAGAGGCTCGTACTAAGCCCATAGTGAACGCGAGGCTGCCAACTGCGACATCAACGGTATACCATGCGTACTCAACGTCGCCGGTGATGCCAAAGCCGAGGTAGGTTCGAAGAGCGCCGGCATTGCCTGCAATGCTTGGGTCCCAAGCGAGGAAGCTATATTCAATATCCAACTCGTCGTCGAAGCCTGGTCCACAGGGAATGAATGGCTTGTCGATAATCTTTGGCGATTCATTCCTGATATTATTAAAATTGGCAGATTCAGCCCCGGAAGCATCCAGAGGAAACGAATTTGGTTTCTGAGCACATGTGGCCGCGGGATCGTTAGGGGCTCTCGTATTCGTGGTGGTTGGACTTGTCCTAGTGTTTAATGGTGACACCGACGTTGTTGATGTCGGCTTCGGTGCACATTCATTGGGATCCAAGAGTGAAAAGCTGTCCAGCAATATATCGACTTGAGTCAGTCCATCAGAGTCACAAAATATATCTAAGCCCTGTGCTCCGAAATGTAGGTAGTCAGCAAACAATCATTTACGTAGATATATGTGCCACATCAAAGACTCACAAATCCAGAGGGATAAACTTTGTATTCAAACGTGTGTTGGGTCATCATTACGTCTCGCTCTACCAAGATGTACTGTCCTGCCGGTCGAGGTTCCAGCATGATGGGCTTGCCCTGCTGTTCCGCCCCGAACGTGATTGTGATTGCACAGGTTTTGAATGATTGTGATTCGCCGAGGGCATAATAAAAACTTAATCGATACGGATTCTTCCCTTTGACATTCTGAACGGTTCCAAAAAGCTGGAACCCATTTCTAGAATTAGTAGTCGGAATTATCCCATGTCTGCAAGATCGATCGTGTCAGTGGTATCACAGCATCTCATAATCTACTACGGACACTTACAGGAAAATAGATCCGCCTTCATTTTGTGCAGTCACCCCATCGCCAGTAAAAGCTGGGTTAAGTCCAGGGTCGGCCGTCCATGAGCCGGAACTTCTCGCGTTGGTGGGACCATTGTATGACCAAACCTCATCTTCGAAGCTTGGGTTCGAGATTTTATTCGTTGTTGGGACGCATTTTGGGGCAGAATCGGAGGTCGTAAGGGACGCCGTTTCAGCTGTAAGTGTGCTGCTAGTTTGTACCCTAGAGAACGTGATAATTGACGATGTGCTGACAGGAGTAATGGCAGAGGATATCGTGGCTGTGCTAGAGGACATCGTGGGTTGCGAAGAAGCGGTAGAGGAAGAAACGGTCGTGGAAGTCGAACTTAGCAAAGAAGATGTGGTGGTGATAAGTGTCGAAGAAGGAGGAACCCTGGGAGTCGAAGAAGTACCAGAGGAACTTGAACTTCTTACAGAGCTCGATGATGAGGACGATCTTGACGTTCCCGAGCTTGTGGTCGATGATGTAGGCCGTGAAGTCGAACTAGATGACCCCGACGTCCTTGACGGCGACGAGAATGGTAAGGATCGTAAACCAGGACTTGAAATCCCTGAACTTCTTGACGAGGATAATGCGGATCTTGAACTAAGACTTGACATCCCCGAGCTCCTTGAAGATGATGACGAGGTTCGTGAAGCAGGACTTGGTGTCCCCAAGCTTCTTGAGGATAGTGATGAGGATCGTGAAGTAGGACTTCGCGTCCCTGGGCTCCTTGAAGATGATGAGGACCGTGAAGTTGAAGTGGCTGAGCTTCTCTGAAACGAACTCGATGAACTTCAAGTCGTGATAGTTGAGGAGGATCTCGAGGAGCTTCGAGAAGATGATGTAGATCCTGAGGTCCTCGTCGTCGTTGCCGAGTTGCCGGTTCTTGAAGAGGTAGTACTCGGTCTCATTGAAGATAATGTTCTCGTTGTTGACCGCGATGTTGTGGAGCTCGATATAATAACCGCTCTGGCTTGACAGCCCCAGCAATCGCGGTCATAGTAAAGTTGCAGACCGATTTTTGTAGAGGTATAGCCCTGCGCAGCTAGTGACTTGGTGTATAAGGAGCATAGCTTTAGCCACTTGTTGTATGAAAACGACTTGCATTTGCCATCTTTGAGACAATCCCTGGAGCACGCCATCTCAGAAGGACTTGCATAGAATATCTGCCGAGGGTTCAGCAGAGCAGGACTCTTCATCCATCCTTTGCTGCCACACTTACTGCCAGAAGGAGCGGTGTTGACACGAACAGCATTGCAGGGTTCCGCATAAACGCCTGCACGAGGATCGCTTGTTGTTTGGCGCTTGAGGAGCGCATCTTGACTGTCTGGTTCATGCTCGAATGTACCGAACGAGATGTCGAAATCGCGTACAGCTTCGGTGAAGGTGTTCCGCTGTCCGAGCACGCGGGCCTTGAGGTTCGGTCGATCGAACGTGATTCGCGCTGATTTGGAAAATCCATGCTGTCCGGGAGACTCATGGCTACAGCTGGGCGAGGCTGAGATGAAGATCATAGCGTTGCTCATATGCGACCATTTTTCTTGGGCATGGAAAAATGCATAATCGTTTCGGAATGTGATTGTCATAGAGTGTTTGTAGCATGACACCGATTCGACGTGGTCGGAGTGATCGAGAGGCACATTTGAATAGTGCGTCGCAGCTGTGACGGTCGCTGCAATCACATTCTTCTTCATTGAAGACCCTCGATCTTCCAAGAAAAAGAGTGAGGTTGCGTTGGATGGCTCGATGTGTGCAAAGTCTCGTCTGTTGAGTTGAGGATGTGAAGCTGGGAGAAGTACAGGATGACCGCCCTCGGGCAAATCAGTGCGTTCATTAAGAGATTGGCCAGCAGCGAGCAACGAAAATGCTACAACTGCGCTTAGTACTGATCGCAACAGCATCATCGGCGGCAGCATATTGTCAGTATTCTTTTCGAAATAACATCATCCTAGGGGAACCTGTCGAAAGACAAGTCGAGCGGTGGGCACGCTGTCTTTAACAGACACCATATAAAGGCATCTCTATAGCGAGCGCTCTTGTGATCATGATACCGCCATAATCGTGCCAAAGGCACCGGTGCTTTTGGCACGATTAGTCTGTTAATCGCAATAACTTGTTATGCGAGTCGTAGAATTAACCAACTTAAACCGTACCTATCTTGCGAGATGTGTCGCTGTGGTAGGTAGGAAGTTGAGGCTAGACAAAAATGCCCAAGCAGCTGAGCTGAGATCTTAGCGAACTTCGAGAACCTGACAAGAAGCACACTCTAGATCACTGACTACTTGTGTAGTCAAAAAATCATTAGATAGCGATGGATCTGATTGATTCTCGGCGTTTTTAGCTAGAGGCGGGAAAACCCCAATCGTCTTTGTTTCTATCTGTCCCGTAGATCTAGATTTGAATGGCGGCTTGGCGGGCAGTATGGGCTGAGCTGAATCTAGTCAGGCGAGACGAGCATCTCCGAGCCCCATTGGTTGTACGAAAGAATGTCGACATTTTGAGCGACGTAAGAAAATTATTTCGACTCTAGTACTCAGGTATTATAGAGGGTTGACTCTTCCTCGCGGCACGCGAATAGTGCAGAAGTTCAAGCGCGCAAGATAAGATATGTACTGTTCGCCCGGTCAGGCTATGGAAAGTAGGTAAATATAACCCGGAGGCTTGGTTCATGGGACCTGGGAAGTAGAATAGATCCACGTGACTAGCCGAGATTGAGTCCGAAAGCCTATGACAAGGGGATATCTTATGGTAGAGTGAAGAAATTGCTCCATTCTCCTCAGTCTATGGTCGTATGTGGCAGCGAGAGTTCTTTACATGATATGTCGCTTATAAAAGTAGGGAAATTGGAATACTGGATAACTAATTGGGTTCCTTTTTATGCTGCTTTCTGCAAGAACAACCAATAGCTCCATCTTGGCTATTTTGCAGCGAGACTGAACATCCTGTCCGCCACAGATCTCCCTTCTCTGTTTAGGACGAGACTCCAGTACAGATATAATAGTCCAACCACAAATTGGTGCAGTCAGAGTTGAGTTGGGGATTCCAGGCACGGATCTGTGCCAAGGTCAAGCCGGTAGCTCTCTCCACTGCGACACAAGTGTCACCTGATTTGATAAGGTACCATTTGTTGCATTTCGAGCTTATGCCTGGCATCTGTGGCTGCGGGCCTGGGATTGGGGTAGAGCCTGGAATGCCTACGCACACGTAATAGTCTACCCACAATGATTGACAGGCTGGGAAGAACGTTAGCTTGATCTCAGTTACTGAGAGCTTGGGGATTTCTTACGTGTGCCTACAGCTGGATTCCAGAAATAGCTGTTACAGAGTATTAGAAATCTCCTTCAAAGTTTTAATGAGTCCTTACAAGTTGGATAGAGTGATACTGTATTTTGAGACGACTGCGGCGCAAGTGTCTCCTGGTTTGACCAGATACCAATTATTGCCTGAGCACGCAATTTTGTCAGTCATACAATTCTTCCCCGCTACTTAATGGACACTGGGCTTGATTACGTACACTGTGCCGAAATTCCATCCTGTGTTGGCATATGAGGCGCCGGTGTTGGGGCTTGGGAGGTAGTTATAGAACTGGTTGTCCGCGTAGTACTGCTTGTTGACTCTGACGTCGACTTGCTGCTAAATCCCCGGACACTCAGAGTCAGTCTACATATCTTGAACATTTTTAAGGAGGGAATGTCAAGGTTGGTCCAATAAGCTATTTACCTGCTAGTCGTTGTAGGCGTTGCCGTTATCTCGCCAAGGACGCAATACTGGTTGTTAACTACCAGTTTGGCACAATTGATGCCCGGATTCAACGCAGTAAAGTCAGCGACTGTGAGGCCCCAAGCAGTTGCGATGCTGCTGCAGGTGTCTCCATTGCTAGCCGTGATGGAGAAAGTGCAAGTGACAGTTTGTCGTTTGCTGAGACCTGGTCCGCCGTTGGATGGAAATGCATTGGCTAGAACTGGTAAGACCGCCAACCAAAGAATCTTGTGAAGCTGCATGATTGCTTGAAGGGCTTGTGAAGGGCTAAAATTAAGTGATCCTCTCTATGAGGTTCGACTTTAAAGTTGAATGTTGTTTGAGGTTCTGACGACTTTCAAGCTCGGATGACTTGTGATATATACTGTATCGGGATGTGCCCCTCGTCCGGAGGTTGTCGACTCTCATGTTGGCAAAGGTTCAAAGAAACTATGACATGCAACCAGCATTCCGACTAACAACCTGCGAATCGGTGCGATCGTCTCGTGTGCAGGTGAGATCTTACCAACTATTAGATGAATTGAATCATTCCAATGACCGATGAGAACTTACGAGGGGTGCACGAAAGCGGGGTTACAGTCATCATGTCAATACTAGGTACAAGTTCCGAAGTTTACTTTTTCCATAAGCACAAGTTGCTCTCGTCCGGTCTTGGGACGAAGTCGAGGAGTGTTGGTGTTACCACATTAAATATAATGCTACCTCGCTTACAGTTCATCAAGCTGACGATGGAGCGAACCCTGCTATTTGCTTTTGTGCTGCTCTTTCATCCCATTCACTGCTAAATTTAAGCTGACGACTGCCGTAATTTTAACTTCTTAGACCTCTTTGGGAAGCTGTCGAACTTGTGGTGATCTGTGTGTCTTCAACGACAAGTACATAATATAACCTGATTGCAAGTGAGCTACGATGTGACTCGAGTGAATCTCATCTCATCTCATCTCAAGCACCCGAGGCAAGAATTCGCGACTTTGCTCCCGAGCTTTATATACCCCTCTCAACTCCTCTCGACACAAACGCTCCCTCTCCTCACACACAACAAAAAACCACACTCTAGCTTTCACAATCTGCACACACTTAACATGAAGCTCCTCGCCTCAATCTCCCAAACTTCCCATTTCTTCACAGCAACTCTCCTCCTCCTCCTCATCACCCTCGTCTCCGCAACCCCTTCGGACCTCGATGCAGGTAACGTTGATCTCACGCCACACGCCAGCCTCCCCGAAGGCTACACCGAGGGCGACCTCCGCATGACCGGTACCTTCGCCGACAACATCGCAATCAACCACACCGGCACCATCGAGCAGATCTTCGCCCAACTAGCCATCGAGCATCCCAATATCAATTTCACCGAACTCGCTCTCGCTACACCTAACATGAAGACCATTGAGAAGGTAAGTTGCTCTTCCCCATCCATCCGTCCGTCCGTCCGTCCGTCCGCTATCGACCCTGGCTTTTCGATGTGGTGTTTACATAAGAAGAGATAGAGCGAGAAAGTGATACTGACTAGAGAACCAGAGAACCAAATCAGATTTGAACTGCATCCCCGTCTCTGGCCAGAACTGGTATCCCGCAAAGGACTGGGCTATCATCAATGGAATTGATTATCTCCAGAAAGTCACAGCTTCGTGTGGGGTTGGAGCGCATAAATGTTCGCGTGTTTCTTGCTCGTATAATTCTGGTATTCGGCTTTGCAATAATGTAAGCATCCTCGTTAATTCCCTTCCTTGCTTCCCTCCATCCTCTAGCTTCATCACACTTTTGAATAATCCAGCTTGCTGATGCTGTGCCAATGTATAGAATGATTACGAGCGAAGCTTTTCATGCACATGGATCGCCTCGTTTGCGGAGGATATCCGCGAGAACTGCAGATATCGCCCTGATCCACATGGTATCGATTTGGTTGGTGGACAGGCTTGGGATACGGAGAACTATAATGTTTGTGTCTTCCAGGAGAGATGCTAAGGGTGATAACTGCTGGACTCAGTGATTCGTATCTGACCTGCTTTGGGAGTTTGGGAGTTTTGAGTACTGGATTTGGGACTGCTCATTTCAATGCTGAGCCCTGAGCATTGGAGCGAGCAGTAATTGCAGATGATGTGACATCATGCGATGGCTTCCTTGACTATTGATCCTCTCAGCCAAATCTCTCATAAATGTGAATATCGTGTCTATATCCAGCCTTTCATTTTATCTTTACTTGAAAAGTCTCTTGTAATGAGGATGTTTTCTCGTTTGTTGATGCTCACCGATCCTTTAGCGAGCCATCCAAGCTTTTCAGGCTCCCTCACAAGCACTGGAGCCCCACGTGGGATGCTAAAATGCGCCAAGCTGGTAGGCTTCACAAGCCCCTTGGCACCCGACAGGAACAGCAGGTCCTCCGCTTCCTCTCAAGACTTTCCTCCAATGACATTATCAACTGCTCGCACGACTTCACAGCATCCTGGAGTTGATCGCTGCAGCGTTCTCCGCAGAACAAACCTTCGAAAAGATGGGAATCTTCTGTGGCGAAGACGGGTGGGTATATGAACATGGTTGAGACCTCGAATTCAACCTGAGCATCTGCCGAGTTGCTGTGTGCAGCTGTCAATTCTCAAGATGAAGTATCCGTTATTCATTCGGGATTTGGCTTTGGTCTGGGGTGTCTTACAGACGATCATTCCAGGCTCATTAGCAACAGACAAGCTGATCCCCTTCCCCATCGCCGCCAAAACAGTGCCCACGGAATCCGACAATACAGCAGTTTACGCCTCTCCCTCTAACCCTCTCCTTATCGGAAACGATGGCTCGGCCTCAACAGGAGGATTTCACATCTTCTCCCTCTTGAACCTCTCAACAGCCCCTATTCAGTCAATCTCCTCAAAGACAACTGGTCGCTCAAAACTCGTGACCACAGTCTACGCAATCGGCGGCAAGGATCTAATTATCACAATCTCCCAGCCAAATAATGCACTCCAGGTCTTTGATATCAATGGTGCTGGCTTCGACGAGATTGAAGAGGCGAGGAAGATGGCCGTGGGCGATTGGTCCGCTTTGTGTACGTGGAAGAGCAGCAAGAGTGGGGAGCAGTACTTCTATCTTTTTGGGAAGAAACAGGTTGTGCAGTATCTTATTCGGAAGGATGAGAAGTTTGAGATTGTCGAGGTGAGTCTCGGAGCTTTTGAAATGGAGATTGTATTGACTTGTGCAATAGATCCAAACTTTCAACTTGCCAGTCGAAGCTTCATCTTGCGCGGTTTCTTCGTACAATGGCAGAGTGTACTTTAGCGGCGATGATAGCAAATCCGTTTATGGATTTAAAACTGAGGAAGTGTCGTCAGCTCCAGCAATCGAGACATTCTTCGAAGCAGCTGACGATGTGACTGGACTGGTCGTCTACGCCGGAAAGTCATCTGACTACCTCTTCGTTGCGCAGAAGGATCTCATCGCTGTCTATACTGGACGGTTCCGTCTTGTCGGCACCATGCAACTTACAGGAGCAGAAGATATTGAGGTCCAAGGCCTAGCAGTTTTACAAACGAAGACTGCAGAATATCCTGCTGGGGCTCTGACATGCGCCATTGAGGATGAAGATGGAAAGGCTTTTGGCGTGAGCTCTCTGGAGTCTGCTCTGAAATCTCTGAAGATAGAAGCAAACACGGCCTATGACCCAAGAGCCACATGTAAAGATTGCTTGGACACAATCTGCAATGACTGCAACTCGAGCGGTTTCTGCACAAAGAAGCGATCGGGAACAACCTGTTCCTGCTTTGCCGGATTCACAGGTCCCTTATGCCAATCCTTCACCTGTACAGACAACTGTTCCGGTCTTGGCTCATGTATGGGAGCGAACGATTGTGAATGCGAAGCTGGATGGGGTGGCTTGTACTGCTCCTTTCTCCTCGTTGAGCCAAAACTCGAAACTGATGCTAACGGAGGTGATGGAGATGATCCCGCGATCTGGATATCTCCCATCTCACCTGACCAGTCGAGAATTGTCACGACGACGAAGTCGGAAGAGGGTGCTGGTCTTGGAGTATTTGACCTGAGTGGGAAATTGCTCCAGACACTTCCGGCTGGTGAACCGAATAATGTGGATATGATTTACAACTTCACGCTTGCTGGTGGAAAGACTGTGGATCTTGCTTTTGCGGCGTGTAGAGAGGATAATACGCTTTGTTTGTTTGAGATGAGTGCCAATGGGACTTTGTCGAATATTGATGGAGGTATCCAATCAGTCGTAAGTTTATCCACTTCACCCGCTTCATTAGGACGAACGTCCCACTAACACCCCAACTCAGATCCCAGATTACGACGTTTACGGCTCCTGCTCCTACCGCTCCCCCCTCACAGGTACACAATACCTCTTCGTCAACAGCAAAACAGCCCTCTACCTGCAATACAGCCTAACCTCCCTCCCAAACGGCACTCTCACCACAACTCTCGTCCGCCAATTCTCCGCCGGCTCAGGCGGCCAAGTCGAAGGCTGCGTCACAGACGAAGCAAATGGGTACATCTTCATCGGCGAAGAACCCACCGGTCTCTGGCGCTATGACGCCGAACCCACCACCTCCAATCCAGTAGGCTACAAAGTCGCATCCGTAGCCACATACCCCGACCACCAACCCGGCGATCTCTACGCCGACGTCGAAGGTGTGACGCTCATTCCCGGCAAAACCCCCTCGCAAGGCTTCATCCTCGTGAGTTGTCAGGGCGTTTCGGCTTATAATGTGTATGAACGTGCACCGCCGCATAAGTTCGTGGTGACGTTCTCGATTGCGGATTCGAAGGATGGGAAATTTGATAGGGTGACTAATACGGATGGGATTGCGGCTGTGGGGAATAGGTTGAATGGGATGTTTCCGAAGGGGTTGATTGTGGTGCATGATGATGCAAATGAGTTGGCTGGTGGAGGCACAGCGGAAGAGGCGAGTTTTAAGTTGGTTGCCTTGGAGGATGTGCTTGGTGGTGGGCTGTTAGAGAGTGTCGATGCGGAGTGGGATCCCAGGCGGTAAAGCTGTCACTGGATGGGCGAGTTCAGTAGAAAGTGAAGCACAATATTCTTCAGGAGTTGAATGAGCCTGTCGGGGTGTGCTATTTAGTCTGTATAGATCTACTTGATTATAATATAGAAATACGGAGCCATAATAGATAGCGTTTGATATAGCATAGGTTCATATACTGCTTCTCAACCTGCTGCCATAACTAGCACAGTGGAGAAGATCCCCACAACAAACAATCTACATACATCTGCAAAAATCATTATAACTCTGAATCTGACTCTCATTCTCCATATCCATCCACACCGGCAATGACCGGCCACTCACTGCCTTGTCAAAGCCTTTAGGCAAATGGGTAGACTGTTCGTATAATATGTCTTTTCATGGCCTCGGGGATCTGGGGATTCATTACCTTTGGGTGAACCTAGCTGAACCTAACTCTAAGCTTATGTACCAACCAGAGCTCTAGATCTTCATAGATCACAATTTGTGATCCTTCTTCCCTTGCTGTTCCACTGTAGATGAAAGATCGCTCAGCGCCTTCGTCGACGTCGACTGCAGACCGTCAGCATCAAACCCTGCCAAGGTTATTCTAGCCCCCAAATCCCCTTCCACATCCCTCAAGGGTAAACAAACTCACCTCCATCAAGAAATCATACCCATAAAACCACTCCAACCCGCCGCCCGCTTTCCAATACTCATATTTTGGATTCCCTCTATTCATCCTCTGCGCTATCTTCTCATCTCTCTTTCGCTGAGCCGGACCATCAGGTATGACTTTATACTGCCCTGTAACCAGAGCAGCGGCCTGGATACGCTCTGCTCTTGGCCGGCGGAGGGTCTCGTATTTTCGAAGAGCGCGAGGGATGTCTGATACGGAGTGTACATATGGGTGGGAAAGGCATTCGGCGAGGACGCCGCCGTCTTCGACGGCTGTTGCCGCGCCCTGGTGGGTTGTGGGGTGTGAGTATACAGTGATTCGAGTATGCGGTTTGAAAGGGGAACATAAGGAGAGTATGAGGGAATAGACGAAGAGAGAGAACAAGACGTACAGCGCCTAAATGCGGGACCATAGCATGCGCAGCATCACCTAGAAGTACCATCCTCCCGCTTTCACCAACCCAACTCTTCAATTTCGGCAGATGCGCGATGTTCCAAAGAAAGCAATCTTCGGGCTTCACTAGCTCTATGGTTTTCTTCACACGAGGTTCGAAATCGCTGACGAGGTCGCGGAGGTACGTGGTGGAGCCGAGACGGTAGGAAGATGCGGAGTTGGCGGCGAGGATATCGTCTGAGGAGGAGGTGAGAGGAGAGGAGGAGGGGTAGAAGATTAGGGTCAGGCGGTAGAATGAGGAGGATGTGTCGGAGCCGCTTATTATTTGTCGGGAGGGAGCGTACCAGCCTGGGGTTGGAGTTGTCAATATCAGATATACACACGTGCCAAGTGAGGGGGTGACGAACTGTGGATTGAACCTTCTTCCATCAGAGGTGCCGTCAAGGGGTCACTCATCATGTCGGCTCTGGAGATGGTGCATTGATATGCTATGCTTTCTGGAATGGGTTGTACATCATCGTCTCGTAGTATAGTACTTCTTACTGTGGATTTGATTCCTGGTTTTGGCTGTAAGTTATTGATTTTGTTTGTGGGTTGGAAAAGAGAGAAACGAACCATCTGCGCCGATGATGATATCCCCTTTGATGACGTCTCCGGTAGTCAATCTCACTGATGGAACATTTTCATCAAGGCTTTTCACACGGCTTGAGAGGCGGACTTGGACCCCTAGCTCGATAGCTGCGTCGTAGAGAAGTTTTTGGTATCTTGCGCGGGGAATTGCCATCACACTACAATACAGTCAGCTAAAATTCTGGACATCGCAAAAACAATACAAAGTTCCCTTCCACTTGAGCACAAAGAACATCACGAGAAAAACCATCACTCACGGGAATCCAAACGCTCCCTCCATAGCACCATAGTCGACCTCCTCCAGCACACTCCCATCTTCATACCTATACGTCGTGTTACCCTTCGGAATCGTCTCCGCTTCCTTAAACTTCTCCCACAGCCCATAATGGCTTAATACACGAGCAGCATTTGGCGGGATCAAAAGACTACCGCCTAGCGTCTGGAGTGTCGATGTGCTTTCTAAGACTGTGACTCTGTGTCCCTTACGGCGGAGGCCGATGGATGCAGCAAGGCCTGCGACTCCTCCGCCGATTATGAGGATCGTGAAAGAGGGGTTAGAGGGCATGTTGGTGAAAGAGTATGAGTAGTGTAGATGCAGAGATCTTCTCGCGAGCAAATATTGTTAAGATGAGTTGACATGAACCAGATTTGGAGAGTTGATGTGAGATGGTGTCAGCTCGTTTAAAACTGCCGAGGTTCAAGTGTGGCGTAGCTTGGGTTGAAGCGAGTAAATAACGGGAATATCTACTAGCAGTACAGATGTTCATGATTTTTTGGAGGGGATAAATGGCAGTTTGATAATATATATAGACTGCCTGTTTAAGTTCAAATCAAAACACTTTGAAATCGATATACCCAGCATGAGTACGTCCCATAAAGAATGCGGTTACAGAGAAAAGTGGATCGTGACTTGGATTTGAAAGCCACAAGCATCTGATCCCAGGTAGGTGGTGGTCTCATCGAGAGGATTTTCAGTCTAAAAAACTCCTACGATAATAATGGTGGTACTGATATTTGTTCTCAAGGTAGCAAACGAGACGGAGTCGCTTCGGGTTTGGGGAGGCTAAAGGAGAGCGTCGAGCCCTGAATTTCTCCGCTGCGGAGTCTTTCAACTCCAAAAGTCAACAATTTCTTTCAACAAAGATCTGTTCCAGATCCGTTCCAGAGGTTTAGCTCCTATCTCCGGTAATTATACGTGTATCTTCCTATAAAATACGTTTCTTTCTGAATTCGTCACCTTCTAAGCAAGCTGATACTCGATAATAGAATTTTCAAGAGCGGACGGGCTAAGAAGGGTCCTGAGCCACCACAAAACCTTCAGATATCCTAGCCGATAGTCAAAAGTAATGCAAGGGTGATATTCAAGTCCTCATGAGACAGGTAAAGCATTCATTTCTTCGACTCGGGATGGAAAATGCACCACAAATCGCAGGCTCGAAGTCTGCGGTCACTTTCCGGGAGCAAACCCCTGATGAAGCAGGCCGACCAGTGTATGATACAACGAATCATACAAGAAGAAAAGCTGGATGCCTAGGGCTTATGGTGTTGAGTATCGTTAGCCAGGTGGAGGGTAGCTATGACTTGGGCGTGAGGATGTTGAAGAGGGAGGAGTGAGAGACAATGGATGGAAGTGGGAGAGTTGGGAGGGGTGAGGTACACTCGCATGGTGGCTGCGGGTGCGCTCTTGAAAACTTTTAAGAGAGTGCTCCAGCTTGGAAATGAAAATTAGATGGAAAAATTGTAGAGAGGATGACGACAGAGGCTCGCAAATGTTGTCCTTCATCAGCAATTGGGAAGGTCACATCATGTGTTGATCACATGCTGTCAGCCTGCTGAGTCAACGCCACATCCTCATCTCAATCTCCTTTCTGCCTCCCAGCCTCCCAGCCTCGTCTAGATTTCGATTTCAGACGACTCAGCCACGCTTCGTAATAGCCGCTCATCCGATGTCGTCAGAATTAGAATCACAATCGATCACCTCGAAGCTATGCAGTAAATGCGAAGGAATATTCTCTGTCCATCACAAAGTACACAAATCGTTTGTTCCACGCGAGGTCCCAATCTCAGCCTTAATAGTCCACAGTCCGAGCATCTTGTCTCTCAAGTTTTCGATGTTGAGTGGTTGCCATCTGTGTGTTCTCATTTGGGATGTGCATAGAAAGTTCTTCGCAGTCGCTGCTGAGCTCGAAGAGAATAATCCCTTGGACCCAGTAGCAGAGCTATGTTACATGTTCGAAACTGTAGAGCTCGGACTTCTACTCTATGCCACGGACTTCAAAACCGTGTCAAAGCATATAGTTTACGTAGTTTTGGAGCATGAACGGTCAATAGCTGCGAAGCTCTATGTACCAGACACAGTGGCAAAGATCCAGAATGGTAATATGCATTTGGGGTTGCAGCGTTGGGTTCAGACACCAGAAAATTGCTCGGAGCCTACGGCCGTGATGGATGTTACTATTTTCCTCTCCCCAGGTCTGTGGACCTCTCCGTACACCATGATCTCTCTAATTCTGTTATAGAGACAGCGTTACAACGAAGTTTGGCAAAGCTTGCACGCAAATCGGATTTGATGGACTCATCAGGTCTCGGTGGAGGCTCGGATGAAGAACCCTATTCTTGGCTCTCGCATTGTATTAACCGGCATGAAAAGTGCTTCACTTCGTTGGGCCTACCAAGGTCAAGCTGGCTCCCGACGCGCCTTCTAGATATCCGCGATATCGCCGTTTCGCACAGGGTCAAGTTATATTGTACAGAGCCTGGTGACTCGTTGGAATATGCCACTCTCAGTCATCGATGGGAGGCAGATGACCAACTCAGACTTTTAACAGGGAACATCAAATCATTCTTAAACGGCATATCGGTGGAGACGCTCTCCAAAACTTTTCAACAAGCAATTGCCATGTGCCGCAAATTGTTACTCAACTTCATTTGGATTGACTCGCTTTGTATTCTGCAAGATTCGAAGGAAGATTGGGTTCGGGAGTCTTCCACAATGGGGAAAATCTATATCAACGGGAAGGTTTGTATCGCAGCCTCCGGGGCAGCAGATGGCTGCAGGACGCCAATGTCGAATCGAAATCCATTGCTTATGAAACCTTTGCTGAGGAAAACGACTAAAAGCATCTTTGATGAGGATCCTCTCTCAACGAAACAGGTCTATCGGGTACATTTGGCCGGTATTGAAAGCGTAGAAATCGAAGCGTCGAAGTTGCAAACACGGGGTTGGGTGGTTCAAGAGCGAGCATTAGCTACTCGAACTTTGTATCTCGGATCAAATCAGCTCTTTTGGTGTTGCCACCAGGGAACTCTGTCAGAAACCTGGCCTTGTGGGATCGGAAGAGCGACCAATCTGGACCGGTCTTTGAAAACTGCTTTCTACACCGAAATCGGATTCTATTACTGGAATCAAGCATTAGAAATTTACTTAAGAACTTTCTTGACATAAGAGGGAGATAGACTGGTTGCATTATCGGATATGGCAAAGTTTCACGGGCGGGAAGTCAATGGCAAATATCTCGCTGGAATATGGTCAAATGACCTTCACCGCGGACTCTTGTGGCAAGTTCGAAATACAGGGAACACAACAGTTGCGATGGATCTGGGAACCCGGACTCTGACTTATGTAGCTCCGAGTTGGTCTTGGGCTGCGTTAAAAGATGGGGTGGGCTTCGAACTCATGAGCTGCCCTGAGTACAAATTAAGAGCTACAATACTTGAAGCAACGACGAAGACAAGTGGAGATGTCTTTAGGCAGGTGTTTTCTGGTCATATCAGCATACGTGGAACCTTGGTTCCAAGCGTCAAACTGCGAGACGAGGTTGCCACTTATTATGACACATCTTACGAAGCCACCATCACGTATACCTTCTTTTTGGTACTGCTTGAGATTTTGGACCCGACGAGGATTAGGAAACTTCTGAATAGTGCAATACCGAAACGTGCGTTTACACACCATGGCCTTATTCTACTACCGACTGGGCGGTGCCTAAGAGAATTCACGAGATGTGGAACATTTAAGGCATCAGTCTTTCTATCGAGAACACGCAAAATCTTCAATAGAACGGTGGAGGAGTTTGCTAGGGATGCGCATAAGAGCGGACTTCCGTATGAAAAAGTGAAGGGAGTGAACCAGTTCGTCGTTAGAATCATCTGAGCACTCGTTGATCTGAGTACCTTTCGAGCCAGAGCTCTCTGACTATGGAACTATTGGGCTTCCCTGTATGGGCATCATTTTTGGTCGGCGGAGCCCGGAGTCTTGAATCTCGAGTGAGGGTGATAGACAGTGGTAGACTTGTTTCTGACATTGAATAGAGCAATCATGCTGTATCTTTGTGCTTGGGGCAAACTGGCTGCTTGGACTGAACGTCGATGAGAGATTCCCCGTCTCGAATACCCCCCCCCCCCCCCCCCCGCCTCCATATGTGCCCTTAACGTTTTGGGATTATGGAAGAGATCAAGAGGCTATCACTGAACGAAACAATCTTGGAGTTCGAGGTTCCTTGTGCAGAAAGCAGTTGCTCGCATTCGAATGGGATGGAATGTCCACCACAAATGGCGCATTAGGAAGGAAGCGAGACATTCGTCGCTGAAGTTGTGGATATGTAGACGAGAATCCTAATCTATCAAGAGCTCCATCAACCCGATCTCAAACTATGACGCAACGCCTGGCCTTCAGATCATCTTCTTCATCACGTCTCGTGGGATGTAAGACTAAAATAGACTACTTACTTCAGGTGATTATCAAGCATCAAACCTAGGTACCATGCCCATCGACTTGAACCCTCGAGCTAAGTCTTTGTGGGCTCGCAGCAAAAGCCTTGGTATCAAGAGCATCAGTTTGCTCAACTCTATCGCCAAATCAAAGTCGCAGTCGTCTCAGCCAGAGCCCCATATCTTGCCTTCAACATAGGATCCTATGGGCTCCAATGCCTCCTTCTGCGTTGCATACTCAGATCTACCACTAACGCTGCCTACAGCAGTGATAGGAAGATCAGACTCACTCTGAAATCTGGCGTTTCTTCACTGTGTTCTGAGTCAGATATGAAGATCCAGGATCCAACATGGATCCCATCCTGCCTGCGATCGGTGGATATCGCAGCCGCATTGTTGGAAGGGTCGAGGCATTCTCCCTCATTCACCTCTTTCTCCCTCAATCCTAGACAGAAAATTTTTCAGTTTCTCGGCCGGACACCCTAAACTCCTGTCGCTGACAGCAATTGAGATTGTTCCCCACGCAATAGCAGACGCTCCTCGAGGTGCGTGGACACATCCCACAAGAGTTTCTCGCCAGAACATATTGCTACCGAGTTGAGAATCACGGAGTTTGCTAAGCACCTTGTTGACCATGATATGCCCCATGATATGAAGATTACACAACTCTCCAAGGAACCAGAAGAACGATATTCTTGGATTGATTAGTCGAACTATAGACCACTATCTTCTCCCGCTTTTATGACCAAGCAGGATAGGGCAGCGAGATAGGACGACAAAGAAAACCTCATATCTTTAACACAAGTTGAAATCATGATAATGTGATTTCCCAAATAATTCTCATTCGGTTTGGAAAGCTTCATCTACAATTGTTGATACTTGACCCGTCATGTCCCTTTCCATGTTGTGGTCATCATCTCCAACCAGATGAAGTCAATTTTTTAATGGAAAATCATTTGTTGCCCATAATCAGCCTCAACTGATATATGAAAAGATATATGGTGGCTTTTAACATGTGGATGACACTGCTTGCATTGATTTCTGTTTACGCTGCCCGGCACATAAGCGAAGCCCAAGACCAATGTGCGATGACAAACACGTTTCCATCGAAACTGCCCACTGATATCAAAACTCAAAATAAAAGCTATCATAACAATGAAATAACACATCTAAACCAACTCTCCATGATCCTTTATCCCTCGTGATTTTTTACTGCTTCGAAAAATATATCCTTGACATCGGCATGCCAGATAAACCTCGTGAGGTCGCCTGACTAGGATCTCTCTCAGACGCTCCCTTAGAAAACATAGAAGAGAACACACTTCCACCTCAATCTGGCCGAAATTCAAGCTACATTCCACAAAATCTTCTCCGGGGCTGCCGCCATCCTGAGAACAATTCAAGGGAGCGGATGATTTTGACGAGTTTCGCATATACAAAACTCCCAAAAGTCGAATATATTGCGCTTGTAATGAATGATTCACCCTCTGAGACCTCCCCGCTTCAGAGCCTTCATAAATGAGCCTTTTCAAGCATGACTCGAATACGGACAGTTCCACAATGACAGAGTCTCAAGCCAGGTGGAAGTCTGCCATCTCTCATCGCAACCGCCGAAGGACGGACGTTCAAAGCCCAGAGCAATGATCTTTAGTACTACTGAGTACAAATCTCAAGCAGGACGGCGAATTTCCACGGAGTTTGAAAAAGTACTATTGACGGAGATGCAGCTCTGAGAACCAGGCTAGCCACACTGGCTTGCGCGAATCCTCGTATTTCCGTACCAACAATACGGCGCCTAACGTTACCCCACGGCGACTGAGCTTAGCTTTTGGAAGAATTCTAGAATAGATAAGAATTAGGTCCACATAGACGACTTGTGGGCGTGCTAAACTCGGGATTCCAGAAAAGAGAGGGAAGTTCTTGAGCTTGAAGGAGCGGTGGTTGGGATATCCTGACTCGTCCTCTGTGACCCAAGAAACTGGGATCGTGGGTTTGGATTCGGATTTGAGTTCAAATTTAGGTTTTGAACTTGGAAGGAAGACCTGGGCGGAGGTATCCCCAAAATGACTGAAGTTCTCCACAGTAGTCTAGATCTGGATATGTGAGGGAGATTAGTAGTTCATAGCTTTGGGTGTGAGATTGATTGTTTGTTACACATTGTTGCGACGACGAACTTGAACGAGAGCATTTCGACCAGAACTGAATCATGGCCTATAGACACATGCCACGAGGGCTCGCGCTTGTGGCGGAATAGAGAAACGATGAGATACTTTCTGGAAAGAAGGTTTTGGACCCTTCAAAGCTTAAAGAGGATTGTTCCGAAAAGTTAGGAAGTCGTCAGTAAGGCGAGCCGGCAGTCACTTGGTGGTTTACAAAATCAAGATCTCCGAAACAGAAAAAAGCTTTTTGACAGCGCTGGCTGGTCAAACTTTGTTCATCTGCCGAAAACTCTTACTGTAGGAAATATTTAAGGTATACACGTTATGCGCTGTACTTGACGGTTCACTTGATTGATTGTCGTTCTTCCACGTCATGGCATAGATAGTGAAGAACTTTACTTTCTGCAGAATGGTCCTAAAACAGGTAGATCCGCTGTAATAGCTTTAAATACGCATACAGAAAGGCCATGTAAACTCTTAACACTGGTTTTAGAGGCAAGATAGTGTGTTCGTAAGAATTAAAAACAAGAGGGATGGAACCGACCTCGGAAGAAAGAACTTAAATATCAGCGAAACTGATCCTCACAGTTTTGTTTATCATGCACGACAAGTAACCGTCTTACCGTCTTCCTGCACGATTTCCCACGAATAGACCTCATCTGCTTCTGGAAGCATGTTTGACAGGTGTGAGGGGTTGTACCTCCCGAAGCGCTATTTATTTACTACTCGGTTACCGAGTCACGGTGCAGGTACTAGTGAATATGCAGATGCGAGGCATGGGATGAGAAGAGTCATGATTTTTGACGCGTGTTGAAGTTCGTTTGCGTTGATAGCTGAGTTCGAGTCTTGACTCCAGAGACTGACTCGATACGTGGCTCGACACGACAAGGAAAGCAGATATCGGATCACCTCGCATCGCAATGTATCGCTCCCTGTGTCTGTGAGCCCAATTGAGACTGTTTACCAGTGGATAACTGCGAACTTGTTGTCATGATAGGCCATTTAAAGGATTGAAATTTGTGATAAATAAATAAAATCTCTGGAATTGAGCTGTTAATTACAAAGATGCGTACAAAAGATGATGTTGACAATTTCACATCTTAGCATAATTCTCAGACCTGTCACCAAATACAACTCCGCATTTACTGCTCAAAGCATCGAGCAGGAAGAAGTCCAAGCTCCCACAACCCAAGTAAAAGCAACATTTAAAGAAAAGCAGACACAAAAAGTATATCTTCCCCGAGACAGCAACATATCTCCGACAAACACCTGGAAACACCTCATCTCCGGCCGTCAAAACACCAATATGTTCATGACAGCTAAGCAGCAAATCATTTCTCTCCATGAATCACTGCTCGCGAACAATGCACTGCACAAACCTCCGGTTCTTTTGTTCGGCGATACCCCCGAAAGAAAACAATCTATCAAGCTGTCACAACAAACAACGTTTCTTATCTGTTTCTTATCCTCGCCGTCCGCCGAAGCACTGATCCAAGCAATTTCACTCACCAAGGGAACCAAGGCCCCAAGAAAATTTGACATCCCATCCCAGCCGAGATGAAAGAAAGAGAAGAGA